ACTGGATTGTCATCGGCATGCTGTGAGAACAGAGTCCAGTCAGGTTGACGAGTCAGATCGGCGATACAAATCAGCCGGCACAGAATGAAGCTGCCGACGAAGACGAAGTATTGGAGTCCGCTGCTGGCAAAGGACACCTAGAACGGCCGTACAATGTTCACCGATGATAGGCACCTCAGGCATATCTACAGGCCTCACACATGGCAAAGCTGCTGGGAAGGGCAGCGTCAGAGGCAGTGGCAAGCTTGGCTTTGAGCCAGCACGCGACGACGACAGGCGGCCCGACTATGCGAATAAGACTGGCTTGCTGCCCAGCAATAGCAACACCATCGTCGAGGGAGTGACGACCTTTGTCATAGCCAGCTCGCTCACAAAGATGCCCAAGTGACGCCGCTCTGGCAGGTCGATTTCACCGAACCTTCGAAGACAAGCTCGAACGAAGCGAAGAAGCGTCGCCGCGATCACTCAGAGAAGTAGATCCATCTCAAGTAGGGATTTGACGAAATGCTCGACAATAACCGCGGTTCGATTGGCGCTCAGTACCTGCGAGATGCCGAAGCGAACAAAGCCGCTCGGTCCGACGGGGCTGCGCCGACCACTGCAGCTCAGGAGGATCAAGTGCAATTAGCAATGCAGCCAGAGCTCATGCCGCGAATTCACGGTCCTGCGAAGCTCCATATGATGGGCTCTGATCCGGTCGCCGATAAAGATACGACCAGAGGTTTCGTCTATTCAGAGTCTCAACAAGCTAAGGTGAGTGCAGACGAGGATCGAAGATTGATCTGTCTCATCATGTGCCCCTGCAGAGCAAAGCAATGGCAGCGGTCGTATTTAAGCCGGCCAGAGCCAGACTCAATCCTTAGCTCAGCGCGCCGCCAACGAGAATTGCAGATGTGCGCCGCTGAGCCCCGTCACTCCTACCGAGCTACTTGTTGAGCTGTAATGCAACGCTCGGCACCTTGCTAAGTCGCTAAGCGGAATGAGCCGTCCGCTGTCCGACTGCTGTGCTGCGAAACAACAATGGCGCTCTTGCTCGNGTCATCTCTCGCAAGNGTTNCAGCATGTGAAATACTGCCATGCAGGACGACTGACGAGACGGTACTATGTGAAATGTATTTCGTGCCTGTGGAGGTCTGCGAGCAAGCGGAGGGAAATTTCGACGCCTCATCTTGGCTCCTCTGGTCTGCCTGAAGGCACGTTCGCTAAGAATCGTCTCTATGAGTGCCGTGATGCCCGAGTCACTCGGCAAGCGCTGTCGACTCGAAGCTTCAAGGTCAACGGATCGATTGAGATCCGCAATGCAAGCGACTTGCCTTGTGTCGCGAGCTGCAACAGGCCCTGTGATCCAACTCGAGTATTCCCCGACGCCGCTAGCTCTGAAGATCTTGCTGCGTCCCGCAAAGATGACTCTCGCTCGCATCAGGATCCCCTTCGTCGTAAATGTGATATGTGAAGAAAGCTGCGCATATCCATTATTGTCAGCCGCAAACAGGGTGGGGGCTAAGCTATGTAGAGTCATGCGAAGNNANTTGCCTGCATATGCATTGTACTGCTCAGAAAAAGATTGGCAAGGGGGTCGCTGGCCGCTAGTTTGACTAGCAATCGCGCTTTGCTATTTTACCTGACAACGATGACGTGTCAGTCTATATGGCAATCGACACGTGTCAGCAATAAATGCCGGCAGTGACGCGCACTCTCGACTGACTTGACTACCCGTTGCGACCCCTCCTTTCCTCCTCTTCTCTTCCCAATCTCACACACTTCTCCGTGCGATCATGCTGACCCTTGCCTGGCTCGTGCCGCTCTTCTGTCATGTCTTTGCGTACGAACGCCAGGATTACACCGTCCAGGCGCGCACAGAAGCGGGCTGCGCGCCAAGAGGTACCGGCCGCACCGTCGAGATCGCGCCATACCTGTACAGCTTCAGAGTGACATTGGATCGCTTCTCTGATGATCAGCAATGGCGGGCAGAAGTCGGTCACTCGATATAGTGTACCCTCGTTCTGATGGCGTAGCGAGCAGTACTTGGCCGGTTCTATTTCAGTCGAGACAGAGCTCGCAATGTCTACAGGCTCGGGCATGCTTCAAGCTTCCGTCTGACGGATGTTGACGCTCTCCATTCGCAGGCGTTATCGTCAGACTTGTCTCGGACACGCCAATCTCATTGGATTCAATCGCTTGGCGTGCGTGCTGTTCGGCCGAGTATACCATGCACCTGTTCACCGATACCGAGCTACACCTGATGACGAGGATGGAAGAGCACACCACACTCTACTGCGGAGCTCACTCCAAATCGGGAGCCAAGCGTGATTGCAACCTCGACAGCCTAGGCAATCCGCCAGGTGATGCTGCATCACAAGGGTGACACTTGCCGTCATTGATCGCGCTAGCAGAGGAAACACGATGTCCGACGGTCTCAAGACTGCTTGCGTACTACGATCGAACTGCTCAATCGTACTATACGACCATCACAGCCGGCTTCTTCAATAATTGCCCAGCATCCACGGCTCCCGGTATCTTTTCCATCTTGTTGCTTGCCTCTCCAAACGCACAGCTCGCATTCGAGCTCGAGGTACTCCCGCCGATTTACGACTCGACCGATTGGACCGTCATCGCGGTGAGTGTACAGTCACTCTCTGCGGAAAAGTCCTGATGTTGCTGTTGCGAACCAGTCTGGGCCTCCCGGCGTCAAATCGATCATTACTCACGATCGTCTATCTAGCGTACAGCCTGCTGTCACCGTCTCACTCAAGATCGACTTCAACGAAAGACAGCAGCACTATGCAGATTGGATCGAATGGCGCGTACGAACTGATTCATACCTGCCGTTGCTCACGCGTGCGCAGTTGTCAAGCTTGGCTCACCTTCAGTGCCGAGATCGATGTGCTCGAGCAGAAGATGACAATCATACCAGATAGTCAGAAGCTCGAGGTCTACTGTGCAACGACGAGCGAGCGTGATCCGATGAGTGGCAGCTCGTCCAAATGTTCGCCGGCTGCGCTGGGTCATCCCAAGGGTGAGCCCAAACTCAGACGGTGATCAAACAGCTCATGCATCTCCCCTTTAGCCGTCACACAATGTGTTGGCTCGATCAACCTTGGCGCATCGTCGCTCAAAACCATGTAGCGCTCGATCTGATGCATCATCCCGTTTGATGACACGCATCCTCGGCCTCTTGCGTTTCGTCCCACTCTGACCTCACAAGATGCGCTCGATCAATCTTCTCGCTTTCTATCTCTTTGCCGGCCGTTACGCTGCTTCTATTCTGCCTCAAGAATACCAGATTGACCTGTGGATCCATGTAAGCCCGCCCCGATTGTTATCGGCTCAGCTTGACGTGCTCGTAGGGCTTTTGCGACCCCACACAAGAGTCTCTACAGCTTAGCGTCTTCTGTCCCCAATGTGCCCTACGCTTCACGGCCGTTCCTCCCATGTCAGAATCAGCGACTTGGACCATACAGGCACGACGTCCGCCAACACTGCAGGCTCTCCGGTGCTGATAGCGCAAGCAGACCCAAACCGGCTTCAGAGGCTCGACAGAGGTGAGAGACATCACAGACGAGGGTCTAACCCTTATCGCGCGCTTCACGATCGACGTCCTACCGAACGGGCCCTCCCAGGTCAATTGGGCGGCATGGTCAGCCGCGCTGCCTCTTATCAGCAGACTCACTCCTGACTGACTTCTGTTTCAGTTGCTCTGGCGAAGTTGCTCTCACTTATCGGGTCGACCTGACAGACCAGACAGCTACACTCGTAGGCGATGGTCAGCTGTTCATGTACTGTGCCTCGCACACCAAATCGCACGCCAAGCCTGCATGTGATCTCGACGCACTGGGCAACGCCAAGCAGATCACGCTCTGCTCCGACAACCGTTCGGTCAAGGTCATCGTTCCCCGGAGAACGTACGCATTCGCAGACCGGTTCGATGTCAAAGGTCTGCTGACCACTCTCTCGTGCGTCGTCAACGCGACTGATCACGCGGCGCAGTTTCACTCGTCGCATCGTGTGACTTACCGATCCACCAGCGATGGGAGATTGGACCGACCGTTGACCTGTTCGCACCTCTCGATGCGCCGCTCCATTTCGCGATCATCAACATACCGAGCTCGGCCTCTACAAGCGCGCATGACGAAAAGCTGGACTGGATTCCTACACTTGTACGCGAGCTTTTAATCGCAGCAAGCGCCATCCTGACTGAGTCTACAGGGTCGCGCACCGCAACGGGTCGAGATGAAGGTGATACTGCTGCGGCCAGGCTTGACGTTTGCTGAAGTCAGAAGTAGGTCTTACATTCACTCGATCCCGATGCTCTTCGTGTCGAAGTCATGGTGGAGATTCCATACAGACCGGATATGGACATGCTGCAGATGTGGCAACAGTGCTGCGTCGCCAGCCTGAACATGGTCCTTTCGATGGACGTGATGACGAGTGAGTCCGCGCACCATGCTCAGATCAGTCATTGATCAATGATCGGAATAGAGCTCTTGATATTCGAAGAAACTGACACCTACTTGCGCTGTCTTCGTCCAGAGGAAGCTCGACTGCGAGGCTGCTCCCTGGCTCAGATCGGCTACCCGCCCCCGATGACAACATGCCGTGGCACCTACAGGACTGATGATGCGTACAGAATGGTCTCTATTGATGTCTGAACGATTCAGTTGCAGATGTAAGTAAGAATTTGCAATGGCCAGCAAGGACATCTGCAGCTATGCGCGTAGAGCGAAGCCGATGCGGTCCTTCTCCGAATCGAATATAACGCTGTAATGGCTGAGCAGAGTGCTTCCAATGAGCGACGTCGTGGCTCCATCTCGAGCAGGCAAGATAATCGAATAATCGAGGCTCATGTCCAGCTCGTTGGGGATCTTGAGAGCTTCGGGCAAAGTCTGGGCTTCTCCAGACAGAGGCAGCAGGGTATCGCCAATAGTAAGATCGATGGTGGGAGGCAAAGCGCCTTTAGGGTACTGGAAGAAGTTATTGCTGGCATTGTAAGAGCCTCCAATCTCTTTGATCTTCTCGTAATAGACAAGCAGAGGCGCACGAGCAAGGAAGGTCAGCTCTGTACCGGAATCGATCAAACTTGTAGCGTTCTCGTTGCGCTTTGCAGTCACACCCAGAGAGGGCATGTACACGTCACAGGCCCAGTACGAAACGCTTCCGATGTCTTTGCGAGGCATGTAGCCGACGGGACCCTTGCTCTTGCTGAGATCAGCACCGCCAAAATGGATGCTGGCAGGCTCGCGCAGGTTCAAGGTGACGATCTTTTCATCGATCACCTTGGCATTCTGCATCGACTCGACGGCCGTTGGGATAGCATTGGAGTTGTTGCCGAGTGTCTGATCGAACATGGCTCTGTTGCCCAAGCCTAAGAGTCCGGGGGTACCTGGCTCTGTTGATTGGAAGAATTTGCTGACGAAAGCTGCGCCGAGATAGCCATCAAAGGTGATGTCCTTAGCAAAGCTGATTTGATCTCGTACAAGAAAGCCGCTGATACCGCTCGAATCGCCAAAGTTTTCACTGAAAGGGATCGAAGTATTTCTCGTCGTCTTTGTCTTGGTGTAACCATGCTCGACGCCAAAGAAGGTGATCGCACTGCCGCTGTCGACGGCGAGGTGAGTATGGAGGGCAGGTCTGCCCACGGCAAAGTCAATGATGTACGAGCCGAAAGAGTTCCTTTGGGTGTGCGTCGTGAAGCCAAGGTGAGCATTGCGCTTGGTGACCTTTTTAGCAAGCAGAGACGTGCTGTCCAGGCTGACCCGCTTCATGGGCAGCGTCATAGTCGCATTGCAGCTGTACAGAGCCAGCGCGAGGCTGACAAACGTCTTCAACAGCATATTTGCAGGTCTGTACAGTTCTTGATGGACGGACTTCCCTGAGCCGGACGACGGCACTGTGCTTATCGGTATGCATGTTCAGTCGCTTGCCGACTGGGATAATCAGTAGCCACGACGATCTGAATGCCGCAAAGTCGCAGCCGATGCATGACAACGGCAGATCGTGTTGCCATTGGGTGTCAGACTGATTGTTGTTCAGTCGTTGGTACGGCGTAACAAGTGGAAGATTTGGCGCGGAATGAGACCAAAGAGGCTTGTTTATCTCGACGTCATGCAGTGTTTCCCGTGCTGCACGCATAAAAGCGGATGCAATCGCTCAACAGACCCCGCTCGGATTTGACATATCGTCGCTATGCTCGAAGACTGAAGCCGATACGGTCGCGCTCGGAATCAAAGACGATGCTGTAATGGCTGAGGAGCGTGGCTCCAATAAGCGACGTCTCTGCACCATCTTGTGCGGGCAAGATGACCGAATAGTCCAGCGATGGATCTAGTCCGTTGGGCACTTTGAGGCGATCGGCCAAGAGTTGAGCTTTACCAGGCAGCGGCAGTAGCGTCTCGCCGATGGTGATGTCTATAGCAGGAGGTATGGCTCCCTTTGGAAACTGGAAGAAGTCGGTGCTCGCGTTGTAGACACCGCCAATCTCTTTGATCTTTTCATAGTACACAAGCAGAGGCGCCCGAGCAAGGAAGGTCAGCTCAGTACCAGAATCGATCATGCTCGTAGCATTCTGGTTGCGCTTTGCTGTGACGCCGAGCGATGGCATATAGACGTCGCAAGCCCAGTACGAAGTAGGTCCAATATTTTTGCGAGGCATGTATGCGATCGGTCCCTTGCTCTTGCTCCAATCGGCAGTGCCAAAGTGAATGCTGGCAGGTTCACGCAGGTTGAGCGTGACGATCTTTTCCTCGATCAGCTTGGCGTGTTGCAAGCTCTCGGTAAAGGTTGGAATGGTGTTCGACTGATTGCTCAAGGTCTGATCGAACATAGCCCTGTTGCCCAAGGCCAAGACGCCGGACCTGCCTGGCTCGGCGGCGACGAAGAAGTCATTCTTAAAAGCTGCGCCGAGGTAAGCTTTGAATGGCACGCCATGTGACAGAGAGAAGCGGTCTTGTACAAGGAATCCTTTGACATCGCTCTGATCTCCAAAATTTTCATCAAAAGCGACCGAGGTATTCTTTGTGGTCTTTGTATGACGATATCCATGCTCGATGCCCGTCAAAGTGAGAGCACTTCCGCTGTCAATCTGGAAGTTGACCGGATGGGCAGGATTGCCGATGCCGATCTCGACGAGCCATGCCGCATTGGTGGTCACCTTGACATGCGTCGTGAAGCCAAGGTGTGCATTACGTCGGGCCACCTTTGTAGCGATTGAAGACGTGCTGTCCAGACTGACTCGCTTCACAGGCAGCGTGATAGTCGCATTGCAACTGTAGAGAGCCAGCACGAAGCCAACGAGTGTCTTGAACAGCATCTTTGCAGATCTACACGATGGTTGGGTCGCCCTTCCTGATCCGAGCGACGGAAGAGCCCTTATCGGTAGGCGTGTTCTGTCGCTCGTCGACTGTGATGAGCAGTAGCGACGACGCTTGTGGTTTCGGCAAGTCGTGGGCAGCTCATAGCAACGGCCACAGGCCACCACCCAGACGATAAGCAATCGTCATGACAGACTGGGTATCGTCAAGTCGCAAGTGCGGCGTAGCAAGCGGAAGACCTGCCGCGGTATCAGACGGAAGAGGCTTGTTGATCCCGAAGTCATGCAGTGAGCCCTGTGATACGCGCGGCCACGTAATGCAATGGCTCAACAGACACATCGCCCGAATCTGACGCGTTGACGCTATGCTCGAAGACTGAAGCCAATGCGGTCCTTCTCCGAGTCAAACACAATGGTGTAGTGACTGAGAAGGGTAGCTCCAACGAGCGAACTCTCTGCACCCTCTTGCGCGGGCAAGATGATAGAGTAGTCCAAGTTTGGATCAAGTCCATTGGCAGCTTTGAGACGATCGGGCAGGATTTGAGCTTTGCCGGGCAGCGAGAGCAGGGTCTTGCCGATGGTGATGTCGATTGCAGGTGGCACGACTCCCTTTGGGAATTGGAAGAAGTCGGTGCTTGCGTTGTAGACACCTCCAATTTCTGTGATCTTCTCGAAGTAGATGAGCAGAGGCGCACGAGCAAGGAAGGTCAACTCTGTGCCGGAATCGATGAGGCACGTAGCGTTCTGGCTGCGCTTCTCCGTGACACCGAGCGATGGCATGTAGACGTCACAGGCCCAGTACGAGGTGGGTCCGATATTCTTGCGAGGCATGTATGCGATCGGTCCCTTGCTCTCGCTGAGATCGGCAGTACCGAAATGAATGCTGGCAGGTTCACGTAGGTTGAGCGTGACGATCTTTTCCTCGATCAGCTTGGCCTCCTGCAAAGCCTCTGTAAAGGTGGGAATCGCATTTGACTTGTTGTTCAGGGTCTGATCGAACATGGCTCTGTTACCCAGAGCCAGAACGCCGGCCGTGCCTGGCTCGGCGGCTGCAAAGAAGTCATTCTGGAAAGCTGCGCCGAGGTAACCATCGACAGTCACGCTGCTAGATAGAGACAAGCGATCCTGTACGAGGAAGCCCTTGACATCGCTCTGATCGCCAAAGCCTTCATCAAAGGTGATCGAGGTATTCTTTGTGGTTACCGTGTGACGATAGCCGTGCTCGACGCCTGTCAAGGTGAGAGCGCTTCCGCTGTCGATCTGGAACTCGACCGGATAAGCAGGTTCGCCAATGTTGATCTCAACGCGCCATGCTCCATCGTCGGTCACCTTGATGGGCGTCGTGAAGCCGAGCAGAGCGTTGCGCTTGGCGACTGTGCTGCTGAAGCTTGAAGCGCTTGATCCGCCGCGCTTGAGAGGCAGCGTGATGGCCGCACCAGATCCGGTACATGCAAGCGCAAAGCTGACGAATGCTTTGAAGAGCATGTTGACGAGTCGCTAGGTCTTGTCAAGGAAAGCCACCTATATATACGTATGTCCGACAAAGGGTCCTGCTTATCGGTCGATTCGTTCGACGCCTGCTCGACATGGTTGATGAGGTCGGATAAAGCGTCCGTGAAACGCTGAGGAAGGCATGACAATGGATAAGAAAGGTTTCGCTCGTGCGGGTCCTCGCAGGAAATCGCAACGCTCGCGGCAACGCGTCGGAACGATTGCAAAACCGACGATACCGACGACCGGGTGTGGCCTGGCAGGATGCCGCACATGCGGCGATTCATGTCGAGCGAGCCCTACACGGTCCCGCCGAGCCGTATGGCAGAGATCGGCGCAGCAATGGACTATTACGTGCGCAATAGCTCACCCGAAGTCGAGAAAGAATGGCGAGGTGGGCATCCAGTGGCCAGGCTGTATTGCTACTCAGACAGTCGCCCACAGTGATCGAATCGAAGCCCGGCCTGCAGACTTTTCAGCGGACCGATCCAGCGGACCCGTATGGGTTGCCTATGCTTCGACATATCTGTACAATCGAAAACACAACCACCGAAGCGGTCAGCTTGCTCGTGACACTACCAGGTCAGGACCGCAGCTGCTCGAGAGAGCCACGTCGCTCAAAGCGTACATGGTCTGATGACAGACACACGGCAGCTTTGCTTTCCTCGCGAGCTCTACAGTCACGCGATCACAAGGCACGTATCTCGCCATCTTGGCGCTATGCCAGCTGATCGGAGAGGACGACAGGCTGTCGCAGTCGGCCTACACCTTCTACCTGCGTCTAGCTGGCTTCGGCTGGCTCGTACAAGCCCGTGATGTCTGCGGACTCACTTGCATCTACAGGCAATCCACCGAGAACGCGATCACGAGGATTGTGCAATGCTCGGCCAAGCTGCCGGAATGCCCACTCGATCCAAACTACGTCCGAGCCACCGTCACTTCTGCTGTTTGGGAGCTCGAGCCTGTCAACGACGGCAAGGATGTCACAATCAGTTATTTCTTCAAGATCTCACTCAACGGCAGCATGGCCATCAGCCTGAGCAAGTATGTCGTGCGAGAGCAGATCACCAACATGGGCATGCTGCGCGACTTTGTCAGGGACAGTGAGTCGCTTGCCGATGCCTTTGTGCGCTGGACTGATCAGGGCTCCCAGACGGTTGGGCGCCCTACGTCGTCCTGCTCGGCGAGACGAACGGGCCACAATCACGATTCGGCTATCTCAGCTTCAGCATGACGAATCCACACCGAGAGCTCATCTTCTCCATCGATCGCACCGTGCCAGACGATGTCATTCCCGTCAGATACGACAAACGCATGTATCCGAACGGGGTCGAATGCCTCTTGAGCGGTACGGCAGCGGCACAAGCCAGCATAACAGACGATCGCGCCGGCAGCATTCACATCACCCTCTCGCACTCTGCCCGCAATCAGCAGCTCGAGGTCCTCGTACACGCCAAACCTCCGCCCACGCAATCTTCACTGCGTCATCTCCTTAATACCTGATCGCTGTCGCGCACTTCTGCGTCATCCAGCCGCCCATATGTTGTCTTGAGGTCGCTGTCTGTTGTTCTCTTATTGACACCCTCTATCGTGATCATAGACCGTCGTCGTCGTCGCGGGCCGCGTATTGCCGCCTGCCGCGTTGGCATTCGCGTCATCGTCGTTATCAAACTCGAGATTGACGCAACGCCGACGCAAGCTCCGAACCGGGTCCTCAGCGGTCCTCAGCCTTGCGGAGACTCCGGCACATCTCTCTTGCTGTCTGCAAAGCAGAACAGCAATACGTCCGAGCGCCGGCTGCGACAACACGGCAGCTTGCCTCGTAGAGCTGTCCCGCAGCGGAGACTGCTCCCAAGGCCGATAGTACCGACGTTCGGCCACAAGTGTGCGTACTAGCGTCAGACAGTGTCCAACATGTCCGGTAGAGAGCTAGATAGCTACGGCTTGTACAAATATACCCTCAAAGAGTCAGTCTTGCTATCGCGGTCTTAAGCTCTTTGGAGTGGGCTCACGCAAATTGATGGCAGCTATGGCGTCATGTTCACTGCAGGAGGTCCGCTGGACTATGCTGAGTATGAGAGGTAGCTGATGTGCGAACAGCGATATGTTGCACGGCTACGCACGGCGCCATGACGCCCATTGATGTCATCAAGAGTAAGCTCCGTCTCGGTGCTTTCAAAAGCTGAATTGATCTATGGATGTGCAGCGACGGTGCAAGTTAATCCCAAGTTCAAAGGAATGGGAATACTGTCCGGCGGACGAGCGCTCGTCTCTGCGTGCGTTTAGTCTGTAGCAGCGCAACGAGACATCATCTCATAGGCTCGTCCTTGCAGCGAGGGGCCGAGTGTCCTCATGACCGGCTTCGGTCCAACAGCCGCTGGCTACCTGCTCCAAGGCGGTGCCAAATTCGCAGGCTACGAGTCAGTTTGACGCTAGTTTGCCAGGGCGACATGCTGAATTCACGCGTCAGGTTCTGGAAGAAACAGCTGGTCACATACGCTGGTGGCTCAGAAGCAGCTATACCTCATCGGACGGCTATATACCTCGTCGGCGCATCTATTGCCGAGTTCTTTGCAGATATCCTGCTCACGCCTCTCGAGGCTGTTCGAATTCGTCTCGTCTCCGAGCGCGGCTACGCCTCAAGCTTGTGTGGGTCAGAGCTTACACTGATACTCACGGGTATGCTGACCGCATACGCAGCTACCGGGTTCGTGCGTATGGCGAAAGAAGGCGGCCTGAAGCAATTCTATGCTGGCTTCATTCCGATCCTGTGCAAGCAGATTCCCTACGCAGTTGGCCAGTTCACAGTCAACGAGTGGGCGCACGAGACTGTCTACAAAGCAATGTCGAAAGAGACACAGCAGAATCTATCGCCCGCTGCAAACGGCGTCATCACCCTTGGCTGCGGAATGACAGCTGTACGTGCGCGCGCTCGACGGTGATTTGAACATACTGATATTGTACACAGGGTGTGGCCGCAGCGGTGCTTTCCCATCCTGCAGACACGCTTCTCTCGCAGATCAACAAGGGCAAAGGTGGTTCGGGTAGCGCGACTTCACAGCTCATCTCGATGGCGAAAGAAGTCGGCTTCAGAGGTCTTTGGGCAGGTCTTGGACCGCGTACGGTGATGACCGTCGGTCTCGTATCGGGTACGTACGGTGTGATCGAGTCATCATCATGCTGATGCACTGGATAGGTCAATTTATTCTCTACAAGTATATCAAGGAAGCACTTCACGCTCCTCCTGGCGTCGAAATTCACAAAGGGGAATAGTCTCCACGCTGAGTACCACTAGAGCCACTGAATGTCATGTATTGTTACATCCTAAGGAAGGATATTCTTTGATCCACAGACGGCAGACTGGTTTTGTAGGAGCGTCAGTCAAGGCCGATAGATCTTGTTGGTTACGCACGCGCTGACAGAAGACCCGTCGGCCGACCGTTGTCATCAGCGGCAGCTTGCCTGCCTCGTCGGCAGTGACAAAGGAGTAAAGCCCTCTGGCAATGCACCAATGGCCGCGCCAAGCACACTTGGCCCACTCATCTGCCGGTCTGAGCTCACCTGCCGCGTCTGTGAGCTGAGATGCAGCAACTCGCATAACAGGAGTGGACACCATCGACCGCGTAAACGTGAAAGCCTCGGTGCGTCAGAGAGCCGTCTAAATGCCGGTCCTGAAGCAAGACGTCGCAGTTCTTCGGGTGACATTGTCCTCTGATGATCTCTGTCCGAGCTGGGACGATGATGGCTATGCACCCGTAGGCTAGTATAAAGCCCTTCATGATCCGAGACGTGGCAGAAGATCAGCGCGTTTGTTTTCAGGATGGATGGCGTCATCGATGCGCTCGTCACAATGGCAACAAGGCAATCCATGTACAGAGGGGTCTTTCGAGATCCAATGCATCGGAATCAGCTATTCAGATTGTTGGGTCGAGTCAAGGCTGTCCGCAGACATAGGTCTGTCCAGACAGCGCGTGGATTCAGCAGGCGTAACGACGAGAAGAGATCGCTGAGGCGTACGACGTAGCATCTGATTTTGTCTCCCGTCGTAGTGAGCACGGGCAATTTGCCAGCTACGTCGTAGGTGACGTAGTGAATCTCGCTCACGTTGAGATTGGCACAATAGTAGCTCATCCAGGAGCACTTTGCCCAGCCTTGGTCCAATAGCTTGAGTGAACCTGCATGGTCGACTTCAATCGACTTGCTTGGCAACAAGTGTGAGGCCAGACTCGCCTCCTTCGGGCTTGGCACGGATGCCGGCGTGCGTGTGCTCGCCGTTGTATGCGACCTGCATGAGAACATCGCAGACATCCTCTCCGCAGCCTCCAAAGATGTATTCCCCGCGGACGCATGTGAAGCTGATGGCCAACACCGCAAGGGCGAGCACGCGAAGGAAGGCAAACATGTCAACACGAACTAAGCTCTGGACGGTCGATAGAATGCTCTGAGCAGCTGAATCAAGGTTTGCTGAGATCTGACGGAAGGGGGCAGTTCGATGCAGTTGACGAGACGGGTCAGTCAGTCAGCCTTGGAAAGCGCCGTGTCGCGCAATTTTTATTTTCGCGACGAAGTCCTCCTCCATCGAAATTCCCAGCAGACAAGCAGCTCTGGCAGCTCGAGGAACGCTGTCAGTCCGTCGAACGATCAGTCGAAGCTTGCGTGGCTGTCTGCGCAGTATGTCGACCAGTCATGCCGAAGCGCTGTCGAGCAGCGACGCAGAACAGCTGCAGAGAGCCATCACCGAGCAGGGCAACCTCGTGCGCTCACTCAAGAGCGACAAGTCGACACCAAAGGCCGACATAGATGCAGGAGTAGAAGCCCTAAAGGCAATGAAGGCCAGACTGCAGTCGCTCACACCTGCGAGCACGAGCGCAAGCTCCAATCCTCAGACGTCAATCCTCGGTCAATCGACTGCTTCCAGTGTGGCACCCTCGGGCAGCAACCTACGCAAGACGAACAACGCCAAGAAGGGAGCCTACACGCTCAAGGTGCCCAAAGGCACAAAGGATCACAGTCCTTCGGAGATGCTCCTGCGCAAGCATATCTTTGCAACCATCACCCGCCAATTTGAGCTTCACGGCGCCGTCACGATTGACACGCCTGTCTTTGAGCTCAAAGAGATCCTTGCTGGCAAATACGGCGAGGACAGCAAGCTGATCTATGATCTCCAAGATCAAGGCGGTGAACTCTGCAGCTTGCGATATGATCTCACTGTTCGTCGCGTGTCGTCGATCTTGTCCGTCGACTGAGAGAACTCTGCAGGTGCCCTTTGCCCGCTTCCTGGCCATGAACGGTCAGACCTACCAGAACATCAAGCGCTACCATATCGCAAAGGTCTACAGACGCGACAACCCAGCCATGAGCAAAGGCCGCATGCGCGAATTCTACCAATGCGTACGTTGCAGATCCTATGATCCGAACGAGACTGACAACGATGATCAGGATCTTGATATAGCCGGAAGCTACGACCCCATGGTACCTGATGCAGAAGTACTCAAGATTGTTTGCGACGTACTCAACGCCCTTCAAGTGGGCGACTTTACCGTCAAGGCGAGTCTGCACTCTGCTCTTCATACACCTCGCTGACCTTTGATGACAGATCAATCATCGCAAGATTCTAGATGGTATCTTTGCCGTCTGCGGCGTGCCCACCGACAAGACCAGAGCAATATCGAGCTCGGTCGACAAGCTCGATAAGACGCCTTGGGCAGAAGTGCGCGAAGAGATGACGGGCGAGAAAGGTCTCGATCCAGCTGTAGCCGACCGTATCGGCGAATATGTCAAGCTCAAAGGTCCGCCGGTCTCTCAGCGTCCGTACAGACAGGTATTGATAATAGCGCGCAGGCGGCCGAGAATTGCTCGATCAGCTCAACGGTGACGCAAAACTAACAGGCAACAAGACCGCGAGTGAAGGCCTGGTAGACATGGCATTACTTTTCAACTACCTCTCTATCTTTGGCGTGCTCGACAAGGTCAGCCCGTCACCGTCACTCTCGCTGCTGGGACGTTCTCATATTCGAGCAGATGTCATTCGATCTGAGCTTGGCTAGAGGACTCGACTACTACACAGGCATCATCTACGAGGCCATCGTCGAAGGTTCAGCACCTCCTGGACTCAAAGAAGGCAAGACATCAGCAAAGAAACCCACCGATGCAGACGGCGAGATGGACGAGACACAAGTTGGCGTAGGCTCCATCGCGGGCGGTGGACGCTACGACAACCTTGTGGGCATGTTCTCCGGCTCAGACGGCAAGAAGGGCCTGCAAATACCCTGTGTGGGTGTCAGTATCGGCGTCGAACGTGTCTTCTCGATACTACAACAGAAAGCGAAGGATCAAGTCAACCCGAGAGGCAAGGATGTCGATGTCTTTGTCATGTCAGTCGGCGACGGTCTGCTCGAGGAGCGTATGGCTATATGTTCTGAGCTCTGGCAGGCCGGCCTACGCGTGAGTGACTCTCGAGAGCTGGATTGCTGTGGCTGATACTGCCGCAGGCGGAATTCACGTACAAGCGCAAGCCAAAGATGCCCGCACAGTTCGAAGCCATCGATCGCGATCAGATACCGATTGCAGTCATTGTGGGCGTGGACGAGCTCAGAGAGGGCAAGGTGCGCATCAAGGAACAAGTCGGCAAGGAGGAAAATTCGAGCAGCAAGGGCGAGCCAGTCTCGCGAACGGACATGGTCAGCTTCATCAAGGAAGCGCTAGCCAGACGGCAAAGATAATGCATTATACTCTGCCATGGATGTCAGCTTATCCTCGTACTGCGGAGCGGCGTCGGCGAGCCCACCTTAGACTTTGCACCGTCTTCATCTCAGCAGGCGAGAGCTTCCAGCCGCTGCTCTCGCGCAGGTCGTCAGCATCGTCCGCCTACTTGATTATCAGCGCAGCTCAGCAGGAGATGGGACCGACAAACAGATTCCAAGCAAAGCAGAGTCGCAATCTGCTGCATGCGAGCAAAGCTGTCGCGAAGTGCACCGGTCCCTAGCGGTGTCTGACTCGACAGAAAGCTGATTATCGACCGCAAGTCAGCATCGAAGCGTAGTGCTCCGAGCTGCAGACAATCAGTGCGGTGACCTCGAGCAGGATGATAGCTTACTTCGGTGAAGCGCGAATTGCGAACGAGGCCTTCCCATGAGCGCCCGAGGACATTCACGGCCATGGAGAACAGCGTCAAGTAATTGTTCTCCGTCAGATACTCCTGTGAGCGTCGCGTCAGTCGTGAGCAGTCAGCACTGGAGCCAAGTTGACCTTGTAGAGTGCGGTCAGGTCCGTCCAATGCCGTATGAAACGCTTCCTGACGAGATCTTGCGTTTCCGCTTCGCCGTAGGAATCTTCATCGAGTTGGTAGCTCATGTCCTTGAGGCAATCGACAATCATCGGTCTCAACCGCGGTCGTACGAGACTGCCAAAGAGTGATTCCAGGCCAGACTGACATTTCGCATGCCAATCAGGCAGAGATTGCCAAACAGGGAGGTCTTTGCGCACCTTTGCAGTCGCTCTGAACCGTTCGTCTGTGCTCTTGATGGAAAGCAGTGCATCGGATGCTTGCTCAAATTCCGAGACGACGAAAAATGACTGTTGCAGACTCTCTGGTCCTTGTCTCTCTAGCATCTCATCGATGATTCGACCAAGATACTCGCCGGCTTGATCTAAGTCATTCAGGTATACCTGCGAGACAGCATCAGCGAGGATACCATCATGAATATGCGCAGGCATACGATCGCTTGTATCTGTGCGTCGCGCTCGCGCTTGTCGCGCTCTTCGTCGCGCGGCCGATATCCTGTGCTGTACGGCGGCACAAGCGAGAGCTGATTCTCTGTCCGCCGAGCGAGTATCTCGGCAAAGTCATTATCCAAGATATTGCGCATGCTCTTCGCTATTGCAGCAAGAGCTGTAGCAGACCCCATCGAGAGTGCTCTGCCGATGACTTTCTTGAGGATATAGAACGTATCATCGAGCGAGGAGGACAAGACCGGCTGACTGCCCAAGTCTGCTTCGTCTAGAGTGTGCGCTTTCTCGACGCTTGTGCGGAAGTACCAGGTCTCGAAAGGTACATAGACCTGACCGAGATGTAATGAGAGCTGTTCGTTGAAGGCGGACTTCTCGATGAGGTCAATTAGCGCGTCGGTAGAGACGGTGAACGCGAGAGATTCTAGAAGTGTGTCCGATTGCCTCACGCTGTCCTCGTCCTGCAGAACCGTCAGATGCGATGCGCTCGCCCAGCATTGCGTACCATCGGTATCTTTGAATGAACTAAGCGAGAGTAGATAAACTTGCGGTAGAGCTGCCATCGATTACTGATCTGGGCAACTTCGCTCAGCAAAGCATCGATAGTCCGCGGATCTAGGCTGTCGTCGTCCTGTGCAGACTGCGAGGCCGTCAGAGCAGGCGAGTTTGTCATTTGGCGAAAGGGCGCTGTGTTGAATGGCGCATTGAACCCTGTCTTGCGCGGCACGATTGCCGGCTGAGAGAGTGCCTGCAGCTGCTGAAAGCGATATGCTCTTGATTCCGATAGCTGTACATCGCAAGTCAGTGCATAGTTCAACCTGTGTTTCGAAGGAAGCTGGCTGCGAACGCACCTTCTTGCTGATGGCGCGCTCCTCGTGCCATCGCTCCAGCACGGACAGAGCTTGCAAGTCGCATTCGGTCTGAAGTCGAGCGACGACATCGATCATCTTGCCATCACCATAGTACTTCTCTACCACGGGCTGGTGCTGAGAGACGATGAGGGCGATTTGCTCAAACAGTGGCGTGAGTATTTGCGAAAAGTACAGCAGAGAATTGGCTGCAAGTCTCGTGAGCCTTGCTGCTTGGGGATTACCGAAAGAGAAGCCTACCCTTTTGCGTGAGTGCTGCTTTGGAGCGACCGTGGACGATGGAGCAGATGAACTTGGAGTACGCGTCCAGGCCCTCTTTCTCTGCTCTGATGACAGGGAAGAGCTTGAAGTATCTGCAGCAATGCTGAGCGGGATACACGCGTGTCGTCGTGCATGGTGACTGACCTGGAGGTGTTGGCTTCGTCACGCTCCTGACAAGCTGCTTCGAATTCCTTGAGAAAGGTCTCGAGGAGGGACTGTCGATAATCTGATAGTGCTTGTGACGGCGGCATGGGCAAGTCGGCCGTGGGCTAGGCTCTCATCAGCTGTATAGATGCGCAATCGTCACAGGCATACGACGGAGGACTCTGCAAAGGCAGAAGTGGTGATCGCAGGATCGACTTGCATGGCTCTCTGGAGGTGTCGCGTTGCTGTCTCCCAGTCGAGCCGGCCAATCGATACTGAGATGGACAGAATAGCCGTCTTGAGCTCCTGGACGGATTGCACCATCTCGATACTCTCTCTGAGCCGTGACTGTCCGGGTCAAACACGCTCAGCAGCAGCAGCCTGAGCTGCACATCCTCGTCAACGGACCTGCACGAGATCTAGCGTTCTGACTTTGCCGCTTATGCGCTCAGCTACGGCTGCCGTGCCTTCGACAGAGCGTGCGAGCTCCAGGCCAGCCATCTCGAGGCCCTGAACATCCGGCACGAGCTGCTCGAGCTGTACGAGGACATTGTCGAGCAGCGGTGACGACAGATGAGCTGATAGCGATTCGTCGAGCGATGCTTCGAGCGTTTCCGTGCGCTCCAAGTCGGCTAGTATGTCCTCCAGGGAGTCTAAGTCCTCCAGGGGCGGCAGGGCGTCCATGGCATGTGAAAAGTGTCGCTGGCCAAGCCGCCAAACGAGATCAATCGGCGCGTCGCGGTCACGCTGGTGCACTCACGGGATGGTCAGGTCGACTGCAATCTACAGGCAAGCAGAGATACATTGGTCATTGCAATGGACATAGTCACAAGGCGCTCCTTCTCGAGCTCATGCGCCAGGAAGGGCAGGCACATGCTGAGCAATGGGGACCGTCTGGGTCACGTTGAAGTGCATGTACTTGAAGCTGATCTCTGCGCTCGACGGAGCACCGGCGGGGACCCATTCTTCGACGTCGTAGCCGCTCGAGTCATCGCCATAGGGCGAACCGGTCTCGTCGTGCATCAAGATCCAAATCATCTGTCGGATCCACCCCGAATCAGCATTGACGAGCACACGCTGACTTTCTGATGTCTGCTGACCTTGTATCCTGATCCCATGACTGTACAATCGCGACAAGCGTCAGCACAAGTCAGATGCTTAGGCCAATTCTACATACTCGTGTATTGAGAGTAGTAGATATAGTCAAACTGTGGCAACGCGATCATCAGCTGACACTGCAGCTGCTGCCAACGAGCGAGCCACCCACCTGACCCCACTTGGGCACGACACTGTCGACAGTCTTGCCATCGATCTGCGTAGCTGCCTGGTTGAGATGGTAGCCCTACGATCCGCCTTTGTTGAGATTGCCAAAGCGAGCTGACACCTTGCTAAGACGTACCAGCAACTGGTCATCCCAGTAGAGCGTGCCAACAATCTCGTGCTTGTTGTTCGTAGCTTCATCCGTGTTGATGTTGATCAGGATTGGCAGCGAGATCTGGGGTGGGTAAGGATCAGGGTAAGGCGGCTTATCCGTGCTGGCTCTCTTGGCGTTGGCGTTAGCTACTGCAGCTGCTGCCAGGGCGCGCTTGTCCATGGCGGCCATAGAATCCATGCCTGCCGACTTCGTTGCTGAGGTCTGACATGCCAACAGCACGCTGTACGTAGCGACCGCGAGACCAAAAAGCTTGAACGTCATCCTCGCTGCATGCACAACGTGTGGTTCAGTCCTGCAAAGGGCCCGCAAACTGCAATGACGCACCGTCGAGCTGTCTGACTGCTGCAAAGTTGACGAACGAGGTCCTGTTGAGAGGCGAGAAAGCAAAGGAGAGTAAGGAGAGGAGAGCGAGTGGGCTCCTTGCAACAGAATGTGCTTCATTCGAGCACTCGGCAACGAAGCATCCTGTCCCACTTGTAGAGCGCGCGACCGAGCGAACACGTCATTCATTGGGGTTTCTCTCGAACAGCATTCGCACAGTCTAGTTGTTGTCGCGCATCGCATCGCAAGTTGCACTCTGCTTCGTCATTCGGATTACTTCTTGAGCAGCGCTGGCGCCGTCTTGCCCGCGGAGAGACCTTTGCTGCCTGCGTAGCTTGCCGGTGTGCCTGCTTGCGCTAGTTCGTCGCTGATGCGGAGCAAGGCATTGTACTACCCAGACGGCTGAGCGGCGATCCCTTAAAATGTGGGGGACTTACCTTTGCGACACGTTCGGAACGGCAGGGCGCGCCCGTCTTGATCTGTCCAACGCCAAGTGCGACTGCAATGTCTGCAATCGTAGTGTCTTCCGTCTCGCTGCGTCGCTTATGTCAGCAGTGTCAACGGCGCTGAAGTAAGCCAGAGACTGACCCCGAACGATGCGAAACCATGACGCCCCATCCATCAGATTGCGCAAGACGAGACCTGCTCAGAGTATAAGTGGTACCGAAACGAACAGCACAGATGAACATACGCTTCGATAGACTCGGTGATCGTTCCAATCTGGTTGACCTTGAGCAAGAGGCCGTTGCAGGCCTTCTTCTCAATCGCAGATCTGTATATATCATCAGCAACATTTCGATGAAAGAGGTAAGGGGTACGGACTTGATGCGGACTGGATTAGTGACGGTGAGATCGTCGCCGACAATCTGGATGCCAGAGTTGGCGGTAAAGTGAGACCAGGCTTCCCAGTCGTCTTGGTCGAAAGGATCCTCGATGGACACGATGGGGTACTTGTTCACCATCTCCAGGTAGACGTCAGCAAGCTCTTTGCCGGTCAGCCACTGCTTCGCGTCAGCCCGTTGCTAATCACGTGTGGAGCTAATGAAAGCGCACTTTGCTAGAATCCGAGTTGGGGTTTTTGAAGTCAAGATCGTACTTGCCATCCTTGTAGAACTCCGAGGAGGCAACATCCCTGCAAGAGATCGTGATCAGTAGATGTTGCCAGCTGACGACAGGACGACTTGCAGTGCGATTTTGATCTTGCCGGTGTAGCCCGCCTTTTCAATTGCTTCCGTGAGAATTTCTTCAGAAGCACGCGTTAACGAAGCGCTCCTCCTCGACGGTGGAAACCCTACCGAGAGCCTCTTCTGCGCCCTTGACATTGGGAGCAAAGCCACCCTCATCGCCGACATTGGTGGCGTCAATGCCATATTTTGTCTGGATGACTTTCTTGAGGTGGTGGTAAGTCTCCGAGCCGGCCTTCATGGCTTCCTCGAACGAGGCAGCTTCGGTGGGCAAGATCATGAACTCTTGGAAAGCGAGGGCGTTGCCCGCATGGGAGCCACCGTTGATGACGTTCATGCAGGGAAGAGGCAAGACATATTTGTCGCCTGAGCCGCAGACTTGTGCAAGATGGACGTAGAGAGGGACCTTCTTGGCTGCCGCGCCTGCCTTTGCGACGGCCATCGAGACACCGAGGATGGCATTGGCGCCCAATTTGCCCTTGTTGTCGCTGCCGTCGGTGTCAATGAGGAGCTTGTCAATCTCTGCCTGGGCGGTCACGTCGAGGCCCGACTTGATGAGCGCAGGTCCGAGGGTGTCGTTGACATTGGCGACGGCCTTGAGGACGCCTGGCAGGAGGAGTTGTTCGACTTGAGCGAGGAGGTAGCGCAATGCTCGCGGCCTGACTCACCCTTGCCCATGTAGTCTGCCTTCTTGCCATCTCTGAGCTCGACAGCTTCGTGTACGCCGGTGGAAGCTCCGGAAGGGACGCCGGCACGGAAGAGACCTGTTCGAGCACCTTGCGAGCTCGAGATAGACCTTTGAGCAGGGAAAGAGCAGGCACGGACCGAGGTCAGTGGTCAAGTCAACTTCGACAGTTCTGTGAAGCGCCCGACAGCTCAGCTGGTGCTACAGATAGCTGATCAGCTGAGCAAAGGCAGCGTACGGGTTGCCTCCTGCATATCATCAAGCGACGTTCATCAGCTTTCGTTCGAGCTGGCCTGACGCCAACAAGCATGGGCACTGACGAGAGTCATAGATCTGACGTGCGTGGACCTTCTTGATTGCCATCTTGCCTGTCGCTCGAGGTGCCTCGGTATCAGACGGAGCCTGCAAGGTGACCACTCTGCCAGTTCACCGAGCCCAACGCGAGCAGAATTCAAATAGTCGCGACATATCTGACAATCATCTGAGCTTGCACGCCCGAGCAGGAAGCCAGATTCTGTGGCCAATCAGGCAGGCCAAGCAGGCACTGAGACGCAAGGGTTGAGGCAGCAGAGCAAGCAGGCCAGTGATCTGCGAGGCTCGCCGCAACGGACGAGGGAGCAGGAGGGCAAGGGCGACAGGGAGAGGAAGTATTGCTCTGGCAAACCACTCGTGTCGTCTCCGCTCGACCACCACCTCCCTCCTCACGTGAGACCAACTCCAACGCGACAGCTCGTCGGCTTGAGACGCGTGGCAGTCAGCCAGGCACGTTTGCCGGTCCAGTCAGACAGTGACGTGCTTACTGGCAAGCTTGATCCAAGACAGTCATCGAGCAGACTCGGATCCCTTTGCACCATCTCCTCTCTCCTCGCGAGAGAGCATACTACGCCCGTCCGCCGAACCCGATTCGCTCATTCCCGGACGACACTGCACATACTCGAGGTGAACAATTTTCTACAAGCATACGCTGGCCAGAGCAAGCCTTGCGAGCCCATACACTTTCGACTTCGATAACCCATTCGCCTCCTCCTGTCACCACCTCACATCACCCCGCCGCCGTTGAGGCCGATACAGTTCATCCAACTCGCCGCTTCGTCCATTTCGAGGCAGAAGACCAACTGGCAGACTCGCTTCACGCTGCTTCATCCAAACGGAAAGCCCACTCGGATCTCGAGCCAGCTGCAGACAGGCAAGAACGAGCCCTTCTGTCTCACGGCAATCTACACCCGGCAGTCGAGTTTGGCCAGGCAAGAGAACGCATCATCATTGGCAAACCGCCATCGCTACCCTCGCCACCTCGTCTTCAGCAACATAGTCCCGGTCGAGTCAGACCGCCAAGACGGACGAGTACGTCTGCCGATGTCAGTGCACTGCTAGCCTCTGCTGAGCCACAGTGCAGAGATGGACGACATATCTACCGGCTCAGAGTCCGACTATGCCAATAGTGAGTCTTGTCTATCACTGCTTCTGCCTCGCTCACGGTCTTTCCAGCCTGGACATCCTGGTTTCTCGCCACAAAAGGCAACGAATACTTTTGTGAAGTCGACGACGACTATATTCTCGATCGGTTCAATCTGACCGGTCTCAACGCCGAAGTCCATCACTACGCTCAAGCACTCGATCTCATCACAGACGCTGCAGGTCAGTCGCACGCTCGTCCTGCGAGGTTTGCTGGTCTGAGACTGATTGACTAGACGAGACAGAGATTGAAGAACAGAATGATGAGATGCGAGAAGCGATAGAGACTTCTGCGAGACATCTCTACGGTCTAATCCATGCCCGCTTCATCATCACCAGCAGAGGTCTCAACAAGATGGTCAGCCTGATCACTTTCCCCACGTCTGTGTGCTGAGGCGAAGGACCTCGGCAGGTCGACAAGTACAAGAAAGCGGATTTTGGTCGATGTCCCCGTGTGCTGTGCTACGCACAGGCACTCCTGCCTGTCGGGTTGTCAGACGTGCCCTATCAGAAAGCAGTCAAGCTCTACTGTCCTCGATGTGAAGACATCTACTCGCCCAAGTCCTCTCGACATGGTGCCATAGACGGAGCCTACTTCGGCTCGACCTTTCCCCACATGCTCTTCATGGTCCTGCCGCACCTCGTACCTAGCAAGACTGTCTCGCCCGGCATGACGCCAGGGCAAGGTCCAGCGATCCAGCAGACTGCGGGACAGACTGGAGGTGCAAACGCTTCCCTCAAAGCCGAACGGTACAAACCTCGTGTGTTCGGCTTCAGGGTCTACGAGATTGCGCGGCTGCACAGATGGCAGCAGGCAATAAGAGACAAGCAGATAGACCGTCTAGAGATGATCGAGAACGATGGCGGTCTGCATGCGTGACGATATCCAGGCAGAGGACGATCAAAATCGAAGCATAGCGCAAAATGTGCAACCTGTATGTGTGTAGATCTACCTCTGCAATGCAATACTATAGCGACAAGCATGTCTACTTCTACAATTCTTCTGATTCAGTCTGACAAGCTGCGTACACGCCAAAAGCGCCTGTGCCAGTGTGAGGTGTCTGCCCCAATACGATGCTCGCAGAGGGATTGTTCATATCGTCAAAGTCACCGTACAGCGCAGCGTCGGCAACAAACTTGGCGGTCGTCTCGAATGATGCCTTGAGGAAGGGCGAAGGCGAATTGGACAATCCCGTACGATTGAAGGGCTTGTAGCCGCCCTCGGTAGTCATGTAGTCCGCTATCAGCGTCAGATGGCGGTAGTCGACACCGATCCCATAGACGCCGAAGACGCCAGAGACCTCTTTGATGATGGCCGTACGAGCGGCCTCAACGCCGTATGTGAGCAAGATTGCGCCGATATCATTTGAATATAGCTCGTTCAGATTGCAGACGCCGTAGGCAAAGTCCCAAGTCGCGGGCAGGTTCGCGCCATCCGTATTGCAAGCGAGCTACTCTCTCACATCAGTAGGGATCATTCAAGTGAACGAATGACTGACGCCTGGCTTCGCTTTGTCTTCTGGAGCAACCATGCAGCGAGAGATACCCGCAATCTGGCGAACGACAGTCTTGACGCAGCATCGCTCCAAAATGTCGGCCAGCAAGAGCTTGGGCGCTCCGATGTACAGCTATGTTCCGGTCAGCAGAAGCGACACAGCAGCCCAAAGGACTTACTGGCACAGTAATTGTGCAATACTCTCCATTTGCTTTATCGAAGCTGGTGTCAGAGATATGCTGGCTGCCGACAATGAGCTCTTCGTATTCGGCATACACGTCGCGCTGATGTGCTGCATTACGAGACACACTGCTCGCATCATCAGGTCGGAACGCATCTTCGAACGCATCTTCATCGAAGTCATCGCCAATCGCGTCGCCATCCCCTTCGTCAGACGCGACATCGTCGTCACCGTACATGACGTCTTGATTGCCTTGCCTGCGGAGCTTCTCCTCGTCCTTGTTACCATCTTGCTCATCCTCATTCCCGCCAGCTCGCACTGGCTCACGCTCATCGTCGAGCTCGCCGTCGTCAACGGCGTCTGCCACGCGAGACGAGTTCGACGCCTTTCCCAATGTGCCAACGTCCACTACCGCTGCTGCCTGGTACAGCTTGAGCTCAGCGCTCAGGGCCTTGTCGAAAATAGGTATGAATCGCTTAGCAATCGCCTCTAGGATCTCGGTCGGCTTTGTCTGATACTCGGCAGAGTACTCGCTGGCCGGATAGAACTGCATACGGACTTCGTAGATCCTCTGCAGAGCGCCCGCTTCTGATTCGAGCTTCTCGACGACTGTGATTTTGTCGATTACTTGCGACAGCATGAGCTTGGTAGCACCTTTGCAGAAGCGCGCTGCCGTCTCTTCGCTGACATGGTCAAGGAAAGGCATGTGCATCGACGGCGTCTTTGGTTTGAACGAGGCGGTCATTACAATCTCGCGCAAACGTGGTATGCCGAGTGTCACGTTGGCCGCGCCGTGTCCGGCGAAGTGGAATGTATTCAGCGTCATCTGGGTTGACGGCTCGCCTACACCTTGAGCAGCGATGACGCCAACTGCCTCTCCTGCATCGACAAGACTTCGCAAGTACCGGATTTGCATGAGCGCACGGAAAGCATGCTTATCGATGAGGCCGCCTTTAACGTTGCGAGCATATGCTGGCCATGCTGCTCGAGTGGACGAACTTGACTTGATGATGCGTTGAGGATTCGCCTTGACGTAAGCCTGCAACGTCTTGTGAAAGCTTTCTGACATGCTGCCAATGTTCGATCCCGGAAAGTACTTTGACATAACAGGCGGATGCGCATCAGGGTCCGAGATAGCTTCGCGCATGTGCTTGCCCGCCGCATCATCCGAGCTACGCAGCGCGTTGATCAAGCCGGCCGTATCCCAGCTTTCTTGCAGGGTTGCAAAGTTGCGGGCAGAGAAGTCCAATCTAGAGCGGGAGAGTCAGCTAAATAAGGACATGAGACAGAGGCGTACTCATTGAGATGACGTTGCTTTGTCACATCGAGACCATCTTCGCCGTACGCAAACTGCAGCACCGAGCCGTCACTGTTGCGCACAGTGTGATCGTAGTGCGCTCGTATCCCTTCAAGATGCTTGACAAGACAACGCTGTAAGTACCCGGATCTCGACGTCTTGACAGCAGTATCAATCAGACCCTCGCGTCCGGCCATGCAGTGGAAGTAGAATTCCTGCGGTCGTACGCCAGTCAAGAAGCGGCCTGCGACATAGCCTCCAGCTTTGGGAGCAGTGTCGAAGGCCTTGAAAGAAGGCAGCGTCTTGCCCGAGACCATGACGGGCACTCTTCGACCCTCGAGCTCTTGCTGTCCAAGAAGACAGGAGATCTGAGAAACGTTGACATTGCTACCCTTGGCGCCAGATACCGTCATTGTCTGCATATTATTCTCGGGGAAAAATTTGACTAGACCATCTGGAAGACAGGCACTGATGACTTCCGATGTTAGTCCGCCAGTCGCACCCTTCATCGCTGCATCTAATCCTGCCAATTTGTTGTCATCGCGTAGGACTTCTTCGTAGCGCATCTTCAGGTTGCGCAATGTCTCTGGCTTGCTCAGATCGGCGTCTTCAAGCTTGACATACTCGAGCGTTGCCTTCGAGCCACGGTCATTGGCAGTCGCCAGTAGAGTTGAACGTGCCTTGTCGCCCCGCTTTGACAGGATGAGATCGTCCATCCGACATGTGAACGCTCGATGCTGCAGGAACTTTGTGAAAAGACGGCTGAGAATGCCCAATAGCTTGTTCGCCGTCAGGCTCCCGTAGAGCTCGTGTACCGAATGGACCATGCCGAAGGATGTCGCGCCAAACTGAGATTTGTCGAGGATGCCAACGAGCAGATCGCCATTGACAAAGATGACATCGCCCTCTTCGTTATGTGCGCCCCAATATCGTCCGGGTACTTTCGACTTGCTGCGAAGATTGAGACCCTGCAAATGCTCCGGCGTGATGTTGAGCAAGACAGTAGAGATCTGACATAGCGATCAGCGTGATGTCTTGCCAAGAAAACAGGGAAACTCACAATCTGCTTGCCTGACCAGAGCCTCTGCGGTCGCAAGATAGCAGGACTGACGAGCTTAATCGTGCCACCACCGGTGTAGTCATCTTCCGTACGCAGAGCACCATAGATGATCTGATGGTACTGCTCTCGAGTAAACCAGGTATCCTTGCTCGTCATGTGGACACCAGCAACAACGTGATCCTGAATTAATCCTCGCAGCGGATTGCCAGATGTTGGCACAAGGTACTGATTGTCGGTGTTCGCGATGAAGCGCGCTTCCGCCTGAGCAATGTGTGTTTGAGGGAAATGCATGTTCATTTCATCGCCGTCAAAATCGGCATTGTACGAGTTACAATTAGCATAGTGCATGCGTAACGTTCGCTCGCCGGTAAGTACTTTTGCACGATGACACATCATACTGGGCTTGTGCAGCGTCGGCTGCCGGTTCATGATGAGGATGTCGCCATCGACAAGATGTCGATGTACTTTGTAGTTGAGCTGAGGAGTGGCTGTGTGCGCAAGACCAGAAGTGACGCTAAGGCCACGTTTGTTGAGTATTGTAGGCGCCATGATCTGCTGAGCCTGCGCAAGACGATCATCTGCAGACATCCGGTCGAGCATGATGACAGTCTTATCATCTCGTTCGATAGCATGCGCCCCCGGCCACTCATGAGGACCGCGAATAATCATTTGCTGAAGCTGATGAAGATTGTGTTTGGTGACCGGTTCCGGAAACGTCAAGCCACGAGCAAAGTGAGGAGGAACGCCGATTTCATTTGGCTCGATGTTGACATCGGGTGAAATGACAGAACGAGCTGCAAAGTTGACTCGCTTGCCCATCATGTTCATTCTGAACAGACCGTCTTTCTTCTCGAGGATCTGCTTGACACCTGTAGGTGGCTCCATGCCACGCTTCATGATCGTAGGATTCTTTGTGCTATCGACGAGCGAATTGACAGCGACCTGAATCTTGATGATCTCTGCAATGACTTGCTCGTAGACAGCAGCAGGGTTGAGCGGCTTTGATTCGCCACTGATGATTGTACCTCGACGTGCAGCACGCAAACGCTGAGCTTGTCTGGCAAAAGACTCTTTGGCTTTGATGATCTGACTGAGCAGAGTCGTCTGGGGATGATCGAGCACGCTCTCGCCCATCTGCGCCATCGGTCTGAAGCGGGAGGGCGGTACAGCCACGACGTCCATGAAGAAGATGTCGGGACTTGCACCCGTGTCGGCGGAAGTGGAAGGTATCATGCCGATCGATTGAAACAGCGAACGGAGTGGCTTGGTGCGATTGCGCGAAGCTGACCCGTGAGGAGCGAAGATGAGATCCAGTATGGCGCGCTCGTTCTGGAAAAGTCGCCTGAGTTGCCCGCGCGCTTCGGCAGGCAGAATGATTCGCTCAGTCTGGCGCTGGCGCTTGCTCGCATTGTCCTTTGCAGCACCGAGACCAATGTCCTGCGCAATTTGACCATCCCCGCCGGCAACCTCGAGCATGGCTTGATCTTGCTCAGCAGAAGCAGACTTGCGGCTGGCGTGACCATTGGCCATGCGAGGAGCATCGACGGGATCTGGCAGATCATCATCGTCGTCCGAGGATTGTCCATGATCGAGCGGTGGTGTTGTAATGCGACCACGAGGAGGCTCTGCTGCATCTTCATCATCTTGGTCGCTATCCATCGAACGCGTATCGTAGCCATTGGTATCGTGCTGACCGCCTCGCAGGCCGTTGGCGCCATGAACGCCATTGGGCAGTCGACCGTGAGCAGCAAGCTCATTCTCTTTCTTTGCGAGCGCAGACGTGAATCCTTCGAGATCTGGTTTGGAAAGACCAGCAGCAGCGTTCATGCCGGCATACTTGGGCTTGAGGGAGTACTCGAGGACTTTTGAGCTCGCTTCGGCTTTCAGTCGATGCGGAAAGGCAGAGCAACGTTCGCACTTGTTCTTCTTGAGCGTCTTGAGGAACTCATTGACGACTTGCTTGCGACGGTCATACGCCATGGCCACTTTATGGCTATCGAGGCTATAGTCTGAGCCGTTGGCCTGCTGGGCTTTGCGTATTGCGTCCTGAACGTATGCAGCGAGTGCGTTGAGATACGCCTGGCCACTGTCGACAATAGCATCGTCCTCCGCATCATCTTGTACGAGCGCAGCTTCATCTTGCATGCCATCGATGAGATCTCGCATGTCAGTCGTCTCATCTGCTTCGTCCCCTTCAATCATAGTCTCGTCCTCTGGCTTGATGTCTTCTCTCTTCGCCTGCTTGCCTCTCTTCTGAGTCTGTTTGGAGCTGTACTGAGCGATCAGATCGTCTAGCCCGTCGGCTTCTGTGACAAGACCCCGTGAGAGCAGCTCGAGTTTGCCAGTATAACTCGCGACCTGTAGCCTCCCTATGAGCGCAATCAGCGAGACCTACAGGAGGACGTACGACAGCAGCTGGCATAAGGAAATGTCCACAAAAGTGGCACATTCCCCTCAGGAGTTGTACCGCATTGGAGATGAAGAGCGGATTGAAGACCGTCGCAGGCAGCTCGATGTGTCCAAAGTGACCGGGACAGGCCATCTCGCCCAGCTGACACGAGGCGCAGAGCGTACTCGACCTTGACGATCTTGCGCCCGGTCTCTGCCTTGCAGAACCATCGGATGGGCCCAGCAGAGGATCATAGAGCCCTCCTGCAATAGGCTCGTCTGTTGCGCCAAATGTAGCCGCAGAGCTGACTTCGAGCACCGAAATCTGCCTGACGTCGGCAGAAGATAGGAAACCAAAGGAGATTGAGCCCGCTTGAGCTGACACTGGCTCAAAGGGTGTGAAAGTCGTCATCAGAGAGTCATCCGTTCGCTGGCTGCACGCTCAAAAATTTCAGACGCGAAGTCGAATTCGAATCTGTTTTGCAGGAACAGCCGGACCGACATTCCGATGTGATATTGAGCCATCCCTGTTCTCTAAGGCCTGCAGCTTGCGTCATGCATTCGACTATGTCTATAAAAATCTAAGCTGCCCCCTTTCCGCTCTCAGGCTTACCGTCTGCTGCGATGCTGCCTGCGCTGTGCCATGCTACCGACGCTGTGACTGTGTCATGCTAGCAACTCTGCGACAACTCGCGCCAATGCCGAGACTTGCTCTGTCTCGCAAGCATTGTGAGATCCTTCTTCACGTGCGGAATTCTGAAACGCGCGCCTGTTCGTTTGACCTTTCGACCATTGTCAGCTAAGTACAGCGGATCTTGAAGTAAAGACAGATAGATGATCACGACCAAAGACCTGTTCAAGTCTCTGTGCTGCCTCCTCGTAGGCTTCACCGCAGTTTGGGCGAGTGAAATCATCAGAGGCAGCTGCGATCGAAAGTCTTGCTCGGTCCTGCTCCAGAAATCCATTGAGGACGACAAGCTCACTACGACTCACAGCGCACACGTTGTGCAGCCCACTGTGGGTGATCTCGAGCTCAACGTGCCTTGGGCAAAATGTGCTTGGTGTAAGCAACTCCACCAAATATGTCGATATAGCGCCTGATGACTAGCTCAGTGGGCTACTGGTGTGGTCGAGGCTTCTACAATGAGCACATCGTCACCGCCGACGAGGCTGGCAATCAGCCCGTACTCGACAGTACTGGCAATTACATTCTTTGCAAGCCAGTGAGCGTTCGTCAAACCATCAGACCTACGTGACTCAATGTGTCACCAGAGCGGAGACTGCTGATACTTCGGAGCCGTCGCCCGGCTGATGTGTTCGTCACATGCATTGGTTGCGAGCTACACCCGTCTGCCTGTTGACGCGTCTCACGCTACAGCCCAAAGCGAATCCATTTGTCTCGAGCTACCGGTTGACAGCTGCTCGCATTGTTGCGATGACGACCGATGTTACCATCGTTGCGCGCTGTACTTACCGTCATTCGCGATCACGACGCTAAAGTCATACAGCAAAGATATGATGGCCATCCAATCTGTCAAGCTTTTGGTCTGCTCAGTCGTCTTCCTGTGTGGAGTGCGAGCCAGTGAGATTATCAACGGACATTGTGCGAATCAAGGTTGCGACGTGCTCCTCCAAGCGAAAGATCCAATTCACAAAGGCAGCACGACTCATACCGGCTATACTGTCTATACTCTGAACGGCAATATTATGGCTGACCGTGGATGGGCAGCATGTTCATGGAGTATGCGCCATCTAAGAATGTCTGTTGCTCAAATGACATGAGGTTCAGTGAGCTATTGGTGCGGTGCGAGTAACGATTTTGGCGACTACGTCACGTATGACGAGGACGGCGAACTGCCCGTATACGATGATGTCGGCAGCTACATATTTTGCTACAAAGTACGTGCGGGACACCGAAGCTCGAGATCTGCTGACGACGACCTCAGAGCGATGTCTGCTGAGATTCGATGCATATTTGACGCCGTCGCGTAGGAGACAATATTCAGTCAACCAGCATGACCCCTTGCTCATCGTTCGCGGGCGTAGCCTTATCTCCGAGCAAGATCTTGCAACCTGCGAAGACATCAAGCGCTGTCACGACGGGTGAGACGCTCTTTCTCTGCAAGGACGGTTTGTACAGCCGGCCGGGACAGTATCTTTGCATGCCACCTTGCGACGGACGGAAAGTCTTTCTCGAACCCCTTGAAGTCAGGTACTCGACTTGTCAATTTGATGCCGGTCTGGTTCCACGTCAGGAATGCCAGATCAGCCACGGAGTACTTGTCGCCTACGAGCCAATCGTGCTGGCTGAGGACACTCTCTAGCACGCCAAAGACGCGCAAGATCTCATTCTCGTAGCGCGTCCTCGCCACTTCGTTCTGGTCTTCGTCAAAGTAGTGAAAGTAGACCCCTTGTGCGAAGTAGCTGCCCTGCCCTGAAGCTTGAAAAGAAAGCCACTGGTCCTGCAGATAGATATCGTCACCGGTTGCTGAGATCTTGTGCTCGGGATCGTATCGATCGACGAGGTACTTGATGATGGCATTGCTTTCCCATACCACAAATTCGTCGTCGTACTACCGCTGCGTCATTTTCAAGTGCGGCGAGCATGCCATGCCGGCGATCAACGAGGGTAGGTACGCGAGCGTTCGGGTTGAGGGTAATGTAGGGCGGTCTTTTGTGCTCGCCAGACGAGAAATCGAGATAGATCGTTTCCACTCGCGAGCTCAAGCCAAGTTCTGAGAGTACCAAAGCCACTTTCCAGCCGTTTGGGCCACCTGACAGCCATGCTGAGCTGAGCGCTTGGTGCACGCCGCTTGGCATACCTTTGTGACTGTACAGCGTGAACTGCTTCCTAGCTTCGACCATCATGCACAACAGCGAAGATCGATAAGTGTTCGCAGAAGAGGAGGGTCTCGAGGCGCGCGCATGATGATGTGAGGCTGTGATGGTGCGAGCACGCGTGATGATGCAATCGACGCGATCGCGACATGTCGACAGAGGACGAGCGCAGAGATGGCCAAGAAGCGCAAGAGCACGGCAGCTGACCAGGCAGTAGCACCTGCAGTCAGAGATGGAGCCTCTCCGCCTATGCCTATTCTCGCACCGACGACAGAGACCGAAGACCGATACACCCGTCTCATCGTCGGCCAATCCGCTTTCCTCTTCTACACGGCCTTTCTGCTCCCAAGAAGCCGAGGAGCGGGGCTGCCAAGCTCGCTTGCCAACCTCATTGAACCCTATGTTGAGCCGAGTCGTACACTGGACAGCATGATTTGGTCCATTGCCGGCTGTGCCGTTGTTCAGTCTGCTTTCAGCTGGTTCGTAGCTCGCTGGCGGACTCAGGAGATACAAGCGCTAGAGGCAGCTCAAGCGGGAGCGCGCGCACCAGTCAAACCGTCGAGCGTACTTCAGAGGCTTGCTGTCAGTCTTTGCCCGTCATGCCTGAGACGCGCTAAAGACAGCATGCAGAGGATTATCGAATCAGCAGCAACAATAATTGTCGCCTCTCTGGTCATTCACGTCATCATCTTCCTACTCGGCGCGCCTTTGCTTCGGTAAGCATGCAAAGCAGTGCTCCCGGCTTTCTCCTGACATACACGTTCAGGAAACTACAATATACATATTTGCTTTCGTTGCAGATCAGCGTACTTGCTGTCTCGCCCCTGGCGGCCGCGGTGTCGCTGCGTACGACCGCAGGACGATGGACATGGATCAGACTGATCTCGCTCTTCGAGTCAGTTTGTGCATCATGCGCATACGACCGAGCTGACGCTGCCGCGAAGTCCTCGAACAGAGACGGACATTGCTATTCTCGCGCCCATGACGGGCACCGTCGTCGGTGCTTGGCTCGGAGCAATTCCCATACCACTCGACTGGGATCGACCATGGCAGGTCAGTCACACGTAACTCCGCTCGGTCATTACGAACTGATATTTTGCAGTCATGGCCCATCACGCCTTTGCTGGGCTGTTTCGTCGGACACTTTGTAGGATCATTCGTCGGTCTTGCGATATGTCTCGTCAGGAGAGCCGTCATCGACGAAGCTAGAGAACTGCAGGCGCAGCGAGCGAAAGCGCAATGACACTCGGCCCGCGCGAAAAGCGATCTAAACCAGATCATGTGAGCCAATCGGGGTCACAGCTTTCTGACAGTCAGCGGCATGACGGCTGCGTGCAAAGTATAAGACGACTTTTCGTCGTGTGTAAGTGCGGAACTGTCAAGTAGCTAAACACCACACGCGATGCTTTCAAGACGAGTGCATTAAGCTGCGTATACCGAACGAGCAAGACTTTCATCGTTGTGTATGCCGCGGATCGGTCACCAGCCATTGCAACGTGCCTGTCGTCTCGCAAGCTTGCCATTGAGGGTCGCTCGGTGGAATGTAATCTGGCGGACACTTTCTGTACCCATCATCGGGGCGCCACGCAGCCCGGCATTGTCTGCGTGCATGTCTTTTAGCTCATACTGCACTGTTACTGGATAAAGATGACGTGCCTACCGCCAACTTGCGAATGTCGAATCAGATCTCCCGTCGTGACATCAATTGAGATGCTCCAGTAGATGCCCTGAAAACGATGAGTGAATGCCTGCGAGAGGATGCAGAAACGTACGACACGGCAACAGGCATCGTCGGGTGAGCCCCAACTTTGCTGACGGTGTGCGCGAGGGAAGACAGTCTTCCAGAGGTGCACAGGAAGCTGAAGCTCGTCTGGCATGACCACAGCTGGCTCAAGGTCAAATTGGAAGAACGGCTCGGACACCTGAGATGCTGCATTAGCACATTCCCTGCATCAAGTATGCCAGTTCTGCCTGTTTGCCGGGTCTGCAGACATAGCGGCCAGTGGCTGTGCGAAAGAGACTGATATTGCTCGGTTTGGCATCATCAAAGTCCAAGTAGCCCATCAGCGGATGACTTTCGGTCTCGCAATCGACCTGAACGGCAGCTTTGAGGGCGATCAGTTCGGCCAAAACGCTCCTGCATCGAACCGACACCAAAGATCCCACGTGAACAGTAGCTCATCGCTGCGTGGTCGAATAGTCAGAGCCGGATCGTTGATCGAAGCAGTGGCTGCGGAGATACGAGATATGCTGATAAGAATGGACACTAGCATCACGCCGCGGCGGAGACTACGCGCAAGATCCCAGGAGCGCGTCAAGCTAATGCAATTCATTCCAATCAATTGCCGTTCATCTGCGCTTGTCGCTTGGCTAGTGCGGCAGCAAGATCCAACTGACCAGGTCCAGCTCCGTTGGCTTTGACGGGAGGTGTCGCAGTGCCAGGCTTTGCGCCTACTGCGGGTTTTGGCGTAGTGGTGCCATTAGGTCGGGCAGCAGGTTTCGGCGCCGGCGTAGGCTTCTTGACCTCTGCCAAGTAATTTGAAGGCGCCCAGCCCTCGGCTCCATTCTTTTTGACGAGCCACCAGCCGTTGTCGTCTTTCTGTACGAGTTCGTATTGCTCGTTCTTGGTCAAGTTGAGCTCGCCTGTCTCGGTCGTGGCAAAATCGTAAAGCGCCTTCAGCATCGGCTTTGCGGGCGGTGCAGGCGGCGGTGGTGGAGCGCGCGCTGCAGGCGGTGGCGGGGGTGGCTTCGGTAGCGCCCCATTGAGCGACGCCATGGGTGCAGCAGGTGCTTTCGGTGTCACCGGCTTGATCGCCGGCGCAGCTGCGCGTAACGGATTGCTGGCTGGTGCGGTCTTCAGCATAGGATCAGCAGGAGGCGTGGGAGCAACGGGCGTTCTACTGGCAGCTACTGGCGCTGGAGGCGCTAGAGGGATCGCGCCGGACATTATGCCGGCAAGAGCAGGCGGCGGTAAGGGCTTTGTCGCACCAGGCAGCTCGCGCACTTGTGGCTTCGGTGCCTGCTTCGGCCGAGGTTTCTGTGGCAACCATATATGTGAGCACATTCATCATATTGACATTGCGTCTGACGCACGTCTGGACCACCAGCGCGGAGCAGTTTGCCAGATGTGATGGGTCTGGCAACGCCCGGTTTACGTTGAGCAGGCGGTCGCGAGACGGAGGCCGCAGGCTCGCCTGTCGACACAGACACGATTGAGCTCTTGTAGACATCGTCACGTCTGATGGTCTCGTCCTTCTTGAACTGTATGATCGCCTTCTTGTCTTTCTTCTTGCTGTATTCGATAGAGGGTGCTACGGTGACGCTGATGTTGCCGTTGGTGCGTTGTAATAGGTGCACGATCAGTTCGGTCTTGAGAAGACAGGAGAACAGAAGATCGCCCTCGACAGATGACTGTAAGCGTAGTGCTACCCAGTCATCGCGCAGTGTAGAGGAAGCAACTGCAGATATCGTCACGAGGGGTATCTTGCGCTCAACTGATGTCGTCGCACGCCCCTGCACAAGCTGCGTGATGCAGATGTAGGCTGCTTTATCAGTCAATACGAAGTATCGTGGGCTGGGCTTGCTCGAGCGGCCGAGCTTAGACACCAGCAGATGTATAGTTGTGCTGAATGCGACAGTTTCGTTGCCTAGACCGCAGGCTTGCCTCAGCATGGTGCCCTGGGCACTACGACCATTGACATCGAGATAGTCGCCTCGGAACTGCCGCATACTGATCAAGCTGAACCGTCTGCGTTCTTTACGCGATGCGAGCACCGTGTGGCCATAGTCACGCAGCTGAACATATGCGAGCCCTTCTTTCTTGTTCTTCCAGAACCTTTGTATTCGATTGGCGCATTCGTGCTTGTAACGCATGTAGTTCCTGAACGCACGCTGGATCCTCGCCGCCATGTTATGCCAATACCTATCCCGCATGTGTTCGAGAAAGAAGAGCTGCTCGGTATGTGTAAGCAGTGTCGATAGCACAATGTATGTCCACTGACTGTTTCTGGGTTCTTGATGAAGGCCTTGGTAGTCCCCATCTGCCATTCCTCACGAGCAATACCTGTGTCCTTGAGTATACGTTCACAGCCGGAACGCGAGTCGCCGTTCCAGATATAGTCGCCGGCATACGAAGTTGCGGGTGAGAGGAGATAAAACCGCTCGACCATCTTTTCAAACGTGTTGCGGTACGCAAAACCAGCGCGACGGACGCGAATGTTCTCTTGCAGACCGAGATATTTGATTTGATGCAGAATATTGGCAGTATTGAATTCTGAGGGACTCTTGTTCTCGTTTGGCTTGATCGTACGGATATAGCTCGGTTCCGATCGCATGAGCTTCTCGACGAGCGCATTGGCGGATGAGGTGATCTTGTCGCTGGCTGTAGGCGGCCGCTTCTTCGAATTGGGATCGATATGATCGGGAAAGAGAGTATGGAAGAAAGGATTGCCGCTCGAGTTGACAAGATCTAGCAAGTCCTTGGAGAGGACGTCCTTGTTCTTGTCCGTCATGCCGGCGATATTGTACGTGACGTCGCCAGCATAGTGCTTGATGAGGAACTTATCGCCGCGACCTTCAAAGTGTTTATGAGCGGAGAGCATGCCCATGCGCTGAACGAAAGAAGAGTCTGCAGCCGTTGGGTCGGCGTGCGCAGTCGCACATGCGTCGTTGAGAGCAGCAAAGACGCCAGGCGGTCGCTTGCCATCAATAAGATCGCAAACAATCTGCGGCATCAGACAGAGCCTCAGCTCCTCGCGGGCTGTCACGCCAAGCAATACACACCTTGTTGTTGAAATAGGAAATTGGCGTCCACTTGATCTGCTCACGATCGTATTCCTCTTGCTCTCGCTTGAGCGTCAGTTCGATGAAGATCTGCTGAAGTCGTTCGTTAACGTAATTGATACAAAGCTGTTCATATGAATTGTCTTTGAAGATCTCGAAGCCGTAGATATCGAGCACGCCAATAATTCTTTGGGTAGCGCCTGGAGGAGACTTCATTGACTGATTGACCCTCGTCACAAGCCATTCGAACAATCGCTCGTAGATAGATTTTGCAAGAGCATCTCGAACAGCTGAGGCTTGCGCCGGATTGAGTGGGACATCGTAGACTGATCCTCTGCGACCAGCTCGTTGGGCTTCTATGACACGACTGGTGAGCGCTTTAGAGACCGCAGCCGGATCGACTTGCAGCAAGTACGCCACAAAGTCGGGCACACTTTGATCCTTGATCGCTGCATTTCCCTCCTGATCCTCGACGAATGAGACATTGCCGAGCCATAGAACAGTCGCAAGCGCTCGGAAGATTTCGTCTTGCTCTGCCGCAGTAAGTCCGACGGTATTCATGGCTTCCAGTGTACCTCTGAAATCTTGAACATCGTCAATGCCGGGCACGTCAAAGCAACGAGATCGGGAAGTGTAAGCATAGGCTTCTGGACCCTGAAGGCCGTATGCCTCTCGCTGAGCAGGCGTTGCTGCTTTCGTGAGCTGGTAGAAGATGTGGAAATTCCGCTCGTCGTCGATTTGTCCGACCACTCTTGACTTTTCGAGCAGATAATTCGTGATGATGCCACCGATAGGCACGCCCGCGGCGTCAAATTCGATTTCAAGATATTTGCCGTGTCGACTCGAATTGTTGTTGCGGAGTGTCTTTGCGCATCCGAATGATTCGAGCAGAGGTTGTGTGGCAAGCACCATTTCGTTGATGCGACTCGCCTTGCTCGAGCCAGCCGCGTTTTGCTTTGAGACCTCGACAGTATACTCTATGAAGCGCTTTGCCGCTTCGGTCTTGCCTGCACCAGACTCTCCGGAGATGATGACACACTGGTTCTGGTTATAGGATGTCATGTTGTAGTAGGCAGACTCGGAGACGGCGTAGACATGTGGGGGCATCTCCAATCTGTTCTTGCCCCGGTAGGAATGAAGCGTCGCGTTGTTGTAGATGGGCAGCATGCGGAACGGATTGACGGAGATCAAGACGTGACCAATGTAAGTCTGCTCCGCTTGTCAGCACCATCAGGCAAGCGGATGTACGGTCGACTCGCGTAGATCTCAGCATTCTCATAGCGTTTCCGGAGATTGTCATTGATCGTCTCGTTGGAGATGGTCGAAAGTAAGGTCCTGTCGGCGTACGTGCAAGATCAGACATGCTCTGTCTGAGGTGAGCGAGGCCGACATGTCAGATACGCCGGCGGTCTTTTTCTTGAAGCCTTCCTTCCAGTCGGCCTTGCGCACCTGCGCTTTCTTCCCGCTTGAGCTCGCTGCTGCATTGTCACTCGTACTGGCTGAGCCGAGCAAGCCCTTCTTGGCCTTGCGAGTCGGTGCCTGACCCAAAGGCACGCGTGATAAGTGCATCGCATTCCGCTTAGCAAGGACGTGCGCACCATCTTGTGCGACTTAGCTGGTCACTATGCGCACTCCGAACGCCGACGACAGCAATGCAAGGATGGTTTGTAGCAGCAGCACGTCAAGCGACTGATCGGTGTACCCTGTGCGGTGACGTGGTCGAATGATGAATGATAGGCCTTCCCCGTAAACTTGAATTCGTGATCGCGACCGTTGCTAGGCGCGCGCAAGTCGAAACGCTTCACGAGCCAGAGAGGGCGTCGAGATGGATCAAGCCGAACAAAGTCCTGCCCCGCCACCGAAGGTTGCTCCCGGTGGCTTCAAGCTCAAATTCAAGCTAGGCAAGCTTGCTGAGCTTTTGGTTCTCTTGCGATTGCTAAGTTGTGTCACAGGCGCACGACCTAGCGAGCCGTCAGCAGCCACGCCCGAACTTGATCGTGCCTCATCAGCGCAGACATTGCCTTCACGCGGCTCTCAGAGCTCATCTGCCCAGCAAGGTTCTCGTGCGACATCACGCTCGCGCTCGGAATCGCCGCTCAGTCCGGTCGACGCTCAACGCAATAGAGATAACGAGGAGGAAGAGGAAGAAGATTCACAAGCGAGCTATTCGTCAGACGAACGCGACGGTTCACGATCAAGTTCGCCAGAGCGACAGCCCTTGCAAAGGACACATACAGGCGGCAACTCGACGGAAGAGGATGACCATCTGAGAAGTGACAACCGCGCTACCTCGAGCGATTTGCCTCTGCACCCACCTGCGCCAATGAACGCGCCCCGTGCTTCTACCTCTCAGCTCTCTCGTCAAGACCCTCAGTCACTGATCTCGCCGTACCTAATGGGCACGCCCGAGCTGCCTCATCCAAGCAGCAGCAAGCGCAAAGCAGACGCCAATGACGGTGGAGAACTTGACGGTAGCGATCCGACCCAAGTTGACAAGAAAGCCGTCAAGCGCAAGGCAGACAGCGGACCGGGTAAAAATTGGCGCAAAGGCATCAAAGGGTACGATTCACACTTTATGCTTTCGTGCGCTTGCTGAAAGCATCAGTTTGTCGGGCAGAACGATAGAAAGAGGTACAGCTCCAACGACAGCAGTCAAAGTACCTACGTACACGCGCATACGCAGCCCACCGGCTATAGATCTGGACAACCGTGAGATCCCCTTGCCGCCAGAGACGAAATCGCGGCCGTTCCCGACACAGCCACTGCCAAAATACAGCAATGCTTTCATACAGGCGCCTCGCCTCGATCTCAATCCTGCAAAGACTCGACGATGGAGCGCTCAGACCCGCGAGTTCACCAATGTCAGTGGCTACAAAGTCGTCATCACCTCTTGGTTTGGCAGCGAACATTCAGAATATCAAGCCAAGCGAGTCGTCTATACTGAGGATGTAGCGGAAGAAGCGGATGACTCCGAGCTGGGCGACACGACCACGAGAAGCTCGCCAGCTCCCTCAATGAGTAGTAAAGTCGATCCTGAAAAGAAGAAACCGCCACGCAAGCGCGCGCCTGCTCCCCTCAAGCCAGGCGCAAAGCCGAGAGCGCCGAGAGGCACGGGTCCCAAAGCGATCGCTAAAGCGAAGAAAGCTGCCGCTGCCGCCGCCGCTGCTGCTGCTGCTACGCCGGAAGCCATGTCAGGAGAGCTCCCACCTTCGGACGCTGCCTAATGCATTCATTTTGGCAAAGATGGCTCGAGACGCTTAGTTCTGCCCTTAGCCCTTTGCAGTGATGAGCAGCGTTCATCTACGTTATTGACCTGGCTTGACGCCTCGCTTGACCCGAGAGCGATGCACTCGACAACAGTCCCGCGTATTCTAAGGAAGATCTCAGGCGATTGGAATAAGCAGGCCATCGCAGACCATCGCGTAGGACTTGAATCTGCAATCACTCGATTAGCATGATGTGCACACGCAAAAAGCCAGCAATACCCGACGCCCTTCCAAGTGGCACCTTGAAGATTGTACGAGAGCTCGTTCTTTGTAGTGCTCGTCAGAATGAAACGCATTGTAAGCTCATCGGTACCGACTGCTACTCCGTCAGCTCAAATCCATCGGTCAAGCGAAAGACAAAAGTACGGTAGCACTGGGAGACCGTGTTGACACTTCCGTCGGATTTGGCACACTCATAGGTATCTTTGTTGTACTTGATCTGACTGTAAGCGTAATTGGAGCTGTCATCGGCATCATATTCGAGATAGAGGGTGAGCAGGATGTTGCCTCCGGTGAGTAGATCGGCTGCAAAAAGACATTCGTGTTCTGCCTTGACGGGTAAGACAACCGCTGTTGCCGCTGTCGCGCAGGCGATGGCAACAGCGATCTTGATGGCTTTGCTGAACATCATGCTCTCTTGTCTGAATGCACGAATCCGATGAAGGCAGGTCGCTAGGCCACGATTCTCCTGGGCAATCAGGCATGTTGCGTTTCGTTGCACAAGATGCTCAACTCGAACGAGACAGCGACAGGGGGCCATCGCAATGACGACTGATGTCTATCGCCGAAGAATGAGGCGTATCAATTCGACAGTTTGAGCAGTCAGGGGCTTCATCGAAAGGCGATGCACCATGGAAAGGGTATGCGCCAGTGGCTCCCGGCTCGCACCCGCAAGATCGCGCCATGCATCGTGTGCGTCAGCGCTTCAGTGGCCAAGCCGTCAGGTGTCAAGGGATTGTATAAAGCACCACGCTCGAGCGAGAAGTCTGACTCGGAAGCCGCTTGCTTCCTATGGCGCCAATGCAATCGTGCTGACATTAGCGCAATAGCACTTCGCGCGGAATCGCCTAATCATACTTGATGGGCATGAGCTGGCCATCGCAGACCATCTGGTACGACTTGATGCTGCGTTGCCCGGTCGCGATCAGCATGGAATAGCTCGGGCCATATGTAGCTTACCCAACGCCCTTCCATTTGGCATCTCTGAGATTGTAAGAGATATCGTCTTCAGCACTCGTTTTGAGGGTGAATGGCAGCGAGTAGGCATCAGACTCGACTGTGCTCAGTCAGGTTCATCGTATGTCTGTACAGGTAGCCAACGGACCTGTGCAAGACGAGGACGTCGAGTCTGTCTCCCCAATGATGGCGCAATTGAAAGTCTGGCCGTCATACTTCATCTGATCGAAGTAGCTGTCCCCATAGACAGGATCCGATTCGTACTCGATATACAGAGTGAGTAAGATGTTGCCGCCGTTGAGAAGATCAGCCGCGAAGAGACATTCGTGCTCCGTTTTGACAGGCAGGACGACCGCTGCTGCCACTGTGGCGCATGCGAGAGCCAGGATTGTCTTGAAGACCTTAGTAAACATCTTAAAGGCGTTCTTTGCTGCGGAGGGCGAGTGGTGAGCTCAGCTGATCACAGGGGCATGCCAATCTGTCGCTCTGGCGAAGTATCATCGGAGAGGTAGCTCGAACGGGACAACGAGGCAGGACCGTTGCTACCACGACTGCGCGGACGGCACGTTCTCTCCAGAGTAAGATTGTAAGACACCAATCAAGGCAGTAGAGGAAGTCGAGGCAGGGACGTAAGCGCAGAAGGGCAAACGGCAATGCATCGATCACGTGATCGCCAGAACAAGTCGAATCCAGCTAGATTGACACTCCTTTGGCCTTGTGCTCATGGACGAGACGGTCACCGCAGTGGAGTGACCACTTTTTGAGGCTGTATATAGCGTCAGCATTGTCTTCATACGAACGAACGGGAAGACTCGTGCCCCTTGTTGTTGAACTTGGAAGGCAACAGCTGGTAAGTGAGATGTTTGCCGTCAGTATGGAAGACGATCTGGAGGTCGGTAGAGTAGGATTTGTCGGTCTTCTGTACAGTATCTTTTCAATAAGACAGATAAGCTCCGGACAAGACGAATGTGTCGATCCCTTACATAAGCAGACATCATCGTACAATGAGGCTTCATCTGAGTAGCGCTGGGGTGCCGGCAGACACTCGAAAGGATGCTCATCCGCCGTCGTAAGGATGAAAGGCATGTTTTCGTCGCTGGTATATTTGAGTTGGAACGACAGCGACTCTCGTCCGCCGCGAATCAAGTCCATATTAAGGCTGCAGAGCTGGAGGTATTGAATAGGGTAGGGTCCTGTCTGCACTGCAGCAGAAGCTACGGCTGATGCAAGAGCGAGCATTCCGATCATCTTGGCGAGCATCGTGTTGTCAAGAGCCTGGCAAGGAAGGAAAATTTGGTCGCTTTTATACGACTCGAAGAGGGGCAATAGGAGTCAGACGTCGTATTCAGCGTAATACTCTTCTGGCTCGCGATGGCAATAACGATAATGAGTTGCTGAGCAACGATCGGACGACTACGCTGTCCTTAAAAACGTGCCGATGCACAGACAGCTTGAGCAGAACGTGGTAAGGCATAGGGACGCTCAAGTCGTGTGCCCCTAGTCGGTCGATAGTGCGCAAGTGTGGTATATATACTGATGATATGTATCGCCCGTACTCCCAGGAGCAGTGCTCAGCGTGAGTTGATCGTCTGCAACGAGATCAGATATAGAAGGGCAGATGACAATGCATTGTGTCGCGTCGCGTATCGTAAAGGATCACGACTTGCGCTCTTCAATCAGATGGCTACCGCATTTGAGGCTCCAAAATGCGAGACTAACGGCGAGAGTCAGCAGCATGGTTGTCATAGCGAGAGCCTGCGTACCCTTTGTCGTCGGCCAAAGAAGGCAAAAGCTCATAATTCAGGTATTTGCCGTCAATGCGGAAGACGATGTCGATCTTGGAATGGATGGAACCGTCTGGCGTGCTCACAAAATCTGCCAATCAAGATAGTGAGGTAGCGTCGCATAGGGATATCGCGTGCATACACAGGCACTCGGTGGCATCTGAGCCGCCTCTTGTGTACTGCGGCGATGCCGGCTGACAGGCGAGCGATCGCTTGGTCAACGTCGTGGCGCTGAATGGCGAGTCTTCAGGACCAAAGTGCTCGAGCTGGAATAAAAATGAGTCCGCGCGGCCGCCGATGAGACCGAAAGTGAGACTACATAGCTGGACGGGCTGGACAGCGTATTGAGCTTTCTGCACAGCGACTGCGGCGACAGAGTACACGAGAGCAAGCACCCCAATCATTGTGACGAACTTGGTTCTCATCGTTTGGCGAGGGAGGCAAGACACGGGGGATGATGCTGGACAACTCGATCAGGGGCAAGAGGAGAGTGGACATCGCGACGTGGAGACAATCTCTTGTGCACATGATTGTGTGGCGCGCATGAGTCGCCAAAGCTCTCAGAGGCTACACTGAGACTGTTGCTCTGGCAACAATGGGTCTCTGCGGTGAACGTGCCTCTGCAAGGGCGAAGCGAAAGGCACTCGCACGTCGCATGTTTGGCGCCGATAAGTATCGATTGATGGGCAGCTGTGTGGGCTGATCTCTACCCGCGGATTCCGAAGCTCGTGTCTGTGAGGTGGTGCGTGATCCGCAACCACATGTGGGGTGCAACCACAGGAGGGCGAACATAGATGCATTGATCGCGCAAATTACTGCAGTCAGCGCGACTTGCGCTCTTCGACGGGCTGCTTCTCGCACACGAGACTCCAAGATTTGAAACTGCATCCAAGTTCAGTAGCGGCTTTGTCATATCAAGAGAGATTGTACCCTATAGTGCGAACCATGGAAGGCAGGAGCTCATAATTGAGGTATTTGCCATCGGTACGGAGAAGGAGATCAATCTTGGTATAGACCGAACGGTCTGGCTTGAGTGTGTTGTCTGCAAGAGAGAGTAGTCAGCAAAACAGCGGCAGTGTTGGGGGTGCGTACAAGTGCACTCGGCGGCGTGTGAGCCCTCTGTTGAGCTGAACGGCGTAAGGTCCAAGCAGGTGAACGGTTCATCGGGGACCAGCGTAACGCTGAAGGGCGGGTAGTTATCACCACGGTAGTTAAGCTGCAGCAGCAGTGATTCTGAGCCACCGCCGATGTAGTTCACATTGAGGTCACACATCTGGCTCGGCTTGAGAGCGTATTGTCCTCTTGGCGCAGCAGCAGCAGCGGCGACGGCGGTGTATGCGAGAGCGAGCATTCCGAACATCATTGCGAGCATTGATTCTGTCTTCTGCTTTGGCGAGAGAGAAAAGGAACGTGGAAGGAAGTCAGGCAACTCATAGAGGGGTCAAGGGGGCTTTCATTGCTGGCTGCGACGCGACACAGATGTACCCCGTGTCAGTGCCATCATGGTAAGTCGCTGAGGTGACCAGAGGGCTGCAACGAATCGGCCTGGTGCATGTGTGGGGTTCCTGGGAGCCGACGCTTCGGGCGTCTTGAAGCTGCCGTTCTTTTCAAGAAAGGTCGGTGCAGCAGCGCACTAATGCAAGTGCTTGTACTTTGTATCGTAGAGGAAGCGCAGAGACTGAGAAGCTTGCAACAAGCGACTGCCTGTAATGCATATAGAGCAGGACAAATGCGCATGCATTGAGATTGTAGCGATTCGACCTATTGCAGCCATGCGCGTCAGGTCGACTTGCGCTCCTCGACGAGCTGTTGATCGCAATGAAGCGACCACGATTTGAGGCTGTGAACGATTTCAGCGTTCTCGTCGTCATGACCGACGCCACTTTACCCTGTGTGAAAGGCCGTAGAGGGCAGAAGCTCGTAGGTGAGGTATTTGCCCTCGACGCGAAAGACGAAGGCAATCTTCGTCGAGATCTTGGAGCTGAAGAGATCTGTTGCGAGATCTACGGGGGAAAGTGCAATCAGCTGCGCCAGGGATGGTAGAGAACACCCATACAGTCGCACTCGAAAGGGTGTGAATTGGGATCGCGTGTGAAGGCAGGGGTGCAGTGAAGCGGCGTATCGTCGTCTTCTGCTTTCGCGGTGAAGGGCTGAAGGGCGTTTGGCGTATGCTCAAGTTCGAAACCGAACAACCAACGTCGACCGCCAATCAACGTCGTGTCGAGCAGGCAAATCTGGAATGGCTGGACCGCATATTGACCTGCCTGAACGGCAGCAGCGGCGACCATGTATACGAGGCTGAGCATTCCAAACATCGTAGCAAGCATGATCTCTATCCTTGGGCGGGAGGAGCAGCGTTGTGTGGGATCAAGCACTAGGAAGCGAGGGGTCAAGGCGCGAGACGCGGCAACAATCGTCAGGAGACGACGACGAGCAGAGCAGGCGGGGTCGAATTGGCCAACACGTGTGGCCTGATCGATAGCTGCGCCGGCGGCGCTGAAGACGAGAGGGAGTATGCTGAAGATCATGACCAGTGTCCACTTTCATTTTCCGCCAGAAAGATGGGATGAGCAGCTGTCTGTAACAAAGCGATGGCGTGGCAACGAGGAGATGTCGGTCATGTGACGCGGCGAGAGGTTGGCTTGTCAACAAGGAGATGTAATAAGTCAGTGAAGAAACAACACGAACAGTGTTACACCGTCTTCACAAGCCGAGTACGCCGTCGAGCATGTAAATCCAGCCATTCGAGCACTGTTCTCATCATGAGCGTGGTCTTGCATGGCCGAATTGGAGGTGCCTTACCTCGACAGCGTCGATGACGCGAGCCTGTCTGGGACCGACGAGTATGCTAGCCCAGGCATCTACAGCAGTTGCTGCTTCGGCGCGAGTAAACGTGATGGGATGGTCCTTGAGCAACGAGTCTCTCTCGCTCAGATCATCAAGCTTGAGCTCGAGTGATTCGGCAACAGCGTGCGTCTTGACCCAGTCTTGCAAGTACTCCGCTCGCGCTTTCTCCTCGTCCTTCTCGGTCGAGTAGATCTTCTCCTCGCCAGGCGCTCCCTCGTGTGGCTTGCGAGCGAGCTGAGAGATGATCGTGTTAGTAGGCACAAAGAGCGTCGTCTTCAGCACCGGTGCAGCCAGTCGTTCGGCAACAGATCCCTCCCGGAGGTAGTCGTAGAAGAAGCTAGCACTCCTCTGAACTGTCAGCATGTCAGACAGAGACGGCAAGGCCGAAGTTGCGATGGGTCCCTTGTCGGTGTTGAAGACGAGTTGATCGGCCGACAGGTCTTCGGCTGTCCTCCTGTCGGTCGCACGAGCTGACATGGCCATCAAGCCGACGGCAGTGGCCAGCAGTACCCGTCTGAACATCGCTAGCCAGGTGTCTACCTCTCCTGCTCCGATGGCGTCACTTCACTTCACTCGACTCGAATCGACCCGGCGCGACGTGGCAAGAGTTGGCGAGATCCGAGTGAGTGGCAGTGCCGTCATTGGCTCGTGATGACCGCCTAGACGAGATCGAGATGCCCCCTCAGCGAGCAACGATGTCGGGCGAGCACGCGGACGACACGAGCCGAGGCACAGTCTCGAAATGGCAAGCCAAAGCATTGGCCATCTCCACGTGTATCTCCATCTCCCTCAATGCCATCACCGCCGGTTCCATCTTCACCATCCCACTCTGGGGACCCCCGCTCGCAAAGACGATCGGATTGAGCATGTCCCAGAGCAATAATGTAGCCATTGGCGCCATTCTCGGCGAGTACATCTCGGCCGTCGGCTGGGGATTGCTCGTTGATCAACGAGGACCAAGAACGTACGTCGGGCCGTGCAGATATCTACAAGGCTTGACTGATGATGATCTCGCGTCACAGGGTGTCACTCTGCGCTGCCGTCCTCTTCGCAGTCGGCTACGGCATGATGGCGCGCTCGATCAAGATGTCACCGCCCGATGATCCCAGCCTGCTCGCAAGCAAAGATGACCCGATCGACATCATCGCGCCATCGGCCACGTGGATCTTCCTGGCATGCTACTACGTCCTCAGTGGTTCGGCGACTGCTGCAAGCTATTTTGCAGCCGTCACGACGGCCACGCGCTCATTTCCCGATCACCCTGGCTTGGCCATCGCGATTCCCTGTGCTCTCTTTGGCCTGTCGCCCCTGCTCATCTCACAACTCGCTTCGGCGCTCTTCGTGGACCGATCACAGATCACCTCGCCCGATGAGTTGGATGTCTACCGGTTCTTTGTCTTTCTCGCCATCACCCTGTTCGTGGTCAATATGCTCGGGGCCTACGGACTGCGCATCATACCTCGCTCGCCTGCCGTTTTGCTCAAGGAAGACGTAGACGAGCAACAGGATCGCGAAGGGGATGCACTCTCTTCGCCCACCGAATCGAGTCTCCTTCTGCCCGCCACAGACCTTACTTCTGCGCCCAAGCCGATCACACTCAGATCTTGCATGGGCAATCGTCAGTTCTGGCTTCTCTCGCTCATCGCAGCGCTGGTCAGTGGACCGGCAGAAGCCACCATCGCCACGCTAGGCAATGTAATCGAGAGCGTGCTCGCTCAACCACAACTCTGGCTCGAGCCGGCTTGGCCAGGCACAGATGCGCTCAATATACGCAAAACGCACGTCATCGTTATTGCCGTCTGCAATACCGCCATTCGGCTCCTTGCGGGTCCTTTGAGCGACTGGCTCTCGCCAAAGCGTGCAGGACTGGCCACAACGCGGACGTGGACAATCTCGCGTCTCTATTTTCTCGTGTTTGCTTGTCTGCTCTTCGTCATCGCTTTCCTCTGGGCAGCCTTTGTCATGCAGACGCCGGCTGGCTTATGGTTGCTCAGTGTCGGTGTCGGACTCGGCTATGGACTCACTTTCACGCTCATACCCGCCATTGTCTCCACGGCGTTCCCCTTGGAGCATTTCGGCTTCAATTGGGGCCTCATCAGTCTCGCATCTGCAGCAGGCTCATTTGTTTTCACCGCCTTGGCAGGCGCAGTCTCAGATAGCGCCACAGAGGGCCGACATGCTCGGGATAATGTCTGCGCAGGCAGACGATGCTTCGCTGCCACTTTTGCAATCTATACTGCGAGCTGCATCCTCGCTGCTCTCATGACTGTCTGGTTACAGAGACAACGACACTGGAGAGGCAAAGTCTAGATTGCATTACTTGAACTGCCGACGATAGGCAACAAAGGCGTTCAAATTGATCAAGGCGGCATCGGCCTTTTGCCGCAGCACAGAGGCTTTGCGCTTATCGATCCGCTTCACCTGCTTGCTGCTGTCAGCCGAGGTACTTGATTTGCCATGCTCACGTACGAGGCCTTTCAGGCTTTTCTGCGCAGCCTCGAAGCGAGGTAGAGCGCCTGCTAGACGGAAAACCGGCACGTCATAATCGCGTGTTTCATCGGCAAATACATCGAGCAGGCTGTCTAGCGACTGAAGCGCGATGTCGAATCTGTCGTCATTGTTCACATAATCTGGCGAGATGAAGGCCAGCCAGCCCATCAGAGAAGTTGCGATTGCCTGTCACCACATCAGTCTGTTACCAGCTGGCTGCTGTGGGAACGCACCCTATTCTCGTCGACAGAGACTTGCGAACGCATGGCAAGACAGCCGAGAGCGCCGACGCAGGCGGTCTGTAATGCCGGAGTAGCAGCAGGAGTCGCATCGACCAGTGCGAGCAAGACCTGATGTTCTTGCAGCCCGACAGACTAATCCGCAGAATATCAGCACGATAGAATATAGACACCAAGTCAGAACACACAAGTGTAGACGCATCAGATAGACCTATGCGAGCGAGTGCCCAAATGCAGTTGATCGTTGCTGCCAGACAATCTTCATTTGCGAGATCGCCTTCGCTCTGCTTTGCCTTGCCCTTGCCCGGCTCGTGTTGAGCGCCAAAGGTGAGTACAAGCTCGAAAAGAGTATTCCATGTCGCTTGAAGTGTTTTCGCGTTGGACGAGACGAACGCAGCCGCACGTGCGCCTTGACGGCCGAGTGTGAGCAAAACATTGTTGAGGCATTCAAGAGCGCGCAGGTGAACAAGCTGGAGTACATCGTCACCGTTTGGTGTAGTCGCACCCGCGGCAATGAGCTGAGTAGATGACGATCCATTCTGCTGCAGCGGAGACAATCGCGCGAGCGCCAAGAGTTTGGCCGGTAGCTCGGCAAAAAGACTGGTTGAAGCTTCATCGAGTTGCACGTCTTCATCTAGCATCATCTCTTCACCGATCTCCGCCGGGACCTCATCATCCTCTTCTGCCTCGTCCACATCCTCGTCCATCCCGCTCGAAGCTGCAAGGGGCGCTTCAGGCTCATCAAAGCCGTCAATGCATGCGACGAGCTCTGTGAGCATCTCGAGGCCGATCTGTAGCGTGGAGAGGCGCTGGCTGCTCGGCGCCAGCGCAGATATATCTGTATCTAGTAGCTTGACCAGGAATAGCGGCGCGATATCTAGCAAACGACGCCAGTGATCTGATTTTGGGTGAGCTACATTCTTGACAATGCCTGCGCCAGCGGAGGTGAGCTTGGCATTCTGGAAAACCGTGTAGCGTACCTATGAGCAAGACGCGTAAGAGTAGTCTATTCTCTTCGTCAGATGGAGTCGGGACATGCTGGCTCGCAATGACGTCGAGCATATTGGGCAAGCTGGTGCGAGGTATGATCAAGCCGGTATTGTCCTCGCTGAGCGTCAGAAGCGCTTGGGCTATGCTCTGGAATAAGCTATCGAGACTACACAAAGTCGTCATGGACTGACCTGCTACGACGGCAATATTGATGGGCGTCCGAGTCGTAAAGGTTCCGTCGAGTGAGCTCAAGGGCAAGTATGCAAGCAGGAAGTCGGATAGCGCGGGCGAAGCAGACAGGGCCGTGTGGATCTTTGTGGATGTCTCCCTGTGGCGCGAAAGATATCAGCAGAATAGCAAACGAGGAGCTGAATTGACTGACGCTAGCGCCCAGATGAGCGTGAGTACATTGTCGGTCCAGTCCCAGTAGCCCTCTTTGATGGCCAGCAAGGCTTCTGCCGCGCCGTTTTGCAGTGGCGGATCATCTGCGCGAAACTGCCGCAGGTAGACCAACAATGTCGATAGCAGAGCGAGAAGTGGCGGAACAACTCCTTTGTTATACATCTCGCCTAGCGTGTCCCATTCGGACGAGCCTCGCTCAGTGGAGCCCGAGATGGCTAAATTGCGCAAGGCTCCACAAGCCTCCATGATGACTTGCTGATTCGATTCTGGCTGAGCACCTTCTCCCTTGGAGGCATCCGGTAGCAGTAGTGCAGCTTTGCCTGCTGGCTTGCCACCCAGTCGGAGGATGAGATGGCCGACGACATTCTTGCCGAGCAAGAGTCGTCGAGCAGATTGGCTTGCCGTTGCGAGCGTTGCCGTCAAGCTCTGCAGTGCCCCAAGGCGTTCATCGAGATCGTCATCCACCAACTGGTGTCCCGTCTATCTGAGCACATGTCTTGAGAGTGCTGCGCCTCAAATGGCATACCTTTTCGAGTAGCAATGGAATTTCTTTCGTCTCCTTGCCTGGCTTGGCGGTAGCGTGCGCAGCTCGGGCTGCTTGCCCCTGCTGTTGTGCTGATCCAGATGCAGCGAGACGTGCTGTTCTGATCCTGCTGGACCGCTGCTGCTTGCCCATACCGCTCTTGCCAGTGGCCGCAAAAGTCGGATCTTTCTGTCAAGCCAAAGCAAGAAAGCGCGTCGTCGACACGTCGACACACCCTCGACACTGTCGTGAGACAAGCGCCTGTCCGTGCCTCTTGTGTGCAGCGATGTGGTCCAACGAAGGGCAAGCATGACTCCACAGACGGGGAAGATCATAGATCTTGCCTCGAGCTCCGATGGGGAACAGCCGGCGCTGCCGTTGTCACTCGATAACCGCGCCTTGTCGCCAGCTTCTACGACTCAGCCCGTGATCATCGGTATCGCTAAGCCTGTGCAGCGTCCGGCTCTCGAAAAGTCAAGATCAGCTCCTGCCATGATACATAGCGTAGACAGTAGCGATGACGAACTTCCAGAATTACCCACCCGTCCCTCGTCGCGCTCGCAGCCCTCCACGTCTGCCGCGAGACTGTTTGCAGGCGCACTAGCACCTCGACCCGCCAGTGCGCATCCACGATCAGACATGTTTGCGTCACGTGCAAAGCAGACCAATGTACTGGCCGCGCCCGAAGAGGATCAGGCCGATCTGCCGTCCGTGACGAGCGGCAGAGCGCGTTCGCTCAGTGAGAAAGCGAGAGGAAAGCGCAAAGCGACAGACGAGTCGGACGATGACGGGGAGGCCGTCAAAGTCACGCTGAAGCCATCGAATTGCGCCAAGACGCCCAAGAGCAGCCCAGAGCAAGTCAGGGCCCGCCAGGAGGAGTCGGCTGCAAAGAAGCAAACGGAAAAGGTCAGCGACCCCTCTTGTGCATTATCATGCAAGCTCACCTACTCTGCGCCCCCAGGCCTCTAAAGCTCGAAATGCAGCGCTGCGGGCCGCCAACAAATTGCAGTCTGATCGCAAGATCGCTGTCAAATATGTCAGGTTGCTCGTCACCGAGGAGCTAGCTACTTTGCCTAGCTTCAAGACCATATTCGCGTCTGTCAAGCAGACGCTAGGTGAAGCCGAAAGCCTTGTAAGGACGATGCCATGTCCAGTTGCATTACGGCCCTTTGCGAGCCGATTGCTTTTCTGGGAACGCCATCACGATACAGTCTGGAACGAAGCAGAGCGGATCTATTGGCCTCTGCCAGATGAGGAGCATGGATGGCGACCAGAGCCCACTCTGATGATCTATGTCACCGCCGCCGAAGCTTCGCTACTCACTCGCAAGGTACCAGACGGGCTGACGACTTTCATATCGAGCGTCAAAGCGCACTACCCGGACCACCAGCTGTTCTTACTCTTGCATGGATTGGCAACAACGGAAGTGAATAAGCAACAAAGGGACACTATACGTGCGCAGCTCATGAGCGCTTTTCTCGCAACGGGATGTAAGTTCCTGGACCCAGACGATGACGAGGCATTGGCGGCTACGATCGTCGATGCTTCTCGTGACATATCTGTTCGACAGCTCAAGTACGTCATAGTCTGTTCTGAGGCGTCTTAACTGACACGGGAGCAGGTTGCATCAACAGGAGGATATGCAGTACGTTGGGCATGTGCCAGAAGGCCAACGCAAAGGCGACGGTCCGCGCAGCACGTTTCTGCGGCAGCTTAGCACGATGCCGGGCGGTAACGAGACTGCAGCTGCAGCCATTGTGCACAAGTACAAAACCTGGAGGGGACTCTACGAAGCCTTTGAGGCGAAGCAGTACAAACCGGAGGAACTCCTCGCAAACGAAGAGATTACGCGAACGGCTATGGGCACGATTACTTCACGCCAGTATGGCGTCGCGGCAAGTACGAAGCTTTACCGGTTCATGTTTTCTTCTGATCCTCATGTACAAATGAAGCGCGGCAAGGATTAGTGGGGTTTGTTGTATGCAATCAACACGGGATTAGTCAGCGTCGTCACGCAAGATCTTCGTTGTCGCCATCGGGTGCCTCTTCCAAAGCGGCCAGCAGGGCTTGCTGAGTGATGCGACCTTGCTTCTCTTGCTTGGGCGCATCGCCGGCAGGTGTGAAGAGATCGAGCAGCTTGTCCGTCTCGAGCGATGCGAGCTGACTATTCTGTTGACTGATGACTGTTGAGGCCACGTGGGTCTTGAAGCGCTGCAGTCCCATAATCTGCTCCTCGAGTGTGTCCTTCGTGATCAAGCGGTACACATTGACCGTGCGCTTCTGGCCGAGTCGATGTGCCCTGTCCATGGCTTGCAAATCCTTCATTGGGTTGAGATCGTGCTCGACAAAGATGACCGTGTCCGCACTCGTCAAATTGAGGCCCAGACCGCCGACATGTGTAGTCAGAAGTAAGACATCAATGGAGGGGTCTCGGTTAAACGTCTTGACGATAGCAAAGCGTTGATGACTTGGTATCGCACCATCTAGCCGCATGTAGCTCACGGTTGGCATGTGCTTCCTGAACAGCATTGATTCTATGATGTCAAGCATGGAGCGCGTCTGGCAGAAAACGAGGACCCGATGAGCCGCAATCGATTCCTCGATATCCGATTTCACAGCCTTAGCCTTGCCCTGAGATTGCAGGCCGATACCACAGTCCCACAGTAATTGTCTGCTCCATCATCAGCGAGATCACAGACAAAGAGAACGTGACTCACCGCAAAGCTTCAAGCTTGGGTGCGTGCTCCAGCTCGTTCTTGGCTGCTGCTAGGTTAGCAAGCGCCGTACGATGCTGAGGATTGCTAGCATCCAGAACGAGGCTGGGATGATTGACCAGCTTCCGCAGATATTGCAAGGTCTGAAAGACGTGCTGTTTTCCGTCATCTGCATTGCTACCATCCTCATTGCTTTGCCCAAGCGAGCTGTAAAGGTCTCGCTGAAGCGGTGAGAGCTCGCACTGGTAGTCTTGTATGATCTTCGGCGGTAAATCTTGCAGCACATTCTCCTTCAATCGGCGCAGGATGAAAGGCAGGACTTGTTTGTGAAGGGCTTCAAGCGCAAGGGCGCCTTTCGCCTGCTCTGCGCTTGACTTCTTCGCGTCTTTGCTGGCCGCAATGGGACGGCTGTAGCGCTCGCTGAAACTGGCTTCACTACCCAGGAAGCCCGGCATGAGAAAGTCGAAAAGCGACCAGAGCTCGAGAACATTGTTCTGGATTGGCGTGCCTGACAGCACAAGCCGGTGCTCGGCTTTCAGACGCTTGACGGCTTTGGACAGTTTGGCCTTGCTTGATTTGATGACGTGGCCTTCGTCAAGAACGCAATAATTGAAGTCGAGCGTTGCAAGGTAATCAATCTCGCTACTGATTGTATTGTATGACGCAATAACGACATCAGCCTTCTTCAGCTCACCTTTCAGCTGGCTACGACGCAAAGGATCGCCGCCGAAGATCAGCGGGCGAAGATCAGGTGCATATGTCTCAATCTCGTGTTGCCAGTGACCGGTGAGCGTTGACGGACATACCACGAGCGAAGGCAGATGAACCGTTTCAGGCGATGCAGACTTGGTATGCTTTTCCGCACGCTCAAAATGCTTGCTGGCGAGAATGCAAATGGACTGCAGGGTCTTGCCTAGACCCATGTCATCGCAGAGAATGCCGTGTAGTTGATACTTGTGCAAGAAAGCCAGCCAGCTGACTCCTTCTCGCTGATACGAACGGAGCTCAGCTTTCACGGTGATCGGCATGACGTATTCGGCAATAGTGCTGCCATCAATGAGTTGTGATAGGAAACGACGCTCATCGTCGCGTCGTGCAATGAGCGACGCCGGCAGATCGGCGGGGTCTTGGATCTCAGCCTGCCAGTGTGTTTGTGAGCCAGATCAAGCACAATACAGAAGGCAAGCTCACCTCCAGCGGTACTAGCTTGATGATCGAAGCAAAGACGCGTGCGGCCAGCAAGCGCACAGCTTCGTTCCCATCAGTCGTGCGGCCCAGCGTAGGAACGACGAGGAAGACAATGTACGGCAGTATGCGTATGTCCATGATGTCGACAATCCGTGCGATGGTCTCGAGCATACCCTGACGTCGATATAGATTAAGTGGATCGCTCAGATCAGCTAGACAGTGCTCGATAAGAAATGGTAGACCGGTCGCAGGCGATAAGTCACATATTGTCGCAATTGCTTTTGCAGCTGCAGACCTCAAGACGGCATACGAGCTTCGAAGTAAACTTGTGATTGTCGGCAGGAGTGAAGCGAGTCTGACTCGGCTTTGAGTGCTCGCGACAGGCAACAAAGCGGTAGCGATAGCCAGGCCGTCGATCAACTTTTGCCCAAGCGTGTGATCAGATGCCAGTGCGGTTTGCTGCGCGTCCAAAGGCTGAGAGCACACACTTACCAGATCGTCAGAGACTACTTGCCAGAGTAGCGGTAACTCATCGAAAAGTTTATCGCCAAAGTCAGCTGACAGCTCTGCCATCGCGAAGCGTGCACCTCTGACGACGAGCAGTGAGCGAGGGTCCGGCGTGACGCTCGTCCCCTCCGTTGTAGTAGCTATATCATACAGTATGCGATCCTGATCAGCAACATGCTCGGCAAAGAGCGGAGTCGCAAGTGTATCCTGACAGACCAGGTTCGCTACGTTCTTGATCAATTTTGTACATGGAACTTGCTTTGACAAATCGGCCGTCAAACGGCGGATGAGCTGTGCGATAGCCAGCGCCGTACTTTGCTGCAAACGAGGGTCGGTCTCCGACTTGAGGGATGCGATCAGAGGCGGTACTAGAGCATTAAGCTTCGCTGGGATGGCGCCGAAAGCAACACAGGCTGATGCCAGCGAAGCTGCGACTCTTATATCATATGTGGACTTGTCCCCGGCGTATTGAGTGTGCAGCCGTAAGACCGTCTGACTGAGCTCATGCATCTGTGATGCCGCCTTTTTGCTGGTCTGAGCCAATTTCGCGCTCGTGGACTGCAGCAGCGTCATCAAGCCCTGTGCACGAATACTCAATGACAGCTTCGCCGGCGGCATATCTTCAACGTGATGATTGGCGAGTGACTTTGTGGCTTTCTCACAGTGGGAAGACAACCGTTTAGCGTCAGCAGCGATTTCGTCGTAGCTGTCGGGTAAGGCGGCTGTGAGACGATCGCGACATTGCAGGCCTAACGCCGACGTTTCCGGCTCTGCATCTAACGAGGCACGCGCAAGAGCTGCAAGGAGTAAGGCGGAGAAGACGCGCCTGCTCGCGCTCGGGTCGCTGAGGTGCGTCATATAATGACTGAGGCGCTGCCAAGAGTGGTTTGGATTCTTTGCATGCAACTGGGCGAGCGCTTGTAATGCATCGAGACGACAAGCGAATAAAGTCTCGCTCGTAATGAGCGTCATATCCTGAGACAGCAGTGTTTTGTCGACTGGTGCGATTGCGTAACCTGTAATCTGATAAAAATCCATTGGCAGGCCGCCTTGCAATGGGCTGATGAGCAGGCCGGCGCAAGTGTCGACTATGCCATCTATCACTGATGTGGCATACGTCGGAGTGCTTTCTGCTAGAAAGACTTGCCAGGCCGCCATGCTTTGCTCGCGAATTGACAATCTGGTTTCGACAGCGATGTTGCGCCAGATGAGCCGCGGCAAAGCAACATCTTCACCGGAAGAAATGACGGGGATCATGACGGTTATCGCATTAATGACAGACGCGCGTACGGAAGTGATCGTATGCCGCAGAAAGGGATAAAGAGCCGGTAGACGAGCAATGAGATGCTCGCGCGAGACAGAGGCAAGCATAGCACTGCTGGTCATAAGCGCAGTGAGGAGCTGGATAATGTCTGCAACCGAGCTTGAGAGATCATCGTGTGCCTGTTGAATGCAAGACCAGAGCATCTCGAGTAGCGCGTCCAGTGTCGCTTTCGGTAGGCGTTCACCGATGGTGCCGACGATGGGCAACAAAGCAGCGGCAGCGACACCTCTCACATCGTCATCTTTGTCCTTCAGGCCGGTCAAAGCGAGCGCGACAACCCTGTTGAGCAGAAGCGCATCGTCTTGTAGGATATCTTGGCGCGATTCGACGAGATAGCGTAGGCCGAGTAAACCGGCGTGTCTGACTTCCCATACAGACTTTTGATCGTCTTGCTTGATCATAGCTTCGAGAGCGTCGAAGGTCGAGGCAAGTGTGAACGATGGACAGTGGGCTATGAGGCTGGCGAGCGTTCTGCTTGCGGCTTCTCTTACTGGTGCTTTGACCGAGTCCCCGAGGTAGTCACCAAAGCGATCTCGCAAAAGGACTTCGAGTATGACGGTGATGAGCTCTGAGCACCAACGCTGATGCGCAGCTCGATTGTCTGCATCAGAGAGAGCAAGTGACATGCCGCCAGAGGCACCTTGAGATCTCAAGATCTCCGTGAGACCAAGCGCTGCGCCGTGCCGTATCGTCCATATTGGATCCGTGAGATCGTCCGCCAAACTCTCGGCGATGGCATGGAATGGCCATGTGTCGGCGCTGACATCGGAAAGATCTGGCATATCGTCTTCCGCTTTTATGGCTACCTGGCCTCCGATGACGGGTGGTTCTGCTATTGTCTGCTCGTCCTTTTTGTTGTCTATATTGTCGGCTTGCTGGGCTATAGTCGCCTCTATTGCGCGCTTCCTATCGCACTCGTGGATGTCAGCAAAGACCGCATGATGAATCGAAGACTGACTTTGAGCTAGTCTCTTTAGCCTCCGCTTTCCGTTTGCGCTTAAGTGCGTTCAGTTCACGAGCGCTGAGTGTCTTTGCAGGTGCGCCGTTTGTGTGCGCAGAGGCCGAAGCGGCCTGTTCGCCCTCTGCAAGTTCCTTTGCCATGTCTATACCGATGCTGAGATCTTCGCTCCGAGAGCCGGCGAAGTCAAGACCAAACTCTGATGCCAATGCTTTCTGCGATTTTTGCTGAGCTTCACGATCTGACGCGGTCAGTGGAGGTGCAAATTCGCCGCCAGCTGTTGCGAGAAGATGGGGTCGCTCGCGCATGATTTGCAGCGCGTTAAAGTCTGTCAAGGCATCGGAAGGCTCAGTCTGTGCTGCAGAGGTTACTCTGAGGTCGGTACTGCGAGGAGGGAGAGGATCCCAAACTCCAATAGCGCGACATATTGATTCGACGGCGAGTGCTGCAGCTATGCGTGTCTCGCCATTCCGTGACCGCAAATGCGGCACAATCTGCGCTGCCTATGGGTAACCTACTGGATCGCATCGGGGGCACTCACTTTGTTGAGTAAACTTATGATCTCTTGCCATTCGCCATCAATGCCTCTCCAAGACGACGCGGTACTCTCGCCCAGCAGGAGCTGACCCGTCTCTCTGACATTCCTAGCGAGCGAAGAGGACGGTCCCGAAGCAGCAGCTGGCCCTGAGCTTGTGTGCTGGATGCGCTGACCCGCAATCTGACCAAGCTGGCGTGCTGCCGTCTGACGGACGGTGCTTGTCTGTCCAGTCGACAGCAGCAAGATCAGGCGGTCCAACCTGATCGCTTGACGTGATTAGCACATGAGCTTTACAGGGAGCATGACAGAGTCGCTCACCTGGTGGCCATTGTGAGCTGTGCGCTGCTGCTTTGTAGCACCCTTGTGATGAATTTGGTCGCTGCTTATATTGCCAGGTGTCGCGCTCGTGCGACAGATCAGATCAATGACACGACCCCTGGCTTACTTCCAGTCCGCACGCCTCCCAGGCCTGAGCAGCCATTCTGTTCAAGGTCGTCGTGGCATCCATCTGCATTCCTTTGATTCACAATGCTGGACATCGTCTGTCTGCTTGCCTATCCGAACTCCAAAAGCTTATCAATAAGTATCATGAGCACCAGAACAAGAAATTCCTGCAAGAGATCTCGTCGATGTAGCAAAGATTGACTTGGCACCATGCCACATGCGGTGGATTACTTGCTGCTCCAAAGGCGCTTACGTCACGAACAAGCCCCGCTTAAAAGCAACCCATACATGCTCCGTTCGAGTCTCTGCTACTACCGGCTGTTCTATGTCAACCGATAGAATCGTCATCCACAGCTAATATGAGCGACCACGATCCAAAAACAGAGGAGAAGAAGGCCCGTCCAAAGTGGCGCCCTTCTTCACTACCAAATTTTTTATGCTTCGTGTCGAACGGCAGTAGCCTGAGCTTACAAGCCGCGCGATAATGTCAGTTGCCTCGTTAGTGGCAATGGACTGCGGACTCTACTGCATTTTGTCCGCATACCTGCCTTATTGATAGAATGACGCATGGTTGCCCTCGAGCAATCGGTACCCTAGAAGTATCTTCGCAGATGGAGCCGAGAAATTGCGCGAAGCATATTTTGGTACACTCAAGCAGCGTATAGATTGGGTCTGGCACGCTGATGTAGCCCTGTGCCTGCGTGGCCAGAGCGTTTCGAAGTCGATCGGCTCATGTGATGCTACTGCGGATCCGTATCGTATTCTACACAGGCACGACTGAGAGATCGCGTGTCGCATCCAGGATGGTCGCAGATGATCATCTTGCAAAGGGCCTTTCGCTACGCACGGCAACTCGTCACCAGTTTCTGCAAGGCCTCGGCCGCGTTTGAGCGAGCCGTACCCGCGTCATCATCATTACGGTATCTCCAGCTTCTTGGGCCGAGACACGCCGATCGTCGACGAAAACGGAATTCTGCATTATGCATGTGATGAATTTTATCGCTCGCGGATAGTCGGCCGAGACTGCTGATCAATCACGCTTGTAAGCGAGTCATCGTAACGCCGCCGCCGTCGGACTGTTTCGACCGCCGAAGGAGTGCGAATTCGTCAGCCGAGTCATGGAAGAGAGGTGCTACATAAGAAGCACCTCTCCTCCGCAAAGTATCCTCCAACACTTCTGTACTACGACCCTCGGAAGCAAAGCGAAATAGAGCGACCACACTGTAAACAAGCCGAGGAGATAGGCTTGATCCACGCATCGCGCGCATGTGAGCCTCGCATGCCCACCGGAGACCGGACAACATACTGACTCGCATGCTCTGCAGATACTACTCAAGCCAGCGCGGCGAACACCAGACATGTCTGCCCTCGAGACCCGCGCACCCTGGTACCCGATGCTCTTCGACGAAGTGCCCAAGAAACCGACCATAGAAGCGGTCAGGCGGCCGAGCTTGCTCTCACCTGAGCCATTACTGCCAGAATCCCGCCGAGGGTCTACCTCCAGCTCCGGCGATGACGACGATGTCACGGATCTCTTCCTACCGCCATCAGCCTTGACGCCGGAGGCCGCGGTCATCAGCGCATTTAGCAAATACGCAAACGCTTTGCTTGTAGCTGCCGGCATCGTACTCAGCCTTCTCGCACTACTCATCGCTGCAGCACGAGCAATCCTGCCTCCAGCTAAAGCTCCGGCGAAACAAGCCGAGAGGCCTCGACTGACGAGGACAACGAGCCCTGCTAAAGCCGCACCTGCACCCACAGAGCCTAAGTCCGCATCTCGAAGCGAAACTGCAAGTCCAACAAGACGCTCGAGGCCATCATGGACAACGATAAATGGGCATGCCTCGATGCGCTATTCGGCCTCGTCGGCATCGAGCTATCAGCCGCGTCAGAAGCTGCCTGCAGTCTTGGAGCGCAACGAAGCAGAACAGATGCTACAAGAAGCAGGCATTCAGCACCCCCTTCAGACATCGTCCGGCGCCATGTATGCTAGCACGAGCAAACCCGTTCTGTCACCGTTATTGCTGCCTACGACATCCGAGGCACCAGTGTCTGCCAAACGCTGGGGCAAGAAGCGCGCAACTTCGACTGCCTCGCTCGAGCTCGGTGCTTCGCCCTCGCGGTCATCGTCCGAGAACAGCAGCGAAACGTCATCGCTGAATGAAACGACCAAGAAGGCGTGCTCTCTTAGTCGCATGTTCAAAAAGCGCAGTAAAGCTGCCAAAGCGCCGGAACGTCCTTCGATGGTCCGGCGACTCAGCTTTTGCCAGCGCTGTCGCAACTTGCACAAGAGCAGCTCTGCCTGCAACCTAGCCGAGCTCGTATCGGCAAAGCTTTCTCGTCGAGACTCAATGTCCTCCAGCTCGACTGCAGCAAGCAGCTATAAGGCGAATAGAAAAGTCGCATTCGAGGTAGAGGAAGACTGGGATACAGATGCAACGAGTTTCGAAGACGAGCTGACGCCAATGTCAAAGACTACTCAATGAAAGGTGTATCATTGTAATGAATGTTTCGAAACAATTCATGGGGTGCGATTGAAAAGTGCATTGGACACTACAAATGAGGGAAAGCCGAAAGGTGCGCATCTGCATGCTTTAGTGGAGCGGGATGTTGGCGAGCCAACGATTGAACATGTCGAGAGACTCGGCTGGCAGATTGAAAGGGACCATGTGGCCAGCATCGAACAGTCGTACGAATGTGTAATTGCCTGCACCTGGTCCTGCCTGTCTGACTGTGCCTGCTTTCTTGCCTTCGAGAGTGACAAAAGACTTTGCCTTTGAAGCTGCGAACTCCTTCGTGAAGGGCGATTCGAGGTGATTCATCCAGATCTCGTTGCCGACCCAGTTGCACATGAAGCTGTCAACGACATCATAAGCTGTGTGCAGGGCCTTACGAAAGAAGCCTCACTCTTCGACGCCATCGTATTCGATGACACGGATGCCATCCTTAAGCAAAGGTACGAGCAGCGCACCAGCATCAAACATCGAATCGCCTTGGAACTGGAAAGCTCGGTTGACGTCCATATTGCAGGATTGGAATTCGAGCTTGGTGGGAACGCCGAGCGCTTTCTTGGTTTCTGGCTTGTTGAGGAAGACTTCGATCCATTGCATCTCCTTGTAGCAGAGAGGGCCATCCTCGCCATTGCGGTCACATTTCTTTCGGACATCATATGGGCTATAATGGCAGATCAGCAAGACACCACGCAATATTGCGCATGAACTTACTTGAGACCCGTATCCTGGAAGGGACCGTACATGTTCGACCAGCAGTATAAATTGGCAGGGATGCATCTGAAGCGCGAGCCGGAATCGCGGCAGGCTTGGACGAGCTTGGCGCACGTTTGACCCTTTGATTTGAGGCTTTCGCAAGTCGAAGGCGAGAAGAGACTCTTCTCCTCGCAGCCGTAGGTCTCGACTGCAGGCATCTGATACAGGGCATCGGTCAAACCGTTGCCGATCATGACGGTATCGAGGTTGATGCGCCTGTTGGATGCAGCTGCAGATCGAAGTCCCTTTGTGAGCTCCAGGTTCTTCTTATGGATGTACGAGGCGACATTGGGGGCGTATCTATAACTCCGCATCAGCCCGGTGAATGGCGTTCGGCGTTCTACTCACATGCCACCGTACGACTCTGCTGCGACGGTGAACGGCAAGCTGGCATAAGCCTCAAATTCGTGGAAGAACAGCTGCAGCAAGGCATAGAGATCTTCGGCCGTCTGAGGCGAGTTGTTGACACTGTCGCCTTGCTCAGACCAGCTGTAGCCGACTTGAACGGGCGAGTCGACAAAGAGTACGTTCGCCTTGCTGTTCCAGCTCGAGGGGTTGTATTCGAGCTTCTCGCCGCCCTCACGAACGTTACATGGGCCAAGTTCGAACAGCAGGCCAGTCGAAGAGGAGCATCCAGGACCTCCATTGAGCCAGAGTACCATAGGATCAGTAGATGGACTGCTGCGAGACTCGAAGAACCAGAAGAACCTAGACCGCTCAGCCATCAGTCGGCTGGTATCCATGCGAGAATGCCAAAGGCACGCACAGATGCTTGGTGTCAGAGATGTCGAGATAGCCAGAGTACTGTTGGACAGTGTCGTCACAGATCGTCGGTTCCTGGAATCTGACCTTGTACTGAGCAAACTTGGGGTCAGGGTGAACGATCGTATGGAAGCCTGGCGTCATGTCGCGGTGAGATGCGCGCAAGCCTTTGTTTGCGTTGGACATGATGGCGTTGAGTGCAGATTCGGTGGAGTGTCCGATGGTCTCGAAGAGATCGCCGAGCTCATCGCTCGCTAGAAGCTTATCGAGCGAGGCCGAAGCGCTCGATGACGATACAGACGATAGCGTGCGATCTACGACGTTGTCGATGAGATAGGTGGCCGAGTCGAGCAGTGCCCTAGCTTCTCGAGTGATGCTCTGTCGGCCGGTCGAGACAGCCTCGCTGACGGGCTTGGGCAAGATGGACAAGAGTGAATCGGCGCCTTTGGCAGCGGCATGTTCGAGTCGAAGCTGAGAAGGCAGCCTTCGCAGCGATCCAGCATCAAAGGTGAATTGCTGCTGCTGTCCGGCTACGAAGCCTGCAGCTAGTAGGGCTATGCCGGCTGTACGCATCCTTGCTCGTCTCGCCGGTCGGTTGGCCAGTGACGTGTGACGCGGACGAACATCTCATGATCATCTCCCGCGTCGGCCAATCTCACTATCTCAATGTGGGGTTCACGCCGAATGTGCTCTGAACTGGACAAGAATGTCTCGTACGCCGGCTACGGCCAAACAGTCGAGACATGCATATACTATATGATGATGAAGAGAGCTCGGCGAGTCCAAGCAGAGTGAATTGGCGCTTTTTGAGTCTGCATGCGCTCAGCACGCGCACGCGCACCGCTCGGAAGAGAAGTCTTTCAACGTCATATTGCGCACTGATGCGTCCAGGGCAAACTGCGGCCCTGGCGAGCCGAGGAGGTGAATTGTCATATCTAAATATCTGCGCGTCTCATGTATCATAGAGCCGGGCACTCTACTTAGGCGATTGGTCGGCCGGACCGGACACTCAGATGAATTTCTGAGGTGATGAGCAACACTCGACTGTGCTTGTTGCTCTGGAGCTATGCCAGCTGGGTGACTTGTTTCTCGTCATTTCTTTCTGCCAGGCATCGCAGCTCGAATTTACGATGAGGCTCCAAGCCCTGCTTTGCTTGAGCCATCTCGTAGTAGTCCTGAGTACCCTATCGAAGATACATTGTCGAAGATACATTGAGACCAGATCAGACGAGTCTGTGGGAGGGAGCGTCGAAGAACTGAGCGAATCCGACCGAGATCGTTCGAAACGCGCGCGACAGGAAAGCGCCAGTCGGGCTGCCTGCGTCACCTTGCATAAGACGTAGCATGCCGCCATCAGCGAGCGTAGTGCAGAAGCGAATAGCTCACGAGATCAAGAATCTATCACAGGACAACGGAGTCGAGGGCGTCAAGTCAGTCTTGTGAGATTCAGCATTGACGTCAGGAATGACAGCCCTACCCATCGTAGAGCTAGGCCTAAAGATGACGGCAACATGTTTGACTGGTATGCCGAGCTCCAAGTCAGCAACGTTCGGCTCTACTCGCTCATCAGTCGCTTACAGCACTGCAGGGACCGGCCAATTCGCCTTATGAGGGCGGCTTGTTCAAGCTGAGCATCATCCTGCCAAGAGACTATCCCTTCAAGTAGGTGCTCAACACGTGTAGACGGCCGTGCTCATCTCGCTATGCAGACCGTGCGCATGTTCTCCCTTGGGATCCACCTCTAAGCTTACAGTCGGTCCAGACCGCAGCTGCAATTCCAGACCAAAGTCTATCATCCCAACATCAACCAGAACGGGCACATCTGCCTCGACGTGCTCAAGCATGCCTGGTCACCCGCTTTGACAATCTCCAAAGTACTATTGTCACTGTGAGTCGGCTCTCAATCGATGTGTTCGCTTGACGACATCTAACGCACGCGCCACAGTCTGTCGCTCCTGACAGATCCAAACCCTGACGATCCTCTTGTGGGCGAGATCGCAATGGAATATCGCAGCAATCGAAAGCGGTACGACCAGACCGCGCGAGAATGGACGTCAAAGTACGCTCGTCCGCCGCCAGGACACGAGATGCTGGCCAACATGGGATCCGATGGAAAGTCTGTCGTCATCGACCTCGACAGCTCGCCAGCGCAACTCACAAGCAACACTCCCGCTGTCCCGCGTGTCAATGCTGCGCCACCTGTACCGACCGCGCGGACATCCCGTACTCGCACTCGCTCTGAACGCCAGGAGGATGCCATCGTCATACCGAGCAGTCCAGAATCGCCAACACTGCCTGACACTCGGCCCCGTACGCGTCGGCGAGTCGCTGCAGAGCAGCAGGTTATCGACATCGATTGAGCTCACCGCGCATGTCATGATGTTGTACAATCGACGCAGTCATGTATTTACAGAGCAACCCATCACTGATAGAGGCCTCGACAAGGGCACAAATGCCGCTTACAGGCGCATCGGGTTGCATCCAAGTGGTCAGGCGTGCGCATGCGCGGTCCGATTGATCGCGACGCGCTCGCCTTGCCCATTGAAAAGCTTCTCACGACGCTGAACCCCCTGTGCTCGCTGGACAATGCTACCTTTGCGTTCCCTCGTGATTCATCTGCTGCTCTTCAACAGTCTCGCATTCGCCTTTCGGCCCAAATGGACTGTCTGGAGGCTCAAGCCAAGACTACGTGCAGTCTGTCCAGGCACTGGCCCGGCACCGACAGAGTTCATGTGGGACATGCCGGAATCGGTCACACTTCAGCTCATACCATGGCAAAGCGGTCTCTGGTCTTTCGAGCGCATCAATGCCGTACGTCCTGGGCTTCCGGGTCGAACTCGAGCTCAAGCGGGCAAAACCACCAGCCTCTTGACTCAGAAGTCTCGTTCAGAACTCATCCCACATGGACAAGCTTCGAGAATGACGACATCGTGCTGCCCGTCACAATGACCGTCACAATGAAAGCTTGGAGCACAAGGGCGCAGACCAATGATTTTGTTCAGCCCTATCGGTCCTGCTGCAAAGTCGTCCGTCATTACTTTGAGCCCGAGACTGCTTGTCTCATGTAGCATTCTTCCAACCAGATCTACCGGATGAGACTCCAATTTTCCCTCATCGAGGGCATGTACTCGCACCCATACAGCCAACTCGAGCTGACGCTCACTCCGTCAGGTGTCATCGTCATGTCAACTTCGGATATGGTCAGACTCTGTCGTTCGTCCAGCGAGAGCTCGCTTGCACTCGATAGGTGGCCGTCCTGTCCTGCTCGATATTCGGCCCCAGAGAATCGTCAGTCTATCATGCTCCGAGTCATGCTGATATGCAGCTCATCATCTCGCAGTTCTCGTGGAATGCGTGCAAGACGGCACCAAGATTGACTGGGCCAGGGGTTGCGATGACTTCCAGATTGGCTGTGTACCGTTCTAGAGGGCGCCAACAGCTTTGCATTTGCGACGAGAAGCATCACTAGGCATAGTATTCGCTGACCGGCTGCGTATTGACGAAGAGCCTGCTAGCTTTGTCAGCGGCGATATTGTCGACTTGAGCCGGATAGCCCCCTTTGAGCCTCTATACTGTGCATTCAAGCAGATATAGTGTCAAGGGATGTAAGACAACGCACAAGAACAGAGCCTCGGGCCATTGACACGCCGAGGTTGTTATACGACGAGATGGACGTTTGGCCGTACATGTGCTGGAAGACAATGTTCACTGTCTGTGTTGGCGTCGGAGAGACAAGCCAGCGTAAGGTGGCTTGGCCATGAGCATCTACAGCAGTATCTTTGGACCTCCAGTTGGCAGCCCGGACAGGCTGGATGATGAGGTGCTATTTGCCAACGATGTCAACTTCGATTTGCAAGCAAGGTGGCTGCTCGTTTTGTCCTTTTTGTCGATCTCAATCCTGAACTCAGTGGAGACGGCGATAGTCTGCTCTCCGGGAGCAAAACTTTGGGGAGCAGCATTCATCCAGGGAGTGAGTCACTGAGAAGGTGGGTTGTTGGGAACGGCCACAGCGGTGACTGTGCAGGACAACGCAAGAATTGCGGCAAGCATGGTGCAGAAGCGCCGGCTGGTCATGTTGACGAATAATCTGCTGCTGGGTATTTGAGAGGAGGACGGGTCGCTCAAGGATCCTTGACGATGAAGCACAAAATACTTGTGACATGACGCGGAGTGTCTCGCCTTTGATCCTCGATGTGGCGAATCACAGTAAACTTGGATTAGCGAGACAGACGTGCAGCCTGAGCTCTCAAGAGCTGCGCAAGGGCTTCATACGTCTAGTAATGACTCACTTTGACCACTGCATTGATCCATGGAGGTTTTGGCGAGCAACGGGCAGGGGCAATGTTGCTGGGGAAACGCAGTGTGAATCCCTGAGATGCATCTCTGCTCGTTGCTCCGATCAAGACTAGCCGACTATGTTTGCCCGTGTGATCTGTCTTGCCCTCGCGGCTTTGTCGAGCGTCAGTGCTCTGCCACAAGGTCCCGCCACCAACGCTGGCAATGTCGGGTTGCAAGCGCCTTCGGTTGCCGATCTTGCTGCAAGTCAGCTGGCAACGAGAGACGAGCTTGGCCATTACTACACGGCACATTTGTCTTGCTACACCTTTGGCCAGAAGCTGATCTTCTCTGCCACCTTTGGCGTTCGCAAACACCTGCCTTCCAATGCGAGTCCATCGTCGAGCACACAAAGCTACCGCAACCCGGCTGACGAGCTGAACAGAGCGTGCAAATCCTCAACTACCGTCTTCCTCTGCACGTCACGCCGGGCCGAAGCGGTCACGGAACGCAGAACCCAGACGCCTTGCATCAATGCTGGCAATGTGCGTACTTTGACCAGCTTTGTCTACAGACGGCTGACAGGGTAACAGTCGCATATGGCCCGAGTCATGCTACTGCTTGCTTTTTGAGCCATCGCGGAAGTAAGATCATCGACGCCTGGTTGCTCGATTCGACCGACCTGCCCGATGCCGCTGGTGTGAGTTTGCTCGTCTTGCTCATTTCCCAGCTGACGAAATGTAGGCCAATCAACCTGTAACGAGCTACAGGCAAGCGGTCGCTGAACTTTGCTTCCGAATTCCGCTGATACCCGAGATAGATTGACATTCAATGGCGTCAAGGTCGGTGTCAAGAGCATTGAGCAAGGTTGATCGCTCGTAGCAGATGCCTCGTGCTGGTGTGCTGGCATACTTTCGGCCTCGAGGCCCTCTCCTATTGGGCGTTGGTTGTGAATGCAGATAGTCATTCTTTTGCTGTGCTTTATATGCGTCCGCAAAGGGACATGCGCGGCCGGAGCTACACTCAAAACGAGGTGCGCTCGAATGAGGCAACAACTTGGTAGCGTTTTGCGGATCGGCAAAGCCAGAAGATGAAGCAACAGATTTATATGGGTTTGCTCGTCATGGGTGCAGTCTTCGCTGTAGAGGCTCTGCCGCACGACGAGGCAGCTCCTGCACTCGACGCTCGAGAATTGACGGGCCGGGCTGGCGCGGTCGAAGTACTCGGCGACTATTATAGCGCCAATCTGAAACTTCACAGTGCCGACAAGCAGTTGCTGTTTAGCGCAAGCTTTGGCATCCGAAAGCGATTGCCGTCCAATGTGAGGTGATGGCTTGACTTTGGCCGCATGCTGACCAACAAGCCAGTCTGTCGATATTTTGAACTTTGCCAGCACACTGAAAGTCTCATGGTATGACGATGGCATGTACCTTGGTGTTGACAACATCTTGCTGGCTTGCTTCAAATGTCGCCAGTTGGTGCGTGTTGGCCAGCACCGATGCTGACACATGCTTTGGCAGTCGCTTACGGCGTCAAGGACGATTTCTGGGTGAGCGCATGTTTCCAGCATGCCCGTGGATCCAAGACGATCGACTCGTATTATATCGAAGAGGTCAACCTCGTCAATCACCAAGATGTAGGCTCGTTCATTATGTTCTTGTCAAGCACTCTGATGATGGTATTGTGCGTACTGGACAGATCGACGCAGGCGCAATCCAGTACGAGTGCGTGCAGGGCTTGTATGGACCTGAAAGCTACTGATGGCTGCGCCAGCTTGACCTTCAACGGCAAGAAAGTACAGTATCTCAGTCCTGACTCGGAGTCTTGACGAGCTTCTGTCTATACGACCTTCTGGCAATCGACAGCAGAGCAGGCTTGTTGTCGGGATGCACTGTTCCTCTGCGATACAGACTGCTGATGCTAGGCTCGAGAGGCACTGCATGTTCAACGGTGGGCTCTGCTGTGCCTGCCGAAAAGAGTGAAGATGCACAGAGCGACCAATGGAGATGTGGCTGCGCGCTAGCATCGCGTTTCAGTGCCGGCACAGCCATCCGCTGAGTCGATGCACCTTGACAACTCTCATACTCGTACAGCACTGGCAAAAGATGCGAGCAACACTCTCGTGGTTACTGACCTTGCTCGGTCCACTCTGCGCATCTGGCAGCGTGGTGCCTTTTAGCATTGCCTCGTCGGTCGAGGCGCATGGCGTGGGAGATACAATCGAGTTGGCCGAAGTGCTGGGCGAGTACTACAGTGCCAGTTTCAAGATCCACAACAGCAAGGGTCGGCTCGAATTCAGCACAAGCTTCGGGATCAGGAAGCGCTTGCCGTCCAACGTGATTGGTTTTCTTGGCTTGCATGTTTGGCGAGCAAGTCTGACGAGCAGGGCAGTCGATCGACATTCTCAACTTTGACGAGCCTCTTCGCGTCTCGTGGCGTCAGGATGGCATGAAGTACGAAGATAACAATGCCCTGGTTGCGTGCTTCTACTGTGGGTCGTGACGCGTGTCGGCGTTCGGGCTGACGAGCTCGTGCTTGTAGTCATCTACAAGGTAGAGGTGGAGTTTGTAGAGCTCTGCTTCCAGCACCGTCGTGGCTCAAAGACGATCGACTCGTTCTCCGAGCCGAGCGATCAACTCCAAACGGCCGTTGATGTGCGTTCCTCGTGGCTTGAGTGGCATATGAAAACAGCTGATCCGGTGGCTTCGTACAGCTCTATGATGGGCCGGTCCAGTACAAGTGCGTGTACAATGGCAGCGTGAGAGAGCTCTACTGAGGAGTTCCCACAGCATGACCTTCAACGGTGCGCCGGTCAAGTTCCTAGGCACTGCTTATTATGAGTGATGTCATCCTCTTCCCCCGGTGACCATTGTCGGGGGTAGATCTGTCTCAGCAGAGCGCAAGCCTATTGCAGGCTACCCGTAGCTTCGTGTGTGTGAAAGAGAGAGAGAGAGCGCGAGGACGAGAGGATGAGTCAGCATGGGCACCTCACGGCCTCGCGGCGTCATGAGTCGAGGACAGTGCGCGATTGTTGCAGCGTCGAGCGAGATGGTGGAGGCAGACAAGCGAGAGCTGGACGATGCAGGAGAGGTCTACATCCCCATCAAGAAGCGGCGAGAGCTGCAGCTGCAGCAGCTCGCAGGTAAGACGGGCTCAGCAAGCCGACTGAGAGACGCAAGGCACGGTGATCTGTCCGACGATGAGCCAGAGGTCGTCATCAGGCAGTCGACGACAGGCAGACCGGCTGCTCAGACGCTCCTACAAGAAGCTCAAGAGGTCAAGCGAGTCAAGGCGGAGAGCGATGCTACCAAGACGAGCAGCCAGAGAAAGGACGAAGAGGAGGCAGCACTCTTGCAGTCGATTGCCAACAAGAAGAAGCTCGCTTCCGATCTCGAGCTGGCCAAGGGGATCGTCTACAGAGAGCCACTCAAGACTAGGTGTGTATCTTACTACTGAGCCCTCCGACTGAACGCCGGCTGACCATGCAATCAGCTGGCGAGCACCGCGATATATCAGAGAACGGACTGAAGTCGAGCACGAGGCGATCAGGACAAAGTTTCACATCCACGCAGAGACAACAGCAGAGGATGACGAGATCCCTCCGCCCATCCCCACGTTTGCAGAGATGAAGCTACCCCGGCCAATCCTCAAACACCTCAAAGCCAAGAAGATCCTCGCGCCTACACCTATCCAGCTCCAAGGCATTCCCGTCGCTTTGCAAGGACGTGACATGATAGGCGTCGCCTTCACAGGATCGGGGAAGACGCTCGCATTCTCGCTGCCTCTGCTCATGTTCGCCGTTGAAGCCGAAAAGAGACTACCTTTTACTTCCAGCGAGGGACCGATTGGCGTCATCATCTGTCCCTCTCGAGAACTCGCGAGACAGACCTACGAAGGTCTGCTCGAGATGGCAAAGGCCCTAGAGTACGATGGCTATCCACAAGTCAACACACTCCTCGCTATCGGCGGCCTAGACATGAGAGAGCAGCAACACGTCTTTGCAAAGGGCGTCCACATGGTCGTCGCTACGCCTGGCAGATTGCAAGATCTGCTGAGCAAGCAAAAGATCAACTTTGATTCTTGCAAATACCTCTGCATGGACGAAGCCGACAGGATGATCGATATGGGCTTCGAAGAGGACGTGCGAAATATCATGTCTTTCTTCAAGCATCAAAGGCAGACTCTGCTCTTTTCGGCTACTATGCCCGCCAAGATAAGGGACTTTGCCCAAGCATCACTCATCAAGCCCATCATCGTCAACGTTGGACGATCGGGCGCTGCCAATCTCGACATCATCCAAGAAGTAGAATACGTCAAGCAAGAGGCAAAGATGGTCTACTTGCTCGAATGCTTGCAAAAGACGCCACCGCCCGTCATCATCTTCAGTGACAACAAGAACGAGGTCGACGATATACAAGAGTATCTGCTACTCAAAGGCGTCGAGGCCGTTGCCATTCACGGCAGCAAGACACAGGAAGAGCGAGAATATGCCATCAAGTCGTTCAAGTCTCATGCTCGCGATGTCCTCGTCGCAAGCGGTGTCGCTTCCAAGGTATGTGACCTCTGCACAGCCTCAGCTCTTGCTGATCCGAGCTATGCAGGGATTGGACTTTGCAGAGATACAGCATGTCATCAATTTCAGTATGCCAAAGGAAATCGAAGACTACGTCCATCAGATCGGTCGTACTGGACGATCCGGCAAGACAGGCATAGCAACGACATTCGTCAACGTCAACACATCAGAGCCGACCTTGCTCGATCTCAAGTATCTCCTCCTGGAAGCTAAGCAGCGCGTCCCGCCCTTTTTGCTCCAGATCGATGATCCCAATGCCGGCGCACTCAGCAAGCCTTGCGGCGTCTGTGGCGGTCTGGGCCATTACATGCAAGACTGTCCCAAGCTGGCAGACAATCAACGCAGGATACAGAGCTCACACATTGGTGGCGAAAGGGATCGTGGCGGTGGATCTTACTAGGCTCAATTTGGCTCGGTATTCACATGGGTGTTGTTGTACGATCTGCATAGTGTCACACAACATTGGTGTCAGATGAGTTCTACGAATCTTTGCCAGCGCATGACGAGTTCTCGTACGTAGGCCTCGTAGGCGCCCTTGGAGACTTCGAAGAGCTCCTTGTGCTGCTTGCCGCAATCTCGACAGGGCAGGTCTGTGATGGACATTGCAGCATCGCTTCCGAGTCTGTCGATATGGTCCAGCGCGACCCTTCCTGCCATCTCGCTGCGTGCTTGCAATCAGCACAGTTCCCAACTCCATAGACGCCAGACTGACATAAGGCAGAGCCTCTCCCAGCGGAAATTGTAGGGTGCAGGATCGCGGGCAAGCAATGCGCCGCTTGCATGCATGCCTTCGTTGCTTACACCGTACTTTCGAGTTTGTAGATGAGCGAGCGGGTGGTCCGGATGAAGCGGAAAGAAGTCGCGAACGATGGGCGAGCGTGAGGGACACTGTCTCTTCCACTCGCGCAGCCTTCTTGCTAGATCTTTCGTTCTTCCGACCTTGATGAAGGTCGTGTCTGTCTTTACATAAGTAAGCTAACGTATGCAAGCATCCTCTGACTCACCTGATCGAGCATGCGACTTGGGAGCGAGCTCGTAGACATACATGCTTCCAGGTACATCATGCGACGTGACCTGTGCACGCATAGTAGCTCGTAGCTGCAGCTTTGTCTCCTCGGGCAGGCCGTCCGGTATCCAGTCTGCATTGCGATCAGCCTCGGCCTAGAGTCAGCGAGGCAGCTCACCAGAGAAGAGCTGCCAGTTGGAGTCGCGCAGATACATGCCCTCATCTTCGAGTAGATGCTTGCCATGCTGATGACAGAACACCGGCAGTCTGTCCTCTTCCCGCACGGCGACGGGCTCGTCCGAGTCCGCATGCAGTATCGACACGTCAAATTCGTCCTCGTCGCTATCGACAATTTCAAACTCGTTCTTGTCCAGCTGACGAACACCACGCGAAGGAGTTTGAGCTCGACTGCCTTTGCCTCTCTGAGTCAGCCTTCGCTCGACGCGTTGCAATGAAGCTTGTGTAACGGATGAGAGCGCTCGTTGTAGAGGTGCGCTTGCCGTCGTATGGCTCAGCTCGCCCGCTTTGACTTTGCGTTCACATCGTTTGCCGGCACTGGTGATGCCGGAACACTGCACGAGAGTGATCTTGCTGCTTGGGCCAGGACTAGGCGATGCGCGCGGTCTGGTAGCTTTCGTCGGCGTCGAGGAGCTCCCTTTGGTTAGCGAAGAGCTCGCACTGGGGGCTTCATGTTTCGACGGCGTATGCATGACGGGCTTTGGCTGGGGCCTAGAAGGTGAGGCATGCGGGAGAGAGTGAGCAAGGGGTGGCAGATTGGCCATCACACTTGCGCTCGACTGTCCATAGCAGTGAGGCGGTACATTCATCGGAACCGGCGCCAGAGGCTGCTTTGGGATGCTATTCTGCGCCGGACAATATGCGTACTCGTCTCTGGCCAGATTGATCTTGACCTGATCATGTTTGCCAGGCGATGGAGTCGCAAAGGGGTTCGGCCTCGGACCTGCTGGGCTACCTCGTGTCGGTGAGCCCATCGAGCGACGTGATGATGGCATGGGCATGGCTAAGGGAGATCTCTCCTCAATGCTGAGCCGAGTATTGGCCAGCTGGTGAGCGAGACAATCTGCTGACTGCGCGTTGACATCTTTGTCAGGCGAATGAGAGCGAGCGCGCTGGATCAAGTGCTTCAGCGTCGCTCGCACACCTCTGTGCTCGATTGCTAAGCGATCTGGCATGCCTCGCTGCCCGTCCAATGCCATGAGGGCCGCTGGCAGTCAGGCACTGCCCCGTCAGCAGATGTCAAATTTATAATTATTGCAGCGCGACCGCGTCTATCAATCGAAAGTCACGAGGCAGGCAACTCGTCTCACCGGACGATGCGAGTCAGACGTGATCGTCCAGCGACAAGCAGGGCAATGACATGCTTCGGTCTCAAACAAGCCTGATGCCCTGGTCTTGTGCGCGCGCACACAGCACTTGCGATCCGTCGTCTGGAGCGACGCGCACAGGTGATGCATTAGCGTAGACGATCGCACAGCCTGTTGGCCGCCATCCTAAGGTGCCTATAAGCAGATTCTCATCAGCCTCGTGCATGTCGGGTGGATCGGTCACACACATTAATAGTGACCTTGTTTCGTTGATTGGGGTCGTCGCTGCACTGGAAGCCATAGCCAGGCACGTTCTCAGGCATGATACCGTTATACTTTGCTTGCACGAGGCCGGCAGCTTCGATATTGCCGTCATGTGCAACTATGGGCTGCAAAAGAACTTCGAAGGTGTCCTTGGTGGGGTTGTCCAGCTGGCCGGATACTTTCATATTAGGATTGACGATCGTCTGGCCGTTCTTGATGACAGGGGGGTCGTACTCCGTGCTCTTGATAACACCTTCAGCGACGACCTGGTAAGTTCCCGATTTCGGGTTCCATATGAGAGGCCACTGGAGAGCGAGCGGATCCTCGACGAAAGGGAATTTGATCTGCTCTCGACCGTGAGCGCAATCGTGATTCGTCGCGTCAGTCTAAATACCTGAATACCGCACCACGTGTAAGGGCCGGTATGACGACGCACGAGTCTGTTAGCATCACGTGCTTCGATCGGATTGGTGTTGATGCTCGCCGCTGAGATGAGCGAGGTCAACGAGAAGATGAGGGCAGTAGCAAAGAGCATGCTAAGAAGTCGCCGGTATAGCTTGTTGCTTGTTTGTCGATCTTGCAGTGCGCTTTGATGAGTGAAGAGAGATAAAACTCGCCGAGGGTCATTCGACGCCGAAACGCTTTGGCATAGCAAGGTGATACGTCGGAGAGCACGTCGATACGACGCAACGCTTCATCCCTTGCTTGTGTCCGCCGTTATTGTGCTGAATGCTCACTCCAAGCCGAAAGGGTCAGAAGTACGAGCCAGGCGCCGGCAAAGGGCGATGATCGCCGTGACCTCGCACGCGTGAGCCGGCACATCGAGCGAGCACACGACGCACGATCGTGACGAAGAACGAGACGATGCTCATCCCGATCGAGCTTCTGAGACGGATGAGAGAAGGCACAGTCAAGACTTCACGAGGGCTAGTGATGCGTACGATGCAACGCGTGCAACGCGACCGCGTCAATTACTTCAAACCACGAGGCAAGCCGGTATCTTGCCAGCCCAGACAAGTCAGACTAAGACGTTCAGCTGTTAATTCGCAAAGAGTATCCTCCCAGATTGGTCAGCCCTCGTGCTGCAGCCTTGAGCGCACACAGCACTTGCAATCCAAAAGGATGCGCAACCCTCGGTGATGCATGGAAGAAGTAGACGATCGCACAGTCATCAATGTCCGGCTCGCCTCAGTACCATGCAATCTATGGAAAGAGATGTCAGCCTGGTACACAGCGAGCATACATGTCGCGCACGGGTATCACGGGTATCGTGTACTTGTTTGCTTGCTTAGGATCGTCGCTGCACTGGAAGCGATAGGAAGGCATGTTGGCAGGGGCCACACCGTTATACTTTGCTTGCACGAGGCCGGCAGCTTCGATGTTGCCATCATGTGCAATTTGGAGCTGCAAAAGAACATCGAAGGTGTCCTTGGTGGCGTCGTCCAGCTGGCCAGATACTGCCAAGCTGGGATTGATAGTCGTCTGGCCGTTCTCAATGACAGAAGGATTGTACTTTGCGCTCGTGATGATGCCTTCGGGGTTGACCTGGTAGGTTCCCGATTTCGAGTTCCATTTGAGGCTCCATTGGAGCGCGAGTGAATCCTTGGCCAAAGGGAGTTCAATCTGCACTCAATTTAGAGGCGACAGCTCGACGAGATGCTGATCTGCTCACCTTGATGCCACACCACGTATAAGGGCCATTATGACGGTGCACGAGTCTGTTGGCATCACGAGCTTCGATCGGTTTGGTATCGATGCGTGCCGCCGAGATGAGCGAGGCGAGCGAGAAGATGAAGGCAGCAGGGACCATCATGATAGGGGACTCGCTGCTATAGCTGGTGACTTGTTTGTCGAGGTTGCAATGCGCTTCGATGAGAGAAGGGAGACAAGACTCGCCGAAGGTCATTCAAAGCCGAAACGCTTTTGCATAGCAAGGCGGTACGTCGGAAACCACGTCGATGTGATGCAATGCCTCATCTCCTACTTGTATCTGCCATGTTCGTGGCGCATGTGCACTGCGAAGGGATAAGGTTGAGACAGTGCCAGGCAAGCGCCCGCACAAGGCGATGGTCGTAGTGACGTCGCACGTGTGAGCCAGCAGATCGATCACAATCCCAGTACAGCTTCTGAGATAGATGGCGAAGAGCCGCGAAGCAAAGTCAACGCATTACGCATCATGCATCACGCATTGACTTGTCATACTCAAGCTTGGGAAGCGATCCAATGCATGCACAAGAACGAAGTCTTGTTCGACGTTTGCAGTCAACCGGAAAACGCTGACGCGGTGACTCGAGCATTGACGCCACTAGTACGACTGTGAAGAGATGCATCAGCGAGGGTGCCACAATATGTATGTATAAGAGAGCTTACAGGAATCGTGACTTTGTTTGTCTGGGTGGGGTCATCACTGCACTGGAAGCCGTAGCCAGGGTGCAGCTGGGGCGATCTCACTCCGTTGTAGCTGGCTCGAACAAGGCCGACGCCCTGGATGTCACCATCAGGTGCGACGACGAGTTGGAGGTAGATGTCAAAGGTATTCTTCGTCTCGAGCTCGCCAGCAATTTCCAGGTTGGCATTGACAATGTGGCCGTTCTTGAGGCCAGGGGGATCGTAATGACTCCAGGTGACAGCACCCTCATTAATGATCTCGTAGCTATGCTTGTCCTTGTCCCATCTGAGGGGCCATTGCAGCGCAAGAGTTACATCAGTATTGTATGCGATCTAACATTGAAGATGAGCGCAGACACTCAATGAGATGCTGATCGACCTACTTGGATGCCGCACCAAGTGTAAGGACCGGTATGACGACGCACGAGTCTGTTGGCATCACGAGCTTCGATCGGTTTGGTATCGATGCGCGCCGCCGAGATGAGCGAGGCGAGCGAGAAGATGAGGGCAGTAGGAACAATCATGCTGATAACTTGCTGATATAGGCTGTTGATCAAGATTGGCAAAATTCTTGGGTGAGTGAGAGAAGACAGATTCGCCGAAGGTCGTTCAAAGCCGAAACGCTTTGGCACGGTAAGCCCATGTTATGCATCTTGCGTGGAGACAGCTTCACTGCGCGGGTGCTTCTTTGTGTCCGCAGAGGGGTTTACATGAGCGCAAGCTGTATAGCTCGGATGGGAGGCCGTGACTGGTATTTCGCAAGCAAGAGGAGGAACTGCTGCAAGCACGCAGGTCATAATGATGCATCGAAATCAAATCTGTCAAACCGCGCTTGCATTTACGCATTTACAACACGGTCCTGGCATTTCTGTCGATTTGGTCAGCCACTTGCTCGAGACCGGCATTCGAGCGCTCACGGAGACCGTGACCTTGCCGCGTTGATTGATGGCATTGCCGCACTGACATCTGTGCTCGGGCTTGATCTGGGTAGTAACGTCGTTGTATTTAAGAGCATCGGTGGCTGCGGCTTCGATGTCGTTAACCGGCAATCTGGATTCGAAGGACGACCTTGAAGTGATCTCCGTGGAGAAAGAATCTGGCGTTGACTTGCTGGTATCCGCTACCGGAGGGAGGCTCGTAGATGCCGCCAGCGACGAGGCCGGTAGGCTTGACGGTGTACAGACCTTTGGCCAAAGACTATACAAGGTATCACTCGAGATCGAGCTTAGGACGATTTTCCTTCTTCTCGATCTAATGCGCGCGAATCAGCGCTGTATAGAATGCAGCAGCGGGCCAGCTAACCTCGAAGTTGGACCACTTGTAGCTGCCAAAGTGACGACGCTCGAGCGTGTTTGCGTCCGAACTTGCGTTGATGCTCGCGCTAAGAACGAGCAGCGGCTGGCAGGCGACAAAAGATGTGATAATCGCTTTCATGATCATCTTGCTAAGATCAAGACATGATGTTTGGCGACGAGCAGGACAGATTTGCGCTTGAGATCGCTTAAAGGCGAAATGCTTCAGCAATTTGAGGCATGTGCGGATGACTATGGCGCATCGCGGGTTGACTGTGCGATGATAAACGACGGGTTGGTCCAGGTGAATTGAAGAGCATAAGAATCAATACGGATGGCACGAATTGTGGCTCGCTAATGAAAATCTGGTCAAAGTCCGCGTACATTTGTTGCTAGCATACATTTTTCAAAGCCTCGCGAGAGGAGTCGTATGTACTGTGAGCAAGTATGAGCTTAGAAGCTCTGCGTGGAGCGCGTCAGCTATGCGTGAGACGGACGTCAAGAGACTCACAGGAATCGTGATCTTGTCTTCCTTGGCGGCATCGCTGCTGCACTGCAGAACGTATGAAGGCTTTGCAGTACGAGCCACGCCGTTCCAGGTGAGGGAGATGAGAGCAGCAGCTGTAATGTCGCCATCTCCAGCAACCTTGACCTGGAGGACGGCTCTGAAGTGGTCGCCATCGAGAACAAAGTTGGGGTCGAGCTGCTGGCCACCGGCCTGATGAGGAGGCGCGTAGTAGGCGTTGGTGACGAGGCCCGAAGGAGTGAGGGTGTAGAGACCGGAGCTGTATGCGAGGCCCCAAGTGAGGTCGAGCTCGGGCTGTTTGCCCTTTGGCTGGACCTGTAGCATGCCTGTCAGCATCGCCTCGGTTGAGACCACGCGCTCTTACGACGAGGTTGCACGACGTGTAGCTACCCGAATGACGGCGTTCGAGCGTGTTGGCGCCGGCTTCGGCGTTGATGCTAGCACCCGAAGCGAGCGTGGCAAGGTAGAGCACAAGAGCAGCAGGGATCATCTTGGTGAACATCTCGAATCTATTGAGCTTATCGAAGACGGAGAAAAGTCTGGCGGTGAGTGGGACGAGGATGATGCGCCGAAGGTCATTCAAAGCCGAGACACTTGAGCACAGCAAAGGCTGTGGCATCGACACAGCAGTCCGCATAGCCTGACAGCTGCCAAATATCAGATATCTATGGAAGTAGTCAGGCTTCGCACAGCCCTCCGGTGTCATGCGCAGAATGTGCCCGTGTGTCGACGGCGGACACCGCAGAAGGCTAAGGAGGACTGCAGCAGCTAATTGCATCGTTCTTCGGAAGTTGCCATCGCAACGCGCGGCGACCGCCAAAGGTACGCGTCCGAGCTGTCAAGGATGAGCACAAAGCGAAGCGGAACGTATCGCAGCTAGCGCTCAGTCGAGCGTCACTCTGCATGACCCGTCTCTTCATGCGGTCCATCCGCGCGAGAGTCCTGATGCATGTAGCATGTCGCGCATTGCAATGTGGGCGATGTGCGCCGTGCACGAGATAGTGACCGAGATTCAGAGCTCGAGGAGAGGATGTGTCGAGCCTACCTCTCGCCGATGGCTGGACTGGGTCATCCTGAGCCACCGACGTCCGACAAAGCGGAGGAACAAATTTCTACGCGACTTTGGGATTTTGCCAACGCCAGCAACACGATGGAGGACGCAGATTTGGCAGCAATCAGACAGGTCAGCATGCGCTCTGTGCCGACTGGAGCAATCGGCGTTGACACACTGACGAGCAGCGACGACTAGCCGAACTCGCGGGCAAGCAAGGGTCGTCGGGCTCTTTTGGACCGTCACCAACATCCTCATCAGCTTATGGGGGCAAGCAAGAGTCCGAGCAAGAGCAGCGGCAGGCCAGAGAAGATGAGGAGGAGCAGCGGCGTACGATCATGTCACAGATACTAGACAACCAGGCACGAGAGCGACGTAAGCACACGCGCATCACTGTGACCGTCAGGCCTGATGGACTAGCGCCAGTGTCTCGCATCAATCTGGTCAAACCAAGCAAGGCAAGAGCGATACAGGACATCCTCCTCAACATGGCGCGCTCCGGGCAGCTGCGTGGTCGGGTGACGGAGGAGCAATTGATCGGATTATTAGAGCAAGTCGAGCGACAACAGGCGTCATTCGAGAAGGACTCGTCAGCAGGCAAAATTACCGTCAGTACTTGCTTGGAATTTCTATGACTGTGCTCATGTTAAGCGCAGTTTTCACGGAAACGGGAGACGATTGCGAGGAATGAAGACGTCGACGCGCCAGATGAGGAAGACGACTTTGATCTCTGAGAGCAGCAGAGATGCATCCTTGCTTGCTGACATCTTCGGCTACCATCTGATACCATGATGGTTTGGGTCTGCAGTCGGCCAGCATTGACTCGAGGCTGTCCCGTGCATCAGCCACAAGTCTGCAATATGCAGTCAACCACACACGCAAAGGATTGCCCAGATCTTCGAGAATCTCGTCCGAGCACCATGGTCCCTGCGCTCGACGATCAGTGATGCTTCGACAGCCGGAACGGGCTGACCGTTTCGCCCTTCTGCTGGCATTCCATGAAAAAGCGCTCATTTGTCAATTTGGCAAAACGATGATTGACACCAAGATGAACGTAACCGTCCCAGACACCCTTACAGCAACCATACCACCCAGCGTTCGGTGCAAAGTTGTGCGTGCTCGAGTACCAGACTTTGATCGTCTTCTTCGAAACATCGTCAGGATCGCGGTTCGGTCCTACCACGAAGTGTTCCTCGATGCGATGGACGGTCTCCTGCAGACCGTACATCAGGCTGAACGCAATGCAACTTCAAGGAGCACTCACGACCTCGCCCCTGCCATTGCCATCGCGAGTCTCATAGATGGCCACCGTCGACATCACTGCTTGACACCGTTAAGCAAAGAAGAGAGACAAGGAAACAGCCTCGACGGACGCGGCTCGGTACTGGCGATCTTGAAGATGTTGTGAGCGAAACATTGGTACTGCACACTGTCAGGCGATGCTAGCGATAGAGCCGGCGCAAACTCGCCTCATACCAAATTTTCAGATTATATAGCTGAAGAAGGCTGCCAGGCAAAGCAAGCTGGCCCAAAGCGCCAGACGAGGTGTACCAAAACACACACGCTACAGCAAGAAGACGCATGCTTGCTTCTTCCAGCACTACGAAATACCGCAAAGAGCGGGAAAAGCCCAGTGTGCACGGGTCAAAGCGTGATGGAGTGGTCAAGGCGACCGAGACTGCAGCTGCGCAAATGTCAAGACGATATCCTCGCAGCGGTAACAATCCAGGATTGACGTCTCATATGTTGCCATGGGACACCGCTACACACTGCTTTGTCGCAGCGGTCTCTTCACGTTGCTCGTGTCTTTTCGTCGGGCAATGCTTGTGAATAGCATGATCAAAGCAATAGTGGCCGCAATGCTGCTTGCCACTGGCATACTCGCTTTACCCGCACCCCTTCGAGTAAACAAGAAGCAGGCTGCAGATATCGTGGGACCTGACAGCATGTCCACGTTTACTCTGATCGATACAGACTTCAGCGACCCGCTGCAAGTCAGATTCAGCTATCATATCCACAAGCATAGCAATGTCGTTGATCTCTTCGACATCTCTGGCGCAACTGCCAAATGGTACCGTTCTGGCGAATCACCCGATACAAGGACAGTCGAGCATTGCTTCAAGTTCACAAGAGGCGAGGATTGGGTCATTCCCTGCTTTCGCTGGCCCAGGGCAGGTCTATACAAGCATGCATCAGCGCTGAGCTGACATGAGCAAGCAAAGGACAGTCCCTACTTCAGCAGCTGGTATTTTGACAGCTTTTACACGGTTGCCACGCTAGGCGATCCCAATAAAATCAACAGGGTTATGTAAGTCTCCCGCCGGTGCAGCGCTACCAGGCAAGACTGATGCGCAATAGTCTCTCTCGCGACATCAATCGCGCTCAGGGAGACTTTGATGATCTTCCGCGCCAGTACAACAAGTACCATTGATTGCTCGGAGGGACGGGACCAGCTTCTGCTTTTCCCGGTGACTGCAAGCAATTGTCATTTGCGGCTCCCAATGCATCGAGCCCGATGTGTTTGTCATACATCTCACCGCGCATCACAGGCGACCTTCGTGCGTTCTTGGGCGCCGTCTTCATGATCATATCCGATCCAGTCTCGATTCGTTCACCCGGGTGGTGCTTGCAGTTCGGCGCAGCTACCGAGGCCATGTACATGTTGCTGCGCGGCTTTTCGCATTTAGCCCTCGCCGTCTCTAGCCCTGTTCTCACAAAGCTGCGAGTGTCCGCCGTCGTCAGGAGCATACTCACACAGCAGCCGGTCAGGTAGTACAAAGCGCCGGCTCGCGCATCTCTATGGGACCCAGTTCAAGCATCCAGCGACATGTGCACGCTTGTGAATGTCGTAACAGCTGCACGCGAGAGACGCTAGCAAGCATCGATGAGTCGCCTTGGCGACTCAGACTGGAGATGAGCAGGCATCAGCCTCCATCGTCGAGGGCTAGAGGGGACAGGCGTTGCATCCATGACTCCGTCGCCGCCCTGTTTCCTGCCATCGTTCGCTTCCTTCCTTGACGACAAACAACGCGCAGACAAGATGATCAAAGCGATGTTGGCTACACTTCTTCTTGCCGCTACTACGCTCGCATCGCCTGCATCCGTCTTGTCAGAAAGACAGTCTGCTCCGACATTGGGACCAGACAATCTTGCCACCTTCGCCCTTACCAACAAGGTGTGGCCTGACGTTGTGTTCCAAGTCGAGTTCAGCTATCATGTCCACTTGCCCGGCATGAGCATCGATCTCTTCAAGGTCTCTGGCGCTACGGCAAAGTGGCATTCTACTGGCGAGTCGCCCGACACGTATACGATCCAACAGTGCTACAAGCTTACCAGCGGAGACGATTGGGCAATCCCTTGTTTCCGCTTCCCCCGTGTATGCTTCACTCGACCTCAAGAAAGGGCTATACTGACTCAGTGAAACGACAGGGCGGTACCGCGATTATGAGTTGGTATCTCGACAGCTTCTACACGAGAGGAACCGGCAGTGACCCTACACAGGTCGGCAAAGTCACGTAAGTTCCTGGAGCCATCAGCGCATCTGAGCAGGACTGATGCAATACAGGCTCACGCGTGACGCCAGTCGCCAATTGCCGGAATTTTCTGACGTCATTCCGCGCGAGTACAACAGGTATTGATGAGTGCTCTGTACAGCGATCGGAAGGTCGTCAGAGTTCAATGATGACGCGTGACCGATACCCGTGATGCTTGCTTGCTCCAATGCATCGAGCGTGCTGCGCACATGCTTGTACAGTCTCTTGTTTGGGCGAGGCTCCGAATCCAATCCCGCGGTTGTGACGCGTGACGGCGCCGTGTGTGTCGTGTCGCGATGCGACAATCTCAAGTTGCCATCGTGCTTTTCGTTGCCTCGCTTTCTTCCCAAAGCCCAAAGGATCGCAACAGGACGTGACCACGATGTTTAAATCAATGCTGGCTTTGATGATGCTCATCGCTGCAGCAGTCGCCTCACCGGCACCCCTCTTGGCAAACAAACAGCCTCCGCCCAAAATCGGGCCAGACAATGATTGCACTTTTCTTCTGCTCGATCGATACGATACCGATGTCTTCGAAGTCAAATTTACGTACCACATCCACTATCCCGGCAACAATATCGATCTGTTCAACTTCTCCGGCGGAAGCGCGGCGTGGCACCGTTCGAGCGAATCGCCGGACAAACGCACGGTCGAACATTGCTACAAGATCGTCAGGGGCTGGGATTGGGCCATCGCCTGCTTCCGCTTCCCTCGTGTAGGTGGCATACGCCCACAAGGCCGGCATTATGCTGATACGGAGCCGTTGGCAGGGTGCACCTGCTTTCACGAGTTGGTACTTTGATAGCTTTTGGACGCCTGTGACAAAGGGAGATGCTGGCCAGCTCGATACGGTCTTGTGAGTGACGACGTTGCTTTAAGTCCTCCGACGCTGATGGCGAGGGGGAATAGGATTGCTCGTGGCACGAGCGGATTTGATTACCTACGACAAGTGTACGACAAGTACTAGTGCTTGCCCTATCAGAACGTCTTTGGCTGCAATTCGGCTGTCTTTTCGGGAGGCATGTACCCGCTCGCAACCCGTCGAGCTACATGTGTGCGGTCAACCTGCGGGGCTGTTCGTTCGTTTGAACACTGGTTTCTGTTCTTGCGCATTGGATCTGCCTCAAAGACGTCGCATGGCCTTGGATGACATCGGTGGGCCTGTCTGCTTGAGGACTTATGGCGGTCATAGCGCGGGCATCTTGTCGTGCCTTGTGGCCTACAGAAGCCGACGGACTAGACGACGGTGGTGAGAAAAGTGTCAGGAGGCAGAGGCAGGGTAGCCGAGCAGATGTAGAGCAGGCAACTTTGACGGGGCACTCGACAAGTTGATTCACTCGTCGATCGCCACCCAATCGGAAATATTCCGCGGAAACAGCCTCACACTGACCAGTCAATCATGGCAGCAGCAGCAGCATCTCAAGCTTCCAGGCGGATGCCACGCATCACGAGCACTCAGATCAGGCAGCTCAGGAGCGAGTACATGCAGACAGCCTCGAGTTTCTCGAGCTACAACTTCAAGGAGTACTTTGTCAGACGAGCCGAGCACAAGTTTGACAACGAGCTGCCTATGATCCTGTCGGGCAAGGGCGGCGATATGCTAGCGGATGACATTCCCCAGGAGAAGATGGAGACGGTGCTAGCGTGGTACCAGCGAGCGGAGAAGGATCTTAAGCAACTCAAACGCTCGGCGATCATGAATCAAATGTACGAGGCACCCAAGCTCGTCGTCGAAGGTCTGGGGAGAATGAATGCGACAGGTGGAGGAGGAGATGGTCAGTCCTGTCTGAGGGATGCCTTTCCGCCTCGCGCTAAAACGTCACGCAGGCATGGAAGCAGGTCAAGGAGGTGCTGGCCAGACCTCTTCGCCTCAGATCGATCTGCAGGGTCGAAAAAGCGACTAGACGATCTCGCAGGACCACGATGCTCAGATGTTGTGTGTAGCAAGTCTATGTTCTATTCGACCTCGCAAGACAATGTCGAGAAAGCGGTCTCGAAGTGTGCCGTCACGTTCAAGGCGAACAGACTGCGTCTGCAATCCCGCGCAGAATATTGCGCATTGTAAGGCCTGAATTGAGGTATGATCCGGGAGGCTGCAACGACGCCTCTCACCTCAGTCACTGCAGTATGCACCCGTGAACGTTTGAACATCTGCGCTCTGATTGAGCGCACATGCGACCCCCCCGTCGACTTTGCTCTTCAGCAGCCAGGCTATGACGGCTTCCGAAGTTGGCTCTGCGTGCACTAGATACTGTGGCTAGAGGGGCCCGTTGATGAGGTCATAGCTATCGCCCAAGACGCGCATCGCGTCGCAAGCAGGGCAGAGTCGAGAGTCAAGGCCAATGGCCGGCGACATCGAGCTCGACAAAGACGATCCCTCAAGCTTAGCGGGAAGGATCTGGTCAGAACTCCCTCACATCTGCGCCACGCACTCGCTCAGACGATAGCAGGGTGGGAGCGACAGTCGCACTGATCGCCTTTCTCGCCTACTCCCCCCAAATCTGGATCATCTGGCCATCCTACGCGAGCTACGAGAAGATAGATGCCCTGTTCCTTCTCGTACCCTTCAATGCTTCCATCGCCATACTCTTCTGGTGCTACGCTCGCTGCGTCACGACCGACCCTGGCAGAGTTCCAAGAGGTTGGCAGCCCAATCTGGAGCTAGATGCGGAGGAAGCAGTAGAAGTCAAGCGACTGAGTGGCTCACCACGCTTCTGTCGATCTTGCAACCAGTACAAGCCCCCCAGAAGTCATCACTGTCGCCAGTGCAAGCGATGCGTCCTCAGAATGGATCATCATGTCAGTCCGCGCTCACTCGTGTCGACTGGGCTGACTTGCGTGGACAGTGTAAGCCCAGACGAGTTGAGCTGATCCAAACTGATGCCTGCTACGGGCTACAGGTCCCTGGATCAATGTATGTTACCACCATTCGGCCAGATACGCACGAGCTCAAGCGCACGCAGAACTGCGTCGGTCATCACAACACAGCCGACTTTGTCCGCTTTCTGTTCTGGGTGGACATCTCATGCACATACCACCTCATTATGGTCAGCCGGCGAGCCTTTGGTAATCTGGTCTACTACGAGGCAAGCCATTCGCAGCTGTCCCGCTAATTTGCCACTCACTCAGTTTCCGCAGAACGCGACATCTGTCACGGCGTTGGTCATGCTGGTCATGAACTATGTGCTTTGTATACCCGTGCTTCTGGCGGTGGGTGGCTTCAGTTTCTACCACTTCTGGTGCCTTTCGAGCAACACCACCACGATCGAAGGCTGGGAGAAGGACAAGGTGGCTGTCTTGCGCCGCAGAGGCCGTATACGCGAGGCATGTCCAAACTCAGCTTTGCGAAGCCAGCGCTCATGCGACCAGTAGGTCAAGTATCCCTATGATCTCGGCTTCATGAAGAACATCTCCTCAGTCATGGGCTATCATCCGCTTCTCTGGTGCTGGCCACAGCGATCTTACGGCGACGGTCTATCCTACAGAGCAGCAGAGGCCGTCAGTGAGTCGATCTGTCTCGCCAGCGATGCTCGCGAGCAAGACCAGGAAATCCCCGTCTGACGATTGCATCGTCGCCAGAACCGTTCGCCCAGTATTTCTGGCCCCCGAGAGATCAATACGCTCCTCATTACCAGCGGCGCACGCCCTTTCCAGATGCTTCAGTGGCAACTTTCGAGCCTGGATCGTTGCTCGCTCAGTCGGACGAGGAGAACTCGGAAGAAGATGTGCTCACGGAAGAGGAAGACGATATTCCGCTTGCGCAGCTCAAAGGCAGCCTGGCGCCTGATATTGGACCAGCATCACAGCGATTGCGTAAGCGGAGAGGTAGCGAGGGCTACGAGATCAAGCCAATGCAGCGCACTGCACATACTCACGATGAGCCCGATTACGAGTATATCGACAGCGAAAGCGGCTAGGAACCACCTTCGATATGCTCGATTAGCAGTGCCTGGACTGCCCCTTGTGGACTGGTCATGTGTTCCCGCTCTGGCAGGCTTCCGCCATGTCCGATGACTATGGCGGTCATTGCTGCGCCTGACTCACAAGAGGGTGCAGCACATTTATGCTCATCCCTTATGCCTCGACATTGTTCTGGATGAATAAGATCGCAGCATATCTACAGGGCAGAGTCTGTACGCAGCACTAAACGATCGTCAATCAGAGCTCGCTGCGCGCTACAGACGCACAAAGACTCAAGGGCGCATCAGCAATGACGTTGGATCACGGAGATCAGTCCGCTGCTCTTGCTTCATGCCCAATCTGCACGAGTAAATGGACATGTCAACCTCGTATCGTAAAGGCAATAGCAATCCCGGTGATGGCTCAGATGCATCCTGAGCGCAGGAGGTCAATGTCACTTGATTCGAATAGTTGAAAATGGCATTACCTCTCTTGCGTGCGGGTCGTATTTCATCGGCCAGACATGCGTCTGCCTCTGTCCATTGCCCTTCTCGTTCTCAGCACAAATGGCATGCATGTGCCGGCACGGATCTGGACCATTGAGCGTTGGTCGATGTCTTCGACATGATGACAAAGACTGACTGACAGAAGCCTCATTGCGCGTACAATGTCGCGATGTCGGCGAGCCCAATCGGTTCAGATACTACCAGGACAATAAGATCACAGCTCAAACGACCATCGTACGAAACTCTGTTTGGAGTCTCACGCAGATCAATCGAGTTCGTGCCGAGTTGGCAGGCGCGATTTGCGCTTAATCGATTGATAGCCCAGAGGCTCAGAGCTGACGCTGGAAGCGAGTCCAAATCGCCGCATCATCACCTCGGATAACTATGAGCTGCCTGCCACTGTCTCGCTGGAAGCAAATATGTGGGATACTGAGGCAAGGGAAGTGATTTGGTCCGAGCCCTACCGCTCCTGCTGTCGCCTCGTACGATACTCTGCCTGAAGCTCTCGCCCAGCTGACGAGAGCATAGTCGATCAAATCAGATTACACATTCGGTCTTATCAGCAGTAAGCGCGACCGCTACAGCCAAACATGTAGTGACAGGGAATTTAGCCGAAGTGGACGTCGGCGAGTCTGTCGCTACTAGGTCGGTCTTGCGGCATCGCACCTCACGTTATCTGAAAGTGGCGTGCTAGGACTTGTCGAGCCTCAACAGGCTATGATGCCAATTTTCCGGCTTGTCCGGAGACTTACACCGCGCCTACACCATGTCGGTGGACAGCAACATCATTCACCCTCGCTGATTTTTGTACAGTGGTGGAGACCTGTACAGTACAGCTCGGTGTACCCGTTTACGGTTCGCACTTGGTCGGAGGCGGCCACACTTTGTAACGGGATGTACATGCATGCACATCCAAAGCCAGCAGCCAGCTTGTATTGACCGATCGCGTCACTTCAGACTGCGCTTTAAGCAAAGAGGCGCACATGCAGTCTCTACTAGATGATATAGGCGACTTTTCCATGTGCTTCTTGGCCTTTATTAGTGCGCAGATGGAGCTCGAGGATCTTGGTGCCGATCTCTGAAGATGACTGGGCGAGGACGACTCGCATGAGTGGCCAATGCTGCTCCGACCATGACAGGCGATTGAGTCGACCGCATTGCTGGATGAGCAGGCTCATATCGCTGCCCATAGCGCCTGCAGACGTTTTCTTGCAGGGAGCTTCGAGGCAGATGGAACGAATGCTGTCACGAAAGCTCTGCCAGGCTTGCTTTGCCACATTTTCGATGACAGCCCACGAACAGAGGAAAAGCGGCTTTCGCTGCTTATGACGTGAGTGACGTGTGTTCGTGCACTCACGTCAAACGGCATGTGGAGACAGGCAGGTCGGAGAGCCTTGCTGACCTTGCTCAGGCGACGCAAATCCTGCTCGCCGTCTCTGATTTTCGGCCGATCCGGTCGAGCGAGGAAGTAGACGATACGACGCAAGAGCACCATGGGCATGATATCAAGCCGAGTAGAAGCCTTGCTTGACATGATCGCTCTCTGCTCGGTTCTCGGTGAGCGATGAGATGGTCTGTTGATATAGATCGATGTCTGACGCGATCTCGAGGGCACGCGCTCGACATAACGCTTCGACCAGACTCTCGGCAAGGACGCACAGTAAATGCAATGATTAGACCGCCCGTGTGAAGCGCGTCTAGTAGACCCCAGCGAGATTGGGTATGCCGACGCCGAAGCAGCCAATGCCAAAGTTGCTACCCATAGCATCTTTGCTATCGAACGTGCCCTTGGTGAAGTCGTACTACACGAGCGAGTCTCCGCTCCAGTACAGATTGAACTGAATCCTGCCCTGCTCGTCAGCGACAGGACAGGCATAGCGAAAGGCCCTACTCGGTTCTAGGATTTGTGACTGTGGGCTTGTTAGCGGTGGACATTAGGGCTTGACTGATTTCACTGACGAGTGTACGAGACGATGTTGTTTGGGCCAGGTGAGCCAAAGGAGGTCGTCGGCGTGAATGCGAGAGCCATGCCAACAGGTGCAGGCGGCTCGATCGCAAGGACTGAGAGGCCCTGACTTTTCGAATGAGCTCAAGACTGTGCGAGAGGTGATTCATACTGGCCTGACGGCCGGCTGCAGCGTAGGCGCTATCCTTGCTCAGAGCAATCTGCGCGCTGACGAACGTCTTCTGTCCGACTGGGGTCCACAGGACCGAGCACCTGATCTCGCCAGCCGCGTTTGGCGAAACGACGCGGCTCGTTGCAGCTGCAAGCGAGATCGAAGCGAGCGAGAGCGCGCTGATGGTGCTAAAGATCATGATGACTACTGGATGCTGATATGTGGAATGATGATGAGCGTCTGTTGGCTGTACTGACGAGTGACGAGCAAGCAGGATCTCGAGGTGATGGCAATGGCAGTGCAAGCTGAGGCATGTTAGATTCTTCCGGGCTTATGGTCACCCTTGAAGTTGGTCCAAACATGCAAGAGCCAAATTGAGATGCTGTTTAGGCTCCGCAAATATCTGTTCTCATGCTCGCATGTCTGCTTATAAGCGGAAAGCCGAGAGGTGTGATGGAAAGGTAGTCTAAAGTCTCATGTGTGCGTGATGAGCCGATGCACGAATTGCCTGAAGGGTGCGGGGCTGAAAAGGGGCTAAATGCATATGTACTGCATCTAGGTGCGACCGGCAAGGTTGGGCACGCTGACGCCGAGACAGCCGAGACCAAAGGCGGTGCCTTTTGCGTCTTTGCCGCCGAACATACCCTTGGTGAAGTCGTACTTGACGATCGAGTCACCGTCCCAGAAGAGCGTAAAGTCGATCCTGTAAGGCCAATCAGTGACATTCGTAGCTGGGCATTCCGAAGCTCACTCGGCCTTGGCGCTGGACACTGTGACTTGTCAGCCATGATTGCGCAAGAGCGACCAAAGAATGCTCACGAGTGTACATGATGATGTTCTTGGGACCGACCGCACTCACGGCAGGCGTAAAGGTGATCGGGATGCCCATACCAGTGGGAGCCGCGACCGTCATGCGCGAGAGGCCCTGTAGCAGTATTGTCAGCGCGCGAGCGTGCGTTCAGCCGGGAGTCCACTTGCTTGGCCACCCTCTGCAGCGTAAGCGCCATCCTTGGTAAGCGTAATCTGAGCCTCGACGAAGCTTGGCTGGCCGACCGGCGTCCAGGTGATTTGGCAACGAATCTGGCCAGTCGGGTCCGGCGAGACAACGCCGCCTGCAAGCGAGGCAGCGGCGAGCGAGAGGACGCTGAGGGTAGTGAAGATCATTTCTTTTGCTTGTTCGATGGATTTTCTGCTGAACTTGGCTTATGTGCTTGCTGATGAGTTGTTGGCGTTGGCGACGAGAAGGAAGGCAAGCTATGCAAAGGGTAGCGAGGGTACTGCGACACTGCGGGTTGTTGCATCTCCAAGTGGAAGGGAGGGTGTGGCAACGAAGAAAGGGACGGTTAGTGATAATTCAATTGGCACGCGCTGCTGTAGCGTTCGCCCCCGACATGTCAATCTCATCGTCGTCATCGCGTCATTGGCAAACCTAGATGGCGCGCGGCGTTAAGAAAGCGTGAATGACGACGATGTGCTCCTGACGGGCCAGCAGGCAGCGTTCGATTCGCATCAAATCACTGGCATCATGTCAGTCCAAGACGATCTGAAAGCCTCGGCAGAGGGCTTGCGCAGGGTCACGACCTCCAAGGCACAGCCGACCAAGCGACTGCTGTTCGTGCCCGTCAAAGTGCCGAGTCAGTGGCCTACGCTCGCGAGTGAGGAGCAGACTGCGCTTGAGCAGATAACCAAGCACTACAAGGAAGAGCTGCGGTTGCCCGAGTCTGACGGGTATGCAAAGACTGAGACGAGATGGGTTCTCGATGACCCCCAATGTCTGGTTCGCTTCCTTCGAGCGACCGACTGGAACCTCGAAAAGTCCAAAGACCGGCTCAAGGAGACGCTCGAATGGCGACGAGAGTACAAGCCAGATCTGATCAAGCCAAGTGAGATTGAGCCTGAAGTGCAAGGTGGCAAGATGTACGTTCATCTATCGCCCGCGCGCGACACGAGCTGACTCTCGCGCTACAGTACTATCAACGGCTTCGATGCCGAGGGACGGCCCATCCTGTACCTGCGCCCGGCAAAAGAGAACACAAAGCCGAGCGAGCGTCAGATCAGGAACGTCGTCTTTCAGCTCGAGCGTCTGTGCGAGATCATGCCCAAAGGCGTCAGCAAATGTGCCATCCTCATCGACTACAAAGGCTCTAGCTCGTCCACTCAGCCACCGATGTGGATCACCAAGCGTGTCATCAACATCCTACAACAGCACTATCCAGAAAGACTGGGTGCCGCCGTCATTCTCAACTTGCCATGGTACCTCTCGAGCAGTATCAAGATGATCACGCCCATCTTAGACAAGGAGACGACCGACAAGCTGTCGTTCAATCCCAGCAAAGAGAAGCTGCGTCTGCTCGTACCGCGCGATCAGCTCGACGCGACCTTTGGTGGCAATTTGCACTACACTTATGATCCCAAAGTCTACTTTCCTGCCCTCTGCCAATTCTGCGGGGTAGAAGAGGATGGCAGCAGGAGCAAGCCGCCTGCATTCCTGCGAAAGCAAGCAGAATCAGAGGAGGATGCAGAGACGGCACAAGTTGTTCAAGCTACGCAGCCTGACAGCCGTGCAAGCGTGGGCATGCCGGATCGACAAGCTACCGACTCTACCGCGGTGTCACATTCTCCGCGTGCAGGAAAGTCGAAAGACTCGGGCGAGGGCAAGCACAGGCATCACTGGCAAGCAGTCTTGCTGTCCATCATACTCTGCGGTACCTCCCCGGGTCACACGGGCCAGGATGCTGGGGCTATGACTCCATCGAAAAGGTCCCTGGATGAGCACAAAGGAGCAAGTGTGCCCGGTTCGCCGAGAGTATCTGCCGATGAGAAGACGCCTGCCGAAGTGAAGAAGCTGCGAGCACGAGCGAAAGAGCGTAGGGTGGTATTGACACCCTTTGATAAGCTTCAGCGTCTATTGAGACATCACTCCATCAATGAGACGAGCCCGGATCAGCGATTGACGGCCGAAGAAGCCAAAGCGCTCGACGATGATGTGCGCGACCAGGCGCCTATCAAGCAGCTCAACCCAGAGACGCTGGAAGCGCTTCCGAAGAACACACCTTCTTTTGAGAGCCTGGAGGAACAACAGCCGCTCGGTGATGCTGAACAACAACCCGCATCTTGGTCCACTGTCGTAGGCGAAGCCGCGACGCAAGGTATGCATTCAGACAGACAATCTCTGGGAGACAGCCGTTGAAGCTTCGCTTGCAGCATACGAGCAACTGATGGGACAGGTCGCCATCGTCGATTTTGGTACGCAAAAATCGACAGACGACTCGCTCGCTGTACCGGCAGACCAGCTCAGGCGCGGTACGAAGTACCACATGGAAACACCCGCCGAGGAACCACTCGGCTTCACACTAGGCAACCCACCCTCCTCTGTCTCTGCGCATTAGATCTTGCCATCCTTCGTGACATTCAGATCGAGCGACTCACTTCCTTGCGCGTGCTCGCCCATGCGCTCCCCAGCGCCTGGTGATGTAGACTTTTTCCTTTGTTGTGCTGAACTATCGAAACATTATTGTTGCATCAGTCTGAGCACGCTTGCCGCGAGTCCCCAGCTGGCCTGATAGCCTGCGCTCGAGATCCCATAGGCATGAATGATGGTCTTCGGGCCCCTCCGCTCTTGCTCGAGACGGGAGCCGTTTTGTCTGCTCGGACGCAAGCCAACGTTGTGCCGAACGATCTGTATGTTCTCTTTTCCTGAGCCTGGCGGTGTTGCTATGCTCGGATCGAGTGCGTAGCATCGTTCGAGTATTTGCTCGGCAAGCTCAAAGTCGATGTCGAGATCCCACCGGTGAGGCTGGTAGCAACCACCAATGATGACTTGGCCATCTGTGCGGGGAATGACGTATGTTGTTCCATCTGGGTAGACTCTCGATGTCGTTGCAGTGACGGCAGGCGCTCTGATGAGGATTGTCTGTCCCCGAGTAGGATACACCGTGTCATCGCGCACGTCGCGTAAGTTCTTTGCGCCCAGACCTGTAGCGTTGATGACGGTGTCACAATCATCGAAGAGGCTATCGAGGCGATCAATGTGCCGTCGTATGATCTGCACGCCGGCTGTTGTGAGCTCGTCGACGAGCCACTGTAGGTAGAGTGGCACATTGATGGTGAAAGTCGAATAGGTGTACGCGAAAGGACAGTCCGGTGGTCGCTCGCCCTGGTCTAGGATCCTGAAGCCAGGGCAGAGCGTGCTGAACCAGACGCCATGCCGTTCCTCTTCGGTGTCCTTGCAGTATTCTGTACCTGGCAAACGCTGAACCACTACCGCGTGAGCCTCGAAGCTGGATGGACTGGCTGCAACTTGCCATGACGAGATGAGGATGCGTCTTGGCCATCTGATCGAAGCGTTTGTAGGCAATCCGATCGTACTGCTGTCGTTCGGGATCGTCATGGGCGGCAACACTGCGCCAATTGGCACCTGCCCACGGACTCGCGAACCCTGTCGAGTAGGCATCAGAGGGCAAGTCTCGGGCGTAGATGATGATCTGATCGCCAGCCGCTCTGCCCGACTCGATCAAGCAGACTGCTGTCGTCAAGCCTGTCACGCCTGCGCCGACGATAGCAATCATTCTTCGACGGCAAGGCAGACTCGCGCTCTTTATGAACAGCTTTCGCCCTCTCGCTCTGTCGTCTGCCAATGCGCCTAGCCCAAGACGTGATCCGTCTGCCGTGAAAGCCTGCTTCTGATCTCAGTCTGGCTCGATGGAGAAGCTCTTGGCGTTCATCGCAGACTATCGCGAGAACAACGGCAACAGCGTCGACGAACTTGAGCATCAGCCCACAGCCCTCGAGTTCATGCGGCAAGTCGGACAGAACAGACCTCTCGTCATCCGTCGTTCTTGTACGCCCCTGAAGAGGACTTGGTCTGAGCAGTATCTCGCGGACAAGTTGGGCGACACGCCTGTGCCTATTGCGATCACCCCAGACGGACGAGCAGACTCGATCGTCAACGGTCGCTTCACCCTGCCAGCCACAGAGGAGATGACCATGCGCGACTTTCTCTCCAGCCTGAGGAAGCCTGCAGATGCACATGAGCCTGTACGATACTTGCAGAGTCAAAACTCGAATTTGACCGACGGTCCGCTTGATGTGCTCAAAGACGATCTTCATCCGCCGCCTGAGTATGCACTCGACGTATTCGGAACGGAGCCAGATGCAACAAACATATGGATAGGCAACCATCGTAGTGTATCGTCAGCCCACCGCGATCCGTACGACAACATTTATACTGTCCTGCAAGGGAGCAAGACTTTCAGTCTTTGGCCTCCTCACGAGGTAGCCTGTCTCTACGAGCGCAATGTGCATACCAGCGCATGGCAGTGCGATAGCTCGGGCGTCTTCTCGCAGAACATGCAAGATTCTGAGCCTATTCCGTGGATTCACATCGATGCCGATACGCCAGACTACGGCCGCTTCCCGCTTTTCAGACACTGCCAGCCTCTACAAGTCACGCTTCGGCCAGGGGACGTGCTCTACCTGCCCCATCTCTGGTATCATCAAGTCTCGCAGGCAGGCCAAGAAATTACGATCGCGCTCAATTGGTGGTTCGATATGTCCTACTCGGGAGCAGACTGGTCAGCATCGAACTACTGGCGTCAGCTTGCGATGGACCTGCACGATGACGTTGCTGTGGCTGCATGATCTCGCAACTCTGAAACATAGCGGCGCCTTGCGGATACTTGCGCCGGCCAGCACAGCATTCCCCCTTGTGCGGATGACCTGAGCCGAGCACAGCTTCTGTCTGCTCAACGCCGTACTTCTGCAATCAAGCTTCTTCAAAGAAGAAATCGTCAAGATGTTCAGCAAGCTCAGCCTCATCGTCGCTGCCGTCGTCGCCCTCTCTAGCTTGGCTTCTGCCACTACCTCTCGTGAGGCACTCGTCAAGCGCGTATCGACGGGCGGTGGCAACCTCGACTGCTACATCGCCTACAACCCTGTCGATGTGACCTACATGGACGCTTTCGCGTTCACATTCTCCAATGGCGTCCGTGCTCATCCCGCTTTGTGGGTCTTGCTGATTGACTGGCCGGTGGCGATGCAGGACTTTACGACGGTTAGCCAGCTCGCTCCCCACTCCGTCATCGCATCGAGCGTGCCTGGCGACGCAAACAGTGTTACTTGGAGAAGTAAGTGTACCGCCTCTGATAGAGTGAGCTAATCTGACAGCGGCACAGTGAAAAACACGGATGCCAAAGGCAACACAGACGAGTAAGTCTGCCAGTGCTTGAATTTCGTACATGCTGACACGTACAAGCAGTCTGACGTTCCTGATCGAGTACTCTGGACTCATGCCTACGGGCGTCAAGCTCCTCAGTGCATCGCATAACGGTCACGATGGCTTCAACTTTTATGATCTCACCTGTGGCAATGTCAAGGTCCCTCATCTTGGCTAGTGCTAGTCAAGTATGACAATGCAGCCTTGCTATCAAGTACGATGCAGCGCATAAGACATGGGAAATCATTGATCGGCATGGTCCGCGTGCTCGAGGCAGGTATAGGAAGCCTCCGAGCACATGCGTTCATTGATTCGCATGGTCTGCTGGCGAAAACACGACGGTGAAGCTTGATTGGCCTGTACATGGTGTGATGCCTGAGAACTACGGTCAGCTTTCTACGATGACCTCGTTGTATGGCTTACGGGGCGGTTTGCCGATATCGGTGAGAAAGCAGGCGTTCTGGTAATCATCCTGCTGGCTCTTCGTTGCTTCCCTGCGAGTGTCGTTCAGGTGGGCAGCATATGCATGCGATCTTTGCCTCACTCTTGACTCATGCAAGAGAGAGCAAAATCCTTTGACTCTTGCTTAAGCCGAGCCGTCTCTGCGCAGAGCGTCAGCGTACATCTCGATCACAGTGTCGACATGCTCGATCCCATGTCCAAGGTCAATGTGATACTGTCGAGACCGGTGCAGCTGCCAGCGGTATGTGAGTATGTGCGGTGAGATCTTATAATTGGCTTGCCATCGCTTAAACATGGCGTAGGCATCCGACAGCGGATTGATTTCTACTGGCATGGTGATGCGCACAGAGACGAGGTCATTATATGAACCGACACTGCTGATGGTCATCACAGTCTTGTCATCAGGTCCTCGAGGTTGCTTCACCAACGTCAGCGTGAGTCTTGACCGGTTCAGATCGACTAACGAGAACGGGCATCCATCTGGGAGATGAGCCGAGGCGAAGCTTAACGATGATGCCGGTCTTCATGGGCGAGACGTTTGTAGCCAGCAGGGCGACGCGATTGATATCTGGATGCAAGGTGGTCATCTTGCACTCGGCAGAGCCTCTTCCCTCAATCGACACAAATTGCGAGACCTCTGTGGACGGTGTGATGGTGGTCAAGTCCCAGTGTCCTTGGCAGACAGTCCTAGGCTTGGCATAGCCGATACGATCGGGTGTACAGCGAGGAGCAGCGCGTGCTTTCGGTTCGGATGCACCACAGTAGAGCGTCGGATGCTCTTGTGAGAGTTCCACTACACGGAGACTGGTCGGATTTATATAGAGAGTATAAACCATCTCGACTGAGCAGCTGTTCAGGGCTTTAGCTGTCAGTTGACGCGCCGTTGCCTTTCGACAGACCAGGAGGTAAGCTCAGTGAAAGGTCGACCGTACGGTCTAGTGAAGAACGCAAGGAAAAGAATGATCCCGTTATTGGAGGCCTCGATGACCTTGATCTCGCCATTTGGGTTTGGCGTGGCCTGCGTGAGAGAACCGCGTCAGGGGGATTGGACGCGGGTCGGAGGGACACTCCTCTAGCGACCATGGCCCATCGGTCCGGACGGGCGGCATCACCATAGCTCTGACGGCCGTTCGAGGCAAGCTGATTGTGATCGGATCCATCGATGTGCCCGCATTGCAGCCGACCTGAGAGGGTGCGTGGTTTGTTTGGTATGAAAGCGAGGCAGCGCGGGTCTCACCAGGAAAGTCGTCATCTGAAATTGATACTCTTGGGGGACGGATGGAAAAGCGGAGATATGTACAAGCAGTGGAACGAGAGCCCATAGCGGCAAAAGAGAGAGCAGCATGGGTCTGCACGCCTGCGTTTCTTCGCGTCGCCACCAGACAGCGCGACAGAGTTGACTGACACGTGTACAGATTCTTGACGTTGGCCAGTGTAGCGCTTCTGACAGTGTGTCACTCACTGTCATCATAGAGGGTAGCGGGAGACAACGAGGTCACAAGGACCGCAGTAGGTCCAAGATATTTGACTGCAATTGCCACATCTCACTCGCTGCAGCAGCACCTGTCTTTTCAGATGATCAGGTACGAGGATTGAGCAGGGTGCTGCCCGCTTGAAACGTGCTGAATATAGGTGTGCTGGTCAGCGCCAATACTGAAACAGTAAGGAGTCACGTACATCTTGAGGTTTTTGGCGAGCAGATCGAGACGGCTGCCGTGAATCCACCCGCCCAGAATCTGTGCAGAGAGATCATCAGGACCTACGTGAGCAGGGAAGTCTAGCATACCTGGTAGCCGAGTATGTCATCGGTGGGAGCAGCCTGGTAGAAGATATTCACGTCGAGGAAGATGTACTCGGTAGGCGACACGGGAACCTCGACTGTCAAGCACAGTCAGTCTCGGGTGCTTCTTGTATCAAGGCGGTTCAGCATACAGGTAAGGGTCTGGTAAGCATCGCCGTTGTTGGTACTGGATCCGAAGCCTGTAGTGTGCACGTCGCCGACCGAAAGGTCATAGAGCGCCAGCCAACCACTGCAGAGCAATGTCAGCTCGATGGACGTCTCGTAGAATTCTTTGCTAGCCCATATTGCGTCAGCGGGCCGCTGGCAACGGCCAGCTGCGCGTTGTCATTGAAATGTGAGTACGTGTCCGAAAAGAGGCGGATGATCTTACGCCGAATGAGATCTTGTAAGGTGTGTGGGCACCATCGTCGATGGTGATAGTGGTGGGAAGAGAGCCGCGCTTCGCAATAGCGTTGCTTGTGGCAAGTTCAGGGGCAGGCAGAGCGCTCGTCATCGTGCTCATGAGGCCGAGGGCGACGACGGTGAAAGTTTTGGTGAACATCATTTTGCTGCGTCTGACCGATCAGCTGCTTATTGCCTCGATGACTGGATCCTCGAGTTGAGCAATCTCAGAGAGCTAAAGTGAAGACGACGTCCGAAGGAGCCTGAACGACGACGTGGAACGTGATTAATCGTCAAGCCAGCAGACTACAAGGGGACTGGGCAACACCAGCGGAAATAGCAGACGGGCATCGGGAGCATGAGAGATGTTGAGAGCGTTGGCATCGACGCTAGCCTCAGCTTGGATCTGTGAAGGGGGCCCAGCATTTGGCTGCGACATGTGACATGCGATCGACGTACGTGGCCCCCGAGGACGGTAAATGTCACAACGTTTCGATAGCACGCGCCGTGCGAAGCCAGGCACGGCGGCCGTCAGCGATTTGGCGAAATGACGAGCGAGTCGTCCGCGTTTACGCTCATCAGCGATGATTCGAGCGAGTCGCCGACCTCGCAAGATCTCAGAACGGCGCTCGTGGGAGCAACCGACGAGACCAAATTCGAGATATTGCGCAGGATCATCGTCTCGTCGCTCAATGGCAATCCTCACGTATGCAGGGCGCTATCGTATTGCTTTGGAGCTCACATATTGCGTACAGCCGACACTGTTGATGCCCATCATTCAATATGTCCTGCCGTCAAAGTCGAAAGAGATCAGTAAGTTCGCTTTACGCCGAGCGACACGTCGCCAAGCTGACGGCTGCACCTCGAACAGAAAAGCTGCTCCACTTTTACTGGGAGATCTGTCCCAAGCATGATGAGAACGGCAAGCTCAAGCAGGAGATGATCCTCGTCTGGTGCGTCCATGCACGCCAGTCCGTCAAGCTATGCGCTGAGCTAATGCGCGTGTAGCAATGCTATCCGCAATGATCTCGTGCGCTGGCTCGTGTCCATCAGACCCTCCAACTGACATTGCAGAGATAGCAACATCCCAACGAATACATCCGAGGCGCGACATTGCGATTCCTGCAGAAGATCAGAGAGCCCGAGCTACTCGAGCCGCTCATTCCGACATGTCGCTCCTGTCTCGTCAGTCGATCATTGCCGATGCCTTACGAGAGCGATGCTCATAGGAGTTCGTGACAGGAACACCGACATTCGTTCGTTCGCAAGAACGCCGTCTTTGCGGTCTACCAGATCTACAAGAGCTTCGAACATCTCATCCCGGACGCGCCAGAGCTCATACAGACCTTCCTAGCAGCTGTGCGTCTCTCGCACGACGTTTGCTGATCGTGCTGAATCATACAAAGCAGGAGACGGACTCAACATGCAGAAGAAACGCATTCGTCATGCTGATACATTGTTCTGTTCCCCGCGCGATAGAATACTTCAACCAGATCTACGACTCAATCGCCAACTTGGACGAGCTCCTGCAACTTGCCGTCATTGAACTCATCCGCAAGGATATCAAGGACTCCAAGTCGGAAACCCCACAGAAACCTCGCTACATCCGCGCCGTTTTCGAATTACTCGCGAGCACGAGCCACAGCGTCAAGTACGAGGCTGCGAGTCAGCTCACTACGCTCACCCAGAATCCTGCAGCTGTCAAAGGTACGTTGACGAGCGCCATTGTCATGCGGACGCTGACGGCTTCCGACAAAATTGCAGCTGCCGCAGCATGTTTCATCGAGCTCATATTGAAGGAGTCGGACAACAATGTCAAGCTCATCGTACTCGAGCGCGTCGAAGTGCTGCGCTCAAAGCACGAGTATGTGCTCAACGATCTCGTCATGGACATCTTGCGCGTCATCTCCAGCCCAGACATGGAAGTCAAACGGAAAGCACTTGCCCTCGCGCTCGACATGGTCTCGAGCCGCAATGTTAGCGAGGTCACATCTTTCCTCAAGAAAGAGCTTCTCAAGACGCTCGATCAGCAACTTGAGAAGAACCTCGAGTATAGACAGTTGCTGATTCAGTCGATCCATACTTGCGCCATTCGCTACTCTGAAGTCGCGAGCAACGTCGTGCATACCCTCATGGAGTTCCTAGGCGACTCCAATACGACCTCTGCCGTCGATGTCATTGCGTTCGTGCGCGAAGTCGTCGAGAAGTTCCCAGATCTGCGCGTCTCCATTGTCGAGAAGCTTTTGCAGACATTCGGGGAGATCAAGTCTGGCAAGGTCTTCCGGGGAGCACTATGGATCTCGGGCGAATATTGTACATCTCTCGAAGGCATCAACGAGACGATGCTCCAGATCCGTAAAGTACTGGGCGAAGTACCCATGCTTGCTGCAGAACAGCGTTTGCTCGACGAAGCCGAAGCAGCTGCGCAAAGTCAAGCCGATCCCAGTGTAGACAGCAAACCGACGACAACGACGACCACGCGCGTGCTCGCAGATGGGACCTATGCAACAGAGACAGTTTACTCGGATCCATCTGCGCAAATCAGACTGGCGGCGGTCAAGTCCGCTTCAAAGCCCCCTTTGCGATCGCTCATTCTTGGCGGCGATTTCTATACAGCTTCTGTGCTAGCCTCCACATTAACGAAGCTTGTGCTTCACTTTGTCGAATTGTCTAGTGATCATTCAGCGATCAATGCGCTCAAAGCGGAAGCCATGCTCATCATGACATCGCTCATACGCGTTGGACAGTCCCAATTTGCGGCCGTTCCTATAGACGAAGATTCTGTCGATCGCATTTCGACCTGTCTACGCTCTGTTGCCAGCGTCCAGCCAGCTGTCAAGCAGGTCTTTTTGCACGATACCCAAGCAGCCTACGCGCAGATGGTTGCCCACGAAGAGACAAAAGCAGCCGAGAAGCGCGCAAAGGATTCCAAGGCGACGGCAGTTCAAGCTGACGATCTGATCACCTTCAGACAGCTCTCGAAGAAGGCCGGCGGTGATGCCGATGAATACGATCTGGACCTCACCCGCGCGACCGGCGCAGCAGAAGCCGTCAAAGACGACTTCATCTCGAAACTCAATCGCGTCGTGCAGCTCACTGGCTTCTCTGACCCTGTTTATGCCGAGGCCTACGTCAACGTCCATCAGTTCGACATTCACTTGGGTACGTGCTTTGCGCGCAGAGTAGATGACACTGACGCACGCTTGCGTAGATGTACTGGTGGTCAATCAGACCGTCGAGACACTGCAGAACTTATCTGTCGAATTTGCCACCTTGGGCGACCTCAAGATCTCGGAGCGACCGGTGCAGTATACGCTTGGTCCGCATAGCTTCCAGAGCATCAAAGCCACTATCAAGGTCTCCTCGACAGAGACTGGCGTCATATTTGGTAACATCTTTTACGATGGCCCTTCGACTTCCGACAGCCATTGTGTTGTGCTCAACGACATCCATATCGATATACTCGACTATATCAACCCGGCGCACTGCAACGAGGCACAATTCAGGAGCATGTGGACCGAGTTCGAGTGGGAGAACAAGGTCAATGTCAATACTTCGATTGCTGATCTCCGTCAGTATCTGGCGCATATCATGTCTGCCACCAACATGGCTTGCCTGACCAACGATGCCGCTCTCAAGGGCGATTGTGGCTTCCTGTCCGCCAATCTCTACGCCAAGTCACTCTTTGGTGAAGATGCTCTAGCCAACCTATCGATCGAAAAGCTTGCAGACGGTACGCTCAGTGGACATGTCCGCATACGCAGCAAGACGCAAGGTATCGCTCTCTCGCTTGGAGACAAGATCAGTCTTCTCGCGCGTAATCCTCAAACTGCGACGTAGCGCCTGTATGACTTTACGACATTGCATTGATAAATCAGCCGATTTTCAGTGCGAGCTTGCTCATGTCACAGTCAGCATAGGGGTCCAGGCCATGGGCTGCGCCGTGATGAGCGTGCGCATATGCAGACGTCAGCAGCCACGTACTGACGTAATTGTAGCGGCACTCTTCGGTTGCGTCGGCAGTTGATAATGGCGAGCAGACTATCAATGATTCAGCTTGCGTTGCTCTGGCGCGGCGAACGCACCTCTATACACTCGCAGCGAATCTTGTTTGTGTGAGTCTTCGCGATGTGCACGAGTCAGACTACGCTCCTTGGGTATCGCGCGGCATACCAGAGGTCAACGACAGCCATCTGATTTCCAATCAGTATGACGATCAGTATCAAGCGATAGACTTACATATTCGCGAATAGATAGATTGAGCAACACGCGTCAGCTGTGGCGCTTCAGCTTGACCCTGAGAGCCTGTGTGCCGCTCACAGTGCCAGAAAAGTTCCCAGATGCCTTCTGGCTCTGGGTGTCGCTTTAGTCGGAGCTCTATCATCGCACCTGCTGTTCGGTCAGCAATGTTTGAGTGATGTACAACGGTCTGACCAGTCTCGTTCTGTGAGGCGATACCGACCGAGGTGTATGCGACTGGCGGAGCCTATACGATGTCAAGACCGAACATCTCTCATTCAGCGCATGTGATGCTTACGAATCCAATGAGCGGTTTTTCAGCGCCGAACGATATCTCGACTCGGACAGAAGCGGGTGGCAACAGCCAAAGCATTCCAGCAGCCGAGCAGCTCTGCATTGAAGTAAGACGGGCGCAAGGATGCAGACTTGGTGCGTACAGCCGAGCCCGAATCTTGTGTGGTGAATCAGCCGTAGCACGTGCCTCAGGATGCTCGGCGTACAAGTTATATTGAGTAGTCTGAGACCTTCGGGATCGAACAGGCTCGCGGCTGCAGATGCAGTGACTGCAATGATCGCAAAAGACAATGCTTGCGCAAGCATAATGACAGCGGCTAGCTTGACCAATGGATTCTTCGCCTCACTAACAGGCGTTCCGAGTCGCAACCATCGTCCGAAACTATGCACCAGAATTCGGAGCTGCAACTGATCTTCACGTTGGAGCCAACTGTTGTCTCCTTTTGACGCGGGCCAGGGGTCGTGCTTGGGTGCATGACTTGCGCTGCTGCCATTCTAGCGGTAGGGAGGCAACACATGCGTCGCCTCCAGGTCAAAAGTGCAACCGCATTCGGAGGTCTTGCAAGGCGCTGTCAAGTCCTGTGCGGGCATAGTCTAGCGCGTGTGACAGAGGCAGAGTATGGTGATCGCGTTCAGGTATGCGGCGATATCGCCACTGTAGCCGACAGCAAGGCGGCGCGCGCAACGCGGTCATTGCAGTATTCGACGTATATTTCGGTGATGAGAACGTGAGTGCACGGGCCCGTCGTTTATGCGAGGTTTGACATGCAACGAGGGATCCAAGCACTGCAGAGAGGAGAGTCATCCTGTTGTCATGTCAGTTGAGATCGTGCTCCTATGTTTGTAAGTGGTGGTCTGACCTGTTCCTGTGCTCCTCTGTTTGTGAGTGGTGGCCTGACCTTTCTTGCCGATTGCGCACCGAGGTGATCAAGAATATGTGGATCGCAATCTTGACATCTGTGCTACTGGCCAGCTACGCCTGTGCAGTCTCCGCACGTCCTGCCGCGCACAGAAACAATCGTGCGGCTACCATGAAATGTAAGTGCGTCGCAGCGCAGAGATGACGTTCTGATAGTATGAGTACAGATCACATCCAAGCTGTAAGTTGGTGAGAAATTCGCAACGGATCGTTGAAGCGGATGCAGGCTTGCCCACGTGTGGGAACGTATATCGAGACTGGTTACTCTTCGATCTCTTTCACGATCGAACCATCGCAGGACGGTCGAAGCCCGCCCGAAGTCAAATTCGTCAGTGGCTTCGCTGTGATGATCCTTTCTTCACTGAATCGTCATGGCGCAGACCGGCAACAGCACGACGGACGCGATGGCTGCAATTGGATATGATCCCCACACTGACCGTGTGTTGATTGAAGCCAGGCAGAGACGCAGACTAGAGCCGACTTTCATGGACTCTCTCGGCCAAGGTAGACGGCGCATTGGCTCCACTCCGCGTCAACGACTGACGTATATGCAGCCCGGGCTTGCTGCATGCTGCATATCACGCAACGAGCGTTCGTCGCCGACATTTCTTATTGACCCGTGGCTGACGATGTCTTCAGTTGGATTGGAGTCAATAACGGTGAGGATGATGGCCGATGGCCAAGTCGTGGCTAAGTCGCGGTGCAGAGGATCACGAGTTTCCAGCACCGATGCTGCTCCGAGAGTGTGTGCCTGCACCAGGTGCCGAGCCAACGCCGAAATGCTTCTACAATTTCCAGAAAGCCGGCATCCCCTTGTCGGACTATTGCGAGAACAGTCGTTGGAGTTATGCCGATCTCGAGTGGACTGCGTAAAATGTGATGCATATTTGCGATCTTGTAATGATGCAGGCTCACTGCTGCTCCATATTGATAACCCTGAGGTCATGCAAACCAGTCGATATCAACGGTGCTCCCCGTGCGACCCTCGCATTCTGCGCTGGGCTGCTGGCCCACTGATGAAGGGCGAAACTTGCAGCTCGGGCTCGCATGTGCATCCTCGAGAGGTGCGCAGAAGCGATGTCCATCAGTCGAGCCCATTTGCCAAGTACCTGGATCGTCGTTAGGTTGTGTTCAAACACCGGTGCCATGTCCTACTGTTGGTGAGCGAGAACCAGCTGTGGAGAAGTCAGTCGGCTGATGATGTCATCCGACGGGACAAGGCTCACATTTGCTGGCGCATGGAGATCCTGCAGCACGCAGATACTGTGCCTCGATCAGATCGCTCTGACACCTTTATACTCGGCTTACTGTTGAGAAACCATCGGTCGGAGAACCGTCGAAGTCTGTCGTCATAGCCCACTTCGATGATAACCCCACCGTCTTTGTACTCGACAATGCCGACAAGGGTTGTGTGATCGAACGCCGTCTGCTTGAAGTGTGAGTGGTGCGAAGTACAGGACCAACGTGAACGTGACAGACGAAGTCGATGGAGGGTTCCTCGCGATCAGACCAACGTTCCACAGACATGACGACCGTCAATGGTTTCTTGGTGTCCCAATAGCCGACATCGTCACAGTACTTTTCTGTTATGTCAGATCGATGCGCAGATCTACCGGCCTGCGTACAAAAGACGGCTTGTCTGCACACCTCGTATCAAACGAGATCGGCGAAGCGTTAAGATTCCTACCCACATTTGATGAGTGCCTGTTTGATGAGTCGGGGTGTTGCTGTTGCCAGTGTTATACGGAACGTAAAGCTTGCAAGCAGACATATCGAGAGCAGCATCATTTCGCTTACATCAGTGTGTTGCGTGAAGAGTGACATGGCATAGCGACAAGGGTCGCGCGATTGCTGCAATATGGCTACAAATTATTGGCCTCCTCGCTGCACGGGCGGAGTTGTGCGGGAGATGATCGCCCAATGCCAAGTCCATTTCGGTGTGTCACATACGAGCTCTGCAGGCGGCTGGGGGAAAAGATTCTGTCGGGAACACGCTTTTGTACGTTTTGGCGACATCTCGCCATCCTTCAAGCAGTGTAGCATAAAGACGGGCACGGTGGGGTCTACCGTTTCTGCGCACAAGTGCCGCCTTGAGGAATGCCCAGATTTTGGGAACAGGGGCAGCTGACCTTCGTCATCGTTGATCTTGACCTGCATCTCGAGACGGCCATAGCAACAGTTGTTGAACTCGTCTCTGAGTCCTCGATGTCAACGTGCGATGGCCCCTTCGTGAGAGAGCAACGCACTGCAGTGGCTCGCTCTCGACCGCCAGATCGAAGCGCATGACAGGTTGCTTTCGATAGGACGTCCACACTTTGACGAATTCGCGTGAATAGAGCTGGGAAACGTCAAGCAAGAAGTCTGGAATCATTCTTGCTCCGACGTACCACACGTTCATCGAAGCGGACAGCAATGCCGGAGGCATTTGTAATTATGATGTCTGCTTGAGCCCTTTCGTGTATATCCAGATCGAAGTCAAGCGAATAGGAAGGCGTGATGCGGCATTTGACCTGCACCGGATATCAATCCATGCTAGGGCCGAGGCGTGATCGCAGCTCTTGCGACTCACGCGGAATACTAATTCCAGTCTGTACGTATTGACTGTGATGTGAAAGAACGGCGAAGGGTCGGGTTTTCGTATGTCCTGTGCAGCGGCACAAAGCATCAATGTCGACAAGGCCAAACTTCTCAAGCTTGGCACGAGCATTGCTTGTCGGCGTAATCCAGCAACTCTTGGAAACGCCGATGAGTTTCCAGGGACGGTCGCAAGGAGAGGATTTGCTCCTATTGCCACGTTCGTGAGATAGAGTAGCTGACGGTCTGCAGACACGGAGAGGCACAGGCAAGGGGAACAGGAGCAGCCGCAAGTCCGTTGCCTCGCATTCATCCGAAATTCGTTCGAACAAGTCACTTCAGGTTCCTCGAAAGCTTTGACGCCCTCTCCGTTGTTTGCGCCGAAGACGAACAAGACGAACAGCATGACGGCATTCTTGCGGGACATACTGGCGCCGTTAGCAGGTGCTAGCTATCGCCAGCTTGTGCCCACAAGTCCGCCACGACAAGCGCCTGCCGAGGTTGCGCCACAGTCTGTCGAGCCAGTCGCGAGCAGCTACGAGTCAGACCATCTGATTTGGCCATCAGCAGACAGTCCTGCTGGGATCAGAGTCTCACAGCACGCGGGAAACGCTACTAGTCTAGCAGGAGCATCTTCAGCCAGGCTCAAGAGCTCGACTGGCGCGCCTCAAGAGCCTGCCAGCCCTGATAATCGCTTTGTCGTAGCGCAACCGAGCTCTGATAGCTCGCGAGCCGCTCCAGAACCCGTCAGCGAGGTCAAGAAGGGCAAAGCGCGCGCGATCGATGCTCCTGCGCCGGCAAGGGAGACGAGGTCTGTACAGAGACGAGTTCTGCCGGCGCGAAACCCAAGTTCGTCTTTGTTCGCGCCGCTGCAAGATGTGGTCTCAGATGCAGGAAAGCATATGCCGAGAGAGCAGGCATAGTCATACTGATGTCTCTATTGCCGCACAGGCCCTGCTCTGACAGCGGTGCCGCCAGAAACGCGCATTGCGCTGTGCCAGGCAAAAGATCTGACCCAGGACGTACTGCAGCAAATCGACGAGCGAATAGCGAGCACGTCGTCTACTGCTTGGTCTGGCGGAAGCTCTACTGCTTCTGCCTTACAAGCTGAAATCGAGACCCCACAAGTACGCGAGCTGAAGGACTCTCATCTCATCATTGGCCGATTCCGACCCACAAAGGAAGACGAGCAACGCTACAAGGCAGGTTCTACTGAGTAGAGTGACTCGCCCTTCTGATTGTACATTTGTAGGACGAGATGTCAGACGAAACTTTTTTGCGCAGGCATAGGCAGCCCGAGCAGCTAGAGAAGAGGTCAAAGCGACTAGAACGAGAATCTCTCATCTCGGAGCGACATCGCCTTCGACAAATGCTACAGCAGCTCAAGGCGGGCGAGAACCTATCGCAGCTTCTACCACTAGCTGCGCTACGTCCTTCTGGTCCCGCTCAGGCCTCTGCGACAGTCTTGCCTCACAAATCGCTGTCGACGAAACAGCGGCAACTGCTAGAACAGAGCGAGACGGATAAGCTTCGCCTCGATAAGATTAGGCTAGCAGAACGGACACTAGAGCGATATGACCAGCTCCTCAACCCTCGTCAGGCAACACCTATCTTGCCATCCGTCGTGACCATCAAGGAACTCCCGAATGGTAGATACATGCCGCTGCATAAGCCAAGTCAGCCAAAGGCCAGCAAGATAGCGAATCCTGTCAGCATTGCCAGCGAAAGTGAAGTCTACTCAATGTCGTCAAGACCCGCAAAAGCAGGGGAGCAGAAAGTGATCGGACGATCGCCGATGCCAGCGAAACAGAAGAACGGAGCTGCGAGTCGCAATACAGCGCCCACTCGTCAGCCTGTATGGACAGCTACCAAGCTCGCGGAACCGCGGCAAAGGCGACAAAACCGCGTTACATTGACAGATGGGAAGGTCGATCTCAAAGCTGCATCCGGTCGAGATGTACTGCAGGCATCTCGTGCTCCCAAGGCCGAAAATGCTTCATCACCAGCTTACTATGGCAAGATCGACCCAGACTCGGCTACTCCAGATGGCACGCCGCCGCCTTCGCCTGACAAAGTTGCGAATGCTGTAGGGGCACTCCTTTCGCCTTCGCCAATTCATCCTACGTCGAAGCGAGTGCGCGAACGCATCATGCGACTTTCACCTATCGCTGCCGCCCCCGCACCTGTGATCCAAGCACTGCCCTCGCAAGCAGCCGTTACGAGACATATCCGGCAAAATGAAGAGACTGCATCCGCTGCTTTGCTAGCTCTATCCCCTAACACGCAGACCGCAAACTTCTCCAGTCGGAGGAAAGTCAAGCGTGAAGGATCTGCAGAGCTGTCCCAACCGAAGCAAGTGAAAAAGCGCAAGCGGCTATCGCCTTACCGACCGGACGAGGACTTGCCGTCGGATGACCACTCCCATGCATTGAGCACTCCGGCCAGGAGATCAGTCACTGACTCGCCAGAATCCGGCATACTGCCCTTATCGAGGAGTCCCAGCCTACACTCGCCCGAGTCGATATCACTCATTCAGTCGATGCGCATACCGAGGAAGCGGAAGGACAGCTTTGGCTCCGCGACGGAAGAGCCAGCAAAAAAGAAGAGAGACAGTGTGAAGCCTGCCCGGCCGAGAGCAAGCACACCACGCCAGTCTGCAACGCTTGCTGCAAAAAGATTGGCAGAGATGAGCAGTCCATGAGAAATCTTGTAACCGAGCCAATGCAAGGAGCGCTAGCGCTACAGAGAGAGCTCGTCCACAAAGGGTAGTTCGTGAGTGTTGCCGTAAGCTACTGCGCTTGGCTTGCTCTTGAGCGCTGCCGTTGCGGCCTGAACAGTACAGAAGGTCAGCTGGGCGGGGCAAAGGAGGATTCGTGCTCACCTTTTGCACTTGACTGGCAGTAACCTTGTCAAGAGCTGCAAAGGTCTGTTCTAGTGAGCTGGCAGAGCCGTTTGCCTGGATCTACATGACGGTGTGCCTGTCAGTCACCGCCGAGCAGAACATGTGTGGAAGACGTACCTGCGAGGCAACGATTTCCAGGCGGGATATCCGTGATTCTAATGCGAGAGCGGCATGGAACTTGGCCTTTGCGACGGCCCTCTTGAGGTCCTCAGCTTTGACGGACTTGCTTGCGTCTTTGAGTGCGTCGATTGCCTTTTGCGCCAGACCGCGCACTTGATCGGTCGGAGCAGAGACTGCGAATCCGAAGAGACCGTTGTCGGAATATTGCAAGTTGAAAGCCTTTACGCCGGCGCCATGGCCAAGAGTGGGCGTGCTCGCGGCAAGGACAGAGGAAGCACTGGCGAGAGGGGTGATGCCGTTGGTCCACTTGAGAGCAGAGTCGCCCCCCAGCAAGTGCTGCAGGACTTGCCATTCCGGTGAGCTCAGTGAGCCGCCTTGGAATCCAACGAGCAGGAGATCTTGTTCCGAGTGCGTCTGAGGTACGCGCGATTCGCCGCCAAAGTAGGCCGAGCCACCTGCCGACTTGATGTCGCTCGATGCTGAGGGCGGAGCTGCACTGGTCGGCGCAAAGGACTCGGAGACGAGCTGCTCGAATGAGCCGTCCACGCCGGCAGCGACGATAGCAATCTCTGCCGGATTGGAGAGATGCTTGCGAGCGTACGCGACGGCGTCGATGTGATCGACTGGCGTGTTGGGCGACGCGAAGAGGGAGTTGCCGAGTCCTTTCCGGAAAGCGAGCTGGTGGAGATTGTCAAAGCCGAAGACGAGCGGATCTGCGACTGCCTGGGCATACTCTGCCGCGATCTGGGGGACGACATTCTCAATGTATTCGAATGCCTGGAAAGTGCTTGCGGTGATGACATCGCCCAGCAATTCTGTGAAGTAGGCTCTGCAGCGGACACGCGAGGAGATGAGCTCGGGCGGAGCTTGACCAACAAGAGGGGAGCCACTCACTCGTCACCCTTGAGGAACTCGGCAGTGAGGAAGAGGGAGTCCCGGTTCAGACTGGCGGTGAGCACGCCGCCGTAGAGCTCAGTCTCCCTGACAATCCTGAGAGCTGATCGTTTGGTGGTGTTCTTGAAGACCATGTTCTTGAAGACATGCGCGATGCCCGGCTCGCTCTCGTACCTCGACCCTGCCTTGATGGCCACAGTGATGGATCCAGTCGAAGGCGCGACGCCCGTGTCGCCCAGTCTTGCGACCTTGTAGCCCTCAACGGTACTCAGGCTGATATCATCTTTGCCCGCTGACGTAGCCAGTGGACGTCTGCTCGTCGCCCATGCCCGGCCTCGAGCTGCACCTGCAAGCCCAGACAGGCTCGACCTTTGCGCGAGCACGGAGGATCGCTGCATGCTTTGCCAGACAGCTCGCACGCTCGGCCCAATCCTGTCGCTTCGCTTTGGCTATGGGACGTGGCGTCTCTGTGGCATTTACTACCGCTGTCTGCTCGGGCAAACGCATATCTGTTGACGCTCTGCCTAGGGAAGTCTGGCGCGACGCGACGTTCCTGCTGGTATCGAGGACCCCTCATGATGAAGAAGCAGCAGCCCCTCTACCATCTTCCACACATACAAAACTCTGCAGCGCGCTTGTATAGATCCACTGATGCTCTTGCTCTGCTTCCTCATCCTCGCCAAGTTGCTCTCGGCTGCCGCCGCCGATGATCCTGCTCCAGAATTCAATCTCCGACAGAGTTTCCTAGTTCTCAGTCGGTCCTCTCTCGCAATGAGCTGACGATCTCCTCGCTCAACCGTACCTCTCACAGTCTGGTATGAAGCAAGTCTCGCCAATCGACACGCTCTCGTACGCTGAATATATGCCCCTCCCTACAGGCCACATGCCAAGCAAGCACCACAAACGACCCAATCAGCTTCGAACGCTCGAGCGCCAATCCGTACATCATCAAATTTGGGATGGGCGCTACGCACGATGAATACAGCGGCAAGCACAGATGGACACCGCTCGAAGTGGCAAGCTTCCCACCTGGGCAAAGCTGTCGACTTATTGCTGTTCCCAGATTGGCCGCCTGCCCTTCGAGGGCCACGTGTACTTTGGCGATGATGGCTTCAGAGGGACGGACATGCACGTCTCCATCGTCCTGGAGGACTTTGCAGGCGTATCACCCGAGCTTCAAGCATGGTCACGCTGTTGCTTGCCTCTGTTGAACTTGTCGCTCTTCGTCAACGCAGATGAGACGACAGTGTCGACCCTCGGTAGTATCCCACCCGACCTCCGCCTGAGATGCAAACCGGATCCATGGGTGCGCTCCTCAGCGCCGTGCGATCTCAAAGCCATTGGCAATCCGAAACGCATGTCACAGTAGATGAGCTTACGACGAGGCTGAGTCGCTAGACAGAGTCCACGGAGTGCAACCGGAACGTCAGAGTGGCAATCGCTCCCTTTGTGCAACCCATCAACTCGAGGAAACACTACGTCTATGACGTTTTCGCCACTGTCCGTCGAACCGTCCTACAAGGCACTTCGAGATCTCATGTGCAGCGCAGGCAAGTTGTCAAGCGAGCAAGAGCAGATTCATCCAGCGTGTGATTGCGAGCTGTCCCGAAGAGCATCAGTTGCCCATACGAATGGGATTCTACGCATATCCACCCACGGAAGAAAGGACTCGCTGGTCCATCGAATCTGTGAGCCTTGCAAAGTTCGCTTGCCATGCCAGTCTTGAGACTCTGCCCCAAGTCGGGCGTCTTCACGGATTACGAGATACGCGAGCTCAGCAGTGATGAAAAGGGCTCAGAGTTACGCATCACCGGACTGCCTCTTGCCTTTCAGCGCGAGAACCCCCAGTACGAGGCATGGGAACAATGGCAAGTCTTACTCGGCTTTGAGTTTACATTGATGCAGAGCTAAGATCAGTTCATAGCTGTACGGCTACCGCCACGGCCGTCATCGACATCGTTGGCGCAACGGTGCGTAGAACACATTTCACCCGGCGAATTGCGCTGGAGCGTCGAGCAGGGCGACTTGACAATCGGTGAGGCTCGTGTGATCGTCGATTGTCCGGGAGACGACGACGAGGCTCACGACGAGCGCTGCACGCCCGACATATGGAGTCTCATCCAGCCCAGAGGTACGTCTCGTTGAATAAAGCGTAGCGGAATTGATCGCGAGCTACAGCTGCGACTTACTGCACGAATGTCCACATGTCCATGAGACCGGCACAAGCGAGCGCAGAATGATCTCGCTCCAGTCGTGATTCGAGGCGAGCTCGAGCGCTTTGCACTTTTCGAGCATGGTATGTCGCTTGGTTGATGCAAATGTGGGGTGTCGATGCCAAACCGACGAATCTGTCGAAGTAAGTCTAGCCAAGTTCGTAGAATCCGCTATGGTGGTCATGCACGTGCATGTGAACGAGGCGGATCGACTGCATGAACTGATTGTGATTGATCTGAGGCTGAACAACTGGTCCCAACGTTCGCGCGCGTTCGCGTTAAGGACGTCCAAGCAGATTCTACCGAGCCAGTCTGACGTTCGTTGAGTCCCTATGACGCCAATGCGACGACAACAGCACACTGACTGAGATCGGATCATACCGAGCAAGGGCCGTGCATCGCTCTCTGCGTGCAAGATGGCCCAGTCAGAGGCAAGCCAGCTCAGACTAGCGGACCGACCAACTCGAGTGGTCAGGAGAGTGTCTGACGATCCTTTCTCAGCCAGTCGTGCTACACAACCTGAAGGGCATGAGCCCGCTCAAACACTGTCGCCTGTCTCCGCCGAGTCAACGTCAGACAGACCGGACATCAGCCGAAGTAACAGCGCTTTGTCGATCACTCGCAGGTTGTACGGCTTGCCTGATCCAGACGAGCCCAAGACGACGTCCTCTCGACCGATCAGTCCCATCCAAGCAGAGCCGGCAGTGGCATGTGAGCTTCCACGGGTGAGGCACAGCTCTGAGCAAGACTGAATGAAACACATTACAGTGCCACCGCCAATCAGCTCAAGGACCAAAGGCGTGCTTGCCAGACTCGGTTCAGGTCGATCTGCACGCCATACTTCTGGCGTACCTTCTACCGTCTTCCAATACGCTCGCAAACCTGTGGCCGAACAGGGCAAGGATTTGCCATTGGGCACGGGACAAGCTGTGCCTACTGACCTGACACCGATACCCGCCTCGGTTCCGCCCTCTGCAATCAGCCTATCCTCGAGCCTTGCCCGTCCCGTCATCTACGATACCCCGAGAGCTTCCGACAGAACGTATCAGATTGCAATTGACGAAGCTCTGACGCTGCCGGACGCGAAACCTGCCTCGCCCATTGCTTCCATCGCGCTTGCTAGCGATGATGATCATCGTCAAGCGATTGCACCTGGTAGCTCAGAGCATGGTCTTGCGCGATCTCTTGCCAGCTGGCCAGACGAGCTGCCCCAGGCGACCGCTCACACCGACGCAACCGGCGCAAAGCGTTACAGCTTTAGCGAACCTCCACGTGCGAACAAGGCAAAGTCGTGGCTGCCGGCCTTGAGGCGGACTAGGGATTCGGATGACATTGAGAAGCAAACCTCTCGCGGACCTCGTTTACGCAATGCTCACTTGCATCAGGGCAACAATCTCTTCTTCTGTGGCGGAAGGCTCATGACGTCCGACGATTCGCCCTGGGCTTTCCTAGGCGCTATTGCGGTCGTCATCATCTTGCCTGCTCTCTTCTTGATTTTCGAAGCGTCTTGGCTCTGGAATGACTATGGCGTCTGGCCAGGCAGCTTCCCTTCGGGCGGCGGCAAAGCTGCGCTCATATTGTACGCCTATCTCGTCCTCATGGCATGGGCGAGCATGGCAAGAGCGGCCTTCAGCGATCCTGGCATCATCCTGCGTAATCTCAACGAACCAGAGGTCACTCGAATAGCAACGGAGCCTGGTTCGAAAGATGACATTGGCGGCGGCTTTGCCGAACGGCCCATACCGCGATGGTTGCAAGTCAAAGACAGCCAAGTCATGTCAAAATGTGATTCCTCCGTCGACATAGCCCTCAGTCATACTGATTCCGGCGAGCAGGGTGCGAGACATGCGGTACATATCGACCACCTAGAACGTCTCATTGCCGTCTATGTGGCAATTGCTGCGAGCGAACAGATCATCATGTAGGCCGATTTTATTGCCTCCATACCCGATCGCTGACTGCCTGTTGCAGTGCACATTCCTCAATAACTGCATAGGCTATCGCAATTACATGCCCTTCATGGCATTCCTCTGCACCGCCGTGCTCGCCTCGCTCTGGATGTTCGCGTTCTCCGTCACACATCTCTGGCAGCTCCACCGCGAGCAAGTGGCCATTGCAAGCAACAGCAACTTCTTGTCGACTTGGCAAGCCATCGGCACTTTCATCGTCACCATCTGGTCGTTTGGTTTTGCGGTGCCCATCACGCTGCTTTTCTTGTACCATCTCCGCCTCATCTGGCTCGGCCGAACGACGATCGAGATGGTCAGTCCAGCCGGTTTCGCTCGCGAAGCATGACTGACAGCGGATTTTTTGACAGCTAAGGCGTCAGGATACCGATCCGTTCAGAGCGGGTTCCCGCCTTGATAACTTCGTACATGCCCTCTTCCGGCCCATGACGCTGCCCTCGGCCCTCGCTGCTCATCGCCCTGCTCAGACGGACCCGCGAGCAGATAATCCCGCATTCAAGCAGAGTCAGTAGCCAAATTGTAATCTGTGTGTTGTCAACTTTTTTTGCAAGGGTTTAAGCGGTAGTAACAACAGTGGCTCTACATCGACCTGTCGGCTTCGTCGGCAGAAGGTGCTGGGGCTGCGAAAAAGTTTGACCACTGATCAAAATCTAAGAGCTGGGATGGCGCGAACGCAAAGTCGTACTTGCCCGGCGATTGACCGACTGGTAGAAACAGAGAGGGCGTGGTCGGATCTGCAGAGGATGGAGCAGTCGATCCATGAGGGGCCTGCAAGAGCGCGGACGTCACCGCTGACGTGTCGACAGCAAGCTGTTTTGGCGAAGTTTCTGCAAGCGTCTCCGGTAGACTAGCAACCGAGCCAGAAGCGGTGAGGTCGTCCGTCTGAGAATGAGCTGGCGTTGGGGCTCTGGGTGCGTTCTTCCACTGATCTGCCGAGACTGCGGTCGAGTACAGTAGACTGATGACTGTGCTTACGCTGGATCGGGAAAAGGCCTCGTCAGAATGAACACGGGCCATCAGATCACGAGCTTCTTTGAGCGATGCGAGTGCGGCCGGATCCGAGCATCGCACGAACGTATGATACTAGTCAAGGACATCAGCTGAGCGCGATCGACGGCAGATTGTACTGACCTGGAGCAAAGAACATATGAAGAACGAGTAGAGGGCGAAGAACCAGCTTTCGATGATGGCTTCGTTGTGACTCGCCCAAGTAATCGATTGCGCGGCCCAAGCCACCAGCTGATGGTACGACTCTTCCGAGACAGTGAAGGCGAGCTTCTGTGCAGGCTGGCCAATGCTGAGAAAGGGTCGCATGAACAGAAACTGTACGGGAATGTAGCAGAGCTGCAAGAAGCCAGCGTGCAGCGAGTCTTGTGCTATGTCGTGACGGTATTGCATATTGGAAGGCAGATTTTGCCGCCAGGTTTGTAGATCTCGTTGTAGACTCGTACAGTCTTCATCTGTCACATTGATGAAGCCAGAAGGAGAGTAGAGCAGTTTGAGAACGCGAGAGAGCAAGATTGATAGCCGCGTCAGAGGCACCGTAGAGTCTTCTGGTTCGCCCTCGCCAGGTATAGTGGCGGTCGTATCGACCGGCGTCGGGTATAGACAGTCGCACATGGCAATATCGATACAGGCTGGCAAGCCAAAGACGGCACTCATCCAAGCATCCGCAATGACGCAGCATGCCCACAACCTCCTTCTCGCATTGAGATGCTCCGGATCCGAGGTCTCTTGTCGTTCGCTTTCTCTGTGCATGCCCATCGATTGTGCCATCCTAATGATGCCCCCTAGGATGACCCAAGCACGACCGCAGGTGATGTCTGTCGAGAGTTGATAAGCTTGTGTGTAGATGAGTAGTGCCTGAATGGTAGGGATGTTGTGATGCGCAGCTAGGTCATCCTTGCGAAAGATGCTCGCGAGGATCTGTCGAATATTGACGATGAGATGCGGGGCTGCACTATGTGATAGTGCAGACACGCCGGCGATACAATGAAGCAAGAGAGACGGCACGGGCACATCGGCATTTGTCAGTTCGTTTGCAGTAACGACGGGATAGATCGTCAGCCGGCGAGCAAAAAATGAGTTGACCAGGCCCTGTAATTCGTCCGAGGTGATCGAACCTGCCGTACTGAGCTTGCCATGCGGCGGTTGTGGCATTTTCCGTGGCTCTTCTGCTTGTGAACTGACGGGAACGAGCTTGATGAGGCCTGATCCAGTCGCGCTGGCTTCGAAGGTCTGCTGGTGATCTTTGACCCAGAAAGAGACTTTTTCGTTCGGAAATTGGGCGTCGGCGCACATGAGGTGGCCAATAGAAGAAGAGCCGTAGATTCTCGGTTCGTCGATCGTACGTGAATCGTCTTTGTACTGGGAAGGCGAACGAGAATGATCGGACCCCGATCCGTTGTGATCTGCCCGGGCGGGCGTATGCGCATCGCTGTCCTGCTTCCGACGCTTATGTCGTGTTTCACTGATGGGCAAGAACCAAGAACATTCGAGTCTGTGCTGCTTGCAATGCACGCACATCTGCCCCTCTTCGCCATCGGCCAAGACATCGCACCTGCACTCCTCAGTAAGCTCTCGTCCATCAGGAGCAGGCAAAAGGACGGACCTGATCTTCTTGCGACGACAAGAATCGCATGCGCGTGGCGTCTTGAGCCGCTTCCGCTCGTCTGCCTTGCTATGTCGAGGCGAGCCAGCTGACGTGCTCGCCTGAGGCTGGCTCTCGTGCATGTATGGCTGAGCGGGGTAGTAAGCCGGCGGCGGGGGCAGGAGCTGAGGTTGTTGTTGCTGTAGAGAGAGCAGCGGAGGCAAGGCCATCCTTGCGTCCGGTGCAGGGGCAAAGCCCTGCTCGGATCCATTGGTGTAACGTCGCCTTTGTTGGCCATTGACCTGTCCATCCGGCTGCGCGGGCAAGTAGCGATGCTCAGGTGGTGGAGAGTTCATGAGCCGATGGTTTGGCCAGATATTGTGCTGCTGCTGCTGGGCGCCACTAGGGCCTGCCTGCTCGTGAGGGGGAAAGCCAGTGGGCGGAGGTTGATGTGCATAAGCCTGTCTGACTTGATCATAAGGCATTGCGACCTGGTCCTGCACTGATGTGGTAGCATAGCCCGGCCTTGAGACAGCTGCTCGGTCGATGGGAGGCTGTTGGTGGGCGTAGACTGCCTTTCGGCTATCCTCTGCATAAGCCTCGGCGCCGACTGCTGCAGCCGTCGACTGCCAGGGCGCCATGCCTGGTGGTGTCAGACGCTGTCGATGCTGGCGATGCAGCCTGTGAGGGGCCTCTTCCTCTCAGCACCGGCCTGCTAGGATACTATGTCGAGCTCGAGGTCAAGACCGAGCCAATGCCAAGGGCAAGCCGATCAGTCGCGCGCTCACAGAACAATCTGCTTCCTCTCATTGTTGCCGACCAGGCACAACCGAGATGTCGGATAGCAGAGAGAGCGCTCGAGGCATTCTGTAAGACAGATCAAAGTGAAGCAGATGGCACACTTCTGCATGGGAATCACAAATCACTGCGCCTGTTGGCTTGTTTCCCTGAAGGGATGCAGTACAAGCCAGCAGACGCCGCCTGTTGACCATCGCAGTCCCACGCTGGACCTTGTGGAGAGAGTGCAAGAATGCATTGATAAGAGCTCCGGTGATGCAAGGATGCTCCGATGTGACGGCGACAGATTGCCCCGTTGGGTAAGTGTGGCAGACAGCGCCAGTTGACGAGGCTGTACACCTACACAATGGCGTGCGGTGTCTAGAAAGCCCAGAAGGCGCCCAGAGCGAGGCCGCTAGCAGCACAGAGCCAGTCCAGACGGAAATCAATCGCATGGGGCGCGCCAGACAGTGACGTCGTCGTTGGCGTGCTCGTCAGAACAGACGCATCAGCCGAGCCAGAAGAGGAGTTGGGCGTCGTGACAGATTCGCTCGAGGTCGTCGTGCCGCTCGTGATGGCTACAGTGGTCGTGCTACCGTCCCTGGAAGTGACCGTCGCGCTCGAAGCTGTCGCGCCCGAGATGGACGCCGTCGAGCTACCCATGCGAGGCACAGATGTGGACGTCTCTCCAGATCTGAGGTAACCAGCTTTAGCGTAGGTACGAAAGGAGCGATAAGACGTGCGAGGATGCATCTGTTCGGGGCAAGCTCGGAGAACGTATGGAGACGACTGACTGTGATTGACCAGCGGCGAGCGCTGCGAGTGAGGCGATGATCAGTCCAGTGGCTAGTCTCACCATTCTGCGAGTGCTCCTTGCGTATATGTGCCGAGCGCGAGACCGAAATCGAAGTGATAGGCCCGAAAGCGATAGTCGATAGAGAGCCACACCTAAAAATAGCGACTCTCCACAGTTTCGGCAATCCCGTCTAGAGAACAGCCGATCGCCCTTATCGATCTCGCAGGCTTGCCACGTCTGCATCTACCATCCTGGTTCTTCGGCATGTCAATGTTGCCTGACGACGGCAGGAGCATGTCCCCTCTTCCAGCCTGAGTCGCCTGTTCCAAACGTCGCTCTGACGATATGCTCAGCTTGCTCAGGAACTGCGCTCTCTTGACTTGGTTGTCACTTCATGAGCTCACGGCAGGCTCGCCGATCCAGTCGGACAACGAGCTTTACGACCTCGCATTTTTCTATTCTGCACGTGTTGCAAGCCTTGTCGTCCATACACGCTCATGTGCATGCCTACAGGCGACATGCGCCTCACCGCTCGATCCCAACATAGGTCTCAACTTTACCGTGCCTAGCTCGGATCCGGGCAAAGTGGACATCGTGCTAGCCTACAGATGGGCGGGTAGCGCAGAAGCCTATGATGTCGGTCACACTCGCGTGGTTGCTTGACGACCGAGCTAGATAGCCACTTGCAGAATAGTGCATACAGGCTCGACAGCGTCGAGCACAACGTTGTTTGGTTCGAGGACGATGTCACCATGATCAGCCACGTACGTCTGCAAGATGCACGCAGTCTGTCACTCTTTTCGTCCCTTCCGTCTCTCCCTGACACTGATCTGCACAGTGCGAGAATGCTGTCGAGCCGAATTGACGATGCAGCACGTGGCACCTTCCTCCAAAAGCTTCAGTGCTCATGCACGGCGATGTCTTCTGCAGGATGCTCCTCTCGGCTGTGCAACACAGCATGCGAGAGATATTCGAAGGTTTCTGGCTCCACTGCGGCGAACGTAGGTCTCGTTCATAGCACGATTCGCTACGCCACTGACGCTCGTTCAACAGATGTGGAGGCTTACCCCGGCGCCTGCATTAATCTGGGCGTACCCGTCACGGATGAGCAGTGCACTCTTGATCTCAACCTGTTTCAGGAATGGCGCTCACGGCCCGTTCACAATGCATCGTGAACGTGATGATATCATCGCCTGACTGCCTGAGCGCTGTCTGTGATCACGTGATGCAGATCTCAGTAGACGTACCTCGAAGCGGTGCTTGACTTGACTTTACATCACCTTCAGCGTCAAGATGTCGCTCTTTGGCAGCAAGAAGAAGCTGGCCCATACGCCCAAGCTGGGCGCCATCCTGCAGACTGGCTCTCTCAAGCCGCTCGGCGAGCTCATCAATTCTGAAAAGATCGTCATGGCTTCGTGAGTCTGGCCCGCCTGTGCTCTCATCTCACGATACTGACGCTCGTCTCCTTCTGCTCTTCTCGCCATCCTGCTCACTGTGATGTCCGACATGCAGCACGGATCGACTGGCACTCGACATGAAAAGAAGTTCCGAGGCCATCAGGGAATGGGCTGCCACCCAGGGCGACGACCTCAACGTACGCCGCTTTGCTGAGGATGCTGGATCCGTCAGACTGAGTTGTCGGGGGCGCAGGATGTGCTGAGCAAAGTTTCGGTGCTCTACGACATACTGGCGTCGTCACACTCTCGTTTCTCAGAGCACGACTCGACTTACCGGATCCACTACAAGTCCCTCCGCAAGCGGGAAGAGGATTTCATCGCCTTGAGAAAGAACAGAGACTCTCTCGCTGGCAAGATCTCCTCGGCAGAGAACAAGCTGGGCAGGATGTCGAGCGAGAACAAGGATCTGCCTGCTGCTACTCAGCGCCTGCAAGAGCTCAAGCAAGAAATGGTCGGACTCGAACATGCTGTCAACAATGAAGACGCCCGGCTGTATGATTACCGTCGAGACACGACTCGCGAAGCCATGAGCCTCAAAGTATGCACGTTCTTTCCGTTACAGCTGCCTGACTGATCGCTCGGCAGCTCGGCGCCATGCTCGAACTGGCCGAGAAGATGACCGTGATTGCCGAGATGTCAAAGCTGCTCATTGCAGAGATACCGAGGGACCGCAGTCTCGTCGGCTCAACGCGACCCTATTACGAGGGTCCGTGCATTCTAATTAGCATCTACACAGGACTGACGAACATTTCAATCCCCACAGGCTTTCCGGAGACAGAGCGAGTCATGCAAGAAGCCCAAACGTGCCTGCAGACCGTCGTCTTCAATCCCATAGCCGGTCAGGGTCTGCCATCGGGTGCAGCAGCAGAGATGAGCTACGACGAGGATGGACTGAGATTGGTCGACCCCAATCAGTCTCGGCAAAGCAATACGGACACTGCAGACTCGCGCTACCTAGCAGACTACTACAATGAGCAGTCTGACTCCAATCGTCTCGGAGCTGGTGTGCCTGCGACAGGTTCTCAGCGTGCGTCCGCCGAGCGCGAACGCACATCGACAGAGCATAGCCACAGACAGCAATACGACTCCGCGCTGCCTTCTCCTTCCGGCCAGCCTGCTACGCTACCAGAGGAGACGGAAGATCCTAGGAGCTCGCTGGCCTATATGGCCAACAAGCGCGATTCCGCCGATCAACGAGGGAATGGCTACCCCATGCCCGCCATGCCTTCTGCCGATCCGCCCCAGAACCGTCAGGCACAGCAAGCAGCAGGCTCACGAGGAAGTTATACACCACCGCCACCGCCAGGGCCAGAGCGGCCCGGACAGAAGCGTGGAGATTCATTGCTGGGAAGCAAACACGGTTTCGATCAGGATCCGTACCAGCCCACCTCTGGCTCCCGACCGCCCCGAGAAGCGCAAGTTCCGCAGTCCTCAAACGGTCCAGCGGAACCTTCCGGATACTCTTATGGCCGTCCGGGCGAGTACCATCCCGTTCCGCGAGGAGCCGGTCACCGACCTGCTGCGCCTGGAGGAAGATACGCTCAGCCTCACCAACCTTATGTGCCCGGTCAGCCCAGTCCTGCCGATCTCTATCGTGATCAATGGAGAGCGACATCCTACCACGATGTCAGAAGTGAAGAGGGCTCAGATGCTGTTCCTGCTTTACGTATCAACAAGCGCGATACCGCCGATGTGCCCAGAGACGAGCGAGTTTCTTCCATGCCCCTTTCTTCTTCGTTGCACTGACCCTGTGCTGTAGGTCTGGGGAATTTGCACACATTCGACAATCGAGCAATGAAGCGGCGATGCGCAAACAGTCTCTTACTGGCGGCGCTCGATTGCCTGACTCTATTCCGCCTGCTTATGGTCAAGCTGCACGAGACAGTCCGATACCCTCGGAACAAGGAATTCTCTCGGGCGGCACCGGGTTTGCTTCCAATCGCTATGTAACACGACTGGATTGATCGCCTCGAAAACGACGACAACAACAACAGCAACATCATCATGATCATCAACAACAACATCACCACTTCTTGTTCTTAATTCTCTGTATTCGTAGTCGTTGCAAGCTTGCTCTGTTGGGCGGCCAACCAATCGAAAAGCTTGACATTGTGCGTTGGATGCTCTGCCGTCTTGTTTGCTGCCAAACCTACTGCGAGACTCTGGGACATTGAGACCATTTTATTTGCTTGGTCCGAGCGCGTGTGAGCGAAGAGGTTCGCGAGCAATGCCAGGATGAGAGGCTTGAGGTAGTTCATCGAGGCATCATTACTGATCTGCAGTGCCGAGCTCAAATATCGTCTGCTATACTGTCAGCCCATCGATCGTATCAATGGCGCAAGACGAGACGCACTTTGTTTGTACGAGCTGACGACACTTGACGGCCTGAACGATCAAAGACGCGGCTCGCATGCCGGGTGTGGAGTCATGCACCGAAATCATGCTGGCCCCAGTCTCAAGCAGTTGCAGCGAGAGCTTAGCCGTGTGGGCTTCGGGCGAGTTGCCAGTGCTAGCTACTTGCATTACCGGTAGTGCGTGAGTAAGATCGCCTCTGGCGTGATCGAGCATGCCTAGCAGAAGAGCGAGTCTTTGATATGACTCGGGCAATCTATGGAATCTTTCGCAATGATCGATAAGTTCCGTGAGAATCTGCACAGCTTCATTAGGTCTGCTCTGGTTTGAGCCAGACGCTTGACCCACTGAAGTAGCTTTTGCTAGATCGCCACGAGCCAGATGTGTTTCGAAGCTTAGCGTAAGCACATCCCTTTTGAGTTTCGCAGCCTCTTCAAAGCCAGCGATGATATCGACACTCGAGCAAGAGCTTGGCAGCGAATCTGGCGATCCTTCGAGACGAGCATCTGCACAGCTCAGGCCTTCCTCGGCGTACAGCAGACTCCTCGGCGTCTTGCCGATTGGATCACGATGTACTGCCATGCTGACCAGGAAAGCATAGGCGTAGATGGCAGAATAGGGTGGCAAGGTTACGTTGAGCGAGGCGAGGATCTGCAGAGACCATGAATCCTTGCTGCGCTTGGCAGCGCATGAGAGTTACCTCGATCTTTGTCTCGTTCTCTGTGGCTTCGGTGGCGTCAAGCATAGCATGAACACGCTTGAGCGTTGATTTAGCAGGCTTGATGTCTGCATGCGTGCGCGTCTGATGAAGCGCTCGCAGCATCGAAGCAGCAATGTCGATCATGCCTTGACTATCTGAGTCTACTTCTTGTCCTTCTGGCCCGAGCAATTGGACAAGAGTAGAGTCGAGAAGTTTTGCATCGAGCAGACGAGCAGCCAATGTGGCCATCTGAAGCTGGGCAGCGCTAACGACACCCGTATCGTCTCTCGATCTGGCAAGTGTCTCAATCTCGCGCAGATTGCGTAATGCTAGGCTATTGCTGTTGTTGCTCTTGCGAAACATGAAATGGTAGAGATAGTGCGGCGGAGGCTTGTCGGATCTGCAAGGCAGTGCAAGGCAGATAAGACAAGAATCACGAGCTGCGTCAAAGGGCCGCACCTTTTGAGCATTGTGATCGCGCGCTGGAGAGTCGTCTCTGCGAAACGGTGCTGATTTTGCGCAATGGCGATGCGATACTGAAGGTCGTAGAATCGACAGCGAAATTCGAGATAGTCTGGACTTCTCTGCGCAAGCGTGAGGCCCTTGGTCGTGATCTCGCTCGCTTCAGATGTATCTTGTGTCTCTGTGAGCAGCGTATCGGCCAACAAAGCACGGGCTACGAGCTCCAGTTCGATGGAAACCGTCCGTCGGTCAGAAGCAAGCGCGATGCAGTGGCGCAAGTAGACCACGGCTGCATGGACGAAGCGACGGTGGCGCATGACGAGCTCTGCATACGCTCTTGTGCTTCTGCCAGGCCTCTGCTTGCTCTCTCGAACGAACGGCTCGATGAACTCGGGCCGTCTCGCGAGCAAAGGAGCCAGCCGCTGAGCTGCTTTAAGGTGACATGTAGCAGTATGGATCAATTGGATCGCTACCGGCACGCTCGCGATAGGTCTAGACTCTTGCACGTTGACTTCATCCTCGATCACTGTGTCCGAGGGCGACAGCGTGCCTGTGGAGAGCATGGAACGATGCCGCTTCGTCGGCGTCGTCTCTTCGCTGAGCTGTACTCTTTGACGGCGCGTCGAGGCGCTGACGAGCTCACTGGGATTGCTGCTTGATGGCATCCGCGCCTCGTCGGGCGAAGAAGCCTGATAGGGTCTCATCGGTCTAGCTAGCAGAGCAACTCAAGACGACCGCACGACCAGTCGATCACGCGAATTCAACGTCGCGTCGCGTATATTGACTAGTTGACGACTCGTGGCACAGACGCCTGACTTAGCGGCTAGTCGTCGAGCATGACGAACTCAGAATGGGCCACGCATTCCGTCAGTGCTGCAGACGGTGTCAGACTGGACGGATCTGCGGAGTCGCATCCTGACATACGTTTGGGCTGGAGAAGTCGGGCTGTTGCCACACTGCAAGATCGGTATTGCGGTGTCCAGGGCCCATTTTCGCAGTGAAGCTGTGTGCTACTCTCTTGGACCGTAAGATTACCCTGCAGAGTGATACATGTCATAAACAAAGATCAAGCATATTCGCGAATGCCCACCGACATCGTCTGATCTGATATAGAACTTGATCGATGAACGGGCTGAGCAGCTTTCGACAGATCATGATAAGTCTCACGCTGCAGCAGATGGTACGCTAACGTACCATTTGCGCCACTCCCCGCAGTGGATCGTTTCGGGCATGATGTTGGTCTCGAGCTCGTATAGAGCGAAACGAGTGCCTTCTGCGTCTCTGTCGACGACGTCAAGCTGGAATCTACCTGTCACGCTCTCTGTAGCCTGCGTAGATCTGGTTCGAATCAGTTCAAACACGGACTTGCGGGATTTGCTGACGGGATGAACACTGCGCCGGCCAACCTCGTCGGGCTCGTCGAGGTCAAAGGACAGCACGAGCGGCGGTTCACCGACAGCAGGTGCTTGTACAAAGACCCTCGACATCGTTACATCCCGGCTCGCTTGGCATCGCGCGGTGATTAAGACTAGAGTAGAGTATGTAAACCCCCAGTGCTAAGCGAAATGGGAGCTTGCTGACCGGTGTACGTGTATTTGTCCTCTTCGTACGGCGTGGCTGCTTTGACAGCCCATTCGAAGCCGGGAGTGCACCAGGTCACCTCTGTTTGTTAAGTTGAGGTTGGAAGGGCTAATCTAGGTTGGACTCGCCCTTTGGATGTCCGATGGCAGCAGGGTTGCAACGAGCGTCTGTTGGTGCTTGCTTATGTGGCTGGCAGACTAGACTGATTGAGGTCGATCCGAGTCTCATGACTTTTTTCTCGATGGCGTCGACCAAGAACGTCACTCGAATAGATGGCAAGCAGCAGTATGACCAAGGCAACAGCTCACGTCTATGGTCTGTGTAGTCATCCGGTGTCAGGGTGAGTTCTGCTATCACCCCGCGCTCCGAGCCATCTTCGAACACGACCCTGCCTGACAGCTGATCATGCCTGATCTGAGCACGAACGTGAATGTAAAGCAAGACACCGTGCCTCTGTGGACGTCTCTGCTACCCAGAGATAAGTGCCTGGCAGATCGTCGCGCTCACGCATGACAATGACGATACTGTATGCTTGAGCGCTGGAACAGGAAAATGCGATAGGCGCTAGTACTGTGCTAGGCTTGCACACGGTCTCGTACCACATCACGAGCTCGTAGCTTTGAAGGTCATAATGCCGCGCTCGGAGGTTCGCTCTCGTCGAGGCACAGACTGTTGCCACGAGGAGCAAGAGGCAGAACACCATGGTATTTAGACAGGCATGGGGGGTGTCTTGTCGTTCGAGAGGGGTGGACATGGTCGGCAACGCGACGCGCGAAGGTCATGAGGTGCACCTTCCCTGCAAACGCCATCCCCCGCTTCATCGGGCTCTCTCTCCTACTCTCCTCGGCTACTCCTGCCTATGGCACTGTTGAGCCATCCTGCGGTCATTCCGATGCGAGTCTGGTCTTTGTAAGTCATCGAGAGACAGACAAATGCAACGAGGTGACCGTCAAACGCCAAACAGCCAGCCGGCTTTCATCACGGCCTGTCCGCTCCCCACAGTCGATGGGAGACCATCTCAAGAGCTCGAGTACATGCCAGGAACACACATGTGGCTGCAATCTGTCCTTGAAGCAGATGGTACGATAGGGCTCAAGGAGATCAAACAGGTGAGCCTCAGAACGCTGGAGGCGTCAAGGTACCGACACTCGCAAGCAGATGGAAGGCCTACCGCTCTACTTCGATGCGCCAGAACCACCTCTCTATGCTCCCGGAGAGGTCAAGATCCCGCTACAACTGTACTACGAGTGGAATAGTGGTGATCCCAGAACGCCCGCACGAGCGCAAGTCGAGTGGCCCTACCGTCATTGCTGCGCATTTGATATCTCCTGGACGGCCCTGCTCGATCTTGAGTACGCTTGAGTTCTGCTGCTCGAGCTCGCCAAGTGCTGATCACATCCACCATTCTGCAGATCAGGCGCAGTCGAGGAGCTCTCGGTCCGCAGTGGGTGGAGATGCAGACCAACCATGCCGAATCCCGCACAAGCTGAAGAATGGCCACATTGTCCTGCTGGCAGCCCGGGACTTGATCCAGGTAGGTCGTTCGTTATGCTCCGCTGTGTCTGTTTATGCTCGGAACAGCCCAAGGCGAATGTACTGTCCTCCGAGCTGGTCTCTTTGCCTCGACCGGACACGCAGAACAGTGACGAAAGGGAACCTTATGCATTATGATGTTTATCGAGAGTTGCTCTCTTCAACAGCGTCGAATTGAAGATGCTCGCACAAAGTCACAGCTGCGACACGTCAGCTGATTTCCTACATGCGTGCTAGTCTCGACTTGCGAGAGGGATGATAGAGCAGACTTCGAACGATCTCGGTGCATTCTTCGGTAAACTAGCACGACCCAGGTCAGCCATGGTCTCCTTTCGTAGAACAAAGCTACCTTTGAGGCGCGTTCGGGCCAGCAAGCCATGTTGAGCATCTCATCGCGCAGAACTATTTCGTCTGCAAGCGATGCGTCAGACGACACTCACTTGAGTGCCACTCGATTTACGATACATCGTCGCCACGGCCACTCTTGCCTGCCAATAGATCTTGCAGCAAACAGGTCAGGTTTGTCAGTGGCAAAAGATGTGCTGGTTACCATGCAGCACTTGCCAGCCAAGCCAGCTGAGCTACTGTCAGTCTTACAAGTCTAATGAGATAAGAGCGAAAGCACCTGGTCGAAGGCGACCGCGCAGCAAGAAGCGGACCCAAGCCCACGCTACAGCTTCGGTCGTGAATTTGTCGATGTTGGCCACATTGGTCTGCTTGCGTCCAGCCAACACTTTCAGGCAAGCACACATGAAGCTTACATAGGCATAGTCGGGATTGGCTGGAAAGACTGTACGGCGATCGTCGTCTTCGTTCAGTACAGTGGTCACCATGAAATGAGGTCTTGTCTCAAGCTGCAAGACTGCATAGATTGGGCGAGTGTCCGGAGCTGTTTCGGTCCAACATATACCCTGCGACAGTCGTGAGTTGCTGTTGTGCGCTATGAGGAGGAGCACGCGCGATAGCCGATACTGTAGATCAGCGCCCGGCGTCAGCCTGTAGACATCATGGCTCTTGGGTCGGGCCAAACAGAAGATATTGTACGACTCGGTATTGATTTTGTCCGCATTGTCTGGTATTGCATTTGCGCTCTGAATGCGATGTGACGAGGCGAGAAGTAGTCGGGCGAGACAAGCAAGTATAAAGAGCTGCATCTTGCGTGTACAAGTCTGAATCGCGCTGGATGAGTCTCTCGGACTGGGTCCTCTTACGCAACGGCGACGGATCTAGACGGCTGAGGTGGCTCGTAGTCAATGAGCTCGTTGTCAACGTATATGTTGAGAGACTCGAAGAGACACGTCGAGAACGCTGTTCAGACAGATTAGCGAGACTGGGAGAGCGCAAGGCAAGCCTTACGCAAGGGCCTGCGGAGTAATTCGTATTTCTTGTCTGTACACGTTTTCGAAGTCTGGAATGGTGTAGCATCAGAGCCTATATGTCCTTATTGGGCAAGACGCACCTGCTCTCCCGCCTTGACGTGAGGTACACAGAATAACATGTATTCAATCGATCTTGGTTTCAGCCCGTGTGTGACGGTCTCGACCTCCCAAGTGGCATAGAACATTCCTTTGCAGCAGTCTGCTGGGTCGACAACAATACTCCCTGCGGTCGTGTACAGCTTTGTATAGAACGAGGTTTCGATGATGACCGTGCTCGATTCGGTCGCAAGCACCCGATTTGTGTCAAAGCGCGCGGGCATGCCATACTGTTGCGGGATCAGCAAAGTCTGTTTTGGCTTGCGGATGAGATACAAATGTGGCTTCAGGTTCTCTCATGTAGAGACCGTAATTCGTGCGGACATTGAAAGCACCTGGTGCTCTTTTGGGTACTTCCGAGTAGATGTTGCCGCCTTTGCCTGTGCCACAGTCTATCTCGAAATCTACACGAACACTGTAGAACTCCTCGAAGACGGGTTGATCAATCGTGTGTCCACGTTCGTGGAGCGTTGCTACGGCAGAAGAGACGGGCGTCGCTACCAATGCGCAGAGTACAAAGAAAGCGCATGCGTATCGCATCGAATACGCTCGCAGCATAATCGTCAATCTGAGCCAACGATGATCCGGTTGTTGGGCTGGATGGGAGAAAAATAGCTGGAAGGAGCCTTACGACGAGGGTTGAACGGGCGAGCAGGGGCCAGGTGATTAATGCTTCTGAGGGAAATACTGATCACGAGATGCGTGCACTGCTATGGCTACGGCGCGTCACGACAGCCGAAGCGGTGCAGTAGGAGGCAGAGGAGTCGAGTGGACAAGAATACAGGCTGCATCTTGCGCGTCAAATTCTAGTCCTCGGCGTGTTCCACGGTCACGGGTATTCCGGCGAATATTGGCTCACGAGCTAGTCGATCCCCGAGGTATAAAGTCGATGCGCTTGCCATCGATATATATATCCAAAGACGTGAAGTCGCACGTCGTCACGGCTGCAGAACATTTCAGCGCCGTCACAGCAGTAGAGTTACACTGACGATGTGGCCAATGAAGCAGGGCGTGCTTTTCGTCTGTACACGTTCTGGAAGTCTGACAAGGCACAGCATCAGATGGCATTGCTTTGCTACACGAAGCTTACCTGCGGGCCTGCTTGTGCATCTGGGTCGCAATATAGTATGTATGTTACCGATCTCGGCTTGAACTCATGAGCGACGGTCTCGGCTTCCCAGGTCGCATAAAACATTCCCTTGCAGCAGTCCGCTGGATCGACAATGTGCTGACCCGCGGTCGAGTACAACTTCGAGTTGAAGGATGTCTCGAGAATGACGGTACTCGTCTCGGGGAAGAGTTCGCCGTATTTATCGAAGCGAATAGGCTTGCCGACCTGTTAGAACCATCAGAACAACCTTGCAGAGATTTTCAGTGAGGTACAAATTCGGCTTTTGGCGTGATCATAAAGGTGTCGTATGTCGTCTCGACATTGAACGCGCCCGGGTAATTCTTGGGTACGAACGAGTAAATGTTGCCGCCTTTGCTGTACGCACAATCCACCGAAAAGTCGACCCGGACGGTGTAGAATTCTTGAAAAGCAGCAGGCAGTCTGGACAGACCCCTATCGTCTTGCGGGACTGTGGGGGATGCCGAGTTGGCAATGGGCGTTGCAATTGCTGTCACGCAGAGGCACGTCAACAGTGCGAGTGTGTAAGCACTTCGTAGCATTAGTGACCGGATCATGGTCATCAGATTGAGTCGAAGAATGTATGGACAGCAGATTCAGCGACGAGGACAGGAGCAAGGAGCGGGTGAGTGACCGAGGTGAGATTTTGATAAGCGATCTGACAGGGAAATCCGGTCACCAAACACTGCCCCATAGCTACGGCTACGACAGTCTCGAGTTGTTTGCCGAGCATCAAAGTATGCTTCCCATCGCTCGCAGGCACGCAAGGCCGCTCGCTCGTAGTCTCGCAACAGCGGCTAGTGGTCGGCTGGCCGATGTCCATGCAGATTCAAAGGAAAGCAACCGATGGAAAGGCACGAGTACTACCGGTGGAACGACGAAGCTCTATATCGACGGACAATGGACAGACAGCAAGACAGATCGATGGATTGACCTGTATGATCCAGCAAGTCGGACATGTGTCAGACTGTCGGCCATAGTCTGACTCTAGCTGTCGCGACGCAGAGTACACAAAGATTGCTCACGAAAGTGCCGGAGACAACTCAAGATGAGATGCGCTTGACCGTCGACAAGGCTCATGATGCCTACTTGGGATGGAAAGACACCAGCGTACTGTCTCGTCAGGGCGTCATGCTAAAGCGCGTCTTGCTCGCTATCGAATCGAGCAAAGCTCATGAGACGTGGCAGGCTTCAGCACCTCTTGCGCGAGCATATGGACGATATTGCTCGCTCCATCGTGTCCGTCGCATCATCAGTAGGAACTGCACGACTGATCTTCGACGTACAGTCTCGAGCAAGGCAAGACATTTGCAGATGCAAAGGGTGACGTACTGCGCGGTCTGCAAGTCGTCGATGCCTGCTGCGGCATTCCCAGTCTTCTCATGGGCGACAAGATCGAGGTCTCGCGCGATATGGATACAGAAGTACGCAAAGCGCCTCTTGGCGTTGGTGCTGCCATCTGTCCCTTCAATTTTCCGGTTTGTTGCTCACGATGCGGTCCATTTGTGGGCTGAGGCGAAAGCAGGCTATGATTCCGCTATGGTCGATACCCATGGCAATAGCAGCCGGTAACTCGCTCATCCTCAAGCCGTCAGAGCGTGATCCTGGCGCGAGCATGATCATTACCGAACTCATGGAGCTAGCTGGCACGCATTCCGCTTTTCGCCCATAAAGCTCGCGCTTATTTGACCAAGCAGGACTACCGAAGGGCGTGCTCAGTGTCATGCACGGCTCAGTAGATACGGTCAACTTTCTCTGCGACGAGCCCAGGATCAAAGCAATCACATTCGTCGGCTCGGACAAGGCAGGCAAGCACATCTACGATCGAGCAGGTGCTACAGGCAAGCGTGTGCAAGCTAATCTAGGCGCAAAGAGTGCGTATCGTTGGTCTCTTATACAAGGGTGGGCTAAGATAGCAAGCAGACCACGCTATCCTCATGCCTGACGCGAATCTCAACTTTGCGCTCAATTCGATCGCAGGCGCTGCCTTTGGAGGTGCGCTCTCGTGCAGCTGTCCAGGATAGGTGCTCACTGGTATACTTAGCTGCTGGCCAGCGATGTATGGCACTTTCTGTCGTTGTGTCCATCGGTGAACCGACTTGGTTGCCACAACTCGTCGAACGCGCAAAGAAACTCAAAATGGCCAATGGCTTCGAACAAGGCGCCGATCTGTCCGTTCTTCGCTTGCTGAAGTCAAGCTCTATATTGACACATGCATTCGCATCAGAGGACCTGTGATCAGCCCGATGGCGAAGACGCGGATAGAGTCTCTCATTCAGTCTTGCGAAGATCAAGGTGGCAAGATCATACTTGATGGACGTGGAGCAAAGACAGAAGGCTACCCCGACGGCAACTGGGTCGGACCAACGATACTGCACGCAGACACGAGCATGTCTTGTTATCAGTGCGTACCTTTGGAGAGGATGAAGCTCGCTGATTTCGTCCATCGCCTACAGAGAGGAGATCTTTGGACCTTGCTTGACGATCGTACAGGCCGAGAATCTCGACGAGGCAATCGCGCTCATCAATCGCAATAAATGTAAGGCTCTCGCAGAGATCGCGTACCATGTTAAGTAGCGAGCAGATGGTAATGGCGTTGCAATCTTCACCCAATCTGGAGCGACTGCGCGCAAATTCGAAAAGGAGATCGAATCGGGTCAGATTGGCATCAATGTGCCGATCCCTGTTCCTCTGCCGATGTTCTCATGGTCGGGCAACAAGGGCTCAGTACTAGGCGGACATTCGCTCTACGGCAGTCTCGGTGAGCTCATCATACAAATGTCTGCGGTTCATGCTGACACCTCATTGGCGCAGGACTCGACTTTTGGACGCAGCACAAGACAGTCACTGCGCTCTGGAGACAGGAAGACGTTATAAGCAGTCAAGCTGATGTTGCAATGCCCACACATCGTTGATAAGCATGCATACACATATGACCGATGAGAATTAGCTGGTCTCGCTCACTTTACAATGGTGATGATGATGTTAGGCGGTGGCGCCTTCGACAGACGCGTGCTGTCGCGCCGCCGCGAAGTTCTTCCGCAAAGCTGGATTTCCACGATGCACAGACCCTGTCCTAGCCTCCACAGTTCAGAATCGACTCTGGTCCTGAGACTCGCAGCAACAAGCGTTTGGCGGGTGACGCGGCGTGCCTTTGTGCTGAAACAATATCTCGAGGCTAGACCCGTTGTGAGACGCCTTCGGTTGTCTGGGTACCCTGTCGCCCTTCTCGCGATCACGACGCACGACAATCACAAAGCGACTTCTTCACGCGAGATAGCAACACAACAGCCGAGGTCAGCCCTTGTGTCTGCAAGAAAGGTGAAGGCAGGTCTGTCAAGCGATCTCCTGCATTCGTAAGCCATACAACCTGCGACAAAGCATTTGTGCAAGCTTGCCGCGCAACCGTACATCGCTGTCATGACTGTTCTTACCGAGACAAAGCCCGTTGAGGCGGTCACTGGTGCAGTCGATACCGTCTCCGCCACCAGCGAATCGGGTGCCATCGCACTCACGACAAACGACCCCGTCGATGGCGCTCAGGCCCACACAAAGTCAGATGCCACTCTTGGCGATCAAGTCGTCGATGACAGTCTGAGGTAGGTTCCACATGCTGATGCGCATTACCACTTGCTGACGTGACGGGATAGCAAACCCAGCGAGCAGGCCAAGCTAGATGATGCAGACACCGCCACCGTCAAATTGGCCGAGCCCGTCGAGCAGACAAATGACGATCAAGTGAAGCCAGACGAGCAAGTCAAACAGTCAGCCACGACTGCCTTGCTTGCGCCGCCCGGCGAGGGCAAAGACGAGGTCAAGCCAAAGAAGAAGCGCATGTCGATTCTCAGTACTCTCTTGGGCGGCGCGCTCAACAAGGACAAGAAGGAACATGCGAGTGAGCCTACTAGCGCATCTTCCGAGACTGCCGAACCTACCGTTGAGGCATCAGCCAAACCAGACACCGAGCCCGTGACGGTCTCTGAGCCTGTTGCGGCCGACAAGGAGACTACTGCTTCGACTGGGCAAGAAGACACTGCTCAAGAACCGAGCAAGGCAGGCGAAGATGCCGAAGCTGTAGCCAGCGAAGCCACCAAGGTTTTTCACATCTCTTTCGTCTGTCTCTGTTGTTCTGACTCGTTGGTCGTAGGAAGAAGCCAAAACAAAGGAGACTTTCTTTGCCAAGCTCAAAGGCATTATTGCCACTCTACAGTCTCCTCCTCAAAAGGCAAGCGATGAGCTCGGCAGTATAGGTGACACTAATCAGTTGCGAGCAGAAGAAGCACACGCGCGTCAATTCTTTGCCTACGACAGAGGCGGACAAGGATGTACTCCGCACAGCCGCCGCGCCTACGGCATCGCCCGACGCTACTGTAGACCAGGCCGTCGATGTACCTGTCAAATCCGCCGCCGGTGATCTTGCTAAACCAGACTCGCCAAAGTCCGACAAACGCTCGCTTGCCCTCTTGGCTCGAAGATTCAGCTCCAAAGTCTTTGCCTCTCCATCGCCAAAACGTGAAAAGTCGGACCCTCTTGCCTCGACAGAGATTGCAAAATCGGATGCTACGCCACCACAAGTACCTGCCATCGAGGTCACCGAATCTTCGCTTGATGGTGCCAAGGAAAAGGAGGAGCAAGTCAACGAAGCCGAGCGAAAGCTCTCTGGCATGTCTGATCAGCCAGCCACGGAGCCGACCGCAGAGATTGAAGCGGTCAACGTGCCTGCTGTGTCCGCTTAGCTCGTTTTGATACCACGCCTTCACGGCTCTCAGGTTGTACATTGCTAATCTTCAATACAAGCGCTGTACACCTATATTCTTGCAAAGCGTCTACCCAAAACTCTCTTCGTGCAATGTGATCGATCTACGCTTCTCGCCGTACAACACTGCACGGGGTGAAATGGCATCTTGCACGGCTCGACTGACTGCCGAGGTGAGCGTGTATGGACCACAAGTCAGTACCGCCAGCTGTCGCTCGCGTTCTGTTGCGTGTACGCAACTCTCGATCAGTGCCTCAAGGTCAGGTCGCCCTGCTCGTAGCTTTATCGAATCCTTCTCTTCGCAGCTCGGCAGTTGATCCTCGACATCGAACCATTGATCTTGAGTCGCGCTTGTGCAATAAATCTGTATGTCGAGTCTACTGGCCGGCAGGCTAGTGATACAGCTACAAAGCCGATCCGCAATAGCGAGAAGATGGTACGGATCCCTGATCGACCAGACAAATGTAATCCGCCGTGTCTGTTCAGGCGAGGCTTGCGAGCGTAATCTGCGAACAAGGTCGAGCAGGTGTGATAAGGCGACAGAGACGCCGCTACCACCACTGATAAGTAGAACGCTTGCAAAGTGGTGAGTGTGCTCGGCAGCGCCGTATGGCCCCTCGATAAGGCATCTTCGCAGGCGTAGTGCTGAGTCCGAATCTGCCTTTTCGAGGTCTCTATCTTGCTCTGGCAGATTCCATAACCGACGCGTGAGGCCGCCCTGTGCACGTATGAGAAGCTCGAGTTGGTTGTCGCCATTATCGGAAGGAATGTTTGCCACCGAGAAGGGATGGCCACCAGGTGCAACCGCCGGCAGATGCAGGTAGACAAATTGCCCGGGTTTCCACGACATCTTGGTTCTGACGCTGACTCGCAGAAGCTCTCCAGCCAACTTAGTGATAGTGGCTGCATCTTCCGTGGTAATTGCAGAACAGTATGCATGGTGAATGATCCTTGCAAGCCTGATCAGGCGATCGAGTGCCTCTGTGCAGCTCTCAGTCGATGTACACGGGGTTGAAAGCACAACTCACGCAAGGCAAAGCCTAGGACTACCGGCAAACAGAATTGAGGGCGATGTAGTATGAGCGTGATGACAAAGATATAGGCGAGTATGATGTGGCCGCCAATGAACCAGCGGTACCACCGAGACCTGACAGTTCTGGCTGATAGGATTACGATCCCCACGAGTGTTGCAAGAGCGACGATGCCACATGTGTGAGACGGCTGCATGAGCAGAAGATGGGTTTGCGTCGAATAGACCGGCGGCACATTGACACGTATGCGCCCACCTATGTGTACGAGTGCTAGAAGGAGCAGAACCCTCGCAGCCCAGCGGTGGAGAGTATTGAGCGTTTGATAAGAGAGGCCGGTGAGCCAGCTGATCGCATTGTTTTTCGAAGCCAGGGCGATGACGAGAAGCACGTTGACGTTTGCGAGTCGTGCGGCATGATGCGCCTGAAGGTCTAAGCTACCCTCGGCTAAAGGAAGCATCAGTAGTCATTGCACAGAGCGTACTGAATTACCGACTGTTGAGAAAGACGAGCACAAGGTTGAGTAGAACGTAAGTCACGATCGACATTACTTCGATGATGCCGCCCCGAAGCTGGAGCGAATGAGATATTCGCGACTGTCGGTGAGCATATTTACGCCAGAGAGCCACGAGGGCTGCCCAGCATTGCCGTCGAGCAGCACAATGCAGATTGCGAGCTCGTCGAGAGCAGTCGCCTGTGAGTATCTTGATGACGGTAGCGATAGAGCCGAGGGCAAGCCCAATGAGCAGGACAAAGAGGAGGTAGTACGGCGTGTATCGACTTTGAGCAGCAAGCCATGCTCTGCCATCGGTGAGAGTATCTGAGGCCTCCATGCTTCGTGTGACTTGCTGGTCCGTTTTGGTCTGCATACCGGATCTCGAACATCGGGAGAAGTGGAAAGCGAGCCGGACTGGTCGGGAATTGCGCGTAAATTGCTGCTCTCAGAGATACGGTCGAAGATGATACTGACGTTCGATTGGATTCTGAAACTCGCGGTAAATAGTGGCTAACGGTGTGGCTAGCGTGTCTAGACATCCTGGCAAAGTGGATGAGGACAGAGGCATCGATGTATTGGTCGACGTCACTTATCGCGCTCGCGCCCAAAAAATTAGCAGGACGCTTCCATTCGATGCGCGGACATAATCCAAGTGATGGTACGTGAGACCACATCGCCGATGGCTGAACGACGTTGTCTGAGCACCTTGGACTTGTGTTGATCGGCTTCAAATGATGCACAACGTGGGAGCTTTCGAGATTGTATTGACAAGTGAGCGAGCAGTGAGGGTGTCATACATGACTCTGCGCAGACGCATCGTGGGAGGATGAGAAGAAAGAGAGCGTGGGCATCCTTGGGCGTTCTCTGAAGGCAGTTGGTATATTTTCAAGCGCGATCAATCGATCAATCACAATTCGGAGCGAGTCTTGCTGCGAGTCCAGGAGACACTGGTGACGCCGGCACCACTTTAACAATGTCTACCTTTTCCTGCTCTGCCTTTCAGACTCTCAGAAAATGTCTGTCCTAGAACAGACGGCAAGCACGACGCAGGCAAGCGCAGCGCGTACTGAGGGATTCCAATCGTGCGTGATCCGTTCAAGTCCTGACCGGTCTGTCATGACGACGGAGCAGACTATCGTCCTTCTTTGCTGGTGTTGTGATCAACGTTTGTTTTGTCCTATGCTGCCAGACGACATGACTGACATGACGTGTAGCTCTTGCTCGATGGCGTAAATGCCCATCAGCTAGCGACCTACTGCAGCAACTTCAATGATCCCTCAACGATCCGATGCCTCGTCTGGACAGTCGCAGTCTTCTCGCTGCTCGACACCGTCTGCGAGATCAAAGTGCTTGACATGTGGCTCATCTCTGCACGTGACGACATCACCCAGCTCGACTACTATGGCCTTCCTTATGCGCTGCATCCGATCTTCCTCGCTAGCTTGAGTCTGCCTGTGCAGGTCTTCTACGGCTGGCGCGTCTGGGTCTTGTCTCGTCACTCAATTCTGCTTCCGGGTATCATCATCATTGGTGCGCTGGTCAGCAATGGCTCCGCGATGGCTGCCTCTGTACGCATCTGGAAAGCCGAGCGATTTTCTCGCGATCACACTTCCCATGTCCACACTGGCTTGATGCTTCTGCTTCCGGCTGCCATCGATATCATTACCTTCCTCGCAATGCTGTACTACATTGGCCGCGTCACTCTGCAAAACCGCACCATCGGATCTCAGAACATCTTTAGACGGCAGGCTAGCCGTCCTGATTGCTCATACTACGCTGAGATTCTTTATCACAGACTCGCTCGAATCGCAATAGAGACCAATCTCGTCACCTCGGGCATCGCGTTGGTCTGCAGTATCACCATCACGTTTGGCAAACGACATCAATATGCACCTTTTCCCTTTTTCGTTGGTATGTCGACCTCTCTAATCCCAACATTGACTGAACCGTCTCAGCCAACGCTTACCTCGGCACGCTGCTTTACTCACTGACATCAAGACTACAAACAACGGCGGAACTCGAGGAGATTGGGGCAGAGACTTCGACTTCGCAGGACACGGCTACTGCGCTGCCTTCGCCGGTCCATATTCATCCTGCAGGGCGTAGCAGGACCGAGTCCTGGGCTCTTCGACCCACTTATCACATTACTGTCTGAGAAATGAATTTTCGTGTTCGCATCTGTCACCGAAGACAGACAGATCCTCGGTCTAACTACAAGCCTCGAAACACTATTCATGGGCAGCCTTTGCATTCTCTGCTCGCTGAATCAATGTCTCCAGAAGCCGTGGAGCCTAGGACTAGCTATGGCAATCGCGGCAGAACTGCTGAAAATCCATCCTTTACCGACAAGAACAGATATGACCGAGATCCTACTAATCGCTGCCATTCTGCTCGCAAGCCCAAGGCTCAAATCCCGCCAGAGACTTACCTCTCGTTGCTCGATACGGATGGGATGATCAATTACACCAAGCCGACGTACAAGGACATCCTCAAAGTCGACGAAGTACGCGGATGCCATCCGAGATGTGTGATGGCTGCTGACGCTTTGACGCAGCATGGCATCGATTACCATTTTCACAAGTTTCGCAAAAGAAAGGACGTCAAATCCTGGCGTGCTCATAATGCTGCAATGGGACGTATGGCAGCCTATTGCCTTCTCGTCTCTTTTGCTTCGATCGGCAACGGCTACTCCTGCTCCATCATGGTCGGCATTCGCGAAATGGCTCAATATCAACACATGCTTCAAACAACAGACGGGAGGAGTGAGCGAGACTGTTTCGTACATTTATAGATAGCTAACGATCGTATAGCACAATTCACTGGCTTTGATTCGCTGGCACTGCGCGATCGTGAATTCTACCTGTTTGGCTCGATGCTCGGCGCTGTTATGGCTGCCTTCATCGCAGATATCTTTGGTCGCCGCAAGACACTGCTCTGGGGGTGTATCATCGTTTGTGAGTTACCTGATGGCATACCGCTCGCGGTTTACTAATCACACGCCGCAGACACTGGCGCGGTACTTTCGGCGGTTTCTACGTGGCGTGAGCTTCGAAGCTATGCTATGGGCGCTGCATCGCTGACAGAACGGCAGACTGGCTGCTTTTTGCAGGTCGCTTCATTGTCGGCATTGGCTCAGCAATGAGCTGGCAAGCCACTTCTCTCATTATTGATGGCGGCTGATGAAGAGACAGTGTCGCCGCTCCGATCTACATTGCCGAGATTATCTCACCAAAGCTGCGGGGTCTCATGCTTGGTATCTACGGCGCTGCATGGTATATTGGCTGGTGCCTATCAGCGGTCACGATTTGCGAGTCGGACCGATTTGTCGCCAACGTTCTGCTGACGCGCTGTTCTTCCAGTGGGCTTCAATAAGATCTATCCTGCTGGCACGGACGTCGCCGATTCCGCCTGGCAGTTTCCGCTGGCTTTGCAAGTCGTGCCGAGCGCTATCTTATTCACGTACTCGCTGTCCATTCCGGAATCGCCTAGATGGCTCTGGACGCAGGGCATGCCACAAAAATCGGCTCTCTATTTCAAGCATCATCACCGGTATGATCCAGCTGGTGATCTCGCCCAACGACAGATCACTCGTCTTGTAGGCATGAGCAACAAGCAGCAGTGAGTTCCGCAGCTTGTGGCCTGCCGTAGGTGACAGCTGCTAGGTTGATGGAAGTCTGGTGGCGTCAAAGACCAACATGGACTGCACTGTATCGCGCTTCGGTAGGCGTGCCAATTGATCTGGCAATGTGCTGACTGCTGCACCGCAGCTCGTGCTCGTTCTATCGTCTAGCGGGCGTGCGTATCCCGCCGATGTGATTGTGTCCAGCTGATAGACCGACAGACATTCAGTCGAGCGCGCTCAACCCGAAATGCGAGTCGTCGAGTGCCTCTTCTGCATGTAGCACTCATTGTGATGACACAGATGTCGAGTGGATCAGGCTCTCCGCTTATAAGAGTCCCAACATGGGGCTCTATCTCAACTTTGCAAACGCGCTCGCAATGATGGGCGGCGCAATCGGTGTCGCAATCCTCGTCGAAAGAACTGGCCGGCGGTATCTGTTGGTCGGTGCGAGTCTTCTGACGGCTCTGCTTCTTATGGTCACTTTTGCAGTTGGTCTGGACATAGAGGCGACCCTCAATCGTGGTGAAGTCGTCTCGCGCTTCCTCGCACATACCGGTATCGGCATGGGATTCTCTTTTGGGGCAATCTTCGCATCCTATACGGTCGGTATGCAGCAGATCTACGTCTGCGAGGTCGCGACGAATCGCCATCGCGCCTGGGCGGTCGCAAGCAGCCTGATCATCAACCTCCTCGTCGATCTCATTTCGTTGTCAAGCACCAAAAGCCTTGGCATCTGGGTTTTCATTCCCTACATGGCACTTCTCCTCTTCAGCGCGGCTTTTTACTGGCTCTTCGCTGTCGAGACGGGCTTCGGCAAGACGCTGGAAGAACTTGATGACGCGCATTTTACACTCTCGCCAAAAGTGAAGCGTGCCTTTGTAAGACTCTTCAGCGAGTCACGCGGTTCCGAGTCAATCGAAGCAGAACATCGCAACTGAATAAAGGATTTGACGAAGCCTAGAAAATGAGTGGTTGTCTTAGGGATATTCGTCGCGGTTTGCAATGCATTCGAAGCGAATCGCTTAATTGCGCGTTCGCGTTTCGCGCCCGTCGTACCCATGGAGCATGAAGTGCTGAGCCTCCTGCAGGCTACCTTGGGGGCAGACAATGCCGTCAGAGCTCAAGCAGAGCAGAGGCTCACCGGCCTTGCGAGCTCTGGCATGGGAGGCAGGTCGTTAGCTCGGCGTATAGCAAGGCTCACATGGATCAATTTACAGAGCTTCCTCTGGCACTCATTCGGCTGCTCCTCGAGCATCAGCTGGAAATTCCGCTTCGTCAAGCATCTGGTCTGCTCCTCAACAAATACGTCAAGGAGCACTGGTCCATCTTTTTTGCCTCTTTCCTCGGTTCGCCGCCCCCTCATGATGTGATTTCGGCCAAGCTCTACTCGTCGCCGCTCACACCATGACGCAGGCCAAAGATCAGATACGGCAAGCGTTGCTTGCAGGCCTATCCGACTCCCAACGAAAGATCAGGACGACATGCGTCAGTAAAACGCGTCGTGGGTTTTCTCAGCTGAGGCGAGCAAACAGGCACTCGTGATCGCTCTGCTTGGCCAATGCGACTGGCCAGACGAATGGCCAGAGCTCATGAATCAACTACTCAAGCTCTTGGCGACGGGGCAATCGGACAGCGTTCATGGGGCACTGCGCGTGCTAGCAGACTTTGTCAAAGGCGATTTGACTGAGGATCAGCTACTGCCCGTCGCCAATGACATGTTGCCTACACTACTGAAGATCCTCTGCTCTGCTCCAGCCTACTCAGCGTTGACACGCTCGCGGACGATCGCCATCTTTCGAGAGTGTCTATCTGCGCTCTACATGGTCAAAGACACGTATCCGGACGCAGTCGAGAAATCACTCAACGTCATCATGCCCCAGTGGCTTTCTGCATTCGTTCGTCTTCTCGAGGAGACACCTCTTATGGCCTATCTACACACTGCCGACGAGAAGAGCTGGGAAGAGCTAGCGGTTCGCTCAGAGATCTTCAAAGGACTCCTCAGGACCTTCTCCTATTTCCCAAAGGCTGCTTCTCCATACTTGCCCCGCCTACTCGAGCTAGCAACGCGCGACTTGAGTGCCGTCATGGGTTTGTATCGCTCGATATATCTCAACGATGAACTCGACGATTCGCGGCTGGAGCCCGTCATCGGCGCAGATGAAGGCAGCGATGTCACAGTGACGCTATCAGATTATATCAATCGGGGTCTCGAATTCATTGGAGCGGCTCTCATGAAGAAGCCTGCTCACAAACTCTTCTTCAATGAGCGGACGCGTACAGCAACGCCTTTGCTCAGCCAGGCTTATCAGCTTGCGATGTTCTATGCCCAGATTACTACAGACGACGAGGAAGCTTGGCAGACCGATCCGAACAGCTTTGCCGCCGAGGAGGAAGAAGAGAACCCGGGCTACAGTCTTCGAGTAGCCAGTCAAGACCTTCTCGCCTCGCTCCTCGATTTCCATCAGAAGCAAAACTCAGGGAGTGCCTTCACTGCCGTGCTCAAAGCTCGTCTCAATGAGGGCGAGCAAATGCGACGAGCTGATCAGGCAGACTGGTGGAAGCCGCTTGAGGCCGTACTCTATACGTTGCAATCTATACCCGACGACTCAGATACCCCGCCATATGCTCACGAAGATCAAGCGCTTCTTCGAAGCATGGTCTCGAACTACTACAATGCGACCAGTCAGCCTCTGCTGCAAGGCCGTGTCATGGTCTTCGCTAGCAGACAATGTTCCATCTTGCCAAGCGATCAGCTTGACATGTACATTGACGGCGCGATCCAAGTATTAGAGACCACGTCGCTGAGCAACGAGGTCAAAATCTCAGCTCTCGTAGCTTTGAAAGGGTTTTGCCGCTCCGCTCCCCAGCTGGTCAAAGCTCGCATGCTGCGTATTCTGCACAACCTTGCAACTTTCCTACCTTCGGCCTCGGACAACACTTTGACGTTACTGCTCGATCTAATGTCACTTGTCATTGGCCTTGGCGAAGGCATGCTGAACGCCGAAGCCGCGTCCGTCATCGTCGCAATCGCGCTAGACACCTGGCAGAAGCAGTTCACAGATCCTTTCGTGGCTGATGCTGTTGGCGATCTACTCGAGAAGCTCGCGTCAGATCCTTCAGAAGAAGTACATGCAGTACTCGTGCGCGACGCGGCACCCCGTATTACTGCAGCACTCGCGCTAGCCGACTCGACAGACCAAGACCAAGCTGTGCTTGCCACCTCGGCTGCTAGCCTGCTCGAGAATGTACTATCGGGACAGAGAAGCTCTCTCAGCCTTGGCATGTATGCAGCTATCGCTCCTACATTGCTCGACATTGGCGCAAAGACATCTGACGTGAACATCGTCCAGGCAAGCTGATCTGTGCGTAGCCTGTGCTGATGCTGACCTGGCCGCAGACCGTCATTGCCTCGCTCATCCACGTCGTCCGCAAGGCGTGTCCCGAACTCGTAGCATACCGCAATCCGAGCGGCGCATCCGGCATGCAGCTCTTGCTTTCGATCATTGCTCGTCAATTACAGCCAGAGCAGAGCGAGTCTTCCGGTCTGTTCGTCGGCGATCTGCTACTGCATGTCATGCGCAAAGCCGGCCAGGAGCTATCGGATATTCTGCCAGACCTGCTACGCGCGCTCGTCACTAGACTTGCGCTGGCAGAGACGGGTACCTTTTCGCAAAGCCTCATTGTGCCGATCGCCTACGTTTTGCATGCCAACGCCGATCAAACCATCGAGCTCTTACGTTATGTGTCTCTTCCTTCGGGTCAGAATGGCCTCGAGATCTTTCTGAGGGCATGGGCGGATAATGCAGAGACCTTTCAAGGCTACTGGCAGATCCGCATCAGCTCCTGTGCACTAGCGATACTGCTCCTCAGCGACAACGTCATCCTGGATACACTACTTGTCAAGGGCGAGCGTATACTCGATGCCAATAGTGCTACAACCATCATGACTCGAGCAAGGAAGCGCCAACTTCCAGACCATTTCCAGCAAATCCCTTTCCGTGCAAAAGCTCTCAAGATCTTGCTGAGCGATCTGCAAGGCGCGGGTGACTCTAGCGTCGCTGCTGCCCTACAAGCCGATGCCGAGTCGGACGACGGCGATGATGGCGAGGGCTGGGAGGATGAGACGGACGCTTTCAGTACCAAGAACAAAGACGCGCTAGACCTATCTGCGATGCTTGGCCATGATGGTCAATGGAGAGATGACGATGATCTCGTCGAAGAGGACGAGGCTGACGAGGATATCAAGAATGATGCGCTCTATAGCGTGAACCTCTCCGTAAGTCATCAAATCCGAGAGAACTTCAGCTGACTAGTCTCTCGCAGGAGCATGTCGTGCGAACGCTTCGCCAAGCATACGAGCAGTATCGAGCTCTCGTCACCGAGTATGGTCAGCACTGTCTCACGACAGATGAGCAGCGTGTCTTGCAACAAGTATTGCAATGATACACATCTACATTGACAGTTGCGAGGAGTGTGATCGTCTAGCGACCTGCGAGACCGTACTTCCTGAGTACGCTCTTGACATCTGGTAGCCCTCTTGTGTTTCCTTGGAAAACGATGGTGGGCTGACCAGATCTACCTGCCGAAGCATCTGGTCGCAAAACCCTCGTAGCAACACGGTGTAGATCGTCCAGCGTGACTGCGTCGATACGCTCGCACATGACTTCGACGGGAATCTTGTGACCATGTACCTGCACTTGCCGACCGAGATCTTCGACCTGCACCATCCGGCTCTCGAGTGCCATCATGAGAGAGCTTTTGAGCTGATTTCTCGCCCGCGAGAGCTCTGCAAGACTGATGCCATTGTAAGCAGGCCTCGTGATGACATCTAGCTGTTGCGCAATGAGCTGGGGTGCTTGTCGAACAAAGCTAGGAGCGACCGCTAGCGCAAGACCAAACAGGCCGGAGTCGAGGTAGCAGTGGTGGAAAGCAGCTGCAAAATCGACAGTGTGATACTGGTTGAGAACTGAGGTATATAAGCGCGAGTACATTCCCTTGCCAGGTCCACCTAGCGTATTGATCAGCCTGATTCGATATCAGGGAAAGGTATGACGTACCAGCAGAGAACGAGCTGCCGCCCCCCAGCAGGACTTGCAAAGTCGCGAGAGCGTATATGTCTGGATCATGAATTGATAGGCCCTCGTAGCCGATGTAGATGTGGCTGAACTCGAGCTCATCATTCTCCATGATGCAGGTGCCGCCGGTGTAGCGAGCTTTTGCGATCGCGAGTTTGCGATATTCCGACTCCTCCGATGCTACGAGATCGGCAAGTTCACCGGCTGCCTCTCGTGCTCTTGTTGCAGCGGAAGTGGATAGGTTCTTGTATGGTCTAGGTGCGCTGGCTTTGCTGCTCGAGACGGGACTTGGATGTAATATCTGACTCGTAGACTGGGCGGGAGTGATGGACGATGGCAAGTGGCCAAAGTGTTCTCTGCCAATGTCGAGCAGTGCCTGATGATCGATGCCCGCTCCAGCTAGGACGATGCGCTCTGGCCTATACCACATCTTGACGAATGCCCTCAACGTTTCTGGCGTCATGCTTTCAAGATGCTCGTCTGGGCAGAGCAGCGGATTGCCGAGCGTGTTGCCACTAAAGGCAGTCTCGTGGAGTATCTCGGGCAGGATCATCTCTGGCTTCGCTTTGATCTCCTTGATCTCCCAAAAGATGGCCTGTCGCTGTTCGTCGAGTTCCTGTTGAGTGATGAGCGGATTCAGTACTGTGTCGGCAAGTAAGGCGATCACTTTAGGCAGGCTATGGGTGTACGAGGAGGCTTGGTACATGATTGTCTCTCGAGAGGAGGATGAGAGGAATTGGCCACCGAGGAATTCGAGTTCTTGTGACATTTGCTCGCCAGATCGAGACTTTGTGCTCTGCCATAGCTCATGTGAGGCATGCCAGTGTGATCATCGTGATTGAGAGCTTACCTTGAAGGCTAGCCTGTCCAGTACATGGCTGCATCCTCTCGTCCGATCGTTCTCGTACCGCGAACCCGTGTCGACGTAGATGCCTGCGGAGACGAAGTGGCCAGGCGTAGACTCTGTCGCCACTCTGACGCCATTGGGCAGCGTCGTTGTCTGCAGTAGGGCTGCCGAGCTAGGACTTGCAGGCTGGAATGTGTGCCTTTGTTAGCTCCAACCTTGGGAGATGCTGTGGCACGCACAGGCTTGGCTGTCGGCAGCCTGCTCTCTGCTGATTTCGATAGGGAGGCATATCGCTGGGTCCTCGACAGCGAAGTGTTCAGCAATCGCTGAGCTGAAGGCCTCATGCTGTCTCGCTGGAAACGCTGGCTTTCCGGCAATTTCACGAGAGTGCGACTCCGCATTCTCCGCAAGAACTTGCCACGTCATTGCCTTCACCGACCACGAACAAACAATGGCCCTCGATCGAATGCAATCGTCTGACTTTCCTATTCTGGCTTGACAAGCTTCATAGACACATACGGCATGCATTGCGTAACCTCTACTCGGATCAGAATGTGTCATGTACGAAGGAGCTGGCTGCTTGCCTTTGGGCTGCAGGAATGCGGCATCAGCTCTCGAGCAGTCATATTCTTCCCAATCTGCAGTCGGTCCTGCGCCATTGCAGAATAGCGTCACGCTACTTGTCTCGATGACAATTTTGCCTGTTGCGCCGGTGAGGAAGATCGTGAAGAAGGCGTTGGCGATGCAGCTGCATAGATGCAAACCAAAACTATCAGCCCGCAAGAAGTGCATTTCCCTTGGAGCGTACCATCTCCGCCACATTTGCCAATTGACATTGTCGGTCGTCACCGGGACATTGTTGATCATTACTGAAAACCGAGTACCCTGGTCGTCCGAATGAACCGGCGTAATATGAACGTCTTCTTCGCCAAAGTCATCCTGTAGAGAGTGTCAATCTTTGCTGACAGATAGATTTGCATGACCTACAAACTGGATCTTCCAGAATTCTTCTTCTTCGGCGAGATCAGGCGGCATCGCCACAAATGCAATTTCGAGCAGTCTATCGCGCTTGCCAGGCCTTTGTACGATGACTTGCCTTTGACTTGTCTCTTCGTATTCGCTTGCATCGCATTTGGCAGTCACGAAAACTGTAGATGACATGGCCCTCAGGCCACCGTCCAACGCCGCCTTGGCGTGCTTACCACTAAAAGAGTACTCCAATTGATCAGCGGGGCGCACATCATTGCCGATGACATATTCGAAGCCGGGGTGGCAGATCGTGATACCTGACACCGTATCAGTGTCATCCGTAGCCGGAAACATCAGAGCACCTTTCGGGCTGCCGATCGCCTCGAGATCGCACGCGTCGGGTGGAAGGTCAGGATCGTCTTGACCGCACAAGAGATGCAACGTCGGCACCTCGAGCGTTGACACCGTCCTATCGGTCGTGCGTATCCAGAAAAAGACTTCAAGCATGGGTAAGCAGCAATTATCCCATTCGATGAGATCGGCCCGTCCGACCGCCCAATTGTCCACACTGAACGCGACCTTGATGACCGCGCCTGTGCTTGTAGTCTCTATAGTTTCGAGATCGGCTTGTACCCATTGCGGATCCTGAACATCACGTGAGCTGGGTCTGGTCGTAGGAACGATACATGCAGCTCGCCTCGATGGAAATCTTAGGCTGCCAATATGCGCTTCCCGTGCTCGTGATGACCTTTGTCATCAGTACTGTGACTTTGTATGGCTTAGCGCTCGATTGAGCGAAAGTGATCGGCTTCTGAAAGCTGAAAGGCCTGCAGCTGGCCGTATACCAGAAGCGGATTGTGTAAGTTTGTAAGAAACGAGGCTGGAGGGCCTGCGCCGATGCAAGACATAGTATGCTGGTGAGAGTCAGCAAGGAAGCAAGCATGACGAGCATCCGAAGAAGCCGTGATCGTTGTGAGGGACATTGAGGGAGAGGGGTGTGGCGGAAAACCGTGATCGGTTATCGTCGCGTTGTTAGCCGAGAATGTGCAAAGAAGAAGCCCGTCGACGAACACGAATGGTTCTGCCTTGTTTCTTCCTCATCATCAGCTTTGTCCATGCTCGGGATGCGTTTCTTCTACGGTTCACTGCCGAAGGCAGATGTCAACACGGCAACAGGGGCGATCCAGGTTGGGTGCCGCTCAGTCTATTCGAGGTACCGAGCATGGCAGAAATGAACTATCGAGTAGGAACCCTGCACCAAAACATCAGATTGATCACACTGTCTCAACCTGATTGGGTAGCCTCGATTGCCGAATATGTCGCTTCACCCTCAGATACACATTTTGAGATTGAAATTACCGCTTGGCTCGTGCTCGTCGCTCTTGCCATCACAGACGATCCAGTCTTCAGAGCCAGGAAAAGTATTATCAAGTCAGTCACCAGACCATGTTAAACATACTCAGCCAGTTTTGATGGCATTTGTCACGTCAGGCAATGCTGCAGGCCGGTATACGATTTTCAGATCGACGTCGGCTGGCCCAGGCGTCTGCCACTTGTTACCACAGCTGATCACCGCTGAGGCAATGCGGCAGGTGATTGGCGCACTCAGCCGGCCTCTTTCGGATTCAAGCTCGTATGCAATTATGCAGGCGTCGAAGAATGCGAGCCATATTGGCCTGAGCCTTTCGGCAAGTCAGCTCCCAAAGTTTGCGCGCATGCATACTTATGTGCATGCACAGTCATACCTTGTCAGCTTGACGATCATGTAGAGCTGATCTCTCAGCCCATGTTGCCATTTGTGACCCGAAGCTATCGCCTACGCATGGGCTTCTTGACCGCCACTTGCTCACCGCCAAAGGCCCCCGGCGTTCGGTCATTGCCCTCAGCATTCCTCCAGAATTACGACGCGCTTACCTTCGCGTGGGATCTCACCAACTCTCGCGAGGCAGGCCTCGTTCTCACTGAAGTGCGCAAGTATATGAACCTAGAGACCCTTGTGACCAAGAGAGCAGTCGGAGGCCTGGCCTATGCCGTCCGGCGTCACTTGGCGACGTACTTCAGAGCTTCGTCAGGATCTCGAACAGGTCACCATCGAAGTCATCATTCCCATCGAGATTGATCGCACCACCCTCGCCTCTAATCCAGCTGCTGACGCGATAATCAAAACTTGCTGTCGAGCATATGTCATCATCAATGCAGCCCTACGGTATTTCGAAGGTCACTTCACAGACAAAGTCTATTTCACCCCGTACTCACAAAGATGCTGCAGAAGGTGAGATCTTAGACAGGGAAGTCACGATAACCTGCAAGCCAAGCTACTCGGAGACGATGTGCCCGCAATCGTGGCCGGAAGAAACAAGTGAGCTCACGGACGCCCTGCACACTCAAGTTGACACAGACTGTTGACAGCTACAGTTTGCTACTATATCAGCTCGTCCATTGTCATCTCGACGATCCAAGGCCACGTGCAAGCTTGATTTCCAGTGGAACGAGCAAGAGCCTGCTCACTGGGCCACAGTAATGCATTGTCAAGCCCTCACTGTCCTGCGCATGTACGGGCGATGTCGAGTGCATTTCCATTCAAGGTGCACGCACCATTCACTGCAGACGTTTTGACAGTCAAAATCGCGCACATTTTGTGGGAGTACGGTAGCTCGATGGACAAAGCGGATATTGACGATCGTGTCCCGGCGTCGCAGTCGCAGCTGGGCCACCGTCAGCTCTCATCAGGAAATGACGACTCTTTGCTTGCTTGCAGTAGCTTACTATGTTGCCCGCCAAATTGGGTTTCCGTGTTTGCTGCATCAAGGTAGACAGATCTAGGATAGGGGAAGCTTAAGTAACTTGCCCGAGATCAGGCAGAATCCTCACTGAGCGTGACATGAACCTAACAGCATCGCGAGTAGGGCCAATGCTAGGTTCCAGTGGCTTAAAGCGACAAAGACCCAACGACGAGATTGAGCCGCAAACCGAATCAGTATGACGAGGGTGTAGAAATGCAATGACTTCAGGAGGTCCCCCAGCTGGTAATGATTTCGGGTCGCTCAGATTCACGTGAATAGTCATTCGGTACCTTTGCAGGGTCAATCTCTTCGAGATTTGACCGTTCGCAAGTGTGCCGATTGCCCAGTATTCCAGCATGAATGTATCGTCATCGACATCGCACCTTGTGTCGAACACGGGTTTTTGCAGTTGTCGAGGTTGGGTGAAGTAAACAGAGGGCTACCATGCACAATCTATAGCCCACTCGGCAGAGGTGGGCCACCCGTCTACACCGACAGTGTAGGCGGCATTGATCGTTGCCGCGAAGACGGCACGGATGCTCTGAGCGAGAAAAACAAGCTGCATGAGTGCTGGATTTTGTCGTGCCGTGCGAAGTGATCGCGAGTGACAATCGGTTTGCACGACGCGAGTGCAGGGGATCAGACGCAACGGCGCAACTTCGAACGAGATCATGCATTGGTCGTTGTCATTCTTCGACATGGATGGGCGTAAACATCGCCTGAGCTTCGCATACGCTTCGCGCTGTAGCTGTATCAGTATGTCCAAGACGATGCACGTGCCAGCAGACCTTGCGGCGTAATCAGGTCCCATTGTGCGGCTGGACAGTCTTGGTGATGATCCGGATCTCCTCGCGGAACACAGAAGATGACGACGTCTGAGCTCAGTATTGAGATACGTCCCTGTTGAAGTACGCGCAAGTGAGTCAGTGGACGTAGTATGTCAAGAACGGACCGTGTTGCCGGTGATCTTGAATCTGAGTTTCGCGTAAGCGTCGCAGCTGCAGTATCATCAGAACTTGTACGATCGATTGAGCAACAGACGTACCAGTCGCGCCATGCCATCCATTCCAGGTTGTCTGGCATAGCATCTAAATTCAGGCTGGGTATCACGAAGCTGGCGGTCGTCTGGTCCCAGTTGTATCGGTGAAGCGTGAAGCCGCGGCCCACGATACCGTCATCCTGCCAGATCTTTCGACTTAGACCTTGAGCGATGATCAATGCCAGGCCTACCAGAAAGATATCCCAATCCTTTCCAGGCTCCTTCGGCGCGATGGCTGCGAACGTGAGGATGATAGGCGATTCGGACAGTGCCGGACGGTTGAGAATAAGAGCGTGTGCGTTTGGATTGGTGCTCGTCTTGTCGCAGATTGCCTGCTGGGGTATGAGCTAGTGGAACCACCTCAAAGAACGCAAATTGACATGAACGTAGACTTTGGACGCTGAGTGTCAGCAACTCCCTGGCACGAGTATAGCAACGAACGCGAATATGCCCAGAGCTTAGCTTGATCTGCCGCCAAATCTGTCACAGTCGCATCAAATTCGATACCCGGCGAGCAGAGCGTGAGTTCTGAAAAGACATGTGTCTCAGTGCGATCTGGACTGGCATATTGGCAGATCGACCTTTAGGCTGGCCGATCAAGTCAGGTTGACAGCGTTCGTCGGACTTAGCCAGAGGACTGGGTCGACAATATAGACGGATTGCTGAAGTGCCGAGAGTGAAGACAACTTTCTGGTCAGCATCGACAAAGATCACGGTTCTTAGGATAGGCAAGCAACAATGCGACCATTTTTGTAGCTCGGCGTCCAACCCTGCAAAGTCTCTGAGCGTGATGGTAACGTCAATCGAAGTTCCTTTTGGGCCTGGCTTCCCCGGAAGAACAGCGCCAGCAAAGTCAAACGCAATTCCGGCCTGTGGTCGATTCAGATCCCGTCATCTCCGGAAGGAGCATGCACTTGCTCCAGTGGACTCTGGCTCCCACACGAGCTGACCCGTAGCACTGTCACGTTGCTTCTTCATGATGAGCTGTATCTCAAACGGGCTCGCGCTACTTTTGCCAAATGTGAATGGGGCCGAGGTTCGACTTGGCTTGCAGACAGTCTGAGAAGTGCTTGAGAAATCCGCATGCCGCTGAGAAGGATCTGACGTGCCTGATACCAGACTATATGGCCGGCTCAGGGGCGGTATCGACGTGCCAAACCGACTTACTGGCAATCTTGAACTGACGCGGGAGCGGTAGGTCTCGAGTCTCGATGGCATTGCTCAGAACATGGGAACACAGGTTGATGAGGCAGCAGTAGAGCGCAAAGATGATCATGCTGCCCGGTCGACGAGACGGAAAACAGGAATTGCCGCACAATGCAACAGCTTGCACGTGTGCACAGTCGCGTGTCGTCTTGGTCTTGGGAACTTGGGAAATTTCGATCGGCGTACCTAGGTCGAGGAGATCTGGGCAGCTGAGGCCCTGGGCGTGGCACGCACCAGAGTCCTCAGATGCTCGTCAGGTGCACCTGTCGCTTCAGCAGTAGGCTCGCAAGTAGCCTTCCATGCAGGCCAGTCTATGAACATGCAACGCGCTGGCGCCAAGCATACAGCAGTGCATCCCACGCCGCACGAGCACAACTCGACAGAGCGATTCGGCAGCCTCTTCTGGAGCGTATGCCAAGCTCAGGTTCGATAGCAACGGCAATCAATCAGCCTCTCGTCGGCGCAGTGAGAGTACAGTGGCCAGATGGCGCAGCCTCGTCCTTGTACGCCTACCAATCCTACACACGGCGCAAGCTTATGTCCCCCGTTAAAGTGATTACATGTGGCTCAGAGATCACTGTCAGTCAAGCGAGAGCATGCATCATGTCACTCGACAGCGCCTACTTGATACCGCAAGCGTAGGCTAAAACCCTTGGCCAACGCACGCACCGCTGACGGCGCTCACAGCTTTCGCGTGACCTCGCGCCTCGAGCTATCGATGCAAGCTCTGAAGGCCTCAAGATCACCTGTAGGTAGCCGTGCCATTTATGCCGAGAGAGTCTCATCAGCTCCCAGGGAATGACATGGACGCACATACATCATTCTATCCGTGGCAATGGCTGCGGCGGCGCTCTTACAGCCCGTCACTGCACTGCTCGCCCACCTTCGACAAGCACCTGTGGGCAGCAAACGAGATGCAGCAGTCTCCTCCGATCGTTGACTATGCCAGCGTCATGTCGGGTGATGAAGGCCTGCTAGATTGGCTTGACAAAATCGTGCGTCGCGTCTCAGTCTCGTCTATACTCGTTGTACTCACGCCCTGCGAAAGCACATCTATGGCTTCGCGTTCGTGCAAGGCGTGCCAGTATCTCCCGAAGCGACTGAACAGCTCATCAGACGAATGTACGCTCGATCCTGCTGCCCCATCGCCCGCTGACTTTGTTCCACGCAGTGCATTGTATGTTTCATTCAGCTAGCTTCGACAGATCTGACAGGCTGCGCAGCATCAGAGAGACACACTACGGTGGCTTTTGGGACTTCACCGCAGATCTTGCGCACGGAGATACAGCGTACACCAACTTGGCTCTCGGCGCACACACCGATACGACCTACTTCACTGACGTCAGTCCGTCTGCGAAATCCAAAAATTCTTTTACTGACTTCCAAGTACAGCCCTGTGGGCTGCAAATGTTTCACCTGCTTTCATCGCGCGACACTCACGAAGGGGGACATTCGCTGCTCGTAGACGGGTTTGCGTGCGCTGCGAGACTCCGAGCAGATTCGCCACAACTCTACAAGCTCCTGTCGGAGCTACCTATACCCTCACACGCCTCTGGTGACGCCAATGCACTCTTACGTCCACTAAGGCCGAGACCAGCGCTCGAGCACGACGACGAAGGACAGCTGATATCTGTCCGATGGAATAATGATGATCGTGCGCCGATCGGTCAAGGCAAGAGCTGGCAGGGTCTGTGGACTTTAGATGATGGAAGACGGGTCTCGAGAGTGGTGGCATTCTATCACGCTGTGCAAGCTTGGGAACGTATTGTCCGCAGTAAACAAGCTGAATACTGGACGCCACTCGAGCCCGGAAAAGCACTCAGTGCGTCCTGCCGCTGTCACTAGAGATTTTGCGATCTGACATTATGCGCAGTCTTTGATAATCTGCGAGTGCTGCACGGTCGCTCGAGCTTTACAGGTCAGCGGCGCCTATGTGGCGCCTATGTCAATGGCGATGATTACCGCTCGAAACGCTTCTTACTCAGGCGAAGACTAGGCAAGCAGATCGAAGACGATGCCGTGTTCTAGCATTGCATACTGTCTTACAGCTCTATATGTGCATGCGTGTCTTGATGCTGCGATTGGACCATGACGCTGAGGATCTCGTGAATGAGATCAGCAGCGAGCATGGTCGTGAGTTCTGCGTTGGTGTCGTATGCAGGCGAGACTTCTACTAAATCCATGCCGACAAAGTTGAGCCCGACGAGACCTCTGAGCATTTTCTTGAGCTCGCGAGAGGTGAAGCCACCGCTCTCCGGCGTGCCGGCTGCTTGCCAATATCAGTCACTCGTTGCACCTTACGCTGTGCAGACGCACTCGCTGGAGCCATCGAAGGATCGACAACACTACAAAGGTGATGAGTACATGCTTTCGCAGAGCAAAATCGCTTACTCGATATCGACGCTTAGATAGACGGGCTTCGAGCCCACGCGTGCACGAAGGGCATCGGCTACGCCGTCCGCACCGAGATCGTCGATATCGTCCGTGGTCACATAGGTGAATCCGACCTGGCTGTCATGCTCGAGATCTCCTTTGCCCAGTCTGGTACGAATGCCAGCATGGATGCATGGACCGAGCAACCCCTCTGCGCACGCTCAGCAGCGGCCTCACTTCGGGCATCATGTTTACCCTTGTGAGCTACGTGGAACATTGTACCGTGATTGATCTGGGAGGTCGGACTGTCGGCGCCGGCGTAGCCTGCAGGATCCCATGTATCGAGATGCGCATCGACTGCTTACGTGTGAATTCCGAGGCAGTCTCTGTGCAAACACAACATACAGTGTATCACGGAGATAGGCCCATAGACTTGGTATAGCTCTCGCAAAATGGGCAAGACGATACTATGATCGCCGCCGAGGGTGAGGACGCGAGGGCGAGCGATGCCATCAGCCGCAAGTGCAGCTGTAGACGGTCGCAAAGCGCGTCTATTGAGCATACTTCTATAGGCAGTCTGCAATTGCTGCATAGCGATCGCGGGATCGTACGGGCTCAGAGGTACGTCGCCTGCATCTATGATCTTGAGTCCGAGATCATACGGGTCGATCTTTTGCGCTATGCTGTAGCCTCGGCCTGGCCTCTGTCTTCGTGAGCCAGTCCTGATGCCCTGAGGTCCAAAGCGTGCGCCGGGCCGGTAGCTTACGGAGCCGTCAAAGGGCACGCCTGCTCGGTCAGATTGGATAAAGACATGCGGTGCGTTCGATTGGACGGACCGAAGATAGCAAAGTCGAAGCGTTCAGACGAGTTTGCGAGAGCATCGAGATAGGGAAGATGAGCGAATGTGTGTATGCCGCTAAAGGGTAGCTCGCCGAGATGGGAATAGTTGTTCACTTTCAGGATAGATCAGGACCAATGCGAGTAAGCCTGCATCTCGACGGACCCCAGGCACTTGCTGCGGCATCGAGATCGGTGATGTCGCATCGTACGTGCACGAGTAGCGCGGCTAAGCTCAGCAATCCTGAGCGCACCATGTTTAGAGGCAGCTCTTTCTACTTGACGCGCATCATTCCCATTTCACGCTCTTGATCATCTCAAGAGAGCTTAGAGAAGCCTGCATTGATCTTGTACAGACATCATCGCCATGTGAACATAGCGAAACCTGGCCCTTCGAGCTCGCTCTCTGTCTGAGTTGAGTGAACATGCGTGGTCTGCTGGCCAACTTTTTTTTCGAAGCCACACGGGCAAAGTCGCGACGATAGCGACAGCGCAGCGCAACTCGGCACAACTTCCTCTCGCTTCACTTGATCGCGACGAGATGGTCGGCTTCTTCACGCCTTCGCTTGGCGCAGTCCAGGGTGCTTTCCAAACGCCATCGTTCGGCGGCTTCAGCTCGCTCACTCGAGTGGGCGTGCTCGATGATGCAAAATCAAAAGCACAGCGTGAGTCGTTCTGCTTTGCCAGCCTTCTCAGGCGCACAGTGCTCACGATCTCGTCATGCGCGTGTAGAGCTGGAAAAGGAAGCAAAGAACGCGGCAGATTCGGCAAGCGACAAGGCAAAGTCTGCCTACAATGACGCACAGAGCGAACTCAGCAAAGCCGCTGGATACGCCAAGAACGCTGCAGCGGGCGCGCCAGAGCCGAGCGGCAAGATTCCTCTCTACTCTACCCAGGCAAGTGAATGCCCTCCCGTCAGTCGGCCGCGCTCATAGACGAGGTCGATGGCAGTACTACTACACGTGCGCGATTGGCGGTATCGTTGCTTGCGGTACAACCCACGCGTTGGTCACCCCGCTCGATCTGGTCAAATGCAGACGTCAAGTCGACAAGAACCTCTACAAGGGCAACATGGATGGCTGGAGCAAGATCTGGGCCGAGAACGGTCTACGAGGTCTCTAGTTCGTCCGAGCTCTGTTTTCGCTGTTTTTGACTCACTCACACGGATCTGGCAGCACCGGTGTCGGTCCCACTTTGATTGGTTACTCCATGCAAGGCGCATGCAAAGTAAGGACCCCCGTCCGGCTCGATAGACGCGTCTGATGTGCCGTTTGCGCAGTACGGTTTCTACGAATACTTCAAAAAGACTTACTCTGACATGGCCGGCGTCGAGAACGCCAAGAAGTACAAGGATGCCATCTACCTTGCCGGTTCCGCCTCTGCCGAATTCATTGCCGATGTTGCGCTCGTTCCCGTGCGTCTGGGACTGACGAGATCAGCGTATGGCTAACTTTCGAGTCGTGAGCGCACAGATGGAAGCAGTCAAGGTCCGAATTCAGACCACTATCCCGCCTTTCGCAAAGGGCGTCGTCGACGGTACACAGAAGATTATCGCCGCTGAAGGCACTGGTGCTCTCTACAAATCACTCCCGTCTCTCTGGTCTCGCCAGATCCCTTACACGATGGTACACGCCTCTGTACGAGTTGCGAGAAGCATGTGCTCATTCTTGCGACAGATGAAATTCTGGTCTTTCGAAGCCACCGTCACGCAGATCTACAAATACCTCGGCAAGCCAAAGTCGTCTTACAACAAGCTCGAACAGCTCGGGTAAGTGCCTCGACACATACTTTGCATGATCTCAATTGACGCCTACACGCAGTGTCTCGTTCCTGGGCGGTTACATTGCTGGGTAGGATGCTTCTCCAATCTTGCTATATATAGGTCTGACAGACGCGCAACGCTCACAGTGTATTCTGTGCTGTCGTCTCTCACCCCGGTCGGTGCAAGGTGCTGCCTGTCAGTCTCGCAGGCCCTGATGTTCGTTTTGACAGCCGACACGATGGTATCCAAGCTCAACGCTGCTGGCAAGACCGGTGTGGCCAAGCCCACCGTTGGCTCGATCTACAAGGAAATCGGCTTCAACGGTCTCTGGGCAGGTCTCGGTACTCGTATCGGTACGTGGAGCTTCGTACGAGCATTTGCAAAGGTGCTCATACGACTGCTTTCTTACAGTCATGATTGGCACGCTCACTGTCAGTCTCCTGCATTGATCAATCCTCGCGAGTGACCGGTGCTGATGTTCGTATGTTCTCAGGCACTGCAATGGCTCATTTACGACTCGGTCAAGACCTACTCGGGTCTGCCTACCACCGGTGCTGTCGAGGAGCCCCTGGCAAGTCAAGCCCTTCTTCCTCGCAACCTTGCGCTGACCAATGGCTCGCTTTATAGAAGAAGTAGGGAAGTCACAATCTTCTGTGCTCGCAGACTGGGCTCGGTCTCATAATGCAATCTCTCGTGCCGTTAGACGTTCCTGACCTGCTGCCCTTCCTGAGCGGGAACAATCGCGAATTACGACTTCGCGCTGTGTGCGTGCGTGACTGACGACTGACTCGCACACGCAGACAGACAGCGCTGCAAGCAGGTCTTGCTGCCAGCTTTCCCTGCAAGGGCAGCGCAGCGCTCTTTGAGAAGCCAGACGTAAGCGTGCTTCTGCTTGCGAGCCGAGTCCTCGCAAGCGCAGGCGTCACTTGTCAGGCACAGAGGGGCAAACATGTCTCGACCTGTGCAGTCATCGGCTGGCCTGCTCACGCGCAGACGACGCCTGCCCAGACGGTCGGGTGATGCAGTGGCGAGTGCTGCTCAGCCTTCATCGCCGACTGCGAGCGAGCCTGTTGCCGCATCGGCAAAGTCATCGCCCAAGCCTGCGACAGTCAGCCTGGCTAGCAAAGATGCCCAGCCGCTGGCGTCTACATCAACTGTCGATCAGCCCAAAGCGGTAGAGGTAGTCAAGAAGGCACCCTCATTCCGCTCAAGGACACCGAGACTCAATATACCCTATGTCAATCCGCCCGTGGTGTCGAGGTCGACGGTCTTGCTCGACTCCATCTTTGCGCTCCATCGCCCGCTACTCGAGCTGCCAGTACCTGTCACTAACCGCAAGACGACTCGCCATCTGCCTGTGGCTCAACTTGAAGCAGCAGACGAGGCCACGACGAGCAAGAATCACTTATCGCCCCTCTTGAGGAGCACAGTGGAGAGCTTCGAAGAGGAGGAGACAAGTGACGAGCTCGCCGTTGCATCGGAAGAACACGAGGAGATGGCAGACTACTCGCCCGCAGAAGCAGACTCTCAGGCTCTCAAACGGAAACGATTGCGCAAAGAGCTCGAGGCTCGTATCTTGGGCGAGCCAGACGGCCTCGATGACCGCGTGGCTGACCAAGTCATTCGCATTCTCGCCGATCGAGTGCCTTTCTCGCCACCATCGGCTCCTGAGCCACAGACAATCCATAGACCGATCAGTCCGCCACTGCGCATGCAAAAGCCGGCGACACGTCAGCGCGAGGCGGCTTTGGCGTACCTGAAGCCTTTCAGTGGCAGAGACCAGTCAGCCGCATCGAACTCCAAAGGCAAAGTTAGTACGGACTTCAATGCAATGACGTCCAGTATCGCAGCCGGGCAGTTCTTACACGAGGCGCTCATCTCGTCAGAATGGAAAGGGAAGCTCGAATGGAGCAAGATACTAGATGACATGCAAGCTGCTGTACCTGGCGACAAGAAAGCTTCGCCAAGTCAGTCACAGAAGCTATCGCGAGTGGTGCAGCAGATCATGAATACTGCTCCACCGCTCGCTAGATCTGCTTCTTCTTCCTTTCGTCGGATGCCGAGACCTTCCCATCTCATTAATGGTGGACAAGTCGTCAAGAATCGTGAAACACCATCAGCTGGAACAGCAACTGCCTATATTGCCAATGACGCAGCCCAGGTCAACGAGATGGTTGCTAAGCTCAGAAAGCAAGGCTTCGTCGTCGTCGAACAGTCGAGCATAGAAGGAGCGGACAGTGTCATCAAGGCCATCGTCAATCGTCTGCGGAAAGTCATCAAGAAGGCGACGGGAGCAGACCTACCAGACCAGCGCGGTGTTACTATGATCAGCATGGAGCAACCCCTCTCGAAGCGGTCGTTCGAGGCAGACTTTTTCAAGCGTAACGATCTCGAGCGCAGCGATTTTCTGGCCTCACTTGGCGGAACAGAGATTACCGTCGGGACGCTCGATGCAGATGGTATGCCAGCGACTATTTTTGAGCCCCTCGGACCTCGCAGTTCGGTCGGTCGCGGTCGACGCATCGGCATGGACAGCGTGAAGCGAAAGCGCAAGAAGAAGATTTCCAAGCACAAGTACAAGAAGCGCAGGTTCGTCTTCACGACTCTGAAAATCGCTCCCACGCTGAATGATTTGCAATTTCACAGAAAGCTGCAGCGAGCTGAGCGCAAGCGCCTCGGCAAGTAAGCTTCTCAAATCGTCTTTCTGGTCCATACCATGCGAGTCTGCGACTGAACTGTCTTGCGCATGATTTGGCTAGTCCCGTGTTTGCGGCCCAATGCATTTTCCCAAAATCGTACAAGCACAGACAATGCCAATTGCTCATGTTGCCGGGTATATCGATGCGATCAATTCTCCTCACCAATGCTGGACTCTGTCAAGGTACTGGTCATACTTCGCATGCTCGACATCAAGCTTGAGAGCGAAGTTGAACTGCCGGAATCTTTCGTCAGATCGCTTCCCTCGCCGTCGTTCTGAGAGAAGCTGGACGATTTTGTCCGGCGTTCGGAAACGAGTTGACGGAACTTGTTGGCCACCCGCTTTGCGCGGCCAATGTAAATGAACGCGGAGGCAAGATCCGCGTCGGTCGTCTCTGGCAAAGCTTCGCAGTTGTCTTCCTTGGACGGTAGCGGGCTCTGCTCGCTCTCTGTTATCCAAGGATGTACCTGCTCTCGAAAGTCAGCTATGCACCAAAATTACTGCATGGGTTGAGTACCCTCAATTGCTCGATGGTGATCCGCCGTTTGGGACACTTGTCGAGCAGCTTTTTCAAAACATCTTTGAGATCATCGCCAAGCTCTTTTGGCAGCTTGACCCTGCTTTACCACTTTCAACAGTGTTCCATGCCAGGATCCATTACGTACGGATCGTTCTTGATCATTTCGTATAGCTCGAGTGGATTGTGGGTGGCAAAAGGCAGTCTGCCGCAAACGAGGCAGTAAAGCGTGACGCCCATCGCCCATACGTCCGCAGCCTTGACATGGATCTCGCCATGTTGTGCTGCGCGCTAGTCAGATTGACTGATCGAGACAAGCGGCGTAAACTGACAGACACACAGCTCCGGACTGAGGAAGGCGGGACTGCCGACGTTTTGTTTGCTCAGATCGGTTCCCTTGTGAAACATCTCGGATACGCCAAAGTCTGCCAGCTTGCACACTTCGCGATCTTTCGTGGCGAGCAGAATGTTGTCCGGCTTGATGTCTCTGCACCTGCGTGTCAGGAGACTGAAGTGAGTGGGCAGAATGACTGACCGGTGCACGATGTCGTTGCTGTGTAGATATTCCACCGCTGCTTCTTGTGTCAACTCGCGTTAGGGCCGAAGAGGTACTGCCGACCTAACAGAATCTGGCGAAAGTAATTGCGTGCAGTTGTTTCGTCGTACGCTTGGACCTCCTCCTTGATTGACAGGTTCATTAAAGAGCCTCCTTCGCATAGCTCCACGACTGTGAGGACAGTCAGCGCTGAACAGCGGGCCATCCGACGATGATATACCCATGTATAGAGAATCGCGCTCGTTGACATCGAGGACCTCGTGCAGCCGCACGAGATTCGGATGGGTTAGCTTCTTCATCACAGCGATCTCGTGACCTGCGCGGTTTGTGAGTTAGGATGCAGATCAAAGGGAGCTACGTACGGATGAGCAGCAGAGGGTCCTCGTCGTTACTATTGCCGTTCTCCACGGGTGGTCGAGCGTGAGCAGTCATGGAGCCTTGTGTGCTCTGTGTGCCCTGTGAGGGCCTCTTGCGCCCTCTTTGTGCGCGCATCATCTCTGACTGAGCTCGCTTGCGGAGCCGCATCTTGGAAAACTCTTTGACTGCCCAACTGCGCCCCTGCTCGTCCTGAGCAACGCAGACGCTGCCGAAGCTGCCATGACCGATCTCCTTTCCGAGTACATACTGATTGATCCTTCGTGAGCCATCGCCAAGATCCTCATGGCGAGCATCGAGCGTCTCCTTCACACCGGGCTCCATGGAAGATGTTCTCCGGTGTCGCTTGAAGCCTTCTGGTGAGCTGGCCTCCGAGGCAGCTCTGTTCTTTGCAGAAGAGAGCGCTGCTTTGAGTGATTCTTTGGCAGACGTGGGCGACGTCGTAGCCGATCGTCCCGGCGGGTTCATCGTCTTGGGTGGAGTGTCATCGAGTTCTTCTGGCTCTTGTGCTAGCTGAGTGGGTGTCTGCTCCATCTCTTGAGGCTCTGAAGCCATAAGTGGAGGCTCCTCCGTCGCGGGCGACATGACGACTTGCTCTGGCGATTCTGTGCCGTCTTTGCTCAGCTGCAGCGACGGAATGCGACCATTGGTGTGCGTTCCGTTGGCATTGCTCTGTTCTGACTTGGCAGGCTCATGCTCCGTCGACTCGGCATCTGCATCCGTCTCACTGCCCGATGCGATTGCGTCCGATGGTAATCTGGATAGCGTCATGGGTCGTCGACGTGCTCGACCATCGCTGCTCTGCCCGTGCTCCTCGTCGCCTGACGTCTCATGCTCGTCTGACTCGCTATCATTCGTCATTTGAGGCCTGCTTCTGAGGTGTTCCCTTAATCGTAGCTAATTGCAAATCCAAGCTCAGCGCAATCGCGAGGACGCTCACGTGGCTCGAAGCCTGCAGACTATTACGAGCGACCACTCGCCGACGATCTCTTGCCCAGCCGGTTCAGCGCCTCACTCGCGTCCATTTAGCCCTCGACAGCATCATCTTACAACACGACGCATCTCAAAGATCGGATGGCCAACATTGCTCAGGCTGCTTCACGAATGCCGCTTGGTCTCATACAATGCATCAGCACGTCAGCCATCCCTGTGAAGGCAGTGATACTTGAAGACAGTGACAGTCACGAATCAAGCAAACGGGGATTGGTCGTGCATCCTTGACCGCAAGAAGACCTCGCGCCAGCATGCACTACGCTCAGCAGCAGATCTTGTCGCCGAGACCATAGTGCGACGCTCGTGCAATCGCGACGGCACGTGCAACTCGGAGCTGTGAAGAAGAGGACTTCTGACGCTCCGAGCGAGTAGCAGGCAGCGAGATGCTCATCCTGCTTGCAGGTCTTGATTCTCTTCTCCTTTGTCAGTCTAGTTGGCTTGAGCTGCTGATATGCTAGCAGTGCTCCTTCCAATTCCTTGTAGCCTTGCCGCTATGCAGTGTATACTTGCACTCCTCACTCTGTCCCGCAGGCTCACTCACTGAAGGTTTGCTTGGCTCGGTCTGATCTCGGCTGCTCTGCCCTCGTCGGTACACTCGGCCCGTGATGATGATTCATGAGGGCGTCCTCTGTGCAACACTTGCTCGCCGGTAACGGTAGTCTGAGTCATCCGCAAAATGACGAGATCGTGCTTTTCGAAACTATCTGAGAATTAACGAGAAGGTGGTGTGGAAGTATTGATTCTGCCACGTCGCAAGGGTGCATGCTCTCACAGAAGCGAGTGAGTACATCAAATGTGTATGCCCGCTCGAAAGTGGGTTTGTGAGGGAGCGCGTACAGCTAGTTTGAGGGGCTGGGCTGACGGTTGGTGCCAGTGACGTTCGTCTGGGCTTGTGCATTCTGGAGACGCAATGGCTCACGATCCCTTGCTTCTATACGAGATTATAGTACATACAAACGCCTGGCGTCCCAAAATGCCTGTTTGGCTCAGTGGTAGTAGCGTCACGCTTGTATCGCACCTGCGACCACGTGACGGTCACTGGTTCGATCCCAGTAACAGGCAATCTTCTTACTGCGCCGCGAGGCACGTCTTTTTGCTGTTCCTTCTGGCAGTCCACGCAACCGTGCTCGTTGTGCATCACTTTGCATCGAGTTGAGCGTGCTTAGTCACGCACGTGATCATATTTTTCGCGTGTGCAATAACATCAACTGATTTTTGGCAGCTTATTGGCCTACACTGCTGTTTCGTTCGCGACCAACTCGACTCGACCCAAGATCGCACGTTTGGCAGCTCGACATGGCCGTTCGGATATCTTGCAGAGACGTCGACGAAGGCGCAGCCCAGAGACGTGATTCGCTATCCGTCGAGGACGGGAACAACTCCGCTCGAGGCTGATGCAGCGAATGAGGAGCTCGTCGATGACTTGGTGACCTGCTGCGATGCTTGCAGCCGTCCCTGGGAGTCACCCTCATCGTCTATGATGGAGATCAGGCTCGACAAGAAGACGACAGCCGCATTCGACTCTCTGCCTTGCTCGACGATGACGTGAGGCCCTAGACCGGTCTGGCAAGTCGGTCCGCCATGGGGTGAACCATCTTCACGCCTGGAGTGACAAGCAGCGAGAGAGAGGTCGATTGCCCGTCACAGGCTGGAACTGCGATGGAGCTCATCGCTATCGCTTGGAGGCTCTCTTACTCGTCGTGGAACAGAATGCGGTCGGCAAGCAAGACGACATTCACGATCAGATCTCTGCTAGACCTGAGGACCGACGGACCTTGGAGGCCAAAACTTGCAACCTGGTCTAGGAACAGGGCACCCCGTCCGAGGTGATGCAGCCTGTGATGCAGCCTGCGAGCTAGTGACAGCAGTCTAAATGCATCTAGTTCATTCTGAACAAGTGCACGAGTAGATCTGCGAAGCTAAGCCACTTGTCCTTGAATGAAGAAGTCTGCAAACTCAGGCTGATCGCCTTGGCACTGCACAAGAGGACTCGGTCTGCTTTCGAATACTCAGCACCGGTGAAATGTGTATTGCTCTGGCTCACCTTCCGATGTCCGAGAGATAGCAAGAAGTGATCGGATCGCGCTGCGAGTCTATAGCCTCTGCAGCAGTCATGCAGCGCAGCTCGTATGGATAGTCGTCGCTATCAAATTCTGCGGTCTGCGCAAAGACATCGTATTCGGCTGAGAACTTGAGCCAAGCCGTGCAACTACCCAAGCACGTCAGCGGATCGGTCGATGCTGTCTAACGACTCGCCATTTTTGCCATTCGTCGCGCAGGGATGTCATAGTGTCGAATGGCAAGCGCAGCTCAATGGAAAGCTTTGTCATACTGTCGGTGCTGCCCGAAAGGGATGCAAGTTGGATGGACTCGCCATTTGGCTCGAGCTGAGTCTTGTATGCGTGAGCTCTCAGGCTTCCGCCTCCTGCGCACGCTTACGATCTCTTGTTGCCAGCCGTCTGACCCGAGCCGATTGTAGATCAATATGTTTGCAGGCTGTAGTGAATCTGACAAGAAGCCGACATGGGCGATATCGGGATGATGAGGCGTTGGGCACTTTGTAAAGCATGTCGCTAAATGTACACGAGTGAGCCATGCAACTCCTCGATATCTCCTAGCGACTCACGAACTATGCGAAGCGTAAGAGCGGAAACATCGCCGTTCTGGGACCATTGCATGCGTGTACGCGATGAGCATTCAGTGGCATCTATATCAGCCTCATCAGGGTCTGCTACTTGCTGCGCTGTAGTAGCCTGACCCTGGGGATAGCCAAGAGCACGCATATCGCAGTTTCTTTGCGCATGCGACTCCGAGTGCTCGCCGCAATACATGCGAGCGCTTGACTTGCCCAATTGGATAATGGTTTTCGACTCGACATTGACGAAAAACAGGCCCACAAGGTAGACGGTGCAGCTATGCTGGCAGTGAGCTAGCGCAGGCAATGACGGTACCCTGCTTGCCATCTAGCCCAGGGCGTCGGCAAAGCGGGTTTAAACGAGGCACGAAAGATGATGCCTCCTTCAGTGGTCTCGATTGTCTGAATCCTACCGACGGATGTGCGACTCGGCTGACGACCTCTTAGCCGGTGTCTGAGAAGCGCTTTCTTTGCACACCTTCAAGATCCAGTGTTCCTCGTCTTGCCGCAAGGAAGTGACGACAAACGAAGCAGACATCTCTGAACCATCTGCGAAATCGACAGGTTGAAGATTCCGGTCTGCTTTGCATTGTCCGGTCCCATGAAGCTGCACGGTATAGGCTTGTGGACGGCTCAAGGTTCCGAGAGCACTTTGGTCGGACAAGAAGCTGGACAGGCAAACAAGAAGGAGGGTGATGCTTCGCATCGCAGACGCGCGAATGCAAAGGAATTTTCGCGTCTTGTCATCTGATCCTCATGCCTGTGTTCATCAAAATCCTGGCTCGCTCAGGATCCGCATGCTGCTTTCCACCCAGCTTAGAGGTGCTTTGTATGGGTCACAACATTATGCATTATACAAGTGTGGCTTCAGTTGGCTTCGTATTCGAATCAGTTTTGGCAGGCGATGGTAGCGGTTCATCGCGCTCATGCTCTTCCTCGTCATCGAAGAGACTTGTGGTCTCTTCTGCTGAGCTTGACCAAGCAGTATAATTGCTTGCTGCCGGACCGGATGCTGACCAGCCGGCTGAGCGAGAGGGAGCTTTCCAGCCTTCCCCATTCCGCAGCCTCTGGAATCCAGACATGATGAGGTCGATGCCGGTCAACAGCCCGATCAGCGCAATGTCCTGCACAAGCTGATTACTCAGATACGATGTCGGTAGTCGGAAAGGCAGCATACCTTGACGTAGTTGATACCGTCGATAAGCGAAGGCACGATCTCTCGTACGGCGAATCCATCTGAGCGATGCAAGACGAGCCGATTGTAAGCGAACGCGACACCGATCGCCAGAGGGATTGATATGACGATTCTGCAATCATGAAGGCATCAGCGGACTGGACTGACCAAGTCTTGAGCGGGCACGGACACGGTGAGTAAAATGCCAATGGCACCAAAAAAGCCTCGAGGTGGCCTCGTCGGGCAAGCGAACCTCGTCCGCCAGATGACTGTCCGGCAAGGAACCTGCTAATAAGCCAAAAGAACAAGTTTATTGTGCGCCTCAGCTGACAGAAATATGAGCAGCCGTTGGCGATGCTGACGAGCTTTGGCGCGCCGGTGTCATACTCGCCAGGATCACATACGAGTGAGATGGAGCTGCTCATCAGGCCGCCAGCAGGACATTCTGATCCTCCTGTATATTCGAGAACGAGCAGACCCTTGTCCAGGGAGACTGGCGTAGTATTGTATCGACCCAAGGAGATGCCCGTCTTGCCTCCGTATCGATATGCGCCGATACTCGCAGAATCGCCGAGGGAGATGGTCTCTGTCAGCAAGCGGTGACAGATGTTCAGCTTGATGTCGCCGTCCCTGTTGTCTGCTGCGTCGCCTGGAAAAGGCACGGCGTAGTCCGTCCCTGGTAAGCATGGCAATGAGCGCGTTCCTCTTCATTCGCTGACAGAGCGCCTGCCTGTCTTGCGTTCGAGCTGTCGTAGATCGTAGTACGTATTCGTCGCAGAGTCAGTGAGGGTACATGCTTCATCCTGCCAGGCTGCGCCTCAGCGTTCCGTTAAGTCCCACGTACAAAGCTCGAGCAGACCTGCAAAGCACGAGTGTCAGCGTCTGTCGGATCCACGACAGAGTCTTGGCTGACCTCTTTCGCTATCGACGAAGCTGTCAGGAGGGCGAGCCATATGCTCGGCCACCTGAGAATCATCGGCCGCTGCTGTCTCGCACGAGGAAATGACGCGTGGCAATCGACTTGATGATCACTCCCTCGTTCGTTGTCCGCTGAGACTGCCCTGAGACGGACAAGGATGGTCATTGCGACGATGAGAGCAAGCGCAAGACTACCGAGGAGTCTCTCCGTGCCGTCTGTTCGGCCAGGATGCGCTCGATCGACCGCCGCACGTCTCGCTGTGGCTCAATCGAGTTCGAGGAGATCTCTGGCCACTGAGGCAGAAGCGAGCTATCCGAGCCCGGGGCCCATCGCAAGAGCCAACACGGTCGAAGAGCTACACTCACACTCGCCTCAGGACATCCTGGCCTCTGTCAGTCTGGTCATTCTGGCTCGAGGTCGTTCGCTCATGCGCGATGGCGATGGCAGGGCGAGGGAGCAAGGAACAGATCGCTCAGACACTTTACAGTCAACTTTGGGTGCGCACACAAGGGATCCGGCTGCGAACAGCCCAGCTGACCTTCAGATGAGCGTAGACCTCAACATCCCGCAGCTCATGGCGTCTTGCGACTGATCCTTGAGCTCAATGGCGAGGAGATCCTGCGCGCCGATCCGCATGTCGGCCTGCTACACAGGTTCGTCGATGCAAGTCCATCACGAGACAGTATGCTCACACGCTGTCCGCAGAGGAACGGAAAAGCTGATCGAGTATAAGACCTACACCCAAGCCTTGCCATGTCGGTTCTACCTTATCGCTCAAAGATATTGACTCACAACGAGGACAGATTTCGATCGCCTCGACTACGTATCGATGATGACCAATGAGTATGTTCGTCTCTCTTCCATGCCCCGCTCGAGCTTATAGACGGTAGACTGTGCTACTCCCGCGCGGTCGAGAAGTTGCTCAACATTGAGGTCCCGGAACGAGCAAAGTGGATCCGTACCCTCTTTGGCGAGATTACTCGAGTGGTCAGCAACCTTTCATCTTTACTCGTGGCTAGACTGAAAGGGTGCATGTGGCGTGACAGCTCAACCATCTCGTGCGTACCACATGTAGCACGTCTTGTGCAATCTGACTCTGGCGAGCAGATGGCGGTGCTGACCCACGCAATGGACGTTGGTGCATTGACACCCTTCCTCTGGGGCTTCGAAGAGCGCGAGAAGCTTATGGAGTATGTCGCTTCACACACCGCACTCTGCTTTTGCTGACGGGGCTACAGGTTCTACGAACGCGTATCCGGCGCACGACTTCACGCGGCCTATGTGAGACCTGGCGGTGTTGCTTTCGATCTTCCACATGGCCTGCTGGATGACATCTTCAAGTGGGCAACTGCCTTTTCCAACCGAGTCGACGAATTCGAGGAGGTTTTGACTGAGAACCGTATCTGGAAAGCGCGAACAGTAGGCATCGGCCGAGTAACGGCAGAGGAGGCGCTCGCATATGGCTTCACGGGTGTCATGCTCAGAGGATCCGGCATTCCCTGGGACATCAGGCAAGGAGCACCAGACCAAATCGGACGAAGCTCACAGAGTGGTCAACAGGAAATCGCAACCTTATGACGCTTACGACCAAGTCGAATTCGATGTCCCCGTCGGACGCAACGGCGATTGCTACGATCGCTATCTGTGCCGTATCGAGGAGTTCAGACAGTCACTCAGAATCATCTCGCAATGCCTGCAAAAGATGCCACCCGGTCAGATCAAGGTCGACGATCACAAGCTCGTCGCACCGCCTCGCGCAGTCATGAAGCAGTCCATGGAGGCTACGATCCACCACTTCAAGCTTTTCAGCGAGGGTTACTCTGTTCCACCTGGTGAGACTTACTCGGCGATCGAAGCACCAAAGGGAGAAATGGGCGTCTTCCTCGTCAGCGATGGCTCCAACAGGTCCGTCCCTGAGCTTGCCACAAATGATATGCTATACTCATTCGAACGACAGACCGTACCGCTGCAAGATCAGAGCGCCCGGATTCGCTCACTTGCAAGGCTCAGACTTTATGTCGCGACATCACTTCTTGCCCGATATGGTAGCCATTATCGGTACCATGGATCTGGTCTTCGGCGAAGTAGAGTACGTCACAGGCGCTCTGATCACTATCGTCCTGAGCTTACACTCTCCTGACAGTCGTTGAGCACTGTAGACTTGCATGCACCGTCGCTGTTGAGATATATCTCGCTGCACTGGGCAGAGCCCGAGTGATCGATCGACTGCACGCCGATCGTTTAGCCTTCCCACAGCTGTGTCTTCGGTCTCCGCATTGAGTAGGCAACGATCCACTGTGTCGTCACAAGACACTTGTTCGAGTGTACATTGCCCAAAGAAGCGTTGCATCCACCTAGAGCATAACCACCGCGGTGAGTGCACATCCAGCACGTCACGGCGTTCGGTTCGGGAACATCTCGTTGCCGAGCAGGACGCGCGTCACGCCGAGGCGATTGCCTGCTCACGAGGACACATCACTAATATTCGAGTGAGCCTGCAGAACCCCACATAGCACGATAGCTAGTCATCAGAACACGCAAGTATGGTTGGGAAAGTGGGATCCGTCGAAGTAGGTCCTCCGGCCAAGAAGGGCGAGGGACGTACCCGTCGATACTACGCCACGCCAGATCGTCTCGTCACTCAGCCGGCTGATGACATTGTCGTCGTACCCGACATCCTCGAGTATGCTGCTCGCACGAGACCCGACAAGCCCTTGTTCGGTTGGAGAGACACGATTAAGATGCACAATGAGGAGAAGGAGATTACCAAGACGGTCAAAGGCAAGGAAATCAAGGAGATGAAGAAGTGGAGATACTACGAGCTCTCTGATTACAAGTGGTGGAACGTAAGTGTTCAGTGCCCGTCCTGGTCCAAGCCGGCTGACGCATTCAGGGCAGACCAAGGAGGTTCTCGACCGATGCCAAGCCGTCGGTAGCGGATTGCGTCAACTGGGCATCACTAATGAGCAAAAGTTCAATATCTACGCTTCTACACAGTATGTCGTCTGCTCGCAAGCTCAATCAGCGTTCATCTGACGCGTATCGCAGCGCGCATTGGCAACTCGTAGCTCAAGGTGTGCTGACAAACGCTGACTTGGCTACGACGCTGACGTTTCGCAGGGTGCTGCATCCATGGCATTACCTTTGCTACTGCTTACGACTCCCTCGGAGAGTCGGGCGTGAGTCGCACACGCTCGATATACGCGACAGAGCTGATCGACATGCGCAGCTCGAGCATTCCCTCAACGAGCCCGAATGTGTCGGCGTCTTCACGAATGCCGCACTTCTCGGCACGCTCGCTGCTGTCGTTGGCAAGACGCCCACAGTCAAGACCATCATCTATGATGGCTCGATCGACGAAGATCCAAAGTTCGGTCAGGCACTCGAGAAGCTCAAAGGCATCAAGCAAGGCGAAGAGAGCTTGCAGATCTTGAGCCTCACAGAGCTCATCGAGCTTGGTAACAAGCACAAGCATGAACCTGTCAGGCCCAAGCCAGAGTAAGTGCCTGTCCAGGTGCGAGGGATCTGCGCTCAGTGATTCGTAGGACTATCGCGTGCATCATGTACACGTCAGGCTCTACCGGCGCGCCCAAGGGCGTCATCCTGACCCATGCCAACATTGTCGCATCTGTCGGCGCAGTCAGAACGCTCCTCATCGACGTGTTCCGACCAGTCGACACGTTCATTGGTGCGTTGCGGTTCCTCGCGAGCACTTGACGTGCTGACCATCCTGCGCAGCCTTCCTCCCATTGGCGCATATCCTCGAATTTGTTGCCGAAATGGCGATGATCTACATCGGTCTCTCAATGGGCTATGGCAAGATCGCTACTTTGACCGACACTTCTGTCCGCAATTGTGTCGGAGACATTCGCGCGCTCAAGCCGACCTGCATGGTCGGCGTGCCTGCCGTATGGGAGCTCATTCGTAAGGGTATCGTTGGCAAAGTCAAGGCAGGCGGCGGCCTCAAGGAGAAGATGTTCTATGGCGCACTGGCAGCCAAGCAGGCCAACAAGACCCTCTTCGGCGGCATCACAGACGCTGTCGTGTTCAGCAAGGTCAAGCAACAGACTGGCGGCCGTCTGCGATACGTGCTCTCAGGTGGTGCACCTATTTCTCGTGATACCCAAGCTTTCCTCTCCACCGCCCTCGTGACGGTGCTTCAGGGCTATGGTCTCACTGAATCGTGTGGCATGACTGCCATTCTGCATGTGAGTAAATACAACCTGCCATTCCGAGCGGATACTCACGTGCGTGACAGCCCGACTTCATGCAGTACGGCTCTGTCGGCGTGCCTGTTCCCTCGATGGAGGTTAAGCTCGTCGATATCGAAGAGACAAAGTATTTCTCGAGCAACAACCCGCCCCAAGGCGAAGTCTGGGTTCGTGGCAACTCGCTCACGCAAGGCTACTACAAGCGCGAAGAGCAAACAAAGAAAGACTTTACCGAGGATGGCTGGTTCATGACAGGTGACGTCGGTCAGTGGAACGCAGACGGCACGCTGTCCATCATTGACCGAAAGAAGGTAAGCTGCATCTTTCACGTAAAGGTCGTATCCTGACAATTTCTTTCGCAGAATTTGGTCAAGCTTTCCGGCGGAGAGTACATTGCGATCGAACGTCTCGAGGCGACATACAAGTCTTGCCCGCTGGTCAGCAACATGTGTGTGCATGCAGATCCGGACGCCAAGCAGCCCATGGCGGTGAGTCTGCCAGCCTCGTGGCCTCGTAACAGGCTGACGCACTCGGCCCAGATTGTTTGCTCGCACGAGGCAAATCTGAAATCTTTCTGCGCTAGCAATGGTCATGGAGGCAAGGACGAAGACATCAACCATCTCGTCACGGTCGACGCAGTGCGTGACGATGTTCTCAAGGAGCTCAACGCCATCGGCAAGAAGACTGGCTTCAAGTCGCTCGAGGTTCGTCTGCACGCACGCTGACTTTGCTGCTCACTGACATCGATACAGATGCTCCAATGCATTGTGCTCGTCGCTGACGAATGGACGCCTCAGTCAGGCTTACTGACAGCGGCCCAGAAGCTGCAGCGAAAGGCTATCGTCGAACGGTACAAGGAGAAGATTGACAAGGTCTATCCTTGAGCGAGTCTGCGGGCATTCGGCGCATAGCTCTTTGTCACCTTTTCTGTGTACTTAGTAGCACGTTAATCGAATCCATCAGACGTTACAATATGCTACATTTTACAGGCTGACTGAGCGCGCGTTTTACAAGCTGACTGAGCGCGCGTCTAATCTTGATCCGCCCACTCTACTTGATCACATATGTCGCTGACCATGACTTGAATAAGGCCCGGCACATCTCGCTCAGCCTCTTCTAGCGCGTGACGTAGCTTGGATACCGCCAGTCGACCTTGTTGTGAGCGGATGCGATCCTCAATCTGCACTGATACTTCAGTATGACGCTACTGATTTGTGAGCTTGCTGAACGCACCGAGACCAAGACGGGCAAGACGACACTTTCCAAGATGGAGGTCTCTTCTTCACATGACACCGCCATGGCAGATTCTGATCGCTCGCAAGGTATTTGCGGATGAGAGGTTGCCTGCACATCAATGCGGCGTTGGGTCGTTTCGTCGTACTGGGAAGACGCTTCGCAAGGTAGCACAAGGTTCGGCAGGCTGGACGGAATAGATACCACCGCGGTAAGCGGTGCTGTTTGAGGTGGAGGGGTCGGACGAGGAGGAGCTGGTCGAGAGGGCACGAACCGCTGATGCTCGAGAGCAGACGGCTTCTTACGCAGTGTCGAGCTTTTGTGGCGAACAGTATCAAAGTCCCAATCAAGCGTAGGTAACGCACTACATCGACTTCATCAGCATATCGGCAAGTACCAGAAATCAGACATACTCTGGCACGCGAAGCATGGGCTCGAGCGACTGATGCGTGACGCCCTTGCGAAGTCTCCACCGCTCGTGCAGATCGATGAGTTCGGTGAGATAGGTTGGCTTCTTTGCATGCTTGACAAAGCGATGTTTCAGCAGTTCGCGAGCAGAAGGGCGCAGCTTGGGATCTCGTTGGCAACAAAGCGCGACGAAATCTTTGAATTGCTTGGAGAAGCGATCGTCCAGCGTCGGTGGTGGATTGCGCGGAATGACGAACAGCACCTTCATCGGGTGCAGATCGGAGTGCGGCGGCTGCCCGTGCGCGAGCTCGATCGCGGTGATACCCAGTGACCAGATCTGAGGAGCTTTGTCATTTCAACGCGCACTCGCAGGGAAGGGCTGTCTCACATCTGCTTTCGAATCGTAGCCAGATTGTTTGATGACTTCTGGACTCATCCAGTACGGCTGCATCATATGTCAGCCGACGCTGTGCCGTCAGCACTGGCTGCTTACTGTTCCGACAAAGGTGTTTTTCTGCGATGTCAAAGTGTCAGTGGAACGAGGTGTCCTAGGTCCGGGAGCATACCTTGGTCATCGTCGTGGTCAGTTGACCAGAGACGCCAAAGTCGGCAAGCTTGACAGCGCCGCTGGACGTGAGCAAGACGTTGGCTGCCTTGATGTCGCGATGCAGCTTGCCCTCGGTATGTAGATAATCCAGGCCATGGAGCAGCTCGCGCATGATGATGGCGATATACTCCTCTCGGATCTTGCCGGCTTTCATGAGATCGCTGCACGAACCACCGCCACAGTATTCCATGACGATCCACAGCGTCGAATCTTTGAGGTATGAACCATAATATCTGCTTGGCCGGTCAGACACATGCTCGAGCTCGTCACGCGATCGGCTTGCTTCGTTACATAGGGCGACACGAGCTGGCTCAGGATTGCAATCTCTTGCTGGATATCTTCGATCTCGTCCTCGGCGGATTCAAGATCGATGAGCTTGATGGCAACTGGCTGATTCGTCCGCTTGTCGAATCCTTTGAAGACTTGGCCAAAGCTGCCTTTGCCGATGATCTGCTGCTTCACAAAGAACTCTTCCGGGTCTGCACCGTGATGGTATCGACCTTGATCAGCCACAGGAGGTTGAGCGCGTCGCGAAGCGCGTTTGCTTGAAGGCTTTGAGACCAGCCCACCCGATGAGGAAGAAGACGAGGAGCTACGACTGAGGATCATGGCTGTACGCTCTGTTGTGCGCTTCGTCGGACGAGACGATCGTGCGTCGTGATGAGCAGGTCGGCTCGAGCGCGACTGGATGCTTTGATGAGCAGTCCTGGCACGGCGATCTGGCCTGCGCCTGATGGTCGAGTCTCTTCCAGAGGGACGATGTCCACTTGATGCTGATACACGCTGAGATTGGACGGTAGGCGTTGCTTTGGGGGCCCGTATCGTCCGATCCCTATCGCTATAGTCTGTTCCCTTGCTCCCACTCTCGAGGTCACTTTCGCTGTCAGACCGGGACGACGTCAGACTGAGTGCGAGCGAGAGTTTGCCTGCATGACAGCATCAGGTTCTGCATGTCGACGGAGTGTGGGAATGAGCTAACGAAGGGGTGAGGGCGACATTGTGTCCAAGGTGCAATCGCGCACGTCGACGAGGCCGAGCGAAGCAGACAAAGAGGGTAGAAGTACAGACCAGCCGATGATGCTCACCTTCTGCAATGTACACAACCAGATCCGAAAGAGCTCCCTCAGGAGTGGCCTTTGCTTTCAGCTCAGGTTTCCTAGTGATGAGATCAAAGCGACTGGACGAGGCTTGAGCGTCGGCTGAGCGCACGGATCACCCCTTGCCGATCTGCGCTTGATCCGATCCGAGAAAGGGTCTGTGTGAATTGCGCTGCCTGACATCTCTGTAGAGCCGATGCTGGGCTTTCGGACGTGGACCTCGGCGCGTCGAAGACACTAGTCGAGCGCGACGCAGAGCTTCTTGTAGAACGCGGGGAGCTGTGCCACTTTGAACCGCATGAAGCCACTGAACTGGGCCGGTAGCGTGCTGACATCATCGCGCTCAGGCTCGACGGGCGTATAGCTGACCGTGTTGTCGGGGTTGTATTGCAATTTGAACTCCAGGGAGCGTTTGCGCATGACGAGGCAAGTATAAGATCGACCTAGTGGTTCCTCCTTGCAGCTCGTGACCAGCAGACCAGTGAGCCCCTCTGACAACGCCGATCGATGTCGCAACTCGTCTAGCTCGTCTTGCGATGCTTGCGAGGGCGCATGTTGAGCGAGTGTGCCAGCAGACGCGTTTGCTTGCAGGGCGCTCAGCTTCTGCTGCACCGACTTTGAATGTGCCGTTTCCGCTTGTATCTCTCGCTCAAGTCTGGACACTGCAAATGGGCACGAAAAATAAGTCGAGAACAGTAGACAGATCCGGGCGAGCCCGCACCTGTTGCAGTGAGATGCTGATGCTCGACTTGGACGCGTTCGCGCTCTTCCGCTCGTACACCGTCTGCTTGCTGTTCGAGCGTTTCGAGCTTCGTGCGCAGCTCTGTCACATGGGCTATCGCCGCCTGATGGGATCGCGTGACAGACTCGAGTTTGTCGGCCAGTTGTTTGTCATTCGTACCTAGAGGCACGTCGTCAATTGGCCGAGCTGCGACTTTGGCCCGCAGAGCATCGTTCTCGGCTTGCAGTGCATCCAGATCTTGCTTGTATTGTTTCAGCGTCGCAGTAGCAGCTGTCCTGGTGCGCATCAGCTCTGTCTAGCACCGTATCTGAGCAGAGCAGAGCACAGACTTTCTGCGCGTTCGTCGGAGAGTCTGATGAGCTCTGCAAGTGAAGCTTCGACATCCGTCGTCCTCGTCGCTCTGAGCTCTTCGTACAGGGCCATTGCATCCTGTCAAGCAACGTCATCCCCACGAGCCAGATGCTCAGGAACAGCCGCTTACCTTGCCATGATTATCGCGCTTTCGGCTGGCAGAGGAGCTGCTGAGATGACCGTTGGATTCTTGTAGAGCATGCCGCTTGCTCTTGCTCGCCTGGGAACTTTGCATGTCCTCCTCGCTTTCGTCATCCGAATTAGCTATCCGCTTCCGACTAGCGCTCTTGATGGACGCTGCAGCATGTGCGTGAGTTGACTTGCCGCGCTTCAAGATGGCCTGGCCTGAGCTATGATTGCCTCTGTTCTCCTTTGTGCTCATTGTTGCCATCTGCCTGCCCTGTTGCGCGCTGGCGCAAGCGCGAAGGTATTGATCACGTGATGGGCGACCGTCATCAGGCTCGATCTGGTTTCCGATTGGCTCGTCTGAATCCATGATCTGCTCCTATCAAGTCCTCATGTGTCCACAACAGAGCCCTCTCTGTTTATCGGATGTGCTTCCTTGCAGATAGGAATGATGCAATCTCAGCTCGCATCGCCCCTGCATAAGCTACTTCGGTCCGATGACAAGGCATGTACCGGGTCAGTCAAAGTTGAAGAATTTATGCCGAGCCGGCGTGTAGGATGGTGAAGGCGAAAGCCGGCGCAGATTAAGCCTTAAACAGGCTACGCTCGGGACAAGCAACACGGCGAGCAGTCACGCATCCCTGCTGAGATACTGCATTCTCTGTACCGACCATGCGAAAATCATGCTATCCAGAAACAGGAGGCTTGAGCGGGCATTTCGGCTTCCGAGGGCCTTTCAGCCAACACTCGTTGTAGGTAGTGAACTCTCGGAAATGCTCATTACCGTTGACGATGAAGCTTCATGCCTGATATCAGCTCGGATGCGTAGGACACAGGCCGGATACATACGTCGGCCTGACAATCTTTGTCCAATCTGATCCCGTTTGGGGTGTATAGAAACTATCGAGGTACCAGCTCTTGATGGTCGGAGATGCCAACGGTCCGCGTAGGCAGAGGGTCACGGTGTTCGCGCCATCGACAAACTTGATGCACTGCTCCATGCGCTTGTTATCAGGAGACATCCCGACTCTCACAGAGTACGTCTGTATTCTGTCATCGAGGTTCAGCCTGACGGCCTGTGCTATGTTCAGCAGGGGGTTCATTGAAGGTCTAGCTGGTTGACTTGCCCATTGATACGGAGCAAGTCGGGCCTTGAAATCGAGTCTCATGACCAGAGCGTGCGCAGTGTCATAGAGCAGGAATGTACAAGTTTCCTCTCGGCCAAAGTTGAACCCGGAATCCGATATGCCGCTTTGCACGTCGTCAAGCATGTCAAACTCGGTCGCACGGTCCAACAAGCCTGCGCCATCATTGATAGGTGTAGCGAGGACAGTAGCCACGAACGCCAATGTCGCCAAAGAAGGGATGCGCATCCTTACAGACGAGCACCGCAGACAAGATTGATGCGGTGTCGGCCGTAAGGAGAATGGATGCAAGGCTGCGTTGCAGGGGTTGCTTTGCCTGACGACATTGCAAGTGACGATGGCCTCTCTCCGTTACTATCCGATAGCCTCTAGTCGTTGCCATCACGAATTTGGCTCGACCGATACATAGACAGAGGCCCCTGCCTGTTCCTGAATGCAAGGCTTGACCACGATCCCCAGTCAATCTCACTCGGGATGGTCTCAGCGGTCTGTCGACATCCAATAGATTCGCGAGCCAGTTTGCAGCATACGACCCTCAGAGATAGAGGTGGATCCTCTCCGAGGATGTTGTTGGAGGCGCGAGACATCGCTCTCCATCTCACTTGTGAATCAGTCACCGGTTTGCCGGAGATAGCAACCTTTATAACCTCTACACTACCCGAGCTTTCGACACGAAAGTCCATTGCGCATAAGCCTCATCGGCAGGTCAGCGGCTACGTACAGCGGTGCATTAAACACACTCAACCCTTGAAAAGCTGTATCGACTCTCCGCTGAGCTTCATCGAGCTGCGAGACCCAGTCAGTGCGTGTCAACGGAGTTGTCACAGAGACGTACTATTGGAAGACATACTGTTCGCGGGTCAGCTCAAGCACGCCCGGAACGAAGTGAAACGCACTCCGTCAAAATAGCTATATCCTGCAAAATGCGGCGAGACGCCGAAGCTCACCATCTCGCCCACGCCAGGCTTGCGATAGAAGAAAACATCGATCGAGTCGTCGGCGTTGGAGACTGCGCAAAAATTCAGGTTGCGCAAATCAAGGGGACTTGCGACGGCGCACAAGTAATCACATCGTAGCGCAAGCCGACAGAATACCCTTGACCGTTGAATTTGGCATCTTTCGAGCTCCACTGGTCGATATGCATACTCTGCGGGGCCGTTAGAATCGAGCGTGACTGGCATTGTCTTTTTAATTACACCGAGCATGCTGGTGCCAGGCAAGGCCCAAGCCAGGTCAAAAGTCACGTCAAACAATGTCTTGCCCTTGTACGAGACAGCGACCGTACACGGGTGCGCAGGACCATACCCGCCAGGCTCTACATGTGTCGGGCCTGATCCTGCCGACCCATGGACGGCGCTGGCGAGGGCGCTGCTGATCAAACCGACGGCGGCTAAGCATACGAATAGCATGCTTGTTTGCAAAGCCAAATGACCGTGAGCTGACCGCAGGAGCAACAAGATCGTGCAACGTCGGGTACTCAAGCAGCGTCTCAATGCAAGCACTTTGTCACGAGAATATACGCCCTGACGTCACAACATTGCAACCCCACATCGCATCACAGAGACGATACTGCCCAGCCTATGCTGCTACGGCGCATCCATCGTTCTTTCGCAATTCTCATGTACGCTTTATGTAGGATGTAAACTCTCGATACAGCGGCTTACCGTCGACGACAAAGCTTTGCTTTATGTTTTAGCTTTGATCACAGCAGACTCAAGAACGTACGTGGGTTTGACAATCTTGAACCAATCTGACCCAGTTCCTGGCGTATAGAAGCTGTCCAAGTACCAGCGCTCGATGGTCGGAGAATCGTAGGGCCCGCGTACGCAGAGGCCGACGTTGTTGATGCCGTCGGTGAATGTCAAGCACCGCTCGACACGCTTGCCATCGACAGATACTCCGAATCTGCGATAATGGAACCGTATTCTCGGATCGGGAATGAAGTTTACAGCCTGCACCAAGCTCAGCAACTCGTTGCAAAGGGACTGATCGACGAGCTTGCCATATCGTTCAGAGCGAGTTGGGACAGGAAATCGAGCCTCAAGACCAGAGCAGAGGAAGTGTCATACAGCCGCAACGTACATTTTTGCGGCGGGGCAAAGTTGAGCCCGCGAGCCGCCAGCGCCTTCATGTCGTCAAGGCCGGTTGGAATGACTATCGAGCCAGCGGTATCTTGGGTCGAGACAGATGCGGCCAAAGCAGCAGCGACGAGCGCTAGTATCGTCAGCAACAGGGAGCGCATCTTGCCAGACGCTCCACAATCACACGAACGAGCGTGTGGTGGTTCAGGTTGTCCGTCTCAATGCCGCGTTGTCAGGGGTACAACGTCGCAACGACATCCCTCAACTGTGCGCATTTGTACCGATGCGACATTGTTGCAGTCTGAATGACTGGCTTTGCGATAAAAGTCGTACATCTAAACTGACAAGGCAAGGGACAAGACGCCGAGTGCGTGTGGCAACATTCGTATCTGATCTACTCGGCATCGAATGCTCGACGCGGTGCTCATCATTGGCCCCAAGACGATGACACCCGTCGTACACGGATCTAGGTCCAAAGGGTACGTCCCTTGAAGGAATGGAACGAGAGCAAGACACTTTTGGCGCAAAGCAGCCCGCCAAAGGAGGTTGATCCACCGCAACCGCTCGCAGCAGCAGGACCTCAAGCAGACGACGGAACGAGCGCGCTGAAGATGTTGGGATGTGCATATCTAAGAAAGTGATCGGCTCGAGCGATCCAGATGTACATCATCTGACGGTTGCGAGATGGGCAGACCAGACTCAATCCAGAGATTGTCAAGTTGTCACATACCGCCATACGCTGCTGTCCACCGATATGCGGATGCCAAACAGTATGCATCAAACTATCGAGATTACGGTGCTGCTGTGCGAAGGAGACGCAGTTAAGGAGAGACCTTTGAAAAGGGATCAAAGTCTCGCCAGAGCGATTTGCCGTCAAGCAATAGGCTTTGTGGCGACAGATCAGCTCTTGAATCGCAGAACTCTCAGGAACTTACGTAGGATTGACCATCTTTGTCCAGTCTGATCCGGTCGAAGGCGTGTAGAAACCTTGTAAATACCAGCTTTGGTAGGCCAAAGCCCCGATCGTTGCGCGAAGACAGATCGTCACACTCTTGACACCCTCGCTGAATGTCAAGCACTGCTCGGAACGTTTGCCATCGGCTGATATTTCCTTGCCTGACTGCTTCATATCGAACCCATCGCCAATCTTGTACCAAGTAAGCTACGCCAACATCAGCAAGCGACCCAACGCTCTGTCTCGGCTTACACCCGGGCCCAACTGGACTGTAAAGTCGACTTTCAGGACGACCGTGGAAGCGGTGTCATGAAGCATCAGTACGAAGTCTTGCACAGGACCGAGTGAGCCATCGCGGGCAACGACATGTTTGCCGGACTCGACTACAGCTTGATTGGCGGACGCTGGAACAGCAGCGCTGAAGGCGGCCGCGATGAGCACGATCAGCAGCAAGGCTATCGAGCGCATTGTTCCTTCTGCTCAACACGACAAGCAATGACAAAACTTGACGTTGCCTCATGCATGACCCATTACGGCGACATTGCATGGAACACTCCGTCTGATGGTTCGTACACTGCTTCACCAATGCTGGCCAAAGCTCGCAGTATGACGATTGGAGAAGTTCGCGCAGCTACTGTTGACACAGTCGTCAACGGAGTCCGGTCGCTCATGAGTCAATCCTTAGCTCATCTGGCTTGTTGCGCGGTAGATGCAGACAAAGGTTTTACTACGCTTCTCGACAGGCCATGGACTGTATCGGACCCACCGATCCGAAAATCCCAAGCTATAAGAGCAAAGGCTATGCACAGATCTGTACAGGGATCTACTTGAATTTATTGGCTTCACGCCAGAGCGGCTCGCCGTCTACCAGTAGACTGCAAGGTAGTTCAGCCTGGTCGCATAGACAGCATGGTCGAGCAACATACGCAGGCGTGACAAACTTGGGGCCGTTCGGTCCGGTATAGAGCGTTCCCAACCACCAGCTCTTGAAGATCGAAGAACCGTTGGGTATGCGGAAGCAGATGTTGGCAGTCATGGGAGCTTTGGATATTTCAAAGCACTGCTCGTAACGTTTGCCATCCGCAGAGATTACAGTGCTATCAAAGTCAGCTTTGATCCCTTTGCCAAACCCATACAGGACAATCCGCTGAGCCTGCATCAGCGATCAGTTTGTCATGGGTGAATGACTTACCTGTGTTTCAGGCGTCATTACGCAGGCAAAAGTGATCTTCGAGATGAGCGTAGCAGCCGTGTCATAGAGCATGAATGCGCAATCATGAACCGGACCGAGGTGGTCAAAAGGGCCAGCGACATTGTGTGCGTCGTCAAGCGGGCGAGCCTTCAGGTCAGAGCTATGCTCGGGCGTGCTGGGTACTGCAAGAGCAGCAGCGATGAGAGCGAGTACTGTAAGAGCTATCGAGCGCATCTTGACCTTGGAAGCCGTGGTAGGAATAAGACAAATATCCATGTCACGGAAAGTCTCCGTCGTCAAGCACGTCGCCAGAGCTCCTTGGATCGAACACGCAAGCAGCAACAGATTGAACGCCTCCCCGGTATCGTCGACACGGAAGGCAGCGATGCATTGCAGTCGGTGCGGCTTTCTCGACAAGTGGTCGTGTCTACATGGACTAGTAGCTGTTGTTATCGCGCTGTAGGAAATTGGTTAGAGGTCCAGTCGAGATTCTGTGCAATGCAATTGAATTGGTGCGCAGGCAGTCGGCCGTTGGTACGCACGTGATAGTCCCGATCTGCTCAAAGTCGTTCTTTGTCTCTGTCGTGTAGAACTGATCAAAGTACCAGCTCGTCACCAGGGGTGCGCCATGGAGGAAACGAAAGCAGAGAACGATCCAGTCGTCGTTCTTGGCGAATCTGAAGCAGTGTTGGATCGTCTTGTGATCAGGTGACTGCCCGGTACTATATGCCTTGACGGAAACTCCATCATAATGAATGATGTCCATGCCCTGGCAGGATCGTAATCAGCGAGCCCGCGGGACATATCGGCAAGGCCCTACATCGTCCTGTCTGACGTAATAGCCGAAATTGAAAGCAAAGACAGGTGTAAAGCTGCTATCGCTGATTATGAAGTGACAATCGACGTTGGGACCACGAGCTGGCGATGTACGGCGCTCGAGCTTGCCGTTGCCGCTTGGCGGGAGGGCGTTGTGGGGCGATCTTGCGATGATTCTGTCATCAGCCAGCAGAGGCGAGGCAAAAGCTCCACCGCAGAGAGTCACGAGCATTAGAACGTTTCTCATTATCGTAAGCATGCTGCTAAATAGCGCTTTTCAGAAGGATAGAGAGTCGGAATGAAGGTATTGGCGACAAGAGGCAACGATGTCACGCTACTGCAGCGCGCGGCGCGTTACGACTGACTACATGTTACGCCACGGACTTAGCTGCGATTGCGTGCGACGCGCAGACACAACAACGACAGGGATGCAATGCGATACAGAGATGCATAATGCTAGTAGGCTCTCTGCCCACCTGCGCTCAAATTGATAGTGACGCCCTTCTTCTTCTTGCGGCCGCTTGCAGGCGGAGCCGGCTTTGCTTCGATCGCGTCCAGCTGCCAGAGCCTGTCATCGTCCGAGTAGCCTTCTTCGGCTTCGTGTGCAGCTACTGGATGCGCAGCGACAGGCACAGAGCGTGTTCCCCAGACTGTTCTCGGCCCTTCGTCGAGTGACGGCCGTGGCGAGTGGGGTTGCGGAGAGACAGAGAGACTGGTGCCGTAAGAGGACGAGAAGCTGGCAGAGAACTCTTCGGCGGACAACATACTCGTCTGTCCTCGGATGGGCATCGAGTAGAGCGATTCCCGATCTTTCTCTCGGTTCTCGGCGTCTATTCGCGCTTTCTCCTTGTCTTCGCGCTTGAGCTTCTCCTTGCGCTTGTTAAGCCGTTGCTTGAGCGGTGCAGCAAAGCTATCGAGCGCCTCTTGTCCGACGATGCCCGTGAGGTCGGTCTCGATGAAGGCGACATCGCAAGCAGAAGGCAGATGGGACAGCCATTTACACTTCCTGCGCATATCGTCGTCCATCGAGCCTTCATCGACAGCTTGCACTTTGACTGTGAGCGTCTCCGGGAACGATGCGTATGAGCCAAAGTGCGCCTGCAAGATGCGTATGTCCAATGCGTGCAAGTAGATATGCTGACCGGACGCAGCCTGATAGTAAGTCCAAGCGGCTGCTTCGGGCGGCGGCGGATTAACGTTCTTCTTGGTCTTGGTGGGCTGAACAAGATCTAGATGGGTATGTTCGAGCACCGTCCTGACTTCAGTTGATATGTCAGATTGCTCTTCTGGTTCGGTGTCGGATGGTACGGGCAGCTTCAACGCTTGACTCAAGTATCGCCGATGAGCCGCAGTTTCCGCATCTTGTAATTGCTTGAGATCGCGCAAGGCTTGCTTGCGTGCGCTCATGACGCTGTGCTTCTTCAGTTCGCCAACCTTGTCGGTCTGATCGGCGACTTTTTTCATCGCTGCCCGGACAAAGGTAACGCCTATATCTTCCTTGCCCGCCAAGCGGGTCAGCAACCGCTCTTCTCGCTCGAGCTGAGTCATGTCAGAGGCCAATTCTGCAGTCATGTAGTCTGGCGAAGCGAGCAAGAAGCGAGCGAATGCAAATGCGTCAGGCGTAAAGTGCCATGGGGCAACAAGTGGCGGTACTGCTTCGCTAGGCCAAGACGACGATTTGGGGAGCGCCATTGTCGTCATCTGAGGTCTATGCATGAGTCGCATAGTGAGATACCGCGCTTCTGGCATGCCGATCGGCGTTGGCGCAAAGACAGCTCTCGCCTTTGCATCCGGTTCGAACTGAGATACCAGCAAGGTGTGCTCTGCGGATATTGCTGCCGGATCTGTCCATTTGACGCTCTTGAGATCTTTGCCATAGATCGCATCGGTACAGACTGGACATTTTGCCCACTTGCTCTCGGCCAGCTCGATATAATGTAGCAAGCAAGGATAGCCTGCGGTTATGAGTCAGTGCTCCAATACTTGTCGCAGAGCTACCATGGACTGACAGAAGATGTGACCGCACTTGGTCATGCGCGGCGCAACGGGTTCCGATAAGCAAATTGGACAGAAGAGATCTGCAGGCGGCGATGCGGTAAGCTGAGATTGCACTGCTTGGGCGACATTAGGCAGCACAGGTGGTTTGAGTGCAGACGTGGTCGGCACAAGCACTTGCAGCTAGCCATGAGTCATTTAGTCTTGCTTAGGCTCAGTCAGCAATCTGCTCACCACATCCGGCCATGAAAAGTATATATCAGCTGTGAATTAAGTCGCCGTCAGATCAAATACGATTCGTGGTACTGCGACTCACGATCAACAAAATGGACGGTATAGTCGTACGTCGGCTTGAGCATGAACCGATATTGCGCGTTGGTATAGCGCTCTTTGTCATACCAATTGCGGTGATTCCAAGTCGACTGTCTACTCCTTCTCGCGCTCGAGCTCGCTTGGTGAGAGTAGTGATGATTCTCTTCGTGTCGAGGCGGCAGATGAAAGGCCAGCAGCTGCGCAAGATCTCAGCTCTGTGTTTTGATGGTTGATCGCGCTCGCGCTGCTCACGTTGTCCGCGTCTATACGGTGATGTCGCGACTTGCGCCCACCTTTGTGGCCGTCGTTATGAGAGCCAGAATTCGAGTTGGCACCTGACGAGCCGTGAGATTGCCGGCGACCAGGTTGCGTGCTATGGGTCAGCGAGAACGCCGATTGTGATGACATGACGATGTCGGCCGGCTTTGTGTGAGTCCCGCTGCCTGATGCAGTCGCGGACCCGCTTGCACTTGCTCCGTACAATGATCCTGGAGTAGCATTGGCTGCAGGTCGGTAGGCCATTGTGCCGTCGACACCACGTAAACGTCCGCCGTACCTGCCCGCGATCTGACCTCACGACGCGATCCGCTTGTGCGGTGTGCCGGCCAGCAGCTCTCTGCGGTCTACACGGTCCAGTGTTCCTGTGCTTAGGAAGAGTCGGCCAAAGCCGCTGTCTGGAGAGCGCTTGACGCTCACACAGGCGGTAGAGAGCCAGAAGTTGATTGCCGGTTGAATGAGTCATCGGGGCACTCCGCCTGAGTGTCAATCGCTGCACACGTAGCTTCGACTTGTCGGCATTCCAAAGCAGCTCTGCAGTTGTATCCTCCTTGCTCGGCATGTCTCTCCGACAGCGCACGAACGCAACATCTGCTCGAAGCAAGGAAGCAGATCACGACACAAGCGAACAGATAGACGCTCACAACGCAGCCATTCGTGCACGCAACGCGCACTATCGCAAGCGAGCGCAAACACCGCTGAAGCAGCGATTGAAGGTGCGGCATCACATGCAATCACCAGGCATCGCTATGCAGAGCATGCTCGAATCCGTGCGAACCTGATGCTGACTACGTTGCTATGCAGGATGACGCTGCGCGCAATTTGGCAATCCTTGCAGGACTTGCTGTCGTCTGCCTCTTTATAGGCATCAGAGCCGGAGAGGTACATTTGCCAGCATGGTTGGGTAGTCATGGAGCTGCCAAGGTTGTCAAGCTTCAGCCAGGCGATGCGTCACACCCACGTAAAGGCGCAAAGACGAGCCTGTTCAACTTGCAGCCTGTCGAAGCTACGCCTGCTTTCAGCGAGGACACTGAGCGGCTCTCGGCTGTCACGAATGCCTTCAAACATTCGTACTCGGCGTATGAGCGTGATGCCTGGGCCTGCGATAATTATCATCCCTTGCCGTCAAAGTCAAACGTAGGCGGACTTGGAGGCGGCAGCAATCTGACTTCGTCGGGTGGCATCGGCTAGTGAGCGCGATTTGTCATACGTGTTTGCCGGACTGACTGTCAATGCACAGCTTCATTCTGGACACACTTGACTTCCTGTACATGCTTGACCTGAAGCCAGAGATCGAACGCGCAAAGACGTGGCTGCGAGATTTGCACACATTCGATGTCGATGATCGCTTCCACGCTTTCGAGGTGACCATTCGATGTCTTGGCGGGCTTCTATCTGCATACCACCTCTCTGGTGGCGAGGCAATATACCTGGAAAAAGCAAAGGAGCTCGGTGATCGCTTATTGCCTGTCTTCGATACGGTATGAGCAAGTTCAAGCTCGCCCAATGGCTTCTCACATCGTCCTGCAGCCATCTGGCATTCCTGCGAGCTTTATCAACCTGAAGACTGGGCAAGCGATATATGACTTTGACAACTACAACATGTCCTCCCTTGCAGAGGCAGGGTCAGCGCATTGCCTTACGCGCTGAAAATCACTCATAAGATCGCAGGACTTTGCAGCTCGAGTTTCGATATCTCTCGGAATTGACAGAAGATCCCATCTATTGGGAAAAAGCTGAAAGGGTGCGTTCACGTCATGTACGCATACTCAGACTGACGACGGGGTGCAGGCAACCAGCCAGATCGCAAAGCAGGCTGCGGACATGGACATGGGCCTGCCCTTTTATCTGGAGTATGTCGCCGTTACGACGCTCAAAGCTGTCGAGCTAACGCGTCGATCAGTCCCAATACTGGAGAATTCAGAGCACGTCGCTCCGGTCTAAAGCTTTCGTCAGCTGACAGCAGACGCAGATTTCTGATATACGTCTCGGCTCGCGGTCAGACTCGTACTACGAATATCTGCTTAAGCTCTACCTACAATCGGATCGCACAGACGAGCGCTATCGAAAATACTGGGATCACTCGCTCGAGGTCATAGCAAAGACACTGATCAATATCACGCCGCGGCACAAGCTGCTCTATACCCAAGAGCTGATACCGCAACGTGACCTCAAATCAGGTGGCATGTAAGCTGTTGCAAACTGGTACCGCACTGTGCTGAGCAGCATTGACAGCAACCTTGCAACGTCACCCAAGCAGGATCATCTCGTTGCATTCCTCCCAGGCTTGATCATGCTCGGCGTCACCGAAGGACAGCCAGACGCCATCCCAGCCGATACTGGCTCGTTCGATGAGAAACAAGAAGTCAGCTGGCAAATCGGTGCGCTGCTCCTGACCCTCGCCGGCATTGCTGACATATCGAGCAGGCACGAACCTGTTGCAGACTTTCGCGACAACGTACTTTCAGAGCAGAACAGGACTGAGCCCCGAAATTGCGTTCTTCTATACAAAGGAGGAGATCGAGCAGAAGAAGGACCGTCGCGATTGGTACATCGCGAAGCGTCAACCGTCAGTATCATCAGCCGCTGATTTTAGGCCGGGCTGACATTTGCATCTAGCGCGAGGCCCGGCTTCACGCCTGATCCACCTGGAGATGCGAAAAACATGCTGAGGCGAGTACTGCTCTCTCATGGTTGCGACAGCTGCTCAGACAAGTCAAGAACAGGCCAGAGACAGTCGAGTCGCTGTTCCTTGCATACCGACAGACGGGCGATCCAAAGTATCGAGAATGGGGCTGGAAGATCTTTGAGGCATTCGAGAGGCATGCAAAGATCAAGACGGGCGGCTATGCGACAGTACGTGACGTGGACGAGCTGCCGGTGCAACACGAGAACCGAATGGAGACTTTCTGGCTCAGCGAGACGCTCAAGTATCTCTATCTGCTCTTCGCGGACGCGAGTGTTTTGCCGCTCAACGAGAACGTCTTCAACACAGAGGTATTTTATCCCATGACGAGCTCGATGTTGACTCATTCATGTGTATGCAGGCGCATGTCTTGCCAGTCTTCACACCAAAGGTCACAAACTTCCACGAGGTGGACGACGCGTTCGTACTGTGATCTGTTCAGATATGTACTGTTGCAAGGGCCACGTCGCACCCTCGACTTCGGAGATCGTGTGCTTGGCGCTCCGTGGTATGCGCCTGCCACTGCGTGCTCGTCGCGCTGAAGCAAGTAGCTAAGAAGCAAGCACAATGATGGTCTGAGCATATTTGGATTCGCTGCATGATCAGCTTGACTGTTCCATTCTTCAGACTCAGAAACGTGAAAGACTCGCTTACCGACTCATCCCCAAATCTCTTCTCACTCCTCAATATTCTGGCAGCCCCATCTGATACGTCTGCCCATACTACTTGCAATGGGTCTTTTTATCGTCAAGTCCTCGGCTGAGTACCCCCGATGGCCGCAAGAGTACGAAATACGAGTTGACGCCTCGGCAGGTCAGATGGCCAAACCCACGATGAGACTCCGAAAGATCAGCTTCGTCACAGGGCCGAGGTTAAACTAGCGAGGCCGTTGATGTGGCTCACGAATGAGTAATCATGCGGCTGACGGCATTGCCCGCGAGACGCCAAGAATTCTCCGTGAAGATGATGGAGACGTCAGAGAATGGCGCGGTCATACAGGGCCGCTTGACGGTCGAGCCATCGCCGGATGAGCCAATGCGGGGCAGGCGCTGTAAGGCCGACCTCGTCCTCACGCTCTGTGTCAATGCTGCGCAGGCGAGACATTTCTACTATGGAGGACTCCTTGTTGCGTCGCTTCGAAGCATTGCATATCAGGAAGAGAGATGCGAAGGGACAGCTTTGTATGGGATTAAGATTAAGTTGGTGGCTCAACACTGCGAAGCATGATGGTATGATCCTCGGAAATTTGAGGGTTGCCTGTTCGCTTGAGGACGATCGCAGGTCGCAATACTTCGAAAATCCGAAAGACGCGACGAGTTGGACGAAGCCAAGACGAGCAATGGACAGGCACCTGTCGATCATGACCAGTCTAACATAGCGCAGCAGCTGCAGCGACGTCGATCAAGATGCCGATGATGTTCCAGCAGAGCCTGGCCGGTCCGTCGAGCTGATCTGACCATGTCTGGGCTGACACAAGTCTCGGTGACGGACAGGCTTGGTCAAGGCATTGAGAGCGACCAAGGGCACAAGAGGCAAAGACGAACAGGCCGTCATCGATGCGGCTCTCGACGAGATCAGGATCGAAGTCAAGAATGCAGACCAGGAGATCAAGGCAGCCGCAATCCTCAAGCTCACATTTGTGCGCATCAGCTTACCAGCAACTGAGAGGAATGCTGACACAAGCACGAACGTAGTTGGACATGCTCGGACACTCTCACTTGACTCAGTATGCGTTTCCAGTGATCGAGTGCATGTCGTCTACGCGCTACGACATCAAGCAGGTCGGCTACTTTGCAGCTAGTCAGACGTTTGCAGAGTCCACAGAGGTCATCTTGCTCGCCAACAATCTCATCAAGAAGGTGCGCAGCCTCCAGTCTCCCAGCCTGAAAAACGACTGACAACCAAAGGACAGGATCTGACAACCCCAGCAGCGGGTCCAGCAGCACTCTTTGCTACCCTTGCCCATTTGCCGCCCTTGATGATCGCCTCTACGCAGCTCTCTGACGATCTGCAACCTGATCTGCACCAGCATCTCTCTCATTCGCGGCCCATCATACGCCGGATGGTCATCCTCATTTTGGGACAGGTCTGGCGAAACCAGACGCGTCTTGCACTTGCACAGGCAACTGATCCCGCCGAGCAAGCCCGCATACGACAAGGGAATGACCGGGAGATCCTGCATCGTATCGAGAAGCTGCGCGAGAGATTGTCAGACGACGATCCCGGCGTCGTCTCGGCTGCAGTCAACATCATCCTCGAACTCGCCCGGATCACGCCAGATCCTTACCTCGTTCTCGCGCCAGAGTTGTTCGACCTACTGAGCACGAGCAGCAATAATTGGATGCTGATCAAGATCGTTAAGCTTTTCGCACTACTGACGCCGAGAGAACCGAGGTTGGTCAGGAAGCTTCTGCCGCCTCTGACGGGCCTCATCGGCTCCACGCCTGCAATGTCACTGCTCTACGAGTGCATACATACCGTCATCGTGGGTGGCATGCTCGACGCTAGTCAAGGTGGCGACCGCCTCGCGCGGACATGCGTGAGCAAGCTGGCCGGCTTCCTCGAGGAAAATGATCAAAACTTGCGTTACATTGCCATGCTTGGCCTTTCCAAGATACTGCCGACTCATCCTCATCTCGTCGCATCGTGCCAGAAGACGGTCATGCAGTGTATCGACGAGCCAGATGCGAGCATTCGACTGCGCGCTCTTGATTTGATACAAGGCATGGCGGACGCCGACAATTTGCACAGCATCGTCGAGCATCTGCTGTCGCATCTGGGAACGTCAGATTCAGATCGTCAACCGAGTGCTGGCTCAGCACTCCGGGCACTCGCTGGCAGTACATCCGCCAATTCCGTCACGAGCACATCAAGTGTTCAGGCAACCCTGCACGTCTCTGTGCCTTTCAAGCTCTCACTCATCGGCGCGATCTTGACCATCACTTCACAGCAGACCTATGCGCTCATCAAGGACTTTGCTTGGTACATTGATCAGCTCATTGCTCTCACGTACATCTATCTCCCGATCGCTACTCCCACTGCAGAAGGCACGGGCAAGCGGATTCGTGATCATTTTGTGGACGTCGTGGCCCGAGTCAAGGCTGTGCGGCCATATGCCGTTCGCGTGCTAACTCGCTTACTCGCGGACGATTGCTTTGTCGAGAACGCTTCACTCGCAACTTCGGGCGATGTAGCCGAGATTTTAGCGGGAGCGGCCTTCATCTGCGGAGAATACGCAGCAGAACCAACTGATCTAGCGAGGACTCTTGAAGCGCTTCTCGCCACCAGTGCCGAGCAGCTACCGCCTCATGTTGCATCAGTCTATGTCCATAATGCTGCCAAAACGTTCGCAAGATGGGCTCCTCAATCTGTCTCGTCTTGGTCAGAAGACGTAGAAGGCTTGCAAAAGCTGCGCGCGCTTTCCCAGGCACTTTCGGCGAGCCTCTCACGTTTCGTTGCTTCACAAGATCTCGAGCTTAGGGAACGGGTACGTGCGGTAGGCTCCTCGTGGCCATCTGCTGAGGCTGCGGACATGTTGCACAGTCACTGCAGCTTTCTGCGCTACTGCAATACGTCGAGCCAACGCTGGAAGCGACGGTAGGTGATGAAAGCAAAGTACGGTCTGCAGCCGAGACAGCTCTTCGAGTGCTCCACCTCCTCTTCTCTTCGTACGAAATGAACCCAGTGGCTGTCAAGGCTCAGAGCGCTGTACCTGTTCCGGACGAGCTCGATCTCGAGGTCCAGCTCATACCTGGCTACGATCAACATGTCGCCTCAATCACGGCGCAAGAGATCGATGTGGACGACTATGGCCGGCCAAAGCAACAACACAAGGCAAACGATGTTGCACAGGCAGAAACCAAGCCGAAGAAGACGCGACGACCGAAGGCGGAGACCGAGGAACCCAGCGAAAAGGCATGTAGCTTCAGATCCCGGGGAGTCATCGCTCATACTCGGCCTCGAGCCATGCAGAAGAAAAGCAAAAGTCGCAAACACAAGACTAAGAACGGGAAAGTAGATGACGCAGAGATTGATGCCATACCTATCGTCAAGCTTGACCTGGACGGCTTAGCCGTCAGGTCGCCCGCTCAGCCTGTGATCCGCATACCCGCAGCCGTCATTGATGCAGATGGGGAAATGCCGACGGTCAAGCCATCGGATCGGCAGCGGTCTCCTTCGCTGTCACCCATTCCAGCTGTAACACCACCTGCAGAGACGACCGAGAAGGAGCCGCTTCTCACTGTGGACGAGCCGATACCTGCTATCAAAGTAGTCAAGAAGAAGAAAAAGAAAGCTGTTGCATGAGCATCGTGTTGTATTCAAGGGACAACAGCAGTCTCTTTCCATTCGCCGTGTGATTTCTTCCATACGTAGCGCTCGTTCGGCTCAACCTTGAGCTTGCACCTGTCCCAATGCGTCAGGAGCGATACTCGGACAATGCAGAGTGGCTGACATATCCACTTCGTAAGGCTCAATCACAATCAAAGCAAATGTCTCGAGCGCCTTTTTGACTAGTTCCGGCTCTTCATCGTAGTCGACGGTGGTTGGGAAATCCTTTGGATCGATCTTGCCATCCAGAGGCGTACCGGGTGTCGGTCGAATGAAACTCGCTTTTAGTCTGTGAGCCGAAAAGATGCGGTATGAGCATCTTGACAGTACCATACCGGCCATGACGCACGGAGGGGAAAGCTTGCGGTAGATGCGTTGTCGCTCCGATTCCCAATCGAAGTTCTCTGCTTTTAGTGAGCCTGCGGAGGATGGCGCGAGCTGGGCCGCAGGAAATCCTTTGTGTGCGTTTGCATGTCCTGGCGGTGACACGATGTAGGCTCGGCCCTGGATCCTGAACTGCTCGCCAGTCGGCTCGAACCTGCCGGGAGAAGGATTAAAGGGACTGTATAGGTTGGCGGATTGATGTGACTGACCACCAGGCGATCTCGACGGGACATCCGTCCTTATGCGCTGTGATCTGCTGCGATTTTGGCGCGCGAACATCCGTTGTGGTCAGCATAGCATCGCCTGTCCATCCCTCGTCGCCTTCGAGCTCGTCGCCCGCGCTGTTCTTCGACCATGAACGCTCTTCTTTCGGCCGACGCTCGTTCACAAAGCCTGTTCTGGAGGATCAGGTCGTCGGTCCTCGTGTGCATGCTGGACGTGCCTCGATGAACGACAAAGCGAGAGCGTGGACGGCCTGCAGAGAATGACGACTCCAACGTATCGACGGTCGAGAAGCAGTAGGAGATCGAGTCTTTGTTCTGCTTCATGTTCTCGTTGACGGCTTCGTTGAGAAGCTTGCGCCATCTGCAAGGCGTCGGTGTTGACATTGTGGCTGCTTGACGGACGTGTTGCGCGACCGCAGTGAGGCGCTTGGATGCCACGATGTCGTCGCTTGAGCCTCTTTTGACTTTGGCTGATGACGCGATGACGCAGTGCACGGTCGCGCTCAAAGTTCAAAATCATTTTACGCCCATGCGCAGGTGCAACAGAGAGCGAAAGCCCAAAGCTCGAAGTTCAACGATTGACCGCAGCATGGCAAGAAGGACGGCAAGTGACGTCGAAGCATTGCTCAAAGATGACAACAAAGTCAAAGTGGCAGGTAAGGCGCCAAATTGAACGTCTGGTGCTCTAGCTGAAGCAAAAACAGGCGTGGACGCAGATGGAGTGCTACGAGGCAAGATAATGTCAAAGTCCAAGTTTCTGTCGTGCATCCGCAGCGATAGCCAGGGCTTCGGCTTCTGTGGCGTCATCTTCGGCTGGGACATCTCAGACACGGTCTATACACGCGAGCTGGGCATCTCCAACTCGGCAAACGGCTATCGCGACCTGACTGCTCGCATTGACTTTGACTCTTATCGTCGGATACCCTTTGAGAACAATATTGCGCTGTTCCTCGTGACATTCATGGATCCAGAAGAAGGTCACCTCGGCAAGTCATTGTGCGCTTGCCCACGCGGTCTGCTCCAACGAATAACCGCTCAATATCGAGATGAACTCGGCTATGAAGCTTTATGCGGCGCCGAGTACGAATATTTCCGTACGTCGCTCGATTTTGCATTGATTATGCTGGATGCTGATCAGTCACGCAGAGTTCAAGGGCGCGTCGAGCCTGACACCTACGCTTGTCATCATGGCTGATCAAGTGACTTTATAGAATCGGCCCAATCCGTCGTGGACAAAGGGTTCTCGAACCTGACAGTGCTCACGCCAGGCATGCACGGCTATAGTATGCTACGCACCAGTCTCAATAGCGAGTACTTTCACGATCTGTACGAAGAGGTGCGTGAGGCCATATAGCTTACACGCGAGCATCACTCTTATGTATCGCAGAGCGCCGCCTTTGGTATAGAGATAGAGGGACATCACACCGAGACGGGACCGGGAGTGTACGAGACTGCACTCGCATATACCAACGCCGAAAGAATGGCCGACAACGCAGCACTGTTCAAGCTGACCGCCAAAACAGGTGGGCTACTTTTGTTTTGACGACGGTTACAACTTACCTTGTATCCAGTCGGAATGAAGTATGGCATTATACCCAGTTTTATGGCCAAACCGCACAATGGCCTTCCGGGGTGCAGCGGCGAGTCATTCGCTCTGCTCTTGCGACCAAGCTCATCGCTTGGCAGGGCATGTACACTTTTCTCTCAAGTCGCAAGACGGCAAAAATGTCTTCGCAGTGGATGTAGGACGACTGATTCGACTTTTGACTACGCTGACGATGGGATAGGAACCTCGGCTCGATGCAAAGTGGCCCGATCTCAAGCACGTCTCACGAACGATGGAGCACTTTATCGCTGGCATCCTCCAAGGACTACCAGACGTCATGCCTTGTCTTGTGCCCACCATCAACGGGTACAAGCGACTCGTAGAGAATTACTGGGCGCCTGTCAATGGTATGTGCATCTCTAGCCAAGTCATCATCCTTTGACCCGCTGGCAGTCTCTTGGGGTCTAGAGAGCAGGTTAGCGAGCATACGAATTATATCACCACCTTTGGCCAGTGCAAGTGCTACTCGCGTCGAAGTACGCGTACCAGGAGCAGACGTAAGTCCAGTCTAGTTTGAGGCAAGTCCTCGCTGAAACGGCACAGATGAACCCCTACTACACCTTTTCAGCGATCCTCGCATTAGGGCTGTATGGAATCAAGAACCAGCTTGAGCTAGACATCCCCCCGATCACTGCTGGCGCGGACGTAGCCAAGGGCAAGCGTCAGGTCCAGTAGCTTGAAGATAGAGCTAACGTGCCGGTGGCTCATCAGCAAGCAAACGCCTCGCAAAGACATTGAAGGAGGCCACAGATCAGATGAGTAGCCCGGAAAGCTTGGCTCGCAAGACGCTGGGTGACGACTTTGTAGATCATTATGCTGGCACAAGAGTGAGTTCTCGCGCGATCGATCAAGCTCATGCTGATCTCGATGCAGGAACACGAATGGCAAGTCTACAGCCAGACCGTCACCTCATGGGACCTGGAGAGGCAAGCCTCTGAGCTTGCGCGAGCTCACTGTACTGACATCCTTAACAGATATCTCGAACTAGCTTAATACAGCGAGTGCTTGAATTTGTCAACAATAACGCGCCTACAGCGTCTGTTCTCACAGAAAAATACTTGGTTTCTTTCGTCATGATTTGAGGATGCTTTTGGTCTCGTTCAGGATCGGCTGCAAGTGGTCAGGAAAGAGGCGGCCAGCTGCCTCGACTTGCGTCCGCGCGTAAATGATGTATGCCAGATACGTCGACAGCTGTTGAAGCATAAACGTTATTTCGGATGTTAGTTTGGCTCCTTGGTGGCTGAGATCGCCGACTAGATTACGACCGTCTATAGAGGTGATGCTGAACTTGAGCAAGTCGACACGATACTGCAGTAGCCGCGTCTGCGGGAGGACTGGCTCGAGGGCCTTTGCAGCGGACTCGATCCGGTGAAAGCACTGCGGGAGCACCTCTCGCAAGCTCTCTGAAGATTCACGCATCCACTCGATAAGTTCCGCGTCAGCCGGCGCGTCGAATAACGGTCTCGTAGCAGCGAGATAACTTCGTATGACTGTCGCATTCGAGTGTACGCTATTGAAAGCGCCTGTCATGGCAAAGCCCGCTTTTTGAAGAGGTCCCGTGAAGCTGTCGAGTATGTGAGCGAGATCGGATGTTGCCTCTTCTTCCGCAAGTGGACTCACGAAAGTGGCCAAGCTGGAACAAAGTCAGCGGGGTGGAAAAGAACACAGAGACTAGACTGACCTCGAGGCGATCTTCGAGAGCGTCGGTCCCACGCTGAGGTGTTCGTGCGCTTGGTCAGTGACACGCATGATGGTGTCGAGGTGCCGTTGCAGCATTGCCTCCAGTTCTTGCCTTGACAGCTTTCTCGGCTTCGGCCGAGCCATCATACGATCTTTGAGAGCATCCAGCCAATTTCTGCGCAGATCCTGATATGGCTTCATGCCGGTCTCTGGCAAGATGCGAGCAGCGCGCTCCCTGGCGTCATTGATTCGAGACGCAGAGCTTGCATACAAGTCAGTCGCCAGGCCCGAAGAGGTATCGAATAGCGTCTTGACCCTCCGAGACGAGCTCGACAGGGCTTCTTTGGCAAGAGCAGACGAAGACGAGTAGGCTTCCCTGACCAAAGGCGACTGCGCCAACGTCAAAAGGTCCGCTCGGCCGGCGCGCTCCAAATTTGGCTGGTTGTGTGCGAGCCATGCGACTGCAAAGAGGAGCGCACCAAAGCCAAGGACGCGCTTGACGCTGAAAGAGAGCCGCGGCAGCGAGACTGGGCCTGACCTGCGCGTTCGAGCAGGCAATCTTGCCGAACGACGAAAATGCGCAATTCTCTGGCCTGAGTCGAACTCGATAGAAGTCTGTTCATACGTGCCTGGTCCGACCCTGGGCTGTAGTCTGACGAAGTCGTCATAGGGGAGCCAAGCCTCGTCAGACATTGCTGCGCCAGACAGCGCGCGAAGTGTGACGCCGAATGACACGTCAACCCCGTCAAGCATCACCCAAACATTTGACGTGCTATCAGTTGTTGCTGCTTTCAAAAATCATTTGACGCGTACAGGATGACGCGCCTTTTCGAAATTGCCATGCGCGGCGAAGCGGTGGCTCATCAGATGCTCTCCTGTTCCGGCCAGTATGCACACGCGGCCAGCTCAGGATCCATCAAGTCAGATGCCGAAGCAGGGCATGATCAGATGGCCAGCCTCTTGGGCTACGCTCTGTGGGGTCGTCATGATTGCGCTGGATGGCGTGGCTCGAGCTCGGCTCAGCAATTGAGCTGCTAAGGCCTCGCGAAGGAAAGTCTCGCTAGTCATATCGTTCAATATCGCTTGTCGACCCAGATCGTTGGGCTTGTACAGATCGCTCCTGGCAGTCTTAAGCAGCGACAGGGGGAATATGCCAGCATCCTAGACGATACACGGCACATAACTCACTCACTCACTCACTAACTCGCTCGACATTGCTGGCGACACCCACAGAGCTCGACTAGGAGCACCTTCTGACGATCCTACTTCTCCGACAGCATAGCCAGACCAAGACAAACAGCGACGACATGGGCAGAAAGGGCAGGACAAGTCTCGTTCTGGCAGCCGCTACTCTCCTCGCATCCTCAACTTCAAGTGTAGAAGCCGTCGCAGCACCTGATCTATCGTCATCGACGACCACAAGGAGCAACCACCTCGTCGAAAGAGCCTCAGTCTTGTCAGTCTACTGCGCCGGCACGTCACTGTTCACGCCTTGCCCTGCGCCAACGAATGGCGTCGCCTACTGCACACTGGCACTCAAGTGCGCCTTCAGCTGTAACACCGGATATACGGTCTCTGGATCCTCCTGCGTCCTCGCTGCCTCGAGTAAGGCGAAAGCTCGCAAGAAACGTGATCTAGCAAAGGAGACACTCTGCCCTACAGGCGAAAGGCAAGTCGAACACTGGTGCTGTGCCAGGTACATCGCTGATAGATTGACAAATCAGTGCATGTCCGATCGCAGGCTCACATACATACCAATTCGCTTCAGTATTCTTAGACAAGCTCGATTCGACCTCCGCCATGAGTATAGGCGACGGACTCGCATGGGAGTGTATCGATCCCACTTCTCAGATCGATTCGTGCGGCGGGTGCGCAGCGAGGGGCGAAGGCACAGACTGCACGAGCATACCTCACAGCAGAGGTGTCGGATGCCATAAAGGCACATGCACCGTCTTTAGCTGCGTAGACGGCTTCTCGCCCTCTGCCAATGCCACCGCTTGTCAGCCCATCCATCTCTTCAACAGTCAAGGCATACATGCACATCCACATGCGAGCGGCCATGGACACAACCATAGCAACACGCACCGGCGGCGATCTGCGCACGCACACGCGCACAGCGGAGGACATCGACAACTGGCGCAAGCGTATCATGTACAAACATCGAGATCATCTGGGCATCACTCGCATCACGCCCGCGGACATTCTCGATAGCCTTCATTAGTCACTATAGACGTTGTCATTGCCTTCATTGCACCTCACGCCATTCGATGTAGGCTTGCGCCTCAGATCTTTCATGACTCGTTAGATTAGTACATTGTGTATGGATACAGGTCACTCTGCTTCACTCTTGCGACTGTGGCAGCAGGTCTATCGTCTTCTGTCCAGGTCTTTGGCTAGATTTCACCGCGTTCTCGAACGAGTCCATGATTTGATGAAGGCCTGCCACTTCGTCTGCAGGCAGGAGCGCGTGATCGGCAAGATGTGTTTCGATCAGGTTGTCCTGTACTAGAACGTGAGCCCAGTCCATCGAGCTTTCGCGTAACGACTGGCCTTGAACGCGGCAACATTGACCGCATAACCATGAAGATCGTCACGAGCGCGCATGAGCTTCAGGTGTGCTGCTCGGACTGTCAAAATTGACGTCTGCGTAAGCTGCATGTCGCGGTTGAGTTGCTTCGCCTTGTAGGTGTCATATTCGACCACCCTGCGCCAAAGTGGGCGATCCTCAATCTCTTTGGACAGCATGCGATCGCCTCGATAAAGGTAGCCTTTGACCGTTTGCGCAACGTCGGAAGCTTCATCGATGATGGGGATGGCCGAATCTATTTGGTTGACGATGCTTCCGGTTGTGTAAGAAATTCGATCGAAAAGTGAATCGAGCTGCTTCGTCATGTCGTCTACCGTGTAAGCACTACCAGACTCGATCCCTTTGATCGTACTCTCGATACGCCTGAATTCGTAGACAATGGTTCCAAAGTCTGTCAGAGCTTTGGCTTGTATGATGGTCAGGCTCGTCTTTATATCACGCATCAAATTTCCGAGCTGCAGCAAGCATAGCGAAATCTCATCGCTATCCGGTAGGTATACCGCTGCAGTGATAGCGGCACCCAATTCCCACAAGCTTCCCGGTGTGTGAGCATAGCGGGTACACATGTGCTTGGAAACATACGAAGCATAATGTAGCTCATTCGAGCTGACGAGCGCATCGGCGACGGTATTGAATGTGTCGCGAGCGGCGCGCGCTTGTCCTGATATGCGGTGTGTCATGATGCCTAGGCCTTTGCGACCGGATGATCGCGAGCACCTCTGCCCAGTGGTGTAGCATGCGACGCTATCGATAGTCGATCTGACCACTGAGCCCTCCAAGAGCGTGATATTGCCATTTCGCAATCGCACGCGGTGCTGCTGGCCCATAGCCAGGAGCATGGATGACGTGGTAGCGACTGCGCCGGAGATGGACGACAGCGTGACGAGTGGGTGCGTGGCTCCGCTGCTGACCAGCGAGAGGGCTCGCATGGGCGCCGTGCTGAGGAAGACTGATAATGCTGAACGTAGGATGAATATGTATCCCGCTGCTAATATGACCAGACCGAGCAAGACCATAGCAAGTGTCGACTGTAGGGGCGAGAGCAGGAGCAAGATGATGCGTCCTATAAATGAACCTGCCACCTCAAAGGGAAATGCAGCTGCTTTCCCGAGCGTATCGGCTAGATGAGACTGAGTGGACGAATGTCGAGAGCGTTTCGAACGAGGCGAGCTGCCCGGTGTCGGCATTACGACTGGTATGACAGGATCATGAGACTCTCCGCTCTGGCTCGAGATGCTCTGAGCTTCAGAATGAATAGATGGTAAATTGGTTCGGCCAAGGATAGAGCGTCTCTTGTGTGGGCGTGCCGTCATCATACTGACCCGACCATTACCCGAGGAGCTCGACTTTACACTTTTGCGCGTACGTTGACGAGCCTGCTCGCGGTATTCGGGTCGGATGAGAGACTCGGAGACATCAGAGAAGACACTGCGTGCGTCTGGAAAGCGATCCCGGTCGTCTCCCGCGCGAGGCGGCGAACGAATCACACTCGCCTGAGCTGAAGAATCTGCAAATGCTTGGACATAGCCGATGATGGGATTTGACAAGTCCGTACCGTCGTCAGCCTCGAGCTTTGAACGCAAAGAGGCGAGCAAAGATAGGTCGGCCAGATTAGCGGGAGCTTTTGGCTCGGGGACATGGGCAACAGAGACGTCAGGTGACATGACGAATTGTCTGCCGATCTCGTCTTGTCTGAACATGGCAAGAGCCTGGGCAAGATTGCGCGAGACCGCATCTCGATCGGGCTGTCGTGCTGTCAAGACCGACTCGAGCGCTTGTTTGCGTTCGTGCAGAGTCTTTGGCTGGTGCGTAGCCAATAGCGACGTCGGCGCAGACGGACTCGTGCCTTCAGCTGGAGGCACAGAAGTATGAGCAGGCGTCACAACAGGGACGGGTTGGATCTCTGCCGGGCCCGAGAGGTTTGACAGTTCGAGCGATTGTACCAAACGATCGTGTAGCTCCTCACTGGTCTCCTCTCCGCCGCTCAGAGCATCAATACCACCGGCGCTGGGACCCGGCGAGAAACTGTTGAGTGAGGCCGAGTCGTACGACACGCCATCAAAGTGGGCGTCCGTGTCATCGCTACAGAGTGAGCCTGTCTGGTTTGCTGTGCGCATAGGCGGTGTATGCATAAGCGAATCGTCAGAATTGTGCGGTCGGTGGATTGGTAGAGAGGCATGGTCTGAGTCGCCTGCGCCGGCTGCCGAACTAGAGGATGGCGTTGGTGCAAGTGCGCCAGGCATATCGTGACTGTCGAGTGCGAGCGCCTCTTGCAATCTCTGAGCAAGATCAGGGCTGTCCTCGTGCGCACTGTCTGACATGACGAATACTGACGCCGAACGAGTGTAAGGAGCGGCAAATGAGCCTGCTGGAGTGAAGCGAGATTTAGATTGACTGGTCGCACTCGTCCCCTGGGCGGGCAGGCTTGGTATGATGAGTGGTGGAGCCCTGGAGGGTGTCTTTGATCCCTTGTGAGGCCTGGGCGCCGGTGTGAGTATCTACTGACCTAGACCAAGTCAGCAAATTGGCCGCATTGTCGAGTTCGCATGTGCATACATTCGAGGGACGTGCCGACGTCTCTGAGCTCCGACGCTTGATCGTAGGCCCAGACTCGGTGCGAATGGGTCGAGTGAGACGTCTGCGATTGATTTCGGAGGGACGAGCGGGGGTATAGCTCTTGCTTGGCTGCCGGTCAACCCCTCTCGAGGGGCTGCTGAAGCTGTCCAAGTCGCGCGCGGTGACATCTTTTCGACTGTCTGGATGCATGCTGGCAGCCTCCCGTGCGCTCATACGGCCTCAGATCCTTGCCCTGACAACTTCGGTAGTATCGTGTTCATCTCAGCTCGACAGACACACCTTGTCCAGCCCGGTAGGCGCAAGAATGGCCAGTCATGTCTCGACGCATGAACCAAGGCGATCTGTCACTCCCGGCAGTCCACGCAGCGCCAAACGTATCAAACTGGACGCACGAGATGTCATCACATCGTCGGTCCCATCATCAGAAGCGTCGAGCATCAAGACGAGATCGACCTCAGCATCGTCTGTACCCTCTGATAGTGCGCGAGTCAACTATCGCAACGGACTCCATCTGGCGCCCATGGTACGATGTGGCACCCTGCCCACACGTCTACTAGCGCTTCACTACGGCGCCAACCTCGTCTGGGGTCCGGAGATCATCGACAGGGCGATGATGGGTAGCACGCGCACCGAAGTACCGCTGCCAGAGTCTGCACGAGCACATGGTGGCAAGCTGATCAAGTTTATGAAGAACGGTCGCTCGGTCTTTGAGACACACTCGATCGAGAAGTCAAGGTTGATCTACCAGATCGGCTCGTCGAATGCTCAGCAGGCTGTCCAAGCCGCACTGCTCGTACAGCAGGATGTCGCAGGCATTGATCTCAACTGCGGCTGCCCCAAGGTGCGATATATTGTGCGCAGTTACCATGTTTGCGCTTATCAAGTTCATAACAGGATTTCTCGACCAAAGGTGGCATGGGCGCGGCTTTGCTGTCGACGCCAGACTTGCTATGCTCGGTAAGCTTAGCCATCACGCAATAAGATTTGACGCCAAGTCCGCGTACAGATCCTTGAAGCGCTCGTGGAAGCAGTAGATGTTCCGGTATCGTGCAAGATCAGGCTTCTGCCCACACAAGAGGATACCCTTGCGCTTGTCGAGAAGATATCCAGGACGGGTATCGCTTGTCTGACAGTCCACTGCCGCACAAAGGACATGCGCGATCGTGAGCACGCCCTTCACGACCGTCTGCGCGATATTGTCGAGCTCGTCGAAGCAAGGGGGATTCCCGTCATTGCGAATGGAGACTGTTTCGGTGCGCACGATGTCGAGAAGATCAAGAGCATCACCGGTGTCTCTTCGATTATGATTGCTCGCGGAGCCGAAGCCAACCCGTCTTGCTTTCGCTCGTCAGGTCTCGCGGAACCCGTGTCTGAGATCATACCGCTGTATCTCAAGATTGCCCTTGCAGTCGACAATCACTTCAGCAACACAAAGTACTGTCTGCAATGTGGCTCGCTGGCCGACAAACACATGACGCCCGGTGGATCCAAGCCCACCACATCCAAACAACTATCTGCGCTCAAACAGTCTATGAGCTCGGCAAAGACGTATGCTGACTTTTGCAAGCTCTTTGATGTAGACGAAGCAGCCGCTCGATTGGAGACTGTGGAAGACATCCTGCCAGACCTGCTCGAACTCGAGGGGCGCAGGGCTCAGAGCGACGATCGCAAGGGCTTGCAGCAGATCGAGGCAATTCTCGATGAAAGCGCGACCGCTGCTTCAAGTGCTGAAGTTGCTGCCGCTTAGACTGGCTTGCTGTTGTGAACCATGCATGGCTTTATAGATCGTCCACGGATGACTTGACTTGCGCATACTCGACGTCCTATAGCCAGGCGTAAGCCCGGTGCGACACCTGAACGGGCGGTACATACGCCGAGAACCCAGGCAAGCACAGCCTGAGTTGCGACGGGTGCCGTGCCTCGGTAGAGCCCATCGATACGTTCGCACTGCAGACACAGCCTCGCTAAGGAGCTGATGCTCATGTTGGTGCTCATGCGGTTCTCTGTAGCTTGCACGCGATCCCTCAAGAAAGCAAGTGTCGTTCTGTGGGGCTCCGCGCCGGTCACGAGGGCCAGATCGGCCAAATGGGCTCTTAGCTCAGTCAATGATGGCGTGGGATAGAGTCTCGGTTGTGATCGTTGGTAGGCGAGAAGACAAAGACTGAGGTCGAGCGCATAAGCGCCATTCGTGTGTTGAGCCGTTCAAAACTCACTCGTTGATGGCTTGGGGCTGTATGAAGACGCGAATATCCCGCCGACGCTCAAAGTCGTGTTGGTCTTGCTTCTGCTGTAGCTGACGTACGAGTGCATACAAGTCTGCAAGCTGCAGTGACTCATCGAGACCATGGGCGTGCGCGATTTGTTGAGGCTCTTTGGATGGGTGCACTGACGCGGCGTGACGCTGTCGCTTCTGACTGAGCTCGTCTGGCTCCATGCCATCGTCGGGCTGCTGACGTCGGAGGCCCGATCGCTCATAGAGCGACATCATGGCTCAGAGCCAGCCTGGCGTCGAGACGAGTCAAGTCGAAAGAGCGCGCCTCGTTCGAAGTCGACGTGCCGTGGGGGTGCCGAATGACCGGCGAATCCTTGACTCTACAAGCACTACAAGTCCACGCTCGAGCCCTCAAGTCACAACGTTGATTCCGACGAAGTCCCACGTACAGCCAAAGATCAATTCTGCGCAATATCGACGAGATGCTCGACATCGCCAAGCTCGCCTTGCTCTGTCTTTCGTTTGCACCCCTTGCACTTTCTGTAGCACTGTCTTGGCCCTTGCCACTGGAAGAAGCAACGATGATCTATCGTCTTCAATTGCGCTACTACGCAGCCTGCCATCATCAAGTCAATTTTGCGGTGGCAGACGAAGAGCCTGCTCCTTGTACGGCTCACGCTTGCAGTCGTTGCATACCACGCTGAAGGAGCCATTTCAGCTGCGATCAGCTTCATTCTGGTTCGTATGAAGGGCTCAGCCGATATCATCACGACGTGGGCAAGCAAAAGAGCTTTCATTGCGTGTCGGAGTCCTCTCTGACTTTGAACGAGTGCAGACCCAGAAGAATGGGGTAGACGTGAGCAGATCGGATGAAGACCTACAGCAGAGAGAGATCAGACGTATCATCAGACTGACTATCGTTCGCGCTCCTACATCCGGTCCCGAATCGCTCAAACGATGTTGCAAGGTTACATTCCAATACAAGTGTGCCATCTTGCCTGCATCGACGCTCTTTCTGATCTGTACGTCAGCTTCGAAGCATGGGTCGTCCGACGTGAGCTCGGAATGGAATGGACGACTTTGCGATTGCTGACAGACTGCAGAGTACACGCTCCCGCGGTATCAGAGCGCTGTTCTGACTTGCTCAGTGAGCAACGAAGGCTGCACGCAAGCTATGCTCGATCCGTTCAAAGTCGTTCCAGACATGCCAACAGATTGTCCCTTCTTCACCATCGAGCGCAAAGACGTCAGTCCACCTCAATCCCACTTGCCAGTGCTCTGCAAGGGGTCCTCGTGCAATGCATGATCTGTGACTCTGCCAGGCCATACCAGCTGGTCTGCTTTGCAATACTTGCGGATGATACTGCATATCGCCTCAAAGTACGTGCACATCTGCCGCATGATAAGACAAGCATGCATGGAAAGTGATGACGATAGTGAGAGTGAGCCGCCACAGTGGGCTTTTCGTTGCGCTCAAGGCACGACGACGACATCGCCATTGCTGTCCTGAATTTCTTTGTTAGCCTAGTCGCAGCGAATTTGACGAGAAGCATACTTTGACGACGACGACATCGGTCGGAATCTCTTCTCCCGTGTCCATGAAGATGACGCTCGTCTGATCGAGCGGATCAGTCTTGACGCCTCTCTTCTCCATGAATGATCTGCACAGTCAGTCAGCCTGTGTCCCAAGATCGGTGAGCTGAGCGACTTGCCTCCCAAGAACAATAGGGAAATAGCTATTCTCGATGAGCATGACTTGCTGCTGGATGACTTTTGTGCCTACCTTGACAGGCCCTGTACCTACGATCAGCTCATGTGCCCAGTCGTTCATCAAAGGACTCACAGCTGCCAAGGTTAGTGATCCCGCTGAAGCCGTAGAAACCCGGCGCAGCATCTTTGGGAATGAAACCGTGTTGTTGAGCGAATTCGCGGGACATGTAGCAATTGCGATGTCCCGTCTTCATCATCATTCTCACATTCTCTACGGGTCCGATCGATCCGATGAACGTCCGCACGCCTCTGGAATTGTGAAAGGCCTCAAAGTCGCGCTTGTGCTGGGGAATGGGCTTGCCGTTCTTGTCCTTGTCGCCCAAGCCAGACTTGATGGCGAACGACTTGACACTGCGCGTCTTGGCGGTGCCGTTGAGAGAGGCTGCACCGTTCAGTGTCTCATTATCGCCCGATCCGTCCGGGTCCGCTCCCTCTGCGGAGGAAGCGATCAGGTGAATCGAGGTATCCTTGCTGGGCACGGTGTGGGGTGATCCCGAGTAGGAACGAGAAGAGATGGCGGAGGAGATCGAAGGCGCATAGCCAGAGTAAGCAGACTGGGCGTCGCCATCTGCTGACGAAGTGAGAGGACGGTGGCCGGGCAGGGGTGATCGGGTGGGCTGGGGTATGGCGTCGCCTGTCAAGAAAAGTGAAACTTCTTCGGGGGCTGTGGGCATGCCCGTTCGGAGCAAGAAGGTCTCATGGTCATCATCTGGAGCCGAACATCACCAGTGAGCTCGTGCCAACCTCACGGGACAACGAATGGCTGACCGTCGTCGAGCGTGTAGCGTACGCCGACCCATTCATACTTGACCTCCAAGGCTTCTGTCTCTGCTCTACCAGCTGGCGGTAGACTGATGGCCTTAGCCTACTTGAGCGCCAGACATAGCCCCGACGGACCAGGAAGTGAGAGCTTCTTGAGGATGCGGGCTTTGAGCGAGTGCAGCGATTCGCCGTCTCTCGGCTTGAGCACGAATGCGTTCAGGGCACCAGGCCTGATTGCTAAGAGGACCATGCTGTTGTCTGGACGACGACCAGCGGACGGATTAGCTAGCCAGGCTGGCTGGCTGGCTGGCGTGCCCAAAGCGGATAGCGCGCGTCTCCACACTGCGGGGATACTGTCGTCCGTGGCCTATTAATATTGACGCGTATCGTTCAAGAACTGATCATCGCTCACTTCCATCTTGACGCGAATATGGCTTCCTCTGGCGGGTCCGTGACGGAGGAAGAAGACGACGATGGTGCGCAGCTTGACTCCGAGAGTCAGTCAGACTCTCGACTGTATCTCACTGCCAATGACCGGAACTCTGCAGCGCAACATGATACTCCCCTGGCGACGAATAGCCAGTCTGCGAGCACTCGAATCAAGACAGAATCGCCCGATGTCCCTTCAGTAAACCCCGTCAGACAGAAGCTCGAGGAAGAAGATTCGGCGACTGAAGATGAAGCAGAGGAAGAGCCACAACCTGTCAAACTCGAAGAATCGCAGCGCAGTCCGTCGCAGCCAACTGCCCGTAACTCTCAGCCACTCCTCAGACCCGAAAGCCAGATAGTGAAATCTCTGCTCCCGGGAGGACAGGCGGGACAGTCGCCAACGCAGTTCAGAAAGCGCGAAAGGGCAAAACAGGAGCCTGATTGGGACAAGCTCGACGATCCTAACGACACGCCTGCAATCAGACGCCGCAAGACGCTCGAATGCATCCGCTGGAAACGCAACCAATTTGCTTCCTAGCCTCCGTTTACTCCCGCCACACTCCGAAAAGGATGCTCGCGACCGTAGAAGGAAAGCTCTGACGTGTCAGGCTACCACGTCGCCGGTTGCCATCATCTGGGAATCGCCGCCTGTTCTACAACAGCGAGAAAATGAAGTCCTTCGCATTGACGATCACTGCTCTTTGCGCGCTTTCATCGACTGTCGTCAATGCAGCAGCGCTCATGAAACGAACCTACCTCGAAAATAGCTCCTGCAAGATGCTTTGTACTGTGCCGAGCTCGCCAAACTTCCTCCTCACCTTCAACGCTCACTGGACCTCGGTCAACAACATTGCGCGCTTTACATACATCGATGGTACTGTCGCAAACTCATCTTGTGATCGCATTTTGACCCGGCAACAGGGTTCACTCCTGCGCCTGGCTCGTGGACGGGCGTGAATGGTCCCCTTCCTGGCGAAGCTGGCGTTTACTACACCAAAGTCAATGGTCAGTTGCCGCTCTACCGGCTTCAGTCCCGCTCATTTGGCTTACAGTGGGAGACGCAAACGGTCAATGGCAATTCACCTTTAGACTCGTCTACCGTCCTGCACACGACACTCTCCTGTTCGAGCTTATGTCAGACTCAAAAGTCGGACCGAATATGTGCGTTCTTGCCATGCTCAACTCCGCCTGGCTGACAGCAGCAACAGCGTGACCGATTGCGGTCTCGTTTGCAACAATATGGATATCAATAAGTACGTCGAGGGCGCAGCAGTGCCCTGAGCTGGACTCAATGCATGCTTATCTTACAACACATGACTACTCGCTGTCGCTGTCCACTATCTTCTGAGGCTTGCGCCTCATTGCTGGACGCTGTGGTGAAAGCGAGAGAGCGCGAGCAGACGATGGCATGCCATCTTCAGCATCGCTGCCGCTGCTTCCCACAGATCGCTTGCGACGCTTGCTGAGTTTGCGGATAGCCGGTGAGCTGCTTCTGCGCACGTCCTTTGATCTGACTGTAATCGGCGCAGATGGCTCAGGTGAGGACGGATGAGAGAGCGGCAGACTCGATGGCGGCGTCGAGCTGCTCGGATCAGTGTGCTTTGATGCAACGGGCGATTGACTGCTTTCGCTTCGATCGGTCAGCGCTACAGGCGCAGGCATAGGCTCGGCCGGCGGCTTGACGACTTTGAGCTGCTGTGACATCTGAGATATTGGCTGGACAGATCCACCCACGATACCGCCAGCGTCGCGCTTTCGCTTTGCCTCCGCTTCTTTGGCAAAGAAGTCGGCATATTGATCGAGTCCTTCTTCCTCGTCGCTCGAGGCAATAAATTGAGTTGATAAGTAAGCTTGGCGTTGCTCGTCTTGCTTCCGGGTGCGCTTGCGTGATGGTACTGGCTCCTCTTCGGACAGCTCAAGTCCGTCTGACCCGACACGAGCTCGTTTGGGCCGCTTTTTGGCTTGTTTTCGGACCAGCTCAGCTGCTGATTGGCCAGTGTTGGCATCGAGAGGATTGATGAGAAAGTCATCAATCATCCGCAGATCGGCTTCCATCTCCTTTGGCAATCGCCTGGCGGGCACCGTCCAGATGACAAACTTGTTGTGCTCGGGGATGCGAGATTCCCAAGAAATGAGTCTGAGCAACAACTGGAGTTGAGGATCTTTAGTTGCTGCCTTTTCTGTGTCGGCATCATCATATGGCACGTCATACGCCTGGAACGCCGCGAGAGCAGCTTCTGAGGGCTTGCTGGCGAGCTCATGACGTCGTTTCAGTTCCGCATCGTCAATATCTTCGGTGAGATCCATCTGCGTCTCTGGCGGCCCGTCGATCTCCTCGACAACCTCTTTGCGCGCTCTGAGGACAGTCCGTAATGTCTGCTTGATGTGTCAGACGTGATCGTGCTGCCGCAGACAAAGCTTACATCTTTGACCCAATCGAGCAGATACTCCTTATAAGCGTCGGCTAGCAGACTGATCGCGATACCCATCTGCTGAGTCTGGGTAAAGCCACGCTTGACGACCAGCTCTGCGGGCATCTTGAGCGCGCGAGTGGCAACCTCGTCGTCCGAATTGTCTTCATCCTCCTGAGCAAAGCCAGACTGCAAGCGCTTAACATCGCTCTTGCGATGGGGAAACAGCGCCTCGACGATAACCAGTGGAGCTTGCTGCGCTGCCTTGAAGAATCCGCGCAGCACAAATTCCACGAATTTGTAGAGATCGTTATATGAACGTGTACTTGGTAGGAGCTGTCGGTCGCTATGTATCTCTCCAAAGAGTGTAAGGGTGGAGATCTTCCAGAAGAGCGCAGCATTGTTGGCTTTTACTGCTTGCCGATGCATGAGGCCGACGATCCGCTTCATCTGCTCGTCGGATCTGAAGGTCTTGTAGCCTCGCAAGTAAGCTACACAGGTGTTCAAGGTCGCTTCCGTTGCAAAGCGGGCCTCGAATTGGGCAAAGTTGAAGGCATGCTCTGATTTCGATCTCGCGCCAGAATCGGGCCGCGAGTCTTCATCGTGACCGTCATCGGCAGCTTCACCAGCGGCACGTTTCTTCCTCTGAGCAATCTTCTTGCGTTTGCTGCGCACATACATGTGGGCAGTCGACTTGGAGTAGCGTTCGAGCGTACGCAGCATGGTGTACGCGAAGTGAATGACAGATTCGAGGTATTGAAGCGTATTGCGCTTGCCATATCGATCTACGACTGTGATAGCAGTCGCTAGAATCTCTTCCTCGTAATAGATCTTATCTTGCATGACTTGCGCCACATCACGGTGGTCTTCGTTCGACGAGGCGCTCAGCGACTCGAGCAGAAGCAGGATCTGAGTAAAGAGCTCGACTGCTCCTTGGACCTCGCTGTGTCTCACTGGCTTGTCGTCAAGACCTATCCGCATCCGCTTTGTAACAAGATTGACAGTGTCAATCTCTGTCATATCTGCCACAAGATCAAAGTCGTGACCTTGCTCGCTCGAAGGGTCAATGCCGGCTGCTTTCTCGCTGGCGATAAGCAACAAGAAGTATTCGAGAAAGAAGCGAGACAGGAAGAGGTAACGCAGATGATCTGCCTCGCGCACTTTCGGTCGTTCTGCTCGGATGTCGCCGCCGACGGATTCGAAGAAGTTATTGAAGCAGGATTCAATGAATTGCTGCGCGATCTGCTGCAGAGCCTTCAGCGCTTCGGGCGTGAGCTCTGTCGGCGTCGTCAGCTCGTCCTGGATTTTGAGAGGCTTTGCTTTGGTTTTCTTGACACGGTCGATGATCTTTGTAGGCGAGACATTCACAGCAGACTGTTTGTGGAGTGTATAGCTCCGCTCCGTCGTCCGCAGCGTCAGCGTCGTGCCGAATCTGTTGTGTCGGCTGGAGCCCTTTCGCTGATCGATCCGCTTGCGACTGTCCTCTGCCTCTAATAAGCTTTGCAAGCCTTTCGATGTTGACTGTTCTCGCCTGTCAGCCATCATAGCTACGCGTGCCTGCCACTTACCTTGTCGACGTCGCCGACGAGATCAGCAGGCTTGCAGCCGCGGAAGATCAAGTGAAAGATGTCAAGCACGACCAGATTCCACACTCTGAACTCGTTCCCCATGGAAAGGTGAGCGATATTGAGCAGAACTTGAAAGACTTCGTGTCGATTCATGGACTGTATCAACTCAGATTGTAGAGTCGAGTCTTGCACAGCCTGCGTTGACGTCGCGGCCGACCGCGGCCTATCTTTGATAGCTGCAAGGTTTCTGAAGATGTGAAGGACTAGAGTGATGATGTTTGCATCCTTCTCTGTTCGATCCCTGCCCCAAACCACAGCATGAGCACAACGTATATGTCCATGTTTTGTATCATTTGCCTTCGAGGTTTGGCGAGTGACGGCACGCAAAGCTTGAGAATAGTTTCGACGGCATTGGCCTTGAGTATGGCCGCCTTGTAGGTCAGCTGTATCCTCAGCAGGCTTGCAAAGTCGACTCGCGGCGCATCAGGTCCTCCTCTGATGGCAGCTTCCTCAGCAGCCTCTTTCAGCTCCTCTGCGACGTCGATAGGCCAAGTCATTGCACCAATGAGATCAGCTGCTCATACGAGTCAGTACGCGCATGAGGATGTGCCGAGGCAGACTGACCGCACGCAAGGGCAATCTTGTCGCCGCGAGGTCCTGTGCCAGCTTGCGACAGTAGGATAGGCAGGAGGTCTTTGGAGAGCACGCCCGTTTCAAAGCATAGTCGCGCGACCGTCCTGTCGTCGTCTTGGTCGTCCATGCGCCAGAAGCGCTTGAGGTCTTTGAGACATTCTGTGCGACGCAGCTCAGAGTCACACAGAGGTCGCAAGCTCCAGGAGCCTACTAAGACACTCGTCGCCCAGCTTGTACACGCTCACATACTCCCCAGACTCGGTCGTCTCTTCTTCGAAGCCACCCAAAGCTGAACAGATGGACACAATCGCCGGCTTGAAGAGCTCTCTGCGCGTAAGTGGCTCGCCGTCCTCGCCTTGCACCTGATCATCCTTGCGAGCTTGCCTGTCGTCCTTCTCATCGTCGCCATACTGAGTGAGCGTCTCCTCTTCCGACAGCGACTCGTATGGCTCCTCATCAATCTCGTCGACGTCGTATCTGCCCATAGCCAACAGCTGTGGAGCTCAGCGGAACAATGCTCGCTGTCAAGCGCGTGAACGCGATACGCGACACGCGGCAGCGCGGGCGAACTCAAATTTTTGGCGAAGACGATCGTCGGGCGATCACATGTCTCTGACCAGTTTGGGCCATCCGCTGTCCCGGCAGTCTAGCCGTCCAAGTCTTCGTTCCGTTTCATCCTGTTTCCGCTTGTGCTACCCTTGCTCAGCATCAGAACAAGATGATGCTCTTGCAACGCCTGACCGCTGCGGTCTTGACGTTCACCGCCATCGTCAATGCAGCCACGATACCGACAGGCACGCCCTATCGAGCCAACGGCTACATTGTCACGTTATCAAGCACGAGTCCACTTGCAGCCTTCATCACACAGCTCGAGAAGATTATCGCTCTGTTGCCCAATTCAGGCAAGATCACAGCCCAGTACGATCCGTCTATTCTTAATGGCTTCTCTGGTCAGTTCAGCGGTTCTGTGCTCAACTTTATCGCCTCTTCGCCTGCAGTCGCCAGCATCGAGATTGACGGTATCGCGCGAACGTCAGCCATCACTCAGCGCAACGCAGACTGGGCACTATCTCGTCTCGGGCAGAAGGCAAAGCTGGCTCAGCAGAACGATGCATTGACGAATTTCTCGTACACCTATAACGCCAGTAGTACATCAATGGCGACACCATGGATTTGGATCATCGATACTGGAGTCCGAACCACAGACACTGATTTCGGCGGCCGTGCAAAGTTCGTCACTCAATATGGAGGCTATAACCTCACAGACGGCAACGGTCATGGCACTCACTGTGCAGGCACGGCAGCTGGCACTCAGTGGGGCGTCGCCAAGTCTGCTCAAATCAGAGCGATCAAAGTACTGAGCGATAGCGGCTCAGGTGCGATCAGCGACATCATCTCGGGCATCAGTTACGTGGCACAGCAATACAAGGCTTCAAAAGCAAATCCGTATGTCATCAATCTATCCATCCAGGCCAGTGTCAGCACAGCTCTCAATAATGCCATCACACAAGCCATCATCGCCGGAGTGCATGTCGTTGTAGCGGCTGGGAATAGTGCGGCAGACGCTTGTCAATATTCGCCAGCGTCAGCTACTTATGCCATCACTGTCGCTGCCACAGACATCACAGACAGTCAGACTTACTACTCGAACTATGGCAAGTGTGTCGATCTCTTCGCGCCTGGCACAGACGTCACATCGACATGGTACACCAGCGACAATTCCACACAAGTGCTGAGTGGCACGAGCATGGCAACTCCTCATGTGGCAGGAATGGTAGCATATCTGCTGCAGCAGCCTGGCAGAAACGTATCCGTTGTGGCCATGCCCACGTTGCTGAAAAGCCTGAGCACAGCAGGCGCGGTGCAAGGCATCAGTCCGAATACTACGAACATCTTGCTACGAAATGGCAGTCCGTCTTAGTTCACATACGTATAGAGGGTGTAGGATAGGTCCGTGCATGCATAATTTATGATCATCACAACAAGCAGTCGGTGGCTGTCTCAGTACATGTGTCGTCTCCGCTCGTGCTTGACAAGACGGCGGAAACGGTCCTCGGCTTGCTGCTCGGCGCAGATGCCAAGGTGATGCAAGATCTGATCTTCCATGGCGCGCAGCACAGGCGTGCCTGCATAATGAACTGCATCGTGTGTGTCGCGCACAAAGGGTGCAGATAGCTTGAAGCCATCAATCGTGGTAATTCGGGTATTGCGAAGCAAGTCGCTGGCTAAGGCTGACCAATGTTGCATGCGGGGGTCAGTCCGCCAGAACTCTTGCATGATGCCTTTGGGTATGACGCGTCGTGCAGCAGGCGGCGTGAGCAGGATGAAAGATTGGTGAGAAGGGCTGCGCTCGATACGATCACGTAGGGTCGAATTGATAAAGTTGATCCATTGCGAAGTCTCAAGACGGATGTCGGCATTCGGATTGCCAGATTGGTGCGCGCCAACGCTCAAAACGATGTGATGATATTTGTCGTCATCTGGCCTCTTGCGCAACAAGAAAGAGGCAAGCTCTGGCTCGAAGAAAAAGTCGATCTGAAGTCTCTCGGCAATGAATTTCTTCACGCTGCCTTTGACCTGCATCCTCCGCCCATTCAGCAATAGCATGCGAGCAGAGAAGTAAGACACACGTAGACGGGCTCCGAACCATTCAGTCTTGCGACAAGTCCATCGTAGATGTAGCGGGCATGGGAATCGCCAATAAAGGCGATACGCCTCCGGCCAGGTTGCGTAGTGGACAGCGCACCAGGCCGCAAGCATCGCGAGCGCTTGAGATTTAGCTGATCAGTAGCGGGATCGAGGCGACATGTCCGAGGTCGCCATGCATAGGTTGGGCCGCCGCCTGTCGTCGGCAAATAGGTGCCTTCTATGTCGCTGCCTCTTTTGCATAGCGGCAGATCTGGCGACTTGAAGTTGCCTCGTGGTGACACGGAGACGCGCTCAGACGTGCATGAGCGCGCGCATAGCTCTTTCGGCAGCGGATAAGGCCCGTCTAGCAATGAGCTGTTGTATAGAGCAAATGTGGGCTTTGCCGTAGATAAAAACGCCATGTGATCCTGCAAAAGACCCTCAGAACGAGCGCGGATGAGACGTGGTATGCTTACAGTGTACTGCCATCTAATATCTTTGATTGTGAGCGCGCCAGCATTGCTCAGGCCAGTCTCGGTCAGCGAGTATTCGTAGCGGCATTGGCCCAAGTAATGTGGTCGCGTGAGGACTACTCGTTCAGCACCATCAATGACGATCTCGAAAGCGTCCGGTCCGTAATGCTGTGCGACGAGTTGATCGCTTGCATGGACTAGGCTAGCGTCCGGTTTGACGCTACATCGAGACGGGTTCAGTGCCCGTTGAGTACGAGCTTTGCTATTCGTATCTGTAAGTACCCCTGGCCCGCTTTGCTGGAACAAGGCCGTCTTTTCCCATCCGCCGAGATCTTGCGAGACAGCTGAGATTAAGAAATTGCCTGTGTTGCAATGCCCGCCATCGGGCGTGTCTGGTACGTAGCAGAATTGGACTCGCCAGAGGTGCGGCAATGCAGAGGGTATGTCGATACATTGACGTCCTTTTGCGGAAAGCACAAGAGTCTCTCGTGAGCGAGCAAGAGAGTGAGCACACTTTCGCCCTCGAGAAGATGATTGGAGCACGACTTGTGCGGCGTCTTGTGGCGCGGGTATAGGTACGGGTGAGTTGATGGCGGTGAAGCCGACATAGAGAGGGTTACTCATCATGAGCTCCCCCAGATGATGCCTTATGTGTGCACGTCGAGGTTCCCCGGCTGCGCCGAGGATCAGCAAGCCTAGCGCGATTGCGCCTATGATGAAACGAGTGGCGGCGACGCAAGTACGCCTTCGAGTAGGCGCTCGGCTCGAGAGAATGTTGGCTTGTGGCGCCGGAAAGCGATATATCTCCTCATACTGTTTCCTCTCGGACCACGTCGAGACCGGCGGCAGAGTCAGACCCTCTACGTGGGGCGTTTGGTCGCCGGCCAAGCGGTGAAGGAATGTGGAAAGCTGCGCAATGCTCGACGTTGCTCTCCTATGTCTGCTGATCTTGTTTCTGTCATCGTGATACGACTCATCATGTCGCTTCATGCGCCTCTGCGTGTCCGGCGTAAAACTTGACTCTCGACTGAGCTGAGGTCGATTTACGCCGCTCCCACCAAAGTCAAAAGGTCTCGTGACGGCGAATGTAGAGCGCAGCGGCGATGTCGTGTTGCTCGTTCCACTGGCGCTGGTACTCGCGGTAGCATGACGCTGCCGCGCGGGCGTTGTGGTGCTCATGTGTGCTGAATCGATCGCTCGACGAGCCTTTGAGCCCAGCCGAAAAGGAAGGACGCGATCGCGGACGCGTCTGGCAAAGTGGGGCAGTACCCCGCTTTACCGCGAGAGTCTATTCGAAAAAGAAATCATGTTTGACCTAGCGACACGTCATAGTCAGACCCCGGGCAAGTCGACAACACACGCAACTGTACACAAACCATCGATGGACAACATCCCCGCCATTGTCACGCATGCAATATCGTTAGGCTGCGTCACGCAAGCCTTCAGCGCTTTGTATGAGCCGTCACCGTTGTCAGTCGTACGTTCCGCGGGCATGCCGTCGATTGACGCGAGAGCAGATCCGACTTTGCCGCGAAACAGTATGGCGGCCAGTCTGTCTATCTCACCGTCGTTGGCCTCGCGATCACTTGGATCTACTTTGCACTGGCACTTCATCGCGACTTCACAGACAGCCGCGCCGCAGAGATTAATGCACAAGCATTTGGAGCCGTGGCCGTTCCATTAGAGACGCTCATATCTATCCTGTACTGGGGCATCAAGACGGCCAAACCGGAACTGATGATCCCACCGATAGAAGCACTCGTTCTTCCCATCAAGCTCGATCTTGCGCTCCACCTCATGCCCGTCGTCCTGCTCTGGTTCGATTTTCTGGTCTTCCAGCCCCCCTTCAACAAGAGCTTGCGACCAGACTACATCGCCGGCCTCGGTCTGCTAGCCTACTGCACTCATATTGAGATTGCTGCAGTCAAAAATGGACGCCTGCCATACCCGTTCCTCCGCTTGGAAGCACCTTTTGAGCGATTGGCGATCTACGTCGCTTCTGCCGGCCTCTTTGTGGTCCTCTTCAAGCTCATCAACGGCTTACACGTACAAGTCGATCGACTACTAGACCGAAAGACAGTTGAAGCTGAACAATATGCCGAGGGCGAAGTAGACATTATGGACAAACAAAAGTGAAACATTGCACGCAAACTTGCACCCGTTTGACTTTGTCCGACTGGTCGGTGCCTTCTCATCTGACTCGCCTCGCTCCCCAGCTTTCCGTTTGACTCGCATAACACGCAATCATGTTGCTTACCTGGCTTGCTTTGATCGCTTCTGTAGCCGCTCAGGCTGTCCAGCTTACCGATTTGCCCAATTGTTCCATCCAAATATCGTTTCAAGGCAAGATTTGGGGCGCGCAATTTTCCATGCAGTGGGATCCCAAGACTGGCGTAACCTTTGCTGTCTAGCCTCAAGCAACGCTGATCTGGCGTACTAGGCCCTTCTCGCCACGCCTTACAACTCATTCATAGACGACCCGGCTGCTTGCTGCGAGAACATTGTCAATATCGGCACAGAGTTCTTGGACGTCACTTACGAGAACGATCGCGTACTTCGTCAGTTTTGCGGTCTCGTGCGACCGCGCAAGCTGAGATCGCAGCAGTCGGAGGCCAATTCGACGGTCAGCCGATGATGGTACAAATTTCCTTGTTCAAGCATCACGGAGATACTCTGCCGCGCGTGTTCTATATTTTCAAGCTCTCGTATGCTGGCAATGCGTACATAGATAACACCCAATGTGAGCCGGATTCAGCTTTTGACAGACCTCATCGTTTGGTTGACTGTTCGGCAGACACGACGGGCATGGCCTGTGCTCCTGCTGGCACAAACTCGGGCGTCCATGGTGTCGGTATCTGGCAGCCCAAGGACTTTGGTTGCACCTGGCAGATGGATCCGACTGTGGAGTGCGCCACCTCTGCTCCAGCTCAGTAGCTGCTCTTCCTCGGATCCGTCTGTGCATGCATGGAGCTTTACAACGTGACAACACTAGGCGTTACCGGCAGCGATTTTCGGCATGGTTACCTCACTACATTCCAGCAGACGAGATGCAATACTTTCCCTGGTGGCTGCAATCGCGGCCTCGTATTGCGCATCACTGTGACACTCCAATTGACTTTTGACATACATGCTGCTCGTCTACATCCTGCAACTGGCCATCGATTAGCGGCACGTCTGAAACCGACGGAGCTTTGTACCGTTTGACCCTTCCCTTTCGTGCTGTGCTGTCCCTTCTCCTGCGCTGACTGACACTCCATCAGCACCGATACCAACACTCACCGCGCAACACCACAAAGCATGCACAGCGGTTTCGTACTGACTTTGCTGGCCATGCTAGGCTTCAGCACCATCTGGGCAGTCCAGCTCACTGACCTGCCAAATTGCTCGATCCAAACTTCCTTCCAGGGCAAGCTTTGGGCCGCACAGTTCTCTATCCAATGGGGCTCGAATGGTGTATGAATCAATGTGATCAGCTCCTCCAAGTCTTACAGATTTCTACAGAAACTTGTTGCCACGCCATACAACTCTTTTCTGGACGTACCCGCACTTTGCTGCGCTTCCTATCGCGATCAGGCTGCCGAGTTCCTCGGTGTTGACTACGAGGACGACCGTGTCGTTTGTGAGCCTCAGACAGGCATTCGTTCTGCAAGATTCTAACGCACGATTAGTCCACGGCCAATTCGAGGGTCAGCTGCTCGTCATCCAGATCGCAATGCTCAAACATCCCGGCTCAACCCTGCCGGCCGTGTTCTACATCTTCCGCATGTCGTACGGCTCAGATGAATACTTTGCACAGAGTGACTGTATGGTTTTGCCATCATGTTGCTCTGACGTGACTGATTTACCAAACAGACTCGACCGGCATGGCTTGCGCTCCAGCTGGCGTAAATTCTGGAGTACGCGGCGTGGGCGTCCGGCAGCCAAAGGATTATGGCTGCAATTGGATCAACAATCCCGTTGTCGACTGCGCCACTACTAATCCAGGCCCGTAGCTGTGTTGCCTCAACCTGCCGTGTATGCATGTACAGTCGCAACGCATCAAGCTAGCCGTGCACGTCACCACGAGAGTTCAGCATGACCGAGCAGCCTGACTGTCTCGCAAGACACGACTCGTAGCAGACGTCTATTCTGACATTCGCGATCACATAATCACAATGCATCCACGCCGCCAACCCTCACCTTCTAAAGTCTCGTGCGCATCCGCTTACCCGCATCGTTATGTCTTTTCGTCTGCCATACGATCCAGAGGGATCAGTCGCCGAGCTGAGGGATTGTTTCGGCGTTCGAGCTTCCGTTCGTTTCATGATCTCCTATTGCTCGCAAGTACGGTTGCCCAACAATACAACCACGTCTCGCAAACAAGATGCAGATCGTGCGCCTACTAGCTTCGCTGGCTGTGCTCGCTCGCAGCTCCGTCTGGGCCCTCGAGCTCAAGGATCTGCCAAACTGCTCAATCAAAGTCTCGTTCGAAGGCAAGTCGTGGGGTGCGCAATTTTCGATGCAATGGGACACAACGGGAGTATGTCCTCATGCCATCACCTCCTCGGAGCTGATCGGTGCAGCAGAACCTCGTCAACACGCCGTACAACTCGTTCTTGGATCTGCCAGGCGAGTGCTGTACCTCCGTCCGCAGCAACACCATGCGATTCCTAGGCGTTCACTACGAGGAGGATCGCGTCATCTGTAAGTCTGCAACAGCTCGCAATCTACGCTTAGTCTTAAGCACGCCCAGTCCATGGTCAATTTGAGGGTCAGGTGCTCATCATTGATATGGCAATGCTCAAGCACCCCGGATCTACCTTGCCTGCCGTGTTCTATATCTACCGCCTGTCTTACGGCCCAGATGTTTACATTGCCCATACAGACTGTACGCTTTTGCTTCGTATGACACGATCATCGCTGATGCCTTGATAGACTCAACCGGCATGTCGTGTGCTCCGGCTGGCCAGGACTCTGGCCTGCACGGCGTTGGTGTTTGGCAGCCAAAGGACTATGGCTGCAAGTGGATGTTCAATCCCCTCACCGACTGCTCTACCGCGTAGTCTCAGCCACGACCCTGACCCTCGATAGCTCTTGGTCATGACAGACATGCATCAAGGTGCACTTGCCAACATCTTGTCACCTTCGGCCGCGCTGAGCCTCAGACGCGATAATGCCGTGATGACATGCCGCCCTGCCGGCCGTTCACATGCTTCGCATCCCTACGATACTTCATTCCAAAGTTATGAGGCTCAGCACTATCTCAAGGAACTTCGCAAGGCTGCTATTGAGCGGCTTTGTCGAAGCAGTCAGCCAGAATGTCCGCGACACGAGAAGTCACCGCGTCATCCCTTACCTGTTTCCACTCCGGATTGTGCTTGCCTTTCTTGGCTAGGACAGCCAACCACAGATCAGCGAATGATGCGCAAGATGTTTCCAATGGGTCTGCTTACGATTGCGTCTCTCTCAGCTGTCAAAGCCGTGCAGCTCACCGATTTGCCTAATTGTTCGATCCAAATAGCCTACAAAGGCATGACGTTTGGCGCCCAATTCTCGATGCAATGGAATCCTGCGAACGGCGTATGCGCCCCCAAGAGAGCGATTCGTGCATACTGAGAGGTACAATAGGATCTTCTGACCACGCCGTACAATTCATTCCTCGACCAGCCCGGCATGTGCTGTCATTCTGTTCACAATGAGCCCAATCGCTTCTTGGGCACCGTTTATCAAGTGGATCACGTCCTTCGTATGCCATCGGCTCACTTGGGATCGCTCGTACTGAGCGTAAGCGCAGTCCGTGGCCAGTTCCAGGGAAAGCCCCTCATGGCCAACATCGCAATGGCCAAAACCCCTGGCAGCACTTTGCCCAGCATGTATTACCTCTACCAGTTCTCGTACGCAGGAGAGAGCTACATCAGCAATACGGAATGTAAGCCCATTCTTGAATGCGTCACACTCTGCTCAGGTCGCGACAGACACAACGGGAATGGCCTGCGCTCCTGCTGGCGTAAGTTCTGGCGTGCATGGCGTAGGTGTCTGGCAGCCGAAAGACTATCATTGCCAATGGAGCGATGACCCAATGATCGAATGCGCTAATGGTCCTTCTGAAGATCACGATGGACCGGAATAGTTCACTGCAACGAGTCGAGATGCATTGCAATCGTCTCAGATCAGTATTTAGGAATCACAACGCCGCCACACTTGAGATCCCAGCTTTGCATACTGCAATGACGGGTTAGTTGTGATCGTGACAGAGGAGTGTGGACAGCATACCCTTGACCGTCGATTTGGCTAGGGCCCAGATGGTACATGATATGCTCCTGGCCGTAACGCAAGGTGATAGGCACGACCGACTTGTCGGTTGAAACTGTGGTCTGATCAGCCAACATCGGACAGCGCCAGTGAAATGCGCACTTGTGCAGATTGACTCGAACGGCATGGATACGGGCGTTGCGGAGGTCTTAGTCGCGCAGACCCTAGTGTAATTTAGTGTGGCGACCTGGTCATACAAAGTCTCGTGGGTCTCGGCATCGGTTTCTGCCACAAGCGAAAATTCGATGGTGGTTTGCTTGCCGTTGAGAAGCACGACGTTGAGCTCGCACCCTCGAGTTGAGATCTTTGAGTTGGCCGGAGCCTGGACAGGAGCTGCATTGACGACTGACAGCAGAGCGCAGAGGGCGACAGCGAAGAAAGTCTTCATCCTTTTTGACTGTGTACGTTGAGTGGAGGGAAGGAGATGACTCTCGTTGGAAGACGACAGGTAAGCAACGTCATGGCAACACGGCATATTCGCGGTAGCATTCATCAGTTGCCACTCGACGGATCGCAAAAGATGCATGTCATATGGCATCTCTGACACAGCGTAATCAGCGCAGGAGGATGGAGACGCCATCGCACACGAGACTCGAAGATTTGAGTCTGTGGTCTTTGCATCAGCTGAGTGATTTGCCGACAAGGCGAAATATATACCCCTGGCCTTCGATGGAAGTCATTCCGAGGGAATAGACGAGCTCGTCGGCTGTGTAGCCGAGCGTGATGGGGATATAAGTCTTGCCAGCGAGGACTAAGTCTGGCGTCAGCGAGCGCGACTGTGGTAGATTGCCAATTACCAGGGCAGTTTGAGGTGTACAGAACAGGATCCCATTCGGTTTTAGGCGTTGTCACACACTTGTACATCTTGCCATTGTATTGGATCTGGGTGTACTGATACGCCTTGGCCTTGGCGTTGTAAGCTGCGACCAGCTTGAAAGTCACGGTAGGTGCCGTATCGTGGAACGTTTTGGTCTTGAGCTCGCAGGTATGGTCACCGACTGGCAGTATCGCGCCATTCAGTTCATGTGCCGAAGCGTGTACAAACGATGCGATTCCGAGCAGGGCGGCGGCAAAGCTGATCTTCATTTTGCGAGCTTGGAGCGTTTGATTGGTTCACAGGAAAGCAAAGGAGCAAACAAGGAGCGCATGGGAGGCCATGAACCCCTTTGGATTGCGGACCGAGACACGCATCATCGCCTCGTGACGGGTCAACGTAGTCTCCTGCATTGCTTGCGAGATGAAATCGACAACTACATGGAGTTCGTTGGCTCGATAATCGATAACTACATGGAGTTCGTTGGCTCGATAGGCACACCGCCGCACGTAAGCGTCCATGTCTTGAGACTGCGGCTGTGCATGAGCGATGGCGAGATACCAAAGGAACGGACGAACCCAATTCCGTTGATTTTCGAGGGTTCGAGATGGTAGGTCAGACTCTCCAGGGTGTACTGGAAATCAAAATGGATGCTCGTGTCGCCTTGGACGACTGTCATAGCCCTTGCAGCGATTGCATTCGAAGCAGGTTGCTACGTACCAGCAAACTTTGCGGTGTTGTATACAAAGCCGCTTTCGGTTCTCACGACATCGCACAGGCAGAAGAATGGCTTTGCGCCAATGACGAGCTGGTCATATTGACCCTTCTGCACGTCGTAGTGCAATGTAAAGGGAAAGCTGTCTTGCCTGCCGTTCAGAAGCGTCGACGACAAAACGCAGTGCTTGCCAGCCGGAACGCCCGCTGGACGATCGAGCGCGGCGATACCCTGGCAGAACAAGAGACCGAGGACGAGTGCAAGCAGCATCATTCGACTACTTATTTGGTCTTGTTGGCTCGAGTCGTTGACGTTGCGAAGCGCTGTACTGTTGCGTGATCTGATGACTCCTGAGCATGCAATTTGTTTCCTGAATACTTCCGTCAAGGGATATAAAGAGAACAGCTGATCAATTGGCGGTCATGGCGATCCTGCAACTAAAGGCCATCTCCGCCGTCGCACTGCTTGCACTTTCGGTCCGAGCGCCGCCATCGCAACCTGATCCCCGCGGCTACGGGACGATCTTGCACGGCGAAGCAACTTGTAAGTTCAAAGACAGAAATGGACGGATCATGCCTCTCGAGTACATCTCGAATAGCACGCAAGTGCGCGTTCGCGTCTCGCCGACCCAATTTCGCAGAAATGCTGGCCTCTCGTGTGTGCGGATGGGCAGACCGCCGCCGGCCTGGGCACCCTTTGCTGTGTTCAAGTGTCATTTTCTGGCCCAGATTGACACCCTGGATGGCTATCGATGGGTCTTCACTGCGAGTTGCCCGGCACGGTTATGGCAAAGCCCGCTCTTTCCGCCTCTGTATACGGAGTGCTGCGAAGCCGAATACGAAGTACAAGTTGAAGCCTGGTACGATAGAATGCAGATAAAGTTCGAGAAAGGCCAGATCAGCGTCAAATGTCGAGCAGACGGCGCGTGCTCGGCTTTGTTCGCTGAGCCAGGTACGTTCGCTGATCTCGACCAATCCGACGGCTGATACAGGGAACAGTCAAGCTGGAATGCGAGCAAAGACCGTTCTACGTGTGAGCGAGACAGGGATGCATTGCGCGTCGCATGCTAAGCTTTCTTGACAATGGCACCTCCACACTTGAGACTCCACGATTTGAGTCTGAGAGTCTGTGTAAGCCTTGTCGTTAAGGAAGAAGGAGCATACTTACCCCACGCCATCCACGAGTGATGGCTCGAGCTGATACGCCAGTCCATCGTAAGAATAAGTGAAGATGATGATGATGGAAGTTTTCCCCTCAACGACTGGCTTGCTCAAATTAGCAGGAGCCGTATGGATACATCTTTGGCTTGCCATTGAAGCGCGCAAAATGAAGGTTGACGTAGCTCACAGGGGCGCGGCTGCACTGGCAATCGTACTGGCTTGCAAATGTGGTGAGCTTGCTGTACTGTTCCTTGCTTGTGTCGTAGAAAAGGCCAAAGGCAAGCTCCTTTTGATGTCCATTCATCAAAGTCGATGACAGAACACACACTTGCGATTTGCCGATCTGAGGCCTGTCTGTTGCGAGGGCGTTGACGAGGCAAAGCCAAGCAGCGACGATGTAGATAGCGATGATCTTGCTCCACATTTGTTTGATGAATTGGGCAGCGAGCACTTTCGATCTCCGGCGCTTAGCTCTGGAGTTACAGCTAAACCACCTAAACAGGGGCCGGGTTGTCCAGTCAGCTGAGCGGAGCGCGTGCGGATACATTTGCATTCGTTGCGGCGATGAGCTGTCGTGACAACGTCTCAATCAAGTTATTTGACTTTCGATCCAGGGGCGATAGCCTTGTGAGAGCAACGTGTCAGGGTGCGAGCAAGCGACGAGCCACCGCAAGCCATCGGCCGTGCGTGCCTCTGAAGATGCATAGATCGTGTGAAGGGTCTCAAGTTTGCTTGCATGTGGATGATCATGACATCCCACTGAGCTGTCGAGACAATTCATCTGACGGAGGACTTGGCTGACATGAGCAGTGTTGTGTGCGCAGGGGGCACTGGACTGTTGGAGCAAAAGGCTCACGAAGAGGCCAAAAGCAGGCGCGAAATAAAAAGACGAGTTGGCCCTCGCCCTGCGTGTGTCAGTCACTCTGTGAGGATGTCGCTGCTCAGCCGGCTCGGTCACCTCTCGTTCGACACGAGCCTTTCCAATGGCGGCGTGCTCATGCAAGTACGAACGGCCACCAAACGAGGAGGTGGGTCGACCAAGAACGGACGAGATTCAGCCGGACGACGGCTGGGTCTCAAGAAGTTTGGCGGCGAGAAAGTCAAGGCGGGCCAGATCATCGTGCGACAGCGAGGCACGACATGGCATCCCGGTCAACACGTTGGCATGGGAAGAGATCACACGCTCTTTGCTCTCGAACCTGGCTTTGTACGATTTTACAAGACGCCAAGAGAGGAGCGACCGAGCAGGGAGCGCAAATACTGTGAGTCTCCTCCGCTCACAGTCTTTGGGTGCGGACTGATTGAGACGGACGGAAACAGGCGGAGTGGTGCTACAGAAGCACGAGGATCTGCCTCGCGATCATGCCGCCGAGGGACGATCGAGGCGATTTGCCCTGACGCTACTCAATCCGAGCGACATTCCGCTCGAATTACTACCGCAACCACAAACCAGCAAGGCGCACACCTCAGGTCAGAGAGCTTTTTCGACTACCGCATCGGTGTCCCGGCCCGACACAATAGACGAGGAGCCCAAAGAGTCGACGCGCGAGGAGGCGAAAGAGCAGCTGGAAAAGAAGCAGACTGAGAGCCAGCCCCAGGAGAAAGAGAAGCCAAAGTCTGTGCTCGAGCATGGCGGCAAATAGGGCAATAGTATGATGCTCAGGTTCATGTATGTTGTACTGGCTGCAAGTCTGCAATCGATCATACACTACACCGCACAACAAAGGCCTGTACAGTGTGACAAGACGTGTACATACAAACTCACCGGTCCGGTAGAGCCAAGCTTTTGTCTAGGACACCATGCCTACAATGTCGATATCAGACAATTTGCCGCACCAAGTGAGGATCGAGTCTGACCTTATGAGCGTGTCTTCAACGACTTGCAATGTTGTCTGCTTCGGTCGCCACTCTAGCTCTATCGCAATGATGCTCTTTGTCAGCTCGCCGGCTTGATAGACCAGCACGGTCGGTAGGACATCCGATCCGCTCGATTGCGCGAAATCGAGCTCTGAGGCTATCGCCCTTGTAAAAGTATACTTAGATGCTGGATAACATTGTGCGAGCTTGCTGAAGAGATCGAGGAAGATCGCGCAATTGTCCAGATGCGGTTCGTAGAGGCAGAGGATGACACTTGTCGATGGCCGTTCATTGATGACCGTCTCTTCAAAGGTGAGCAGTCCAACTTCCTTCACTTGCGCAGGTGAGTTATGTGTACCCGTCAACAAGCTCTGTGAGTCGGTAGCACCAATGTTCTGTAGCTCGCCAAGTCGTTGCCGTCTATATTCTGCAATCGCTTGTTCGTCTGATAATGTCTCATTGGACACCAGTGTGGGACTCTGCCGGCTAGTCCGCTCATCTACAAGCACGCCCTTGGGTCCAGTGTGCGTAGCGCCGTTCTGAAGCCACTTTCTATCGCCTGTGCTGACGATAGGCCGTCCGTCTTCAACATGGTCGCGATCGATGGTCAAGATGTCATCGTCGTCCGTCTCGCTCTTGCCATCCTCTGGGTGGGGCTCGGACGGCGCGGAAGGCCCTGATAAGTCCAGTGCCTGTCTCTCTAGCGCATCTGTACTTGTGGCCATAGCCTGATTCTTGGTTGGAGCGGCTGCGCGTGTGCCGGTCGCGACGCTTTGCCGGTTTGCCACCACCACTATCTCATCGATCTCATCCGTCTACGCCGCTCTGGCAGCCTCGTCCATCACCGGTGAATCTATGCTTCGGAGGTCCATGTGCTACAGCAACGACAACGGACTGGCGTGCGACGCAACGCGATCCTTCGATGATACCGCTAGCAGCAGGAAGTCCTCACTGCAGACTGCTTCGCCGACTATGCCTGCCCTCTCGCCTCGTATGGTCGGCACTATGCTGTTTGGACGAGCCCCTGTACATCATACTCTGCACATCATACAACCCTGGCTTCGCAACCGACGCACACTGTTCGTTGCCGACCTCGACACCCTGATCAAAGACTCTCGAGGCTCGCATAAATCCTCGAGAACTGGCTGCCGCAATTTCAACAGAGAGACATGATGCTACTCATTAATATGGCGTACATGACTTGGCTGGCACAGGCGCAGCTCCTCTTGCCAGGCAGCCAGCTGTACAGATTCGTCTTTAGTTATTCTGCCTCAAGTTGCCCCTGGTCGATAGGCTTGGTGCCAGCAGGAGCTTGTAAGCTCAGTCATCTCGGTAGACCGTACATGCCTGACTGCTCGCAGCAAGCCTGGTCTTCATCGCCGCCCAGACAGACGATGATGGGGTCATGGGTAGCTGGGCAAGTTTACTCTACCACGGTTTCTTTTCACTATCTAGAATAGAGCGAGACAGGCTAATCGAGTACGCATCAAAAGTATCGACACGCAGACCGCCGATAGACATGCGCTCTATGCGACGTTCACGATCGAGGCAGCTCCTTCGCACGGGCCTGACGCTCTGCAGCCCTGCTGCAAGATTGTCTTCAAGACACGCATGCGGATAGCAGCAGACAAACGTAGACAAGCCGTATGCATGGCTACGACAAGCTGACAAGAAGGACGCACAGACTTTGCAAAGGGCATCTCCAGCTCGGTCAACCTCGTGTGCAACAGCGCATCACCAGGTTGCGAAAAGGGCGCCATGCAATCCTTCGGTATCGATGGCATCGTCAATCAAAAGTGCGAGAGGGGGGAGATAGACTGGTCCGAAATATCCTGAAGCCGAGCCAATCGACATAGTGTATGTGTAAGGCTCTGGCAACGATAAAGATTCCAAAGCCAGAGGACTTGCATATCTGCTCGAAGTGAGCGCTTTACACCCATTCAGAGTGCTACGTGTCTGTCATTGAGCGAATCAGAGTCTTTCATGATGTGTGCTACCTCTTTCAAAGCTAAATGATTCGGACAGCACTAGTTGCTGTCGTGCTCCTCGAATCATCTCAGAAGCGCACGTCCTTGCTGAATTCGGTGCGATGCCAACCCTATGCGGCAGAGTCAATAGATTTGCTCGGTTGCTACATGCGCGTAATTAACGCGCCGCGAACGATGCAAAAGGACAGCTAGGCTTCTTGATCAATATGAGATGCGCAAAAAGCGACGTTGGCACTGCCCAGTCGCCAGCAAGCGCAAAAAGATCCTCGCAAGGTTCGAACTTGCGTTACTAGAAATTTCCAAGCAAGTAACGCTATCAAAATCTAGCGTACTAACCACTATACGAGAGGATCGCGATGGGCACCTAGCGTTGCTGCTTATATATTTCACACATGTAATGCTATGCCTGCTTATTACGAGACATCACAATCTCAGGACGATGAAAATCTGCTCATGCAGCTTACGATGCATTCTCTTCCTGCAGCACAAGCGTCTCATCGTCTTCGGCGTCCGGGTTGAGCAAGTGAAGCTTCCGCCCACAGGCTGCCGGAACAAGTACTGCTTAGTTCGGGGTCGGCGGAGCACCCGGAAACGCCGAGGTCACAGTCTGCAATGCATGATTAGCATCTCTCAGAGCGCCTTTCAGCAGTACTCGCCTTGGTAAACTTTGACAGGGCCATCGAGACGAGCCGCAGGATTCTCGCCGGCAGCGGCTGTGATGTCAATCAGTCCTGTCCGGTCTGGCTGGAGCGTGCGCACAGATTTCGATCACGCCAGTGGCAAGGGCAATGCAGCAACCTTGGGTGCTGTTGTCGTCATCTGTGGCGTCGGGCACTGTGATCCAAAAGTTGATCTTGTAGCCAGCACGACGACCCGATCCACACGCTGTGCTGAGATCGATGGGGTACCAGTCGCTCACGGCGAGAACGACGTGATCGTAATCAGACATGATCTGTAAACTCTCATCAGATCAGTGGCAGCATGGTTGGCCGCCCCCTCACCGACGTCGCCTTGGGGATCGGTGTTGAGTCTTCATAAGTCGTCGGCAGAACAAAGGATAGGCTAGCGTCTTGTCCATAGGTGGCGGCGAATCGGGCCCCGGGACAGTCAACACTATCGTCGAGCTGCAGCTGCCACCGATTGTAGCAATGGCTCAGGTTCGTGGCGTGGGCTGACAGGCTCGCTAAAAGCTACAATGGCTGTCAGGCGGATTTTCGATCTTTTATGCGGACTCACTCGCCAGCATGAAAATGCTGAAGCTTGTAAATACCATGTCTCCTGCGCCTCGCTGATGAGAGTGGACGAAGAGCTCAAGAGGATTTGAGACAGCACGACAGTCTGCATGGCGACGTAACACAGGGACAAGTTCCATTTGCCATAACTAGACGACGACGACGACCGATAGCGCGGAGCTGGCCTAGCCAACAGTGGAACCGCTATACCTCTTTGTCGAGCATTTCTCAGCAACGGCATGGGCCTGGCGAACAGGCCCAGTCGAATGATTGCGCAAAAGTACAGATCTGTCATCAATTCGGCAGGCTATAGGATGTAGGTTGCATGAGATGAGATGCTTTGAGTCGTCGATAGCAGCGCTAATTCGCTTCCATTGCATGCCATCACAGAAAGGGAGGGGATGCATTGCAACGACAGGGCAGGCGAGTCAGTTTGCAAACTGTTGCCTCAATGGCAGTGGCTCATGCGCAAAGCTGCAAAGCTGGCACTGACGGTTCTGTGGGTACAGCTCCAGACAGAACCAGCTCACGGGCCCTGAAGCACTGCTCGAGAGCGTGCCGTCGCCAATTGAAAAGATCATCTCGTTGAGTTTAGGGGATACAGGTGAAAAGTCTGACGGGGTGACAAGATTCATTGTGGACAACCTGTAGCGCCTTGACGGGTCAGAATGGGGCTTTGTGAGAGCATGGTCAGGAGGTCAGGCATATGCTTGTCATTGTTTAGAGCCTCAACGCTCTTGAAGAGCTCGGCAAACTGAGCGTGTGCTCGGGTCATCTTCCGGATGTGGCGGACGGAACTTGTTCTGACTGACTCACAGATTGATGAGAGCCTGATGCGGCGTTGATGAGGTTGCAACCCAAGACCTCCAGAGCTTTCGCTGGCGGCGAGCAAGCTCAACAATCCAGCCGAAATCTCGGCGCAAATAACTTCGCGTGGCATCGCGCGGCGGCCAGGCAACACGGACGAGTCGTAAGGCTGCCATGAGATAGGAGTTCTCCTACGATGTATGCGAGCTGGCAAGACGATGATGAGTGGCAGGATATGCCCATCATCCGCTCAGCAGAGCCCGATGCGTCAAGCTTTGGCTCTCAGCCCGTCGCATCATCCTCAAGTACTCGACGAGCTTCACATCGCTACGATGCCCCGCTTGCTACGGCATCGACCTCTGTCGGCGCTGATCATGCCTCTGTGAACGCTCGGGGGACTCATATCGATGCCGGGCAGCCGGGTGAGGATTGGCGGGAGAAGCAGTCGCTTGATGAGCTCGTGTACACCCGCTTAGAGGTCAGTCAGACATCTGCCTTGCAGCTAGCACGCTCATTTCCTGGGAGGTACAGCTGGACGATGACCCAGACGAGGATCAAGTGCACATGAAGACACAATTCCTGTTTGATGACGACAAAGGAATGACACCTTTGAGTCAGATGCAAGCAACAAAGACGCTCCTCACCGAAGGTCAAAGGGTGGCCTACGTTGCGCTCTGTCGGCTCGTCACCATGGATATATGTCAAGCTCTGCGCAAGGGGAAGCACAAGGAACTCGAAGCTGCCGCTGAAAGCGCGCTTAACTGGGCGCACAAGATTATGGGCCGCTTATATCATCACATGGACATAGACACCTCAGGTAGGCCTCCCCGCACACGTAGCGTCTGATCCAGCTCAGTACTGAGCGCAGAGCAAAAGATGATCGAGCAGCTCGTCGAACATGGCGTGACAGCAGACGATCTGGTGCCTTCACTTGTCGTCACCCACACCGTGCCCAATCCAGAATATGATCCTGTCGCGGCAAAAGCAGCGGCGTTAGAGGCAGACAGAGTAGCCGCTGAGCATCAGGCAGCTCAAGAAGCTGCAGCACAGCAGAGGGCGCTGCCACCGACGTTTGAAGAAGGCGATCCCCCGCCAGATTATGCAGAACCTGCAGTTCGAGCCTCATTGGCGCTGACAGACGCACCGAGACCTTTGACGCCAACAATCGGCAAAGCTGCAAGACGTCAGTCTGCTGCTCAGGTCCCGCTGCCGCCTTCGCCTTCTACGCCCAAGCCCCCAGATCTGGAGAAGCCAGCATTAGCGAAAAGAGAATCTGATAATCTCATATCGCCCTTACCCAATACACTGCCGGGCGTCAGTACGGAGCTGACCTCAGCAGACGAAACAGTCACTCTCGACATACGGTGGACCGTCTTGTGCGATCTCTTCCTGGCGCTCATAGCAGACAGCGTCTACGATGCCCGGTCTCGCGTGCTGCTCTGTCGCATGGCGGAGCATCTCGGGCTCGAATGGATGGATGTCGTCCGTTTCGAACGGAGACTGACAGAGGCGATGGACATACAGGAGAGCGTGAAAAATTCGAAGCAGGACGAGGTGCTCGAACAGCGGCGCGTAAAGGGCAAGAGCAAACGATACGTCATGATGGGTCTAGCTACGCTAGGTGGTGGTCTCGTCATTGGCTTGTCTGCTGGTATTCTCGCGCCTGCTATAGGTGCAGGCCTAGGAGCTGCTTTTACAACCATCGGTGTCACGGGCACGACTGGCTTTCTGGCTGGCACGGGCGGCGCCGCCCTCATCACAACAGGCGGTATAGCTGCAGGTGGCGGTATAGCGGTCAAGGGCATGGCAAAGCGTACGCAACATGTCAAGACCTTCGAGTTCTATCCGCTGCACAACAACCGCCGGGTCAATTTCTACATTACCGTGCCTGGTTTCATGGAAGGCAAGCTGGATGATATCCGATTGCCCTTCAGCGTGATCGATCCCGTCATGGGCGACTTCTTCTCGCTCTTATGGGAGCCGCAAACGATGCAAGATACGGGCAATGCGCTCAAGATATTGACATCCGAAGTGCTCACGCAAGCTGGTCAACAAGTGCTGGCTATGACGATCATGACTGCTCTGATGAGTGCCTTACAATGGCCAGTCAGTACGTTGCCTCTCTTAAACATTCATATGACCAGCTGATCGGAGCTGCAGTGCTGACCAAGCTGGGATACCTCATCGACAATCCCTGGTCAAACGCACTGGATCGCGCCAAAGCTGCAGGCGCTGTACTGGCAGACGTGCTCAAGAATCGCAGTCTGGGCGTCAGACCGGTCAGCTTGGTCGGCTTCTCGCTCGGCGCGCGCGTGATCTTCTATGCTCTCAAGGAGCTAGCACGTGCAAAGGCTTTTGGCGTCGTGCAGGAAGTGTACCTCATGGGCGCCACAGTGACCGCTTCGCGCAAGTCCTGGCGAGAAGCACGTGGCGTTGTCTGTGGTCGGTTCGTCAACGCCTATGCCACCAACGACTGGATTCTTGGCTATCTCTTCCGAGCGACGACGGGTGGACTGGGCACGGTCGCTGGCTTGCGGCCGATCGAGCAAGTACCGGATATGGAGAATGTCGACGTGACAGATATTGTAGTGGGTCATATGAGCTATCGCGCCTGTATGCCCCTCATCCTCGATCGGATCGGCTTCAAAGTCACAGCGCTCACGTTTGACGAGCCCGATAACGATCCACTGACTGGCGATCGGGAAGTCCTGACGCCTGAGGAGGAAGAGGCGAGGCGGGAGGCCAAGAAGAATAAGGGCGTGTTCAAGATGTTTCGGTCCAAGAGCAAGCAGAATGCCGCCCAGTCTGCATCTCTCGAAGCTGCTGCTAAAGCTTCGACGACTGCTGCTGCCGCCGCATCCGCGCCTGCAGAAGAAGACGATGATGACGACTTGCCTCCGCGGGAGGATCATGCAAGCACGGAGTATGCTCCTTCGCCGGATACAGCGGACTCGACTATGCCCAATTCGCCACGCGAAGGAAGCGAGGCGCAATTCAACCTCGATAAGATACGACAAGTACTAGCTCAAGGCGGGCCTGCTACCTCTGTCGATGTTGCTCAGTCAATGCGCACTGCGCCCGTCAACGGCGCCCTGCCAGCGCGGACACCTACGAGCTCGGAATTCTCTTTCGAGGCAGCGGCAAGGCGGAACGGCATCGATACGCCAGAGACACTCAGTTTTGCCGGCCAGGATGGCTCCATCACGTCTACGAGACCTTCGTTCAGTGTGGAGCGTGCTCCTGCTCCCACGAAGCAAACGACAGCCAGCAATCCGTGGTCATGAATGACAGCATCGCATATGTTCATTTGTTGTAGAAGTGATACTGCATTTTGCAATCTATGCCGATACAGGAAAGATGCCTCTCTTTGCTCGCTCTCGCTGGAGCTGCAAGAGTCTCATCTTCTTGAGCTTCTCGATCGATTCGAGGCGCTTCTTCATCGTTCGTTGGCGCATCTTGTGACCCGCTCCTCGGGCAGATCCTCGCACTTTGGGTAGCTTTCCCTTGCTCAGCGCTTTGGCAGCAGCAGATTGTCCTTTGTGCTCCCTGTTGACCTTGATAAATTGTGGCTTGTCGCCCTTGCCTTCGAGCAAGACACGCTTCTTGCGTGCTGGCCGGTCTTTCGGCCTGAGGGTCGTCATATTCGTGCGCAGCAGCGCAGCGTACTTGACCTGGAAGCTCACCGAATCGCTCGGCTGGACCTGTTTTGACAATCTACTGCTTTAGAGAGGGCAGCGAGAGACAAGATGGAGGTGACAAACCAGTGTGGATAGCTTGACCTTCTTGCCATTTGTTGCTCTGATGATGCATGGATAACCAGACTGAGTACTGCTCGAAGCGTCTGCACCAAATGTATCTGTAGCCTGTATGAGCGAGCTCTTCATGGTCAGAGACTCAAGGCTAACAGCGCTTCTGGGTCAGAAAGACCGTCCCGCCTGCTGGACTTTTGAAGAGCTGCCCGAGTTCTTGTAAGAACTGTACGCGGGATGAGTGGCAGTCTCGTGGAGCTGCAATGAGCTCGCCTCGTCGTTCGAGAGGGACATGTTGGCAGCTGGTGGGGTTCAATTCTGGCGCCTTGCCGGTCTCGAGGTGCCACGAGGTCGCGACAATTCGTCGAGTGCTCGCTCACCTTGTGATCGACCCTCGATGTGTTGAACGGCTTCTTCATCTACTCGCACGCAGAAGCAGACCCAAGCAGAATAAGCTCAGATTGATGGAAAGCATGCATGCAGAGCTATGTGCACTGCACCGAAGAAGCCGACTCGCAGGCAGATCTCATCCATCACGACGTAGATTCAGGCAGATGGTGATGCGTGTCTACCGCCAGACGGCTTATCGTTTAAATGCGTCCAATGCTGATTGCAACAACAAGCTTTCCTTCTTACTCACCACGGGACTACCGAGCCATCGTAACTGAGCATGCCCTGCTGACCTTTGCCAATCTCGGCGGATGCGATCCCTTTGAGCATTGTCTCCACAGATTCGTCAACACTGATTGCACCGCTCTGACCTTCAGCCAATGTCGACATATCCGTAGCCACGACTCCCGGATGCACCAGCAAGACATTGATGCCTTTCTTCTCGAGGCTCAGCGCTACAACGCGACCGAGCATGTTGAGCGCAGCCTTTGATGTTGCGTAGTGACCCAAAGGGTACGACTGGGTGCCAAACACGGCAGTGACGAGGCCATCGGTCTCTGGCAAGCTACCGATCGAGCCTGCAGCAGATGACAGGTAGACGAGCTCGCGTCGGGCACGGGTACTGGCCAGCAAGAAGGGAGCGAAAACTTGCGTCAGGATCAGCGGGCCGACGACGTTTTGCTCAAAGTGCTCCAGATAGACTCTGGGCGACGTCTCGAGCACGTCGCCGACAAAGCCTTGCACGCCTGCGTTGAAGATGGCGACGTCAATGGACGCAGTGTGCTCCTTGAGCTCCTCAGCTGCCTGCTTGACCGATCTCTCGTCGGTCATGTCCAGCGTGAGCAGAACGACATTTTTGTGCGTCTTTGCAAAATTGATGAGCCCGGAGGATCTGGCAGCATTGCGATACGAAGCATAGACCATCGTGTCAGCTTTGACTGCAAGCTGACGCACGAACCCAAAGCCTATACCGCGATTGGCGCCAATGATCAGATACGATGTCGACATGGAGATGTCTTTGCGCGGGGATGTCGGTCGGTCTGTTCAGCGATTGCTGCAGTGCGGTGCTGGTGCGGTGATGATCTTTGGATGCAGACCTCCTTGGGAGCCAAGCGAGGGGGTTGGGTCAGAGGACGCCACCTCGTGACCATAGCGGACACAATCTGGTCAGCGCTTGCTGATCCTCTGTTTGATCAGCAAGCCTCGCTGACCAGCCTGTCATGCTGTCTCGTGCTCTGTCAGCTCGACGGCCTGCATACCCTGCTTTTACGGCGATGTGACATGCAATCGAGCGCGCAATTCAAAAGGCTGACATGTCATGTCATCACGCAGAGTGCATGGTCTAGCTCTTGTGATCTGCTCATGATGCATCTTGGAATGCCTTCATGTACTTTGCGCTTCAATATGGCGTGAGCTGCATCGTCGGAGGAGTGCGTCAGCAATCATGTCAAGTGCTGTCGACCTAGAACCACGAGCCGGTGATGCCCGCTGATGTAACGCTGAGCAACACATTTCCGGCAGACGTAGCGGAGCTCGTTTCCGCATTGCAAAATGCATATCTTGCGGCGGGTGCGCATGTGCGCAAAGCCTATGGACGATCTATGACTACGAAGGTGAGATCGGCAGTCGCAATCTCAGTGTCTGCGTGGATGCCGCTCTGACGGGTCCAGCAAGTCCTGCTTGGTGTCAGCCCGAGGACATCTGCCGAGACTGGACTAGCTCACGCTTGACGGATGAGAGCATCACACTTGACTTGTGCTGCACCATAGCGATAATTCATATCCTCGACCATCTGACGAGTTTCGCTATGTAAGTAAGAACTTCATCAGATCGGGAAAAACAGTCAGTTTGCTTTGCGAAACATACGCAAACAGCGTGACTGTGACAATCGTGATTGAGCGGGCGCTCTTGCGAAGGAATGTATGACATACAGACGTAGCTCATTGTGCCGCTACAGCAGCCCAGGTCGCCGCGAGGTAGCGCTCTCTCGTCAAACAGCTGTGTCTTGAAAATGACTTGATAACGTGCATCTCTTCCGTTGTTACTTGTACCGAGCAGGTTCACTGTGCCGATGGTCGGATCGCCAAACTGGAGGGGCGGTTCAGTATTTTGGCTTGATGGCAGGGCGAAAGCGCACTCCTCTCCATCGGTTGTTGTCGAAAACAAACGTGATAGTCTTTGAGAAGAGTCGAGATCTACCCGTCACGGTCGAATGACCGTCATTGAGCTTGAACAAGATCTCTGCACTGCCTAGACTCTGATGGTTGGAACGGCCAGCGCTGGTTTGGGTGATGTTCGAGCTCACCGGTCACTTTGATTTGTAGGACTGCAAGTATGACGCGAGAGAGGGCAAGCAAGAGGCTGATGAGAAGCAGCATTGTGCCTCGGCTGAGATTTTGTGGGAATATGCGAGCTTATGGGAAGCCACACGCCGAAGCTGTCTGTGGCGGGCGATGCAACGTGTTCGAGTAGATAAAACTGATAACAATAAAAGTGCGACGCTCGAATTCGAATTCTGGAAATTGTGAAGAGCGAGCCGGCGTCAACGAACGATAAGCTGACAGTCGAGTCAAGATGGCTAGGATTGCAAATATGAGCATGCTCAAGGCGCCCATATGCCCGTCCAAGTGCTCGCATACACTCGCAACGCGTCTGCATGATAGGCCACAACGGAGGCAGCATGCAAGCGCCGCTGTCCCACTTTCCTCGAGCACTGTCGCTTCTGGCCTGCCAGTCATGCCAACGAGCTCGCGATTGGCGCAGATGAGGCGCAAGCTAGCTGCATCACCCCGGGAGCCTCTTGTCGACCGATTTGGGCGAAGACATGACTACTTGAGGATATCGCTGACAGGTACGAGCAAGCAATCCGACTCATGCCCGAGCTGACCGGCACCCTGAGCAGAGAAATGCAATCTGAGGTGTACGCTGGACTCCGTAAGCGAAGTATGAGGGCACAGGAGCTGACCGTGGAGCAGGCACATACTGTATGCCCGAACAAGGCGCGCCTCTTTCGCCAGCAGAGCACTTGCTATCAACGCCAGAGATCGCTCGGATAGCTCGGCTCTTTGTTGCAAATGGGGTGAGGAAGATCAGATTGACCGGTGGAGAACCTACACTGCGGCCAGATTTGCTCGACCTCATGGGTATGCCGCCTGGTCCTTGCTACCGGTATCCTTGCTAAGCAATCTGGGCAGCACAACTCGACTCGATGCATGGAGTCGAATCGATTGGCATCACGTCGAACGGCATCAAGCTGCTCAGACAGCTGCCAGCGCTCATCAGCAATGGTCTTACCCACCTCAATATCTCTCTCGACACGCTGGATCCGTTCAAATTTACGCTCATGACGCGACGGCAAGGTAGGTCGCGTAGCCATACCGCCGCGCATTGTTCATAGGGATGCAGGGCATTCTCGTGTCCTGCAGGCCATCGAAGGCGCCGTCGCACTGTTACACAAGCCGGATCGCCATGGGCGCACGCTCCAAACTGTCAAAGTCAACGTGGTCGTCATTCGCGGCCTCAACGATGACGAGGTACTAGACTTTGCAGCCCTAGCTGCCCGATTACCTGTACAAATTCGCTTTATAGAGTACATGCCATTTGATGGTGAGCCCTACGCAGCTACATGCTACCGCGCTGACGTCGTATCAGACAATCACTGGGAGCAGAAGAAGCTCGTGCCTTCCGCCGAACTGCTAGATCGATTACGACAGGTCTACCCCAGTCTGACACGTCGTCCAGCGCAAATGTCGGATACTTCGCGTGATTATGCGCCTTCGGTCTACGACACCGTCGCAGCATGGCGAGGCACTGTCGGCTTCATCAGCTCGATGACCGATCACTTCTGCTCTGGCTGCTCTCGTCTTCGCCTGAACGCAGATGGCGGCGTCAAAGTAAAGCGCCGCAGCACAAAAGCATCAGTGCTCGGGCTGACATCGTCTCAACGCAGGTTTGCCTCTTTGGCCCGCCCAAGCTCAACCTGCGCGAAAAGATCAGAGAGGGGCACAGCGATGCAAGGCTGCTCAGCGAGATTGGTGCCGCTGTTCAGCAGAAATACTTTGCGCATGACGGCAAATCGAGTCAGTCCCTTTTGTATCAATCTGCTCCGCGTAAGCTGACCGCCGATCTATCTCCTTTCGGTCATTCTTTGCGATACTCGTATGTCTGCAGGTCCGTCAGATATTGCCAAGAGTCGCAACGGTCCAATGGTACTGATTGGCGGCTGACTCGCAGGTGAGCAAATCCATCTCATGCTGAGTACAGATGCTGATATTGCTAGCATAGCGCCCGTCTTGCTCACCACTCGGGTGCCCATACATCTGCCGCAGCCATCTCTAGGTCCATCTACCCGGCGGCTATTCAGCACGAGCACGAGCCTTGCAAAGCTGACCCATCTCGATGGCAAGACAAGCAAAGCCCGAATGGTTTCCGTGACCGACAAGAGAACCACATCACGCACAGCATCAGCACGAGGAACAGTGCTCATCAACCAAGCTGCTCGCGAGCTCCTGCAAGCGCAAGATGCAAATCCCAAAGGCAACGTCTTTGCGGTAGCTCAGCTTGCGGGCATCATGGCTGCTAAGCAAACTCCTCATCTCATACCGCTTTGTCACTCTATCGCGCTCAGTCATGTGGACGTTGCGCTGGAATTGATCGACGATCACATCAACATCACTGCAACAGCGGCCTGCCAGGGACCAACGGGCGTCGAGATGGAAGCGTTGACTGCTGTCAACGTCGCTGCTCTGACAGTATGGGATATGCTCAAGAGCGTCGCAGGCAAAGACATGATCATCAGAGACGTCCGCGTAATGAGCAAGTCGGGCGGCAAATCGGGCGATTGGAGTCGGCCCTCCCTCACGTAATGCATCATCAGCACTTTCTCTTGTCACACGGTGTTGCATTATGCAGTAGCCTCGTGCGATCTCTTCACACCTCGCGACTCGTCCTGGACAGCGTATCGCGGCTGAAGAGCTCGCTTTTCTTCCTACACGAATCCCCGAGCGTCATGAGCGACTTTCGACATTGCTCAATCGGCTCGACGCACCACTGAGACATCGTTGTCTGCGTATAGACACCTCTGACCAGCCTTGAGCAAGACAGAAGAGTCTGGCACTGGCGTGGCGGCGGGCGCAGCTGCTGTGCTCGCCGCGGGCTGCGCTGATGGAGGCTGGGCTGCTGCTGGTACTGGCGGAGGAAGCGCTGCTGCTGGAGATGGCACGGCACCGGGTGGTGGCATCATACCGGGTAGGAGAGGCATGCCAGGCGGCGGAGGCGGCAAGTTCGCAAAGAAGCCAGGCGGAGGCATTGGGAAGCCAGGTGGGATCGGCATGCCCGGAGGAGGCGGCGGCAACCTGTATGCAGAATCTATCAGTCAACTTGGGCTGACTGTGCTCTCATCGAACTCACCCTGCTGGAGGTGCGAGAAACCTGCGCAGTGCGTATGAGTGAAGTGTAGGGAGATGGTTCGGAGGAAACATACCCTGGTTGTCCTGGCATTCCTGGCATGCCTGGCTGTGGATATCTGTGGTTAGCAACAGAATGTCAGCTGACAATGCATGTGGATATGATGCATACTTGCCCCATGGGTGGCATGCCTGGCGTGAAGCCAGGTGGCGGAAAGGGCGAGACTGGATACGGCTGAGAGGCGTTGTTGAGATCATTGGGCAGGAGGATGTCAGCAGTGGCGGGAGCAGCGACGCCGGACATGAGTGCCTTGTGAGTTGCAAGCTGCTTCTTGAGCTCCTCGATGGGGATGACGCCCTTGTTGATTTTGGGTCGTTTGACTTTGGTCGTCTCGAGTGTCTGACCGAGTTCCTCTGCTCTGCGCCGCTTCCATGCTTCTAGATCGGCGGCGGGTACGCCTACCATGCCGTAGATCTCGACATCGAAGGTGTCCCTGCCGGGCAAAGCATTGGTGATCCTGCCATTCGCTCGTCAGCTCTGTGGGAGCGCATGCGTGCCAGGACAGTGCTGACTTGTCTGTGGGTAGCTTGTGCACCTGATCGATGTGCACAGCCAGACCGCCAGCTGTGTTGAGTCGACGGGGACAGTGAGAGCACTTGAAGTGCCTCGCTTTCTGATGTTGCAGCAGGACCTTGTCATCTGTGCCAGAGCAAGTGAGCGGTGTTGCGTCACGTGCTAGCGAGCGACAGACCTTCGAAGGTACGCTCGCAGTACCAGCACCATGCCTCCAGCAGCTTCTTCTTGATCGCCTTGCTCTTCTTCTTCGCCATGACTCGGTTTCTTTGGCTGAGGAGCAGCCGTCGACCTGACGCCCTTTTCAATTTCGCGCTGACCTTCCGCGTCGATTGCCTGTCTGCGCCATCGGAGCGTCCCTCTTACGTCATGCGATCCCTCATCCTGCCCCTTTTCCTCGTCTTCGTCAGCAGTATCTATCAATGTGCTACACTCAGTCTTGAGGTCGACAGTAAGGAATCGTTCTTGGCGCATGCCGTGGCTCAGGCTTGGCTCAGTCCATCTCAATGCGCACTGCGAGTTCAAGCAGGACCATATCGAAGCATTGCTCGGGCTGCCTGATACTACAGTCCTTTTTCATCATCTCGAAGATCAAGGCTGGATTTATGTACGCCATTCGTTTGGAATCAGAAGGTGCTGTCTTCACATGACAGGCAATTCCACGACAGAGCTTTGATCACGCCCTGGGCTCAGGTGTAGAGTACCTCTATTCAGAAGAAAGTCGAGAGGGTGCAAAGGTGGCCTACAAGATCACTGCATGGGCACCCATGAATGGCGTCACAGGCGACCGTTCGTCACGCGCCACCATCACCTTCCGTGGGCTGACAGGCTGCTTGCTCGATAGCTACCGGTTTTGAGTGCTGCGCGGGCGAAACAAACGTAGTGGTCCTGCTGAGCTTGTATGCTACGGACTTCACAGCGTCATCAGATCGGCCGACTTACGGCCTGCAGAGTTGAGCCGCGCCTTGTCGAAGTGAAGACGGGGCGTTGGGCGTCCGCATCATGCAATCCAGATACTGAGCCAAGGTCGATACAACATCAAATACTGCTGCAGCTGAGCCTACTGATCCAGTCTGTGCAGTAATTGCTTTGCAAGAGGTTACAGAGGCACGATCTGTACAGTCGACGATGATAGAACATCAGTCGACTACTTTGTCGTCGACGAAGATGAGGATGACGAGCAGTAGAACAGACACATGTGCATGGCTGCCATTCGCGTAATGCAACCAGTCGTCGATGCGACAGAGCATCCTGCAGACTGCGTTGGGGTTTCGTCTCACGCCTTCGCATCCGCGGCCTACTCGAGTCCTTCTGTTTCTCCAAAGGCATCCGCATGGCTCCAATCTGAGCCATCCTTGCTCAACTCAGCATATAAACTCGGGCTCTGTACGTCTCAGCTGGACCGCTTTCGTCATGTCACATATGGCAACCATTGCAGTTGAGCGCTATGACACACCGACAAATCACCTCACGAACCTTGACTTCTACTCCTCGCGTCTTGCGATGGGTGCAAGCGATCAGATCGCCACATTACAGCCTGCATCGTCCTGCTGGTCCAGACTGTTATACGGCACCGAGCCAGCGATCGCCATACATCCTGTGGGTGCTTCAGGAATACATTTTATTACGCCGCATAAACTTCTGCTTCGACGAAAAGCCTGCAGCACAGTTGCATAAGCCGAGGGAGCAAGAGTTCCGGTGTTTTGAGCCGCGCAGAAGCCCTGCAAAATGCTACAGAGGATGTTCGCTCGATTGCAGAGCAAGGCTACTTCCATGTCCAACGAGATCAGCATTCGCGTCACGCGCAGCGTACTCACTGACATCCACGCACGCAAGTAAGAGCACTGTAAGAAGTCACGTAGTATGCGGACGGTTGTCAGACCTCCTCGTCAACCTCTCTGTGACCGCGAACGGCAGGCCGCGGTTTGACCCCTGCTGTTGTGCGACTTTTTCTCTGCGCCCATATCTCGAAAGCGCTCAAGATGCTCTGCTCTGCTCTCCTCTCAGTACTGCTCTTTTGCGTGCTTTCAGCGGTCTCGGCGGTCTCGCTCAAATGGCCCAAGCCCAGTGATCAGCCGTTGACTGCAATCTTCGAACTCAAGAGTGAGCCCCCGTCACGGCGATGCGGCGTGGGCGTGGGCGCTCATGGCGATGACAGTGTCTATGCTAGCAATGTGCGACATTGGTGATATATCGATTGACGATGTCGAGGCGACCTTTATGATACGAGGCGTCATTGGCGGACCCACAAAACTGGAGACTGCAAATCTTGCAGCCATCGAACCGGAATACCGCTGACCCTCTTTCGCAGATCGATTCGGGCACACAGGTTGATGCTATCAACTTGCTACGCCTCGAACGTACAAAAGACGACAACCTCGTCTCGGTAGAAGTAACAATCAAGACTTCAGGCGCGTCATCATCATGTAAGCTCGTACAGCCCTTGGCTGAGGGAATGAGCATACAGCGATCAAGCGTCCGTCTTGGGAGTCGGATGACCGGAAATGCTGCCTACCTTGGATACACATCTATCTCGATGTCTTGCTCGATGCCGGCTTAGCAAGACTCAATGGCATCGGCGCCTCTCGAGGTTGCCATCCCTTCCATGCGATCGAGCCTGCAGGTATCTGCAAGAAATACAGTCCAAGCAAGTTCTGCCACTGTCTTGCGTCGATCGGGCTGACCTGTCCTGACAGCGTTGTACGCTTGCTCGCGACTCTGGCATCACATCCTTGTGAATGATGAACCCGTGCTGGAACGCGATACAAGCTAGACAGGCTCTCTCGCGAAGACTAAAGAGTATCGTCTTGCATTGCATGAAAATCACAGGATATTTCTGGTGCAACGGAGATGCGCAACTTCGTTCAGTAGCCGCGAGGGGTAGGTGTGCACCGGCTTCATGGGACAGTCAGCGAGAAGCCTCAGCTCTCAGAATATGAGCCTACAAGCATACTTCGTCGTCGTTGTCTAAGTAATCAAAGTCGAATTCCTCGCCACACTCTACGCAAATCGCTGATGCGTAGCGCGAGTCTCGAGAGGAATCACGAGTGCTCCAGTGCCGCCAGCGCAAACAACTTGGAGTCTCCGACAAGACGAGATTGCATTCATTTAGGCGATGAAGTGCGAATAATACAAGAAACCAGACAGCGGTTCACGTTTGTTCTATAAGTTTTCATCCGTGATGTGGATCGTCTCGAGACTCCGGAGCGGAATTGCCGACGGTATAGAAATCGTGCGAATCGCTGCGGTTGTGCACGATGGTGAGCTGCTGAAGCTGAGTCAGGAAATCCTCCATCTTGCTGTTCTTCTTGCCGCGATCCGTTCGGCCAAGGTTATCGAGCCATTCGATCTTGTTGAGCAGGAAGTAGACCAGCGTGAGGACGAGCATGACACCGAGCGAGAAGCCCCAGACACGGACGACAGTAACGATATCAGTCTGCAGGAGGCGTCAGCTTCGACCACTTTGGCAGTCTGGCGTCGAGCTTACCCAGCCGTCACCATTGCGAGCGAATGTCTGGCCGTTCTCGCCAGCAGCACCAGAGAGCCAGCCGAAGACTAGGCGAGACATCAGCACACTCTCTTTGGAGCATCAGTGGGACTCACGACAGAAGATCGTAGCGATGGCATCGACAGCAAGGACGGCGCCGACCAATTGCCAGGAAGGCCAGATGAACTCGCCACCGTCTCGGCCTTGGTTGGTACGGGTCAAGAAGATAAGCCAGTTCTCGGTCAATGCAACCTCGAGGAAGAGAATTCTGCGTCAAAGACAGTCAGCACAGGCTTCCGAGAAGAGATGGCGATGACTGACTCTTGGACTGAACCGAAGTTGGCGATGACACCTCCGCCTTCAAGGAAGAGCGTGCCGCGGATGATCCAGGTGCCTGCCGCGAGCAAGATGCCGAGAACGGTGGAGATGACAGAGATCTTGGGGAGCTGCCATTCGACGGGCTTCTTGGCGTAAGGTGCGTTGTCGTATGCGATGGCAAGAGTGGCAACATCGGCAAAGATGGCAATGAAGACGATGAGATCGACGCGGATGACTTCGTTCTTGATGAGAATCGACAGCATGAGGTAGATTTCGAGATGCAAACCTGCGCAAGCAGGTCAGCGACTGTGTGCAGGTCACAAGCGAACAAAACGTACAGAGGGCGATACGGTAGATGATGTAGGCCTTCATGCGGTGGAAGATCTGACGGGAGACCTTGATGGCGGTAATGATTGTAGAGAGACCTTCGTCGAGGAAGACGACATCAGCGGCTGCGCGGGCAGCATCTGATGCGCCTTCGACGGCAATACCACAATCGGCCTTCTTGAGCGAGGGTGCATCGTTGACACCGTCACCCGTCATTGCAGTCAAATGGCCACGAGCCTGGCACATCTGAACGACTTGGTACTTGTGTTCGGGAACGACTTCAGCGAAGCCATCGGCAGCGAGAACGAAGTCGTGCAACTTGGAACCGGTCAGACCGCTGTTGAGGAGACGGGCGCTGTCGAAGACGTTGGTGCCCATGGACAGCATCTTGCAAGTTTCGACAGCAATGGCAGTAGCATCACCAGTCAGCATCTTGATCTTGATACCCAATTCTTGAGCTTCGGCAATCGTGTTGGCAGTATCCGAGCGAGGAGGATCGAACATGGGCAAGAGACCGAGCAGTTGCCAGTCCTGACCTTCTTCCTTCATGGCGACACCGAGCGAACGGAAACCGCGCTTAGCGAAGTCGCTGGTCGTTGCCTTGTACTGTTGAATGGCAGCCTTGGATGGGCTGGCGAGCTTGAGAATGGCAGAGGGAGCGCCCTTTGCAGCAGTGTACTTTTTGCCATCGCGAGTGACCTCGGCAGTAATTCGCTTGGAAGTGGGATCGAAGGGCTGGAACTTTTGAGTCGTCCAGCCTTGTGACAGAATTTCTTTTGCTTTGGGATAGTCCTTGAGCGTCTGGATAGTGACCTTATCGATGGGATCAAGTGACTTGGTGTTGTGAGATGATGCAAGGGCAGCGACAGCCATCATCCAGTTGACATCGACGCCCTCGCTCACGAAAGGCTCGTTGATGGAGAGCTTGTTGGCAGTCAAAGTACCGGTCTTATCTGAGCACAGGATGTCGACACCGGCAAGCGACTCGATAGCAGTGAGTTTTTGAACGATCGCTTGCTGACGGGCGAGGAAAGATGCACCGACGGCGAGTGTAGTAGTGGTGACGCAAGGCAGACCGACGGGAACACCAATAATCATGAAGATAAGCGTGTAGACCAGCAAGTTGTTCTCCTTGGGCGTAGCGATACCGACATTGCGGAAGAAGCCACCGATCCAGACTGTTGAGATGGATCAGCAGATAGACACAGGTAACAGACGAGCAAGCGCACCGATGAAGACGAAGAGAATAACGAGAACGAGGAGGGAGGTACCGATCTGGTCCATGACAATCTTGAAATGACCCTTGTCGTTGGTACCGGTGACGAGAGATGCAGTCTTGCCGACGAAAGTTGACTTGGCAGTGTTTGTGACGACGAGGTAGACCTTACCACGCTTGACACCGCAAGTGAAGAAGCATTCGTCGCCAATGTATTTGTCGACAGCAAGAGATTCACCAGTGATAGCAGCCTGATCAAGGGAAGCAACCGACGGGCCTTTATCGACGTATGACTCGTCGCCTTCGTCATCAGCATCGCCATCCGGGTTTGCCTTGTTCTTCTTGCTCGAGGCTTCGCGGCGCTCGGTGATTTGTTTCGCCTTCGAGCGATCCTTATCGTTGTATTCGGCAAGGATACGACCGTCTGCGGGCACAGTCTGACCTTCTTCAACGACGACAATGTCACCTGGCACGAGGTCTCTGGCTTCGATTTCGTGTTCTTCCCCGTTTCGGATGACCGTTGCGCGAAGTGCGATACCTGACTTGAGCTTCTCGACGATATCGCCGGCAGCCTGGGACATCGTCTTGTCAGCTCGGCGCCATAAGACTGCAAATCAACTTGCCTTTTCTTGAATAAAGCCGACAAATGCGTTGAGTCTGTAAAGCAATACATCAGGTAAGATCCGAATGTCGCGTTGATGGCAACATACGCTAGAATACCAATCTGTGGACAGGCGGCATGTCAACGGAGGTCACAAAGGGGTAAGAAGTACGCACGATGACACCGAAGTCGATCCAGTCTCGCAGACCGGCAGCGAGCAAGACCGCAAGTTCCATGACATATCTGTGGAGACACGGATGAGCTCTACAGCCGGTATACAGATTATCTGTTACTGACAGAATGGGACCACGCCAGAAGCTGAGGAACTTGATAAACATGTTCTCTCGCCTTGCGTCGAGCTCGTTGAAGCCGAATCGCTTCAGGCGAGCATCGGCCTCTGATTGGTCGAGACCTTTGAGCATGTCAGCCGTGAGCATATCCTCCGTGACCTGTATATGCAGCATTATGAGCAGTGGTGAGATCGAGTCTGTGGAGGTTACATACAGCTGCGCCGCCGACAGACGTCCGCGTCTTCTTCCACGGTGCATACCATACTCGCTTTTCTGTGTATTCGCCCTCTTCTTCGTCTCCGCCGTCGAGTGCGGCTTTCTTCTTTTGGGCAGCGGATTCATCGATATACTTGATCAGCATCGAATACTCATCTCCATCTGTTGGCGACACGAAGAGGGAGTGGGAGAGGTTGGGCGGCGATAAACAAACCAGTGGGTGATTAGGTGAAAGGGTCCATAGGAGAGAGCCAGCACAATCGGGCACGGAGGGGAGTACGCGGACAGAGGCGAAGGAGAGCCAGTCAGCGGATGTCCTCAGGCCATTGGAGGGATGCATGACTGACCGGCGGTATCATCTGAGGCGGTATCGCCCGAACCGGAGCCCAGCTGGGCGACCTTCTTCTCCTCGTCGGAGACCTTCTCCTGAGCCGGCATGGTGTCCTCTTGCTGCTGCTAGCTCTTCCAGATGGATTCCAATGGGTGGGCGACGAGCAGGCCGGTCAATGGTCGAGGGAGGTCGGCTGGAATTAGAGGTGACTGTCCGTAATCTCCACTATCGCAGGGGAGGCTCTTCTGGTCGTCCGCTCGGTGCTTTGTCGAGCTGAGAGGTCGCAAGAGGTCGAGGATGAGTCCGCGCAACTCCGACAAGTCGTCGGTACGGTGCTCGAACGACTCTTCTTGCTTCTCGCAGCAAGATCCTGCACACAACAGCCGCCGCCGTATCAAGCTGAGTAGAGTCCGCTTCCCATTTTAGAACCGCCGATCGACTTCGCGGGAATGGTTGAGCCAATTTCATTCGCTCGCGGCTGAACATTGATCAAAATTCGATTTGGGGCATTTTGGCAGACCGTGCCCATCTGTTAGCGAGATAAAACTACCGGCTCGAGCTCGAACACGGTTGTGAGTGCGCGAGTGCGAGAGTCGCATCTCGAGAAGCGTTGGCGACATGTCGCTGCTCGGACGCGCAAAGGCACTCTTGCCATCTGGCAAGAACATACAAGCACTGGCGCCTTCCCCCGACGTGTCAGCTACCACATCGACTTTGCCGGCTGTCGATTCTGAGCCGGCTAGCCTGACACCACAGCGACGGGGCAATGGACGAGCCGACCTGATAGAATACCCGGTAGAGTTGGAGAAAGTTGGCGACGATTTGTACAGGAGCTGTCGACTGTTCAAGCCGTCAGTCGGTCCAGGAACGTAAGTCGCCGCGTCGGCTCGTAGTCAATTAGCTAGATGTCGGTCGCAGGTATGGCGGCCAAGTATTGGCTCAAGCCGCTTGGGCTGCAACACAGACCGTGCCACCGGAGCTCTCTATGCACGTGAGCTCATAGCAACATTCACGCCAAACGTATGCTAAAGTCTCCGTCTAGTCACTCCACTCGTATTTCTTGCATCCCTCCGATCCCAACGTACCGCTCGTTTATCGTGTGGAGCGTATACGGGATGGAAGATCGTACGCGACTCGGCTGACGACTGCAAATCAGAAGAACAAAGTCGTCTTTACTATCACTTGCAGTTTCTCGCGCCCGGAACCCATTCAGACCTTAGACTATGCGCCGCCGATGCCAATACCCGAATTGAAGCCAGACAACTGTATAAGCGCAGAAGACAAGCTGCAGAATTTCTTTGACAAGATTGGCAAGAAGCTGCCCAAGGAGCAGCGCGAGCAGCTACGAAACGGCATCCGAGAACGCAAGCGAATGCCTGTCGAAGTCAGAAATGCGCAGGCAAATGACGCGGATATGCTTATGGCCGACGGAGAGAATAATCAAGCCTTCTGGTTGCGGCCGCGCGGTCGCGTGCGCAACGATCTCGCATTTGCAAAGGTCAGTGCAGACCTCGGCACTGCTTGCACAAGGCTGACTGTGACGTGTAGATTGTGCTGCTTTACATGTCAGAGTATGCTCAATTGACCTTCTCCAACGTATGGACTAAGCAGGCGAAGCAGTCTTGGCATTTCTTTTACCGTCTCCAAAGCGCTCGGGCTGGACAAGATGTCAGATCCGCCATTAGGCACAATGGTATCATTGTCAGTCGCTCCGTCGTCCTAGCAGCGACTGTGCTGAAAGTTACGGGCCAGAGACCATTCCGTACATTTCTACTTTGATGAGCAAGTGCAGTCTCGTTTGCTTGTGTCTGTTCTGACGTGCCGTGCAGCTGGGACCCTTCTGGCTGGACATTCTTTCACTTGACTTGCCCCGTCGCAGGCGACGGTCGAGGCATAGCAGAAGGCCAGATGTGGACAGAGGATGGCAAATTATTGGCAATTGTGACGCAAGAAGCAGTCTGCAGAGCCGATAATCGCGCAGAACTGCGCGCTCAGAAGCAGAAAGAAGCGTCTGATGCACAGAGCCCATCAGCGAAATTGTAGCGTCCCTTTCTTGTGTGTAGCGCATCCATATGTTGACACGGTTGTACAACAAGACTGCAACTGAATCACTACCACAGCCTGGGCAGCCAGCTCGTATGGCTTGTCTTCTTGTTCTTACTCGATCGCTTCTTCTGCTTGCGCTTCCTCGCTGCCTCCTTTGCCTGCCGCTCCGCAATGACATCGAACTTTTCCCGCTCGAATTCCGCCTTGATAGGATGCGTCCGCCCTTGCACTTCGACCAAACCTAGCTTGCTGTGTGGTATCGCGGGCTCTGGCTCGCTGGGATGACCATACTCTGCGTATTCGTCATCTTCGCCCTTCACGGAGCCTTTGAGATCCACGATATGGGGCTCAGCTTCTTTGCGTCGCTGCAGCGCCATATCGTAGACATGCAGATACTATCACACAGGATCAGCAGAGCTTCGGAGCAAATCCAAGGACTTACATGATCGAGAGGGCCTCCTTCTCTATCCCAAGCTAGACTGAGCGCGCTAGCCACCATATGACGGGCCTGCAGCTCGCGCATCTCCCAGCTATGCTCGGAGTCTCCCTGCATGGCTCGCCAAGCAGCGATGGCTCTCCGCACAGCGATGAGGAGATGTGCAGTCGCTAGATGTAGCTTGGCAGTCGGACTTCTGCTAGGCACATCGCCGAATTTATAGGTTGGCTGACTGGCGGATACGTCGGGCGAAAGATCCGCGAGAGCGTCGAATAAGAAAGCGTTCCCTTCGATCTCGAGCTCGCTGGCTTCATATTCTGTCAGGAACTCTGCTAACCCGCCAACCCCGCTTGAAATGACGGGCATGCCATAGAGCAAGCCTTCGGCAGCTATGAGCCCGAAGCTCTCGGCGAAACTGGGCACAAGCGCAAAATCGCTGGCCATACGTATGAGAGAGCCCCAAGCTCGCTGGGTCGCTTCGTCCTCAATGAGTGTAAAGTGCGTGGGATGCTGTTTTTGTAATGCAAGCAGTTTTTTGCGTGGAAAGTTGTTCGGTGCGCCCATGACGACCAGCCGCGCGTCATTGAGATGACTGCCTCGCTTTTGATCCAGGAGCTGTAATAGCGGCGCGAAGAATTCGCAGCCTTTGTTATACTGAAAGCGACCTCTGCCACCATAGCGTTAGCGGGGCCGCTTTGACTTGAAAGCACCTACATAAAGAGTAAAACTGGCCGCACAAGATCAGCCTGAGAGAAGTGCTGAGGTAGATGCTCAATGAGGATGCGCAAGGCGCGCTCTTTGGCCTCTATGAACGACGAGGCAGGCAGTATTGATGTGACAGCGTCTCTGCGTTCGAATGTGTGTGTGTCAACCAAGGCATCGCCACCCACGCGGGGAAAGGATACGCCATGTTTCTGTAGCAAGGCAGACGAGAATGGGTTCTTCTCATGGTCAGTAAAATCGAGACCATTGGTAATGCCGACAAAATCGCCTTGCGTCGCTTTAGCTTGTATCGCAGGCATTACCCATTCCTTAAGGTAGAAGTCAAAGCGAGCCTCGACCATCGCTTCAGCTGTCGGCTCGGACACAAGTGTAACGACGTCTGCTCGCTCTATCGCCATTGCCGAAGGGAAAACGCGCTGACCGTGCACAAATTCGTCGAAGTGGTGGGTGTCGAGACTATCAAAGAAAGGCCGCATGTTTGCGAGCCAATTGCTATACTCTAATTCGTCCGTGTAGTCGTGGAGGGTGTAGACGACAGCTGGCGCCTTGTGACCTGGGAATTTGCGCCCTTGGTATTCATCAAGATAGCTCATAACGAATGCGTTCGTTGCACCGTGCAAATGAACAATATCAACACCTGTTCGCACGTCCTCATCGCTATTCGAGTCTTGCTCGTCGGCTTCGAACACTGACGCGCCAGTATCGGTAGCAAGGAATGACAAAAACTCGGCAGCTGCTTTCGCGAACCAGAGCTCTTTCCATTCTTGTGGCAAAGGTGCATATGACGAGTAGACGTCTTGAGCCGAGCTAGCCTTGAACGCATTCTTGAAAGGCTTTTTGTCGCCTGGACCGACGAGATAAACGTCAATATGCATCCGCTCCAGTCGCTCCGCTCGCTCGATCTCGTCCGGGTTGAGGAAATCGTCCACTTGATAGCCCCATTCATATTTGTAAATGTGACAATTGACGGTCTGCTCCGTGCCGCTGAGCTTTGTTTTGACTGCGAGCTCTGCAAAAGTTCGTGGACGGGGCTCCAGCGACTCGCGGAGATACGAGTAGTACGGCATGATTATTGATACATTGAGGCGAGGAGAGTTCTGTTCGGCGATGGCCAATGCAGTCAAGGCTGTCCCCATGCCGCCCATTGAGGCAGGTCCAAATTCTTTCGTCACATGGAAGACGCGCGTCTCGTCTGGTAGAGCCAGATGTACGTTTGTATCGATGTGATGGTATTCGACGGGCACGTAAGTCGCGCGCTCTGCCTAAGTCATGAGCAGCGTGAATTGGCAGTTGCAGATACACGTACGAATGACAATGTCGTTGTCGCCGTAAGAACGTCCCATTAACCAGGGCCAGGCATATCGCCATAGACCGATCATGCAAAGAACGAGCGTGAGTAGCAAGAGCCATACTGAGCCGCGCTTCTGCGTGAGCAACCCCAACGGTGCGATGGATGGCTTGCGCAGATGGCCAGCACCGGCTCGATTGCCCCTTTTCTGATTTTCGCGCGGCCGGGCAAGCGAGGTAGCGAACGAGAACCCCTTGTCTTTCTCGACAGCAGTCGAAGCGTGTCGTGCTCGCAAGGAGGGATTGCCAGCAAACAGCCTGCCATTGGCAACAGCGGGGGCCTCATCTTCATTGACGGCTGCCAGAGAGGACTTGCTTGATCCTCGGGGCGGTGTGGCGGGGCCAAGCTCTGCTGTGCCGACAGATGGAGCGGCTGTCGCGTCCTCGTAAGTCTCATTGTACGAAGAGCAGATTTGCACACCTTTGGTGTGACCTCTCGTCTTGGCTTCCGGCGAAGTTGCTACGCGCATTCCCCATGCTGAGAAACGCTTCTGAGTTCGCATATTGAGTGGCCGCCGCGAGCAAGCGCATCTTTTTGCGACGCGACATGCGCGACAAGGCTCGACGGCTTTTGCTCGATACGCCAAGTCTTATCTGTGGTCAGCACTGTCTGCAGCTTTATCGATGCCTTCCGCTGCAGCTCAGTCTTGTGCCGAATGCCAGTTAGGTCGCAGCAGCAAGCACAATCTACCTGCATGATAGCCCGGAAGATGCAGCCATCCTAGATTTCGGGACCTCCTGTCCAGATCAGGTCGCGGCCATCGCTGCACTGCCAGACACAAAAGCCATGCATCGCAAGGGATCGACTGCATAGGCGATATAACTCACAAAGCGCGGTGTGCAATGGGCTATCATGGAGATCGCCTGCATATTCGCCACTATGCAAGCGACGACGGAGCTCTCGTCGACAGGCTAGCTATTGTCACACAGCATGTAGCAATTTGTCAACGTCGTCGCGGCAGAGAGCGGCAGCGCAAAGCCGTTGGCCACGAGCCTCAGCGTTCCGGCGTGGGATGCAGGCATGACATGTGATTGCCAATCACTGCTTCTTTCCAATTGCAGCAATATGCGGTCAAATAATGCATTCGGAAGTCTCTGAGATATGATCACGCATACTCAACGTCCTGAGCACCGTGATCGCGTCGCCGTGCGTTGTCACGGCTTGGGCCAAGTCAGCGATTTGGATTGTTTGCTGTAGATTATGTGTTGCATCAGCTATCGAGGTCGAAAGGCGCCAATAGTTTAATGGTAAAATAAGAGCCTTCCAAGCTCTGGCTCTGGGTTCGATTCCCAGTTGGCGCATTTTTGCCGCGTGCTAGCCCGGTCTTTTGCAGCATCCGTCACTGAGGCGTTCGCGCATATTTTCGGTTGGTCTGCTGGGCACTAGATGGTCGATTGTCAGAAGTTTCGCGCGAGACGGGGATTGAGCAATTATTGGCACGCGAAGTGAAGCTTGCGACAAGAAGCACTCAAGCAGAGCCTATGTAGCAGTATGCGCAGGGGTAGTAGTATACGGTGGCTGTCATGCATTGATGAGCTAGCTTATAAAGTCTGCTCTTGAGACTGGCCTGCTCGAAATGCAATACGCTTTGGCTACGCGCTTCTCACTGAGAGTATCCACAGCAAGTGATGCTTCTCCGCTTCAGTCTGCGGAGCCATTCAAAGCTCTGTGAAGGCTAGCAAACCGCTGCAAAGCGTTAACACAGACGTTTTAATCCATCTATATAACTCTGTCCGTCATTCACAATTGTGCGAGTTCAAAGAGGACTTTTGCCGGACGCCTCATCAAGCCAAGTTGTATATTCGACAACTTGTTGACAAGCAATCACATGTCAGCCACTTTTCTGCTCATCCACTGAAAGGTGACTTGTTCCTCAATGACCTCGCAGTGCCCTGTGCGTGGCATAAGCCATTGAAGTTCTGCGATCATCTGTCGCACAGATTGTGGCACTGTATAGATGCTCGCAAAGAGGTACTCCTTTACCAGCGCGAAAGTCAAACTCCGGACGAGCCTCGAGCATCTGCACTTGTCCTGCTTGCCAATCAGGCTTTGCCACGTATCACAACTTGCAAGGACTTGCGTGGGATAAAGTAAACAGCCGAAGTCAAAAGCCAATTGATCTTGCAGCAGCGCGAAAATGCAGCACCTGCATAACGCATTCAGTATCTAATCATTGCCTCGACGCGCGATGCTACAGACTGTACAGAGCCGAGCCGGCATCGATGGTCATGGTCGTGTTGACGAGCAGTGGGAAGTAGGCAGCATCTGGTAGTTCTACGAGCTCCTTGGCCATTGCTTGCATGTCGTTAGGTCGACGTTCATCTGCATAAGCAGAGATGGGGGAGTTGTCGAATTTAAGGATGCGAATGCGCGCTGTGAAGCTACCGTCCACGCCAGCATGAACAAGCACCGTCTCTGCGGTCGCTCTGATGTTGCAAGAAACACCTGCCGTGAATTTGATGTTGTAGTTTGCGGTCTTGTAGCGAGACTTGCGTGATAAGGCCATCGGTGCGAACAAAAGCAAAAGTGTCGTATAGCAAGCAAGCATGATACTTGAGCAATGCCGCAGACAGAATGACGGATCAGGAGGAATGCATCAAGAAAGCGAGGGGAAGACATCGCGCTGCTGCTGTCACGGTGCTCGCTCTACTCGACTAGCGCGAAAGCCGAAATGTTTCCGCGTTGACACGCCATGTCGAACATAGACATGCTCAGCCCGACTGCGGCTAGTCCGCATGTCACAGCTCCCGGCAGAGCTAGCAGCGTGATCAGCAGCGCAGTGACGGGCCTCACAAGAGATGGCTCGGCCGCTTCCGTCTCTCTTGCGCTCCGTAGACTCGTTGACCCAGCATTCGAGCAGCACGATCCCCTCAGCCTGCCCAAACTGCTACAAGACGTCGATAAAGCACTGAGCACCGGCGAGGCTGTCTCACTAGACAGATGCATCGAGCATTTACAGTCTGTCGAGGCGCATATGACGTCTAAAGGGTTGGCTACCGTGCCAGAGTCATTCAACGAGCCGCTTGACGAGCGTATCGAGGCTATCGGGAGAGACCTCAAGGAGGCATTCGCTCATCGAGAGCGTGTCAGGCTTTCGAACGCAGTGGCAGCATCGACGCTCAACTTTGCGTTTGGCCGCTAAGTCAGGCTTTCGAGCGTGTCACTCGGTCAACATTGCCAGCTTGTCCTGTCTTACTGCGTGCGCTCCGCCAGGTAGCCAAACCGCGTTCGAAGACGGCGCGATCTACTCCGTTGGGTGTGTGTATGAACGTGACCCCCAAACTGGCGACTTCGGAATTGCGACTCTCGTCGTCGAAGAAGACCATCTGCGCATACGGAATTTTCGTCTTCTCGTGCAGTTTGCGAAAGTGTGTCAGCTTGCTGCCTATACCTCTATGTCGTCAATACAGAGCTATACGAGCTCGCGAGACTCACCTGGATAGATCTCGAGCGTGTCAAAATACTCGATAGCGGAACGAGGCGAGACAGGATGAGGCATCAGCAGCTGCGTCAACGCTTGACGTGCACTATCTGCTGCGCACCTTAGCATCAGGCAGGGCAATCCAAATAGATCTCTCACACTGTAGGCGCAGATGTCCTCGAACATGCTGCAACATGAATCTTCGAGTCTCTCAGCTGAGTGAGCAGCGCAGGAACATGGTCGTAGAATGAAAGCGGTCGGTTTGACCTGCGCCCCAGGCATGAGACGAGGTCACATTATGGATGTAACGCAGCGTGCCTATCGTAGATCTTATTGAGCTCATTGCCGCGTCGTCTGAGAGGCGGTGAAACGTGTGTGTCCACCCACAAGTCCCAGAGCGTATAGTCCAGATCAAAAGCGACCAAAGCAGGCAGCTCGTTCTCAGCCATGGGCGCAGGATTTGTCCCTGCCCGCTTGCTAAATGTAGGAGGTCGATTCAAGTGTATCTGGGATGTTGACGCGAGACAACCCACGCGACGAGATCGACATCGGCCGCCGAGTGAAAACCCGCCTAGCTCGAGTCCTGTGTGGTAGCCAGGCAGGGAGAAGGTAGATCCTGTCCTCGGATTTGGCGATACACTGCTTCGTGCTCGAATCATCACAGACGCGGACGCCTCCGGTTTGCCGCAAACGAGGCAGTTTTATCACTTGCATCGCCCTTGTTGCGCCTCACCTCTCCTTCGATCGACTGGGGCCGACGGCTTTTCCACTCATCTTCGCAGTTCGCCTGGTCGGTGGATACGATCTCAAGGTGACTTCACCGAGGAATCACACCTTCTGCTCGCCCGGCTAAGCTCGCTGCAAAGCCGTGCCTGGCGGAGAAATTTGAGCAGCTCATCTTTGTCTCTGCTGGCTCCACCAACGTTGGCCGGCTTTCGAGTCGTACTTTTTCATTGCTTGGTCGAGCGCCGCAGCAAGTGCGTTGCCATATTCCTGCGCACGGACGAATAAGTGAGCCCAATCTCGTTCCTTTGGGTCGAGGCCCGAGTCTGATCCTCCTAGTTTGCTTTGGCAGACCGACCAGATACGGTTCGACTTGCACTCTGTCGTTTGAGCCTCGTAGAACTGGGCAACACTCGCGACCAAGCTTTGCAACAATCGGGCGACCGTTCGCGCACTTGGAAGAATTTGCGACATTTCACGTTCTTCAGATACACCGAAACAAAGGGTATGTGCTGCCTACGTGACCGCTCTGAAACTCGTCCATGCTTCTCCTCCCTCTGTATCATCGTCACCTGACCTACATCTCCCCCGTTACCACGATCTCACAAGCAGATGGACTGACGCGCGGCATGGGCAGGATGCAAAGACAGTAGGCAAGATTGCCAGCTGAATAAGATGAGCTCCTACAACTGGACCGGAAACGGAGCCTCCGACGGACAGCGGGGCAGGCCTGCTCGTCAGGCACAACCTGCCAACACGCCTTTCTTCGCAGGCGCGCCAGACCGGCCAGAGCGTCAAAGACCGAGCTCGGCAGATCTCAACCCATACGGCTCACAGCAGTCAAGCAATTCGTCCAATGAAGATGACAAGATGTCTTCATCCACTCTGGCGAACAGCGCGAGCCGCGGGGTCCCTCTCCATAGCGACTCGAGCTCGAGCATACAGAGCAAATCGCCCTTTATGCACAATAACGATGTCAGATCTGCTCTGCCCACTTTGCCGATCCTCACTGCATCCGGACCACAGCAATCTTACAGAGGCGAATCGAGACCGAATCTCCATCCCCAATTCACGGATGATAACGTGCGACCGGCGGGCGCGAAAGGTCTGGCAGGTGCCCGCTTTACCCCTACTGCCATGCAGTCTGGCAATGCGTACAGTGCCAATAACGACGGTGTCAGGAGGAAGAAATCACTCGTAAGACCTGATCGTGAAAAGATTGACCCAGGTCATCGACTCTATAACTACCGCAATCATGCGGCGGCGATGCAGGCTGATGGCACCGGTCGTGTCGGCTATTCTACAACTGGCAATCATCCCAATACTGCACCTACGCAGCCTAAGCAGACCGTCAGCATGTCAGGCAATGTCAGACCTGGAGCACCCAACTATGCAGTCCGATCGAATCCTGTCAGATCTGCAGCAGCAGCTACTGTCGAAGGTCTACGTCGTGGACGATCGATCCTTGCGCGAGAGGAAGGCATGGCAAACGAATCCGGTCTCAACTTTCTCAAGCGCGGTCCCACTCGCACTGGCTCGGCGTCAAAGGCAGATATCTTAGCCGATCGCAGGCGCCAACGAATTCCGGAAGAGAAGGGCAAGAACGGCAAGGCTCCGCTCGGACCGTGGATGATATATTGCAACATCATCACCTGCTGCTGTCCGGGATTTCTGCTCTCCGGATGCGGACTGCGCACAAGGGATAGACAGCGCGCATGGCGAGAGAAGATCGGTCTGCTCGGCATCATCTTCGCTCTCATGGCCGGCGTCGGTTTCCTGACGTTCGGCTTTACGCAGAGCGTCTGTGGCAAACAGCCTCTACGATACCGTGCTGGCACCGTTCAGGGCGGCTCAATGATCTACCACGGATATGATTACTCGATGGACAAATTTGACCACCCCGCTGCAGCAGGCATCGCAGGTGGTATCGGCAACAACCCGCTCTATTCAAATTTCAATGCAGGATCCAAGGATGGCTCTTTCCTGTTCCAGAACGTCAACCAAAAGTGCAAAGGCATCATCACCCCAGCAGCTGGCACTGGCATTCCTGTCGATGCCGAGGGCAACATGGGCTGGTACTTCCCTTGCAATATCTACGATCAGTATCTCGGAAGCAGTATGCCTAACAAGACAGGCTACGCCACCGGTACACTCTGTCACACCGCTTCGGATGCTCGCACGCTCTTCGAGCAGACGACGACGCAAGAAGTCATCGGCATGCAACGTCAAGGCCCAGTCTATTACACGTGGGATGACATCAAGAACGATACGCGCAATCTGGGCGTCTACCAAGAGCATGTCCTCGATTTTGACCTCATCAAATGGCTGGATCGTTCCCAAGTCGACTATCCGACTTTCTATGACTCGCTGGCAAACGGCAATACCAGCTATTCGGGGCGAGATATCACGATGCAGATTTTCAGGGACTCGCAGCGCGATCTCATCAACTGTCTCATCGATACAATCAAAGTCGGCGTCGTCGATACTAAGACGATTGGATGTATGGCGGCAGACGTCGTGCTTTATGTCTCGCTTGTCTTCATCGTCGGCGTCGTTACCATCAGGTTCGCAATGGCCGTTATCTTTGGCTGGTTCTTGTCTTGGCGACTCGGTGCGTTCCGCAACGAATCACTCGAGCAAAGGCGCACTCGTGCCGCTGCTATCGAGCAATGGACGGACGACATCTATCGCCCCGCTCCTGCGCGCTACCGTCCTAATGTTCCCAAGTCTGCAAAGCAAGCACGAAAGAGTATGCTGCCTACAAAGAGTCGTTTCTCCTCGGCCGTGCAAGCACCGCCAAAGCAGAACAGAGATTTCACGCCTTCGAGTGATCCTCGCCGTTCGATGGCGCAGACTGCGTCCGTCTATGGCTTGCCGGGCAATAACAGCAAGGCAAAATTCGCTTCTGGCTTGCGCTCGTCGCCGCCAAGCTCACCCATTAAGGGCTCGAGGAGCTCCCAGAGTCTCGGATTTTACAGCAAAGACAGCTATGGCCAATCACGTCGCTCATCGCTCAGCGCAGAGGGCATCATGGGCTCGTGTCCTTTCCCGCTCTACGGGGTCGTGCCACAGCCGCCAAAGGACTATATGCCATTCAACTTCCCCCTTGCGCATGCTATCTGTCTTGTCACAGCCTACTCGGAATCTGTCGAAGGTCTGCGTACGACTTTGGACTCTCTTGCGACTACCGACTATCCCAACTCGCACAAGGTCATCCTCGTCATTGCCGATGGTCTCGTCAAAGGATCCGGCAACAAGCTCACAACGCCTGATATTGTGCTTTCCATGATGCGCGATCTCGTCGTGCCTCGGCAAGACGTCGAAGCGCATTCGTACGTCGCCATTGCAGACGGGCATAAGCGTCACAATTATGCAAAGGTCTACGCTGGCTTCTACGACTATGACGATGATACAGTCGAGACGTCGAAGCAGCAGCGCGTACCGATGGTTTTGGTCGCCAAGACGGGCAACGAGCTCGAGCAAAATGATGCAAAACCGGGCAATCGCGGCAAGCGTGATTCTCAAATGGTTCTGATGGCATTTTTGCAAAAGGTCATGTTTGACGAGCGCATGACGCCTTTCGAGTACGAGTTCTTTAATTCGATCTGGCGATGCACTGGCGTCAGTCCAGATCAATACGAAGTCACTCTCATGGTCGATGCCGACACCAAGGTCTTCCCGGATTCTCTGACTCGAATGACGGCTTGCATGGTGCACGATCCAGAGATCATGGGTCTATGCGGTGAGACCAAGATTGCGAACAAGGGTGATACTTGGGTCACTGCTATTCAAGGTCAGTTCTTCGACTGACCATCTCAATAAGAGACTGATCTCTCATAACAGTGTTTGAGTACTACATCTCGCATCATCTGACAAAGGCGTTCGAGTCTATGTTCGGCGGTGTGACATGCTTGCCGGGCTGTTTCAGCATGTATCGCATCAAAGCACCCAAGGGTGCAGACGGCTATTGGGTGCCTATTCTTGCCAATCCGGACATCGTCGAGCACTATTCCGAGAATGTCGTCGATACTCTACATAAGAAGAATCTCCTGTTGCTGGGAGAGGATCGATACCTGACGACACTCATGCTCAAAACATTCCCGAAGCGCAAGATGATGTTCTGCCCTCAAGCCGTCTGCAAGACGGTCGTACCAGACACCTTCCGCGTTCTGCTGTCGCAGCGTCGCCGATGGATCAACTCTACCATCCACAATCTCTTCGAACTCCTGCTCGTACGCGATCTCTGTGGCACCTTCTGCTTCTCCATGCAGTTCGTCGTCTTTATGGAGCTTGCTGGAACAATGGTCCTGCCGGCAGCCATCGCATTCACGATCTTCTTGCTGGTCAAGACTGCTTTGCCGACAAAGCCAAAGCCCATCATTCCACTCATCTTGCTTGGCATCATTCTCGGCTTGCCGGGCCTGCTCATCGTCGTGACATCTCGCCGTGTGACTTACCTTGGCTGGATGGTAAGTCGCCCCCGCTGATAATTGACTCACGCTAACCGCCCGATCAGCTGATCTATCTATTCTCGCTGCCGATCTGGAACTTTGTTTTGCCGACATACGCATACTGGAATATGAACGACTTGTGAGTACAGGCCACAGCCTCATGCAAATCAGACTCATTTCCCCTTGTGCAGCTCTTGGGGCGAGACACGCAAGATCATAGGCGTCGGTGCAGACAAAGGCAATCACGGCGACAAGGAAGGTGTCTTTGACTCGACCATGATCACTATGAAGCGGTGGACGGAATGGGAGCGAGATCGTCGCTTCCGATCTGGCACACAGTCTCGCGAGTCAATCTATGAGTACAGGTCGGCCTCTCCTAAACGCTTGCCCAATGATCGACACAGCATCGTATCTTCTGCCGATACGATGCCCAATGCCGCGCCAGCTGTTGGTCCAGAGAACTATACTAAAGGCGGTCAGATCCAATACAACGAGATCAGTCGGCCTCTCTTCTCGCCCCAGCAGGTGCCAGGCTACCAAGACTACGACTCGTCGCCTCGAGCCATGCCTGTCCGTCGGCCCGAGAGCGTCGCTGTTCTCGAGCTACCCGCGCCGCTAGCTTCGCAAGCAGGTTCGGCTGGCCTATACGATCCTCCATTTGACGATCATTCATCGCGGAGCTGGGACGTCTCTTCGCGTGATCAAGCGTCAACGCCAGATTTGCCAGGCGTCGTCAGGCGGTTCACTGGCGCGCCGCCCTCCGCTGCGAGAACGCAAGAAGAGTACCCTCGTCATCCTTCCGATAATTACGATAGCGACGATGTGGAGCGCGAACATATCCTAGATCATCACGTCTCGCCTGTCGTCAGTCCTACCATGGGATCGATGGCATTCGAATCAGTCAGCAATAACCCTTATGCTGCTCATCTGCGCAGCGAATCACAAGACGCTAGCCGGCCAATGACTGATCAGCCTGCACAGGCTGGCGGCCTACGCGAATCGATCTCCAGCCGTTTCGCGCCCGTCTCGCTCGTCGACGATGGCCCGACACCGTCTGAATCTGGTGACATACGTGTCGTCCAACGACAAAGACGGAGCTCTAGCAATCAGCACCTTCGCGGCGCATCCTACAACGAGCCGATCTCGCCCTCCCTACCACCGGGCGCAGGTCCGGCTCGATAGACTTTGATACACCCCTCAGCTCATGACCGAGAGCTACACAACTTTTGCAGGCAGGCGATCCTCCGCAGCATGGACATTCACTCTCTTGCGCGCAAATCAGAACAGCAATGGACATTCTAGCCTTTTCAGTTGTCTTTCGAGATTGTAGAAGTATATGGCTTTGTTCATCTAGAGGCATCAGATTTGAATGCTACAACAGTACAGTCAGCGTGTCCCTTGAAGCTCATGGTGAGCTGTGCTTGGCATTGGTGGCAGAATTGGTATCTGTGATGAGAGCAAGTCGATCTGCTGCTGCCTTGTCTGCGTCGAAGTCTTGGTCCAATCTCTTCAGACCGGGCTCGAGGCTCTCAGCGGTTGTCTTCTCCGGCGATGAAGCGGTAGGTAGTGTGCTCGTCGAAGCAGCATCCGTCATCAGACTGTCCATTTCGTCAACTTTGCCAGCGGTTGCTTGCGCTATATCCCTTGGCTCCGGATCATCAGGTGGCAGTGCGACAGTACTCAGAGCGGGACTCCTGGCTGCCTCAGCAGGTTTGCTCGGTATAATATCGACGGGCAAGGCAGATGAGACTGATTGATTGTGCGTATTGACCGTCTGCATTGCCTCGTTTGCGCTTGCGGGTATGGAAGACATGAGCGGTGCAGGTCTGCCACCTCGGGGTAACGAGACATCTGCAAGTGCAGCAGTAGGTGGTGCTTCTTCTAACGATGACATATCTGTCGGAGCGGGTGTCGCTCGCACTCTCTCCCTCTCGGGCGACGAACGCGAATCATCTAGCCTGAAATCACTAGCCAGGTCATCGTCATCTGTTGCGACGTGACCATTCGTCCGATTCTGCAAGAAGGGAATAGGCGAGAGCAGTGGTGCCGAAGCAGGACTGGGGTGAGTCGATCGCGGCATGATGGCCGCCAATGATCCCACACTGGCCGGTTCAGTAGGATCGTTGGAAATGCCTCCTGAGAGTGATGTCACATCGTAGGTATACGTGTCCGGCGGGAAGTCAGACGCGGGCAAGCTGACCAGTACGGTCTTTGTAATCGAGCGTAAGTATTTCGGCAGTTTGGTGTAACCCTTCCTTGGCTCAAGAACGAGTTCACATAACCTTTGCAGGGTGAACGGCGGTCTGTCATTCGTGTATGAGATCGGCATGTAGGGCGCGCTAGAGAGAGGGGCCATACCCTTGTGAAGCGTCAAGGAGGGCAAAGATGCGCTGCTTGTGCTCATCAATCTCACTGGCGTCCATCGCGAACGGCGGATTGGAAGCTGTGTTGAAGAGCGCATCCGGATTCGAGCTGAAGTCTCGGATGATCCGCTCGAGCTTGTACTTGATGATGTTCCTGAGCAGATCCCAATTGGCGCTTTCCTCCCGACTTCAGCCATGACAGTGCCCCGGCAATCCGAGCGAACCTGGTAGTAGCTTGTCTTGCCGCCGAGAAGAGTATATCATCGTGCTCTGGGCTTGGCGCTTTCGTAAAACTCTAGCAAAGAGCAAAGCAAGCCTCACCTGGTCGATAGACGAATACATCATCACTTGTATTTGGTGTCACCGCTGAACGAGCCGGGCCTCGAATCAGCTTGAAAGCGCATTGGCACCGTGTTCAGACCTTGAGAAGCGCCGATGACTGGCTCCGTGTCCAAGCTCATCTTCGTTCGGGCAATCAATCGATCAAGTCGGCGCGATAAAATAGATAGAGCGCGACACCGAACAAAGCTAATGAAGTGGCAACGAGAATGAGACAACAAGCAACAAGAGCATCATCTCGAGGGCGTCCGGGGCCGATCATACTGCACGACTCTGTCCCAGGCGGGCAGTGTGGTGTAGGGAGACTGGGCAAACGCGAGCAGCTCGTGCACGAAATGTTCAGCAGCTCTCTTGCCGATGAACTCGCCAATGAGCTTGATGGCCGCTTCCTGTCTAGCGTCGAGCTTCTTGAGCAGCAAATCGATGTAGTGAACGAGCCATCCGATGTCGAGATTCGCAAAGACGGCTAGCTCGCGCCGTGTGAATGCCGCTACCTTTCTTTGCAGGAGCGGTGTAGCTGCGTAGACCGTTGGACTGAAGGGTTTGTGTCGAGTGAAGCGATTGCATGCTACGTGCTGGCCATGAGTCTGCATGAGTCATCGTCGGAACGAGATGACACAGTACTCACTTTTGCGTAAAGACTGTGCCTGTAGATGTACCGTCGCCTTTCGAGCGCGATCTCGGGATCCGGTTCGTCTGTAGCAGGTCGTCTTCGACCCCAATGCACACAACGACCAGTCGAACGGGCTTGTCGCCTGCTCTGTGCTCTCAGATCCGTCGAGCGCGTCAAGCTCGTATCCTGCTCTGTGGCAGGCAAGAGCGGCAAAAGGTAGTGTTTCTGATAGTCATGATCGCTGCGTATGGAATGGATCAGGTGTTCTATGGGCGCAACACACAGGGGGCACTGTTCCTCGACAGCATGAGCAAGAGTGGCAAGAAGTGAGCGAGTGAGTGCATCAGGCTGACTTTGTGAGATTGCTGGCACCATGTCGATAGGCAGGCAAAGCAAAAGTCATCGTGCAGGCACTGGACGATGACAGTCCTGTTCTCTATGCTGCTGAGACAGATCGCACAGCACTCGTCCGCACTGTCGCCATCGCTGGCACTGTCATTGGTGTCGATGGTAGACTCTTGTTCGGTCTGCCGTTGCTTGCCGAGTGCTGTCGGCGATAGACCCAGGCCTGTCATGCTGACTATTCCAGACTTGCTGGCCTGTGTCGGTCAGTCAAGCAGGCATCGTCGACGAGAGCCGGCCCAGAATTGCTAGGAACCGCGTTTGGTCGACGTCAAGCGCCAAGATGGTCAGCGCTCGCCCCCACTGAGCCAGTCAATGGCCCGACTCGTGGCCGACGATGGTCCAAGAGGCGATGCAGCCGAGTTCTGGCGCAGCGCAGAGTGGTGTCCCGACGGCACGAGCTTTCTCGCGGCATCAGAACGACGTCGTCTCTCCCTCTTTGCCCTACCCGCCTCTCTGTACTCTGAACCGGCGTCAGTCGAGGAGTTGACGCCTCATACCACTCGGAGCTTTCCCGCTGCACTTCTGAGCTATGCATGGTATCCCTACGCCAGCGCAACGAGACCGGACACGTTTTGCTATGCTACAAGTGTACGGGACGAACCTATCAGATTGAACGATGCCCCTTCGACCAAGATCAGAGCTTCTTACCCGCTCGTCGATCATAGAGAACGCTACTGCGCTGCACAGTCATTGGCTTTCTCACCCGATGGAACTATGCGCGTGACCCACTATGACTGATGCGCACTGAACGCTGAGTTTGACGCGATAGGCTCTACGCTGGTCTGGAGTCCTCTGTGGCTGTCATCGACATTGCGCGGCCAGGCGATGAGCCACTCGACTATCTCGATCTAGCTCCAGACTCAGGCACATTCAAAGGGCCATCGGGTTGGTCCATTGATCGCACAAGAAGCCAGACACTGACAAGCTGACCGGCAGGATTGGTGTCTGCGCTCGCATTCTCACCTCACAACCCCGAGTTGCTAGCAGTGGGCACTCTGGGACCGATCCATCGCAGTCTTGCCCAAGCGGGCATCTACGATCTTACAACCTCAAAGCTCTGCCTCACACTACCGCCGCGCTTAGCCAAAGCACAGAGATCACAAGCACACCAATACGGCGGCACGGGTATCACATCACTCTCTTTCAGCGTACTCGATCCCAACCTGCTCGTCTCGACTGCAAGACAATGCGATCTCGTGCTCCTGTGGGATATCAGGAACCCGAGCCACCCGATTGACGAAGGGACGACTACACGAGTACTTAGCCGCAACGGCAAGACAAACCAGCGTTTGGGCTTGGACGTGTCCAAACGAGAGCCACGAATGATGTTGGGTGATGCGGATGGCCATGTCTCTGTACATGAAGTGACCACGCAAGAGGCAGTGTATGGATTTGAGGCTTCTCGAGGTACATCGTATTTCACTAGAAGTAGAAACGGAGCTCACACGCAGCACAGAGGCCATCGGATCGGCTCATTTCCATCCGTACCTGCCGCTTGCACTCATCACAACAGGGGAGAGGCACTTCAGCGACTCACTTTGCAGCGATGACGATAGCGAGAGCGAGAACGAGTCAGAAGCAGAAGCGAAGCTTGCAAGCAGTCTACAGATTTGGAAACTGTGAAATGGGTATCTTGTGCTGTTGTTGTCGTTGATCTGACTACTTTGCAAACATGGAGAGATCCACAGGGCTGCTGTATTGTCAGCCGAAGCAGGTTTGCTCGAGAGAAACACTGACTCTCCCTTCTCTTCAGCAATCTTGTAAGCGGGATGTGCCTTGATAGATGCATAGTAGGTCTTGATGTTGGGGTAGTTGTTGATCCAACCCATAGCAGCAACGGATTCGACGACAAACGAAAAGTTGATATCCGCGCCCGTCAATGAATTGCCTACGAGGAACTTGCCGCCTGTCTTTTCAAGTTCGGCATCGATGAACTTGAAGTGGTTCTTCAGACCGGGATTCTGCATGTAAACTGTGTGAGCCCGATTGACGCCGAACGTGCAATGACTCACGAGGAATTGTTGCCGTGCGCCGGCGGTGACGACGTGGAGGATGGGACGCGCTAGGAAAGGTCCCTGATACGGCAGCTGACCAAAGACGAGATTCATCATGATCAGCGACATGACCGAGCCCTACAGAGAAGATCAGTCAGGGTCTGCGTAGGGATGGAGACGAGTGCTGACCTCGGTATAGTGAAGCCAGAAAAGATAGTCTTTGTAGAGTGAGTCCTCGACTTTGGGAGCGAGCTTGCCCTTGCCGTAGCGTGCAATGATGTATTCAATGATGGCTGCGGGCAGCAAAGGTCAGCTCCGAAATCACTAGCTGCAGAAGTCGGCGAGCTAACCTCCTGATTCTGCCAGTGTCTCTGTCTTTCCGTTCTCGGTGACAGTCACGACGGGTGCCTGCAGCCGTGCAATTCAATATTGTCAATGCATGAACAACGCATTGCTGACCTTGCCGAGAGGATGGATCTTGGCGAGCTCTGGGGGAGCAAGCATGTCACTTGTGCGCTTATACTTTGTGAGCTCATAATCTAGGCCGAGCTCTTCGAGGAGCCAGATGATGCGTGTCGAGCGAGACTACCGTAGCAATCGGCCGTGAGCAGCGAAAGACTCGCTGCAGAGCTGACGGACCTTCTCGAGATGATGAAGCGTGAATTTGGGTCCTGACATCCTGGCAGAAGCTCAGCGCTCAGCAGCAAAGTGGCCGGCAATTATCTGGTTTTCTGTGGGGCACGCGACTGAGGACTACGCACGACGTCACCGCGTTATTGCCACGTCACTTGCAATGCCCCGAGCAAAACAGCAGATACACATCACAGTCTGGGTCGCTTGCCGTTACCAGGTGCACGACGATTGGCAAGCTTTACTCCCTGCTTTGCGAAGCTCTCGGACAGCTCTGTAGGATCAAGCATCCCTCTGAACCGTTTCGGTGGGAAAACACTGAACGGGTCTGTGAAAGTCTGGGCGAGCAGCGGTTGGGGGAATAAGTGTCGCTGTCCCCTCTGTCCGAGCGACATGAGGATCATCCTGACTCGGTAGGTTCCCTCTGCGCGGATTGACAAGTCAGGAAAGGCGAAGAAGATGCCGTTGCGGTCTGAGAGATCTTTGAGCAGGTTGGCATTGGCTTGGAGAGAGCCCATTAGGTTGCGAATGGAGACGACTTCGCCCGGCCCGCGCTCGAATGGCAGCAGCTCTGCGGGCCGGATGACCTGCATCCGACGTGAGCTCATATTGACCGTGATGTACAAAGGACTGACGGGGGAGGGAGTGCGGTGAAAGTAGCTGGTCATGACGCCATCTGTCGCGAGCTGATGAGGTGAAGCCTGACTGGGTCCACTGTGACGGGGCGAGGGGGGCCAAATGTCTGTGAAGGACGAGCCCGGCGAGGAAGGCTGATAATGTGTCGGTGTCGTCGGAACGACCAGCGTTGGACTGTATGAAGGGTGGAGCACGAGGTTCTCGTCACGAGATCCGTCGCCTGACCAAAGGTCAACAGAGACGATGAGGAAGGAGAGATCCATGGAGCTGCCACCGACGCGTGAGCACGTGAATTTACAGGCAATACGTGAATGGCTGGCCTCGGATCGACAAGCTGTCCTTGGCCGTCGCGTACAATAAGCTGTGCAATGATGGGCGGTGAGAGCGGTCGACGATCCTATCAGGTCAGAGTCAGTCTCGAGGTCGTGCAGATGATGACACGTGATGACCTTAATGCCGAAACCTGCATTGCATGTCAGCACGGGCGACGGTTGGCGAGACAGTCTGATGACTCACCCGCCATTCGTCCTCTAATGGCGTTTTGCACGACAACGAGTTCATACGTACTGTCAGAAGTCCTCCGTCAACTTGCGTGGGGTGACGCAAACAGGCGCGACTGACTAATCGGCAGCACGCTCCATTGACTCTTCATCGTCATCTTCGTCGCTGTCTTCCTGAGAGGTCGCGATTGAATCTTTCGAGCTTGTCCGTAGCTCGAGCGGTGCAGCGAGACTCTTGAGGTCAATGAAGCCGCTCGTTTGTCGAGCATTGCCATCTTGCTGCCTCAAGGGCGCGAGGGGCATTCTGCCTTGCATGGTGGGCGCCCAGCTCGGTATGATCTGTGGACTGGTGGTGGCGATGATGTTGTGCATGGGCATCTGAGGCAGATCTAGCGTAAACCAGTCTGTCATGCTGAACGGTGCGTTGCTATCGCTCTCTGAGGGAGAGGAGCAAATCGTGCAGCGACATTATGGCGTATAGCTTGAACGCGAAGCGCATTCACGTAGCCCCCCTGAGAGCTATTGAAGCGGCACATATGAAAGCTTGACGCCGCCGAATTTGTGCAAAACCGCCCGTCACGAGCTTGCACGCTATCGGCTCGCAATGTCCCTGCGCAAGACACGCCGACGACGGCTAGATCGAGATTGTTGGCTTTCTCGATACAATGAGAGTGCGGGAGTTGAGCTTTGTCGATGAGTGGAGGAGAAACCGAGCACTTTGTGGAATGAATTGGCAGTTCAATCGAGGGCTTGTTCAATCGAATCGCGGCGCGTGCCAAAGACTGACTTGACTTGACTTGACTTGCCAGTCTTACGGTTTCGTCTCTCTCCGTCGTCATCGCTTCTGACCTTTGCGGAGAGCTGCAGCCCTGGAGGAGCCGTAAGCGAGCGAACCTACAGTGATGAGCTTTGTTGCGCAATATGCGGCGCAATCTGGCGAAACCATCAGAAAGCTCGTCATCGCGCCTGTAGACATTGGCGGCTTGCAGCTCGTTGCACTTGGCACGGATTCCTCCGTCGAGCTCGTCTGGATTGCAACGGCCACATACGATATCAAGCAGGCTCATACATTTTTCCTGGGCAACGATGTCACCGTCACTGCACTCGACTGGTCCGCGAGGACTCGTGAGCTCTCGCGTGAAGGCACGTCGACTGCAGTCTATGTCGAGTGAGTCGCACATGCAAGGTGCGGACACACGCTTATAATACGTAGGCTTCTCGTTGCGACAGCCAAACGGGAGCTGTGGCAGCTCAGCGGCACCATACACTTGGACGAGACAGCTTCTGGCTGCGAAAGCCTGCTTGTCGCGCGCGGCCGTTCGTCACATCGTGGTCAGATAACAAGCGTGTCTTTTTGCCGCGGCAAAGGCTACGAGGGTGTCGCGGCAACAGCTTCAGACGATGGAGCTATTCTCATCTGGAACCTAGACTCGACTGCCGATCCGCTCGACGATGAGATCAGCGACGTCTCAACAGCAGCATCGAACAACGTCAGACGACCCACTTGCTCAACAGTGCGTACACACGCGCTGCGAACCTCCTCTGTTCATTGTTATATAGATTACGTTGCCGCACGGTGTCCTATCTGTGGCTTTCCATCCCGCGCAATTCGGCACGCTCATGGCGTTTGATGTCACGGGCTCCATGCGCCTCATCGCCTGGACCGCACCAAATCGACCGACTCTGATGACACTCACCGATCCTCGATCAGCAAGTGACTATCGCCAAGGCATGTCTAGCAAGCGTGGAGCTGCGGACTGGAAAATATCGCCCGTCACCGCGTGCGTTGCGAGCTTGCTGTCCAAGGCTCCACTGACGCGAACGGCAGCTTTGGTGCCCTAATAGGCGACAGATGCATCTTCTGGGACCTCGCCAACGATTGCAACGGAAGACCGCTCCAGACTGTCAGTGCTTTTACAGAGTCAGGCGACATCTTTCGATGGTCCAGTTCGGATTGGTTTGCGATTGCTACGAGCGCATCAAACCCCTCGAGTGCGCCTATCCGTATCATCGATAGCGCCTATCCGCAGCGACCTTTCGAGATCGGTCTGCCTCGGCGGGCGACTGTGCACGATCTCGCTTGGTTCACACATGACGATATACTGGCGATTGCTGCTGGCTCACAGATGCTTGTCTGCTTGCCGAGCCATGCTGCCGGCTATTGACAACCTCAAACAATACACCACATGCAATCAGGTCAATATCCACGACCTCTGGGCGCGCCTCTGAATCCGCCTCTTCCTCTCGGCGCACCTCGGGTTGCGAAGCCACCTCGACCGCCCGCGCCTCCTCTTGGTGCAAATCCTCGACTGGCGCCCCCTCTCGGCGCAAAGCCTCGTCCTCTCGGCGCACCTCGCCCTCTGCCGCGTCCGCCGGCTGCAGGACCTCCTCGACCTCCTCGTGATTTCGCTGCACAACTGCTCGTCAGCATAGCTCGATCAGACGACACAGAGAACAAACTTTTCGTGCCTGGCGGGGGCTTGGGCTTAGGGACAAATCTGTCTATAGGTAGTAGCTTGTCGCCTCCAATGAAGACTTTGTCGCCTTGCTTGAACGAGGTTGCAATCATGCCTTCGGCCATCTTGATCGTGAAGAAGACTTCGTTGATCGGTCCCAGTATCTCATCGACCTTGCCTATAGACGACTTGTTCTCGAGATAGATGGGTGCATTGAAGTAAGGAACCTGCTCTTTTGCGTCAAGCACGCGCTCGTGTTCGTGAGGCAGAGTCTCACTTTAGTCGTGTTAGTCGATGCGCAAAGGAGCTCTCCTTCGACGGCATGCATAGCTGTGCCCATCTCTATCCTTGTCATACCTGAGCATTTCACTCCATGCCGAAAGCAATCAACGGACCTATCACTTCTGCTGGCGGTCCAAGATCGTAGCCACCGCCTGCACCTCCGCCACGGCCACCTCGGAAGCCACCTCTACCGCCTCTGCTGAAGCCTCTGTCGCTCCCTCGTCCTCTGAAGCCGCCTCGACTCATCTTTAATGATCACGTAGCGTGCTTACCTTCGCGCAAAATTTATGCATTGGCGCACGTATCGATTATCGACGCACCCTTCTGGACGCAAGCTCAAGCACCAGCGCTCAAGCTCTTCGGAAGCAGTCGCTGTTTGGGGCTACAACCAGAGCTTCAGGCCAGATGGATGCGAGCTCTGTGCATGTGTACGGTCTCGTAGCCCCTCACATGTACGCTCACAAGAAAGAGGCATCAGCCACCTGTCTATTGCACACTAGGCCACACAGGGCGCCCACGCAGCTCAAGATCTCGAGTGAGACTCGACAGTGGCTCAGTAGTGAGGATCTAGCCACAGATGCATATACTGCCTGGAATGCCACTGAACGATATCGTGTAGGCCAGAATGATCAGTCAGTGATCCTGCGTCCGGATTCCCGACATTAGTGAGGTCACCCAGTTGTCCGGGTCTGACATGCTCGGACGTGACACGATCGTCTTTGTCGCATGGGACAACAGACGGTCGAGAACCAGTGAGTACCCTGACGATCGGCCAAGCTTCATGGAGCCGAAAACATCCAATCAATAAGGGCGATTCACTAACGTTCGAGCTGTAGAGTCCTTTTTCGACCGGCCTCACGCGAGTTTTGGCGCGGAGACAAAGCTTGGAGAATTCATAGGCCCAGTGGAACAGACAAGACTGCGCTCGCCCCTCTATTGAGACCAGTTGATGAGCACACACGGGAGCTCCCGAGTGAGTTCAGTCAGATCGTCACTCTCGTCTGGCCGACATCGACAATCTATAAGGCAGAATCGACATTCTCGCTCTCTCCAGCTTGTGCCTGTCTGCCTGCTCTGACAGGCATTCTGGCTCGAGAAGACAGTCAACTGCTGGTTCAGTGACCCGCTGAGTGCCCTCGGAGATGTCGATGTTCGCGCCTATCGTACCTGCTCCCCTGCCGCCGAGTCCGCTCGAAGCGCCTCATCACGAACATGGTCATCGCCTCATTCGCCAAGTCAGAAGTGACCGCCAACGAGTGTAAGTCTCCGGCTTCGTGGTTCTCTTCTGCCCCGTGTCCCTCTTTGCTCCCCAGCCAAGCAGCACTTCCCCCTGCAAACGCTCACGAGCGTGGACCGCATTCACGATGCTCATGACGATCTTGCGCGCAGACAATACCATCTCGAGGTCACTCAGCAGCCGAAGCAAGCGCGCATGTGTGGCACCGGTGAGAAGGCAGACCGGCGCCCATTGGATCCTCCGCCCATCATCCAGTTGCGTATCGAGGACAGCACCGGTCAGGATGTTACCAGCCCAACGGTAGCAGGCACGCGCCGTCACCAAGCGGCTTCACTCACCCAGAGGTCTGCTCACTCCTGCTCATCACGTCACCAGCTTGAGCTGAGCTGGATCGCCACAGTCCCTACTTCTTCTGCTTTGCTTCTCTTTGCTTTGCCGGCTCGGATCAGGAACTCTACGTACTCAATCCGGAGAACAAGACGCGCTACGTGACCGGCACCGTCGTCTCTTCGCTCTACCATATGCGAGATGGAACGTCCAATCCGCACGACTCGGTCTATTTCGTCTTTCCCGACATCAACATCCGAGTCGAAGGCACATTCCGCTTCAAGATGAGCATGTATGAGATTGTCGGGTCAGTAGCGACACTGCGTCGGCTTGTCGTCCACTGACAAGACGCTCTGCAGGAGCGAGGTACATCACTGCAAAAGCATCTGGACTAATTCGTTTGTGGTCTATTCTGCAAAGGTTTGCCACATCTCTGGTCATCATGGGCAATATGCTGAGCATGGCTTTCGGCAGCGCTTCCCCGGCATGGAAGGATCGACCGAGCTTTCGAAAGCCTTTGCTGAGCAAGGGATTCACATCCGCATCCGCAAGCCTGCAACGAAGCGCAAAACCGCATCAACCGGTAGCGATTCACAAGAAGAGGGTTCGTCAGACGAGCCCTTCTTGCGATGCGGTCCGAACGGCAAAGTACTCGGTCGTGGTCCCAAAGCGCGCAAAGCTAGTCAATCTGCTGCAGCGGCCACTCGAGAACGCAGCGTTTCTACACCTGCTCGGAGTCCCAGATCGGCAGAGCAGGTTAGCTCAGCATTCTTACACGCTTTACAAGTCTCATCATTGGTACAGTTGGCCCATGTGCCATCGCAGCCCCTTGCAAATCGTGCAGTATACCCATCTCAGCGAAATTCGTCACCCGGCTCGTCTGAACTGCCCGACGCCGCGCTATCAGCGCGAGGCATGCCTGGCACTGTCAGCAAAAGCAATCTTTCTGCCCAGGCATCTCTGCAAGGAGTGTATGTCTCCGAGCATCGTCACGAACCGCATCACGCGACTTCCCTACCGACGTTCTCTGTCAATGTCCCTCCGCCCATGAGCACGCGCTACGCCTCCTCGCTCGATCAGCGCCGAAGCTCGCTTGTCGATGCCAACGGGCGTTACTCTGTTTCACCGGGGATGAGCAGCTACACCTCGATGCAGACTGCTCGACCAGACCTTTACGACCATGACGCGCAACATGTCATCTCACGATCGCCTAGAGAAGAGCTACCTTTCGCATACAGTCCAGGTTTCTCACACGCGCCTTTGCAACCTTATCACGAGTCGCCCATGGCACCACAGCATGTTCCTAGACATTACGAACAATCTCCGCCTCGCGTAGCATCAGATAGACCTGCTTTGACATACGATCAGCTGCTGCAATCGCCTCCTGGCGGCTTTTATCATCAAGACCCGCGATACCATCGCAATAGCTCCAATCATCAAGCGCAGGAGCACTACGAACGCAGCCAGACGGGCCATTGGCGCCGTCCAGGCTGCGATCAGCATCATCATGCGGCTTGATCGATATGAAGCTATCGGAGCCCGCAAAGAAGAGCAGAGCTCGCCAGCATTCCACTGCAACCTGTACTCTGGTAGCAATGCGAGTTCTGGCTGTAAAATCTGGCTCACACAGCGCCAATCAAGCTGTGACCGACTATCAATCTCCTTCGTTGATCTCGGTGTATCCTACGTCTATTTCGCCGGGTCAGCTGACTGACACCTCTTTGTGGCTGTTTGCCATCCGTCTACTTTTGAATTTGCGTGGGCTCGTGGGCATCTTTACCGCCCGCGAGAACTGTTGTCTTGCGCCATTGCCATCCCCTGTTTGAATCCTGTGTTCTGGTCCGATTAGATCTACGTGCCTGCATGCGCCGGTGATCCACGGTGATAGACCTCAATTGACGCGTCGCGCGCGTGCACCAGCCTGACCGCCATGGCGCAGAGCAGCTTGTCCGGCATCTTCATCCGCTCTCATCAGACCAGAACGTCGCCAAAGACGCACATAGCGTATGCTGTCGAGGTGCACGAGTCAACGTCGAGGACATGGACAGTGTGGCGAAGGTATAGCGAATTTGAGGATCTCGACAAAGATCTACTCGCAGATGTTGGCTCATCCCCGAGCCACCCTTCCTTACCGCCCAAACGAAGCTGGACGATGAAAATGGGACGAGGCATACACGACGAGAGCCTCATAGAAGAACGTAGGCTCGGTCTCGAGCAATACTTGAGAGGTATACTTGGCGGTCGTGACGATCGATTCAGGCAGAGCCATTGCTTCATTGCGTTCATTGCAGCTGCCCCTGGTGCTAGCTCCTCGTCGAAAGCTGCTCTAGCGTCAACGGGCTTCACTGTCTCGACTTGGCTCGACGAACATGCAAGCCTGGTCGGACTGAGCCGAGAGATCCGTGCGGAGCTTAGTCGGCGAGACTCGCTCTCGACTTCTGGTGACTCTACAGCATCCCACCAAGCCAATGTGCAAGCGAAGAAGAAGCTGGCTCAGCTTGTATCGCGTTCGACAACGCTCTCCAAGGGATTGGCAGAACTGGCAAAATCTGGTCTGCCAGAGGGCGAGCTCAGGAGGCGAACAGACATGATATCCTCCCTACAAGACGATGCAGAAACCCTCGGAAAGCTGTCTGTTGCCAGTCGTCACCCAGCACGGGGCGCGATGCCGCGTGAGTCTGTATCTACTGGTCGCGCGGAACTGCTGGGGTCCAGCGCGGGCCTCAAACGACCGGGTCGAACGCTCGGCGCAGGCGCTAAACCTGTTGAGACTACCGAGACACGTGCACTTGACGATCATGGGCTGATGCAGCTCCAGACACAAATGATGTCTGCTCAAGATGACCGATTATCGAGCCTATCTGCTGTAGTGAGGCGGCAGAAAGAGCTCAGTCTGGCTATCTCTCACGAGCTAGAATCCCAGAACGAGCTCCTCGATGGTCTGTCGAACGATGTAGATTCGAGCGCAGCCAAATTGGGCAGCGCCACGAAACAGCTCAGGCGATTAGGCTAGTCTGGGGCGTACAATTAGAATTGACAATGTACAACAGGATGTTGTGATCTTCTAGACCTTGACCTTGAACCTCTTGCTTGCGGTGTATGTCTTGCCGCGCGAGTAAGTGTCCTCGCCGACCGAGTATGGCTCCTTCTTATGCTGACTTCCGAATCGTTTCCTGAGCGCCGCGATCATCTGAGTGAACCAAAAGATATTGAGGCCTGAGATTGTTTTGTCAGTTCCGCGCAGATGCTAGCAGAGAGCATTACCCCAGAGCACAATATTGGCGACAATGTAGACCTCGCGTAGTCCAGCAGGAATCTGGCTTCTCACTTGATGCGTCACCTTGACAAAGACGATACTCTGCCATGTGCCGTAGACCAGCCGGACGCTGAAGAATGTGATCAGAAGCACGATGCCGTTGATGAGCTGCCACAGTGATCCCGTCCTTGACTGCAACGTGCGTTAGGGGAAGAAAGCACTCATGGAGGGCGTCCTCACAGTCTTGTCCAGGAACCAATGGATGTTAAGCGGTATAGTCGAGGCTTTCCGGTCCATCAACGACAGTCTCGCAATGCGCGAGATACTCACCTTCCCACTGCGCGCGAGTCAGCATCTCTTTGTGAGCTGTCAGATTTCATCACCACTTACGACGAGGAATACGGCGCCAAAGTAGTTCAGAAATGGCCGAAAGGTGAAGAGGAACACGATGAAGCAGCCGACACCGTGCGCCTGTAGATCCGCAGCTTTAGTGCTCAGCTCTCTCAGAATTGCCTGCCCGGCGCGTACCAAGAAGCCGATGCCGTACTTTCTGATTAGCCACAGGCTGACGAGTGAGTCCCATGCCATGAAGCCGACTGCAACCGCCATGACATAGCTCGTCTCTACACTTGTACCAAAGACTTTGTCCTTCCTTATCGCTTCTGCGCCCGGGAAATTGCCGGCGAGCAGCCAAAGAGAGACGGGTGTGGCATAACAAGCGTGCAATAAAGCGACCAGATGAATGTCCCAGTCTGTCTTACCCGTTCTCGTGAGTCGGTTGTACGATACCGGACACACTCTAGGCGAGATGACGGACGAGGCATATTGGATTGCCCAGCAGGTCGCGAAAGCAAAGACGATGATGTGTAGATAATCCGGCAGCGTCGTCAGCCCCAGCGCTTCGCTCAATCCGTGCGCTATGGGCGCCCATGTCATAAAGACTGCATCGTGCATCCTCGACCGCCTCTTGTGCCGAAACGCAGGCGATGCTCGCGGCTCTGTGGAGGTACGGCGCGTCTTTTAGGGCCCGTACGATTTCGAATGTAAATTTGAAAGTAAATGTAAATGTAAATTTTGCGACACGAAAATTTACTACTGCGTACGATTTGCGCATAGGTAATAGTATAGTAAAGTAAATTACTTGTGGGGAAATCGCGGCTNGCTGCCGAGCAGGCGGATGTGGTGCAAATTTGCTAGTCGAAATTTCGAAGAGTAAAATTTACTATCTGATCCCTTTGTNGTCTCTTCTTGGGTTGCAGACTGTCAATGGCGGAGCCAAGCACTGCGCGCTCCGCCAATGATAATAGTAAGCACAGCAGCTGCCTTTAGCAGCTTCGGCCCCCGATGCGACAGCATGTTGATACTGCTGCGTGGAGGAGGCGACTGGTGTGCGGTGCGTCTCCGCGCCATCTCCGCCCCAATTTACTATACTTCTGCTTTTTACTTTGCTCGTGCGTACGATTTCAAAANATAGTATAGTAAAGTAAATTCTCGAGGCAAATTTGCTCTCAGGTAGCCTGTGAGCAAGAATTTACATTACTATACCACAAAAATTTACCATTCGAAATCGTACGGGCCCTTACACGAATTCTTTAGCTTTATCGATAATCTCATTGCCGGTCGTCACGTCACATGTCAAGCGACGAGATCTCCTTTATTGCCCCTCTGCTCGACTCCTGGTTGTCTGAACAGTCACTAGTCTGAAGTCTCCGAATTTGCGCGAGCTTCAAATTCACTTGCATCCCGTCTGATACAAAGCCACGAACCATGAGAGTATTTGGCTTCTTTGGCCTTCTAACAGCTGTTCTGACGAAATCTGCTTATGCACACGACGTCGCGACGGGAGCGGTCGAGATCGACATTGCGGGCAACTTTTACTGCGCCTTTCTTGGCCAGCTCATTGCGCCCTTTCATGTCTACGAAACGACCGTCGTACTCGTGCAAGTCGTCGACCTCGAATGGAGTTTTCATTATCCAGTAAAATCGCTCACATGGACATCTGAGTACGTTGCCGACGATCAAAAATATTATACGGTCACGATCGATGCAGAGTTTGAGGAAAACGGGGGTGCGCTCGGCAAACCCAGCATCCGTATCGCGCTCGACCTGACCAAGTGTTTTCAGATGATGACTTCAGTTGCTGTAAAGCTGAGATTGCCTGGTCATTCTGGCTCGATGTTGCCGATCCGCATGCCTGGGTACCTAGTGCAGGTCCCCAAATCAACGTAGTGTGCGACCCACCAACCGACGGTAGCAGGTATACATCCATCGTTTCCGCTTCGATTCTGCTGATACAAGTATCCCAAGTACGTGCTCCGTCAGACAGCGAGGCGAGATCGACAATTGCCACCGTGCCGGCCAATTTGACGTTGATTTTGGACCAGCCTACCAAGAGTGGCTCAAGACTTATATTCGCCTCAGGACCTGGACAGCGATATGATCATGTCGTTAAGCACAACGGAAAGACATGCAAATGCATGTCTGATTGGCACAGCGCGAGCGCAACGTGTGCCCACATCAATAACGGTACTGAGTGTCGAACCATCTCACATAGGCTGAGCATTCCGCGGCCAGAGCTAGAGATTGGTCAGACAGGTCGCGAGCATTGTCAAGCACTCACGATCGAAGTCTCGAGGCAGTAAAGCAGCTGGCAAGACAACGTTAGAGCGCAAAAATCGCTCCCTCGTGGATAACGTACGGTTGCAGCTTGGCAGTGCGTGAAGTCCGAGACAGCGCATTTCCATCGAGATCTCATTTGTTTTGACCAGGCCCGGCCACATCGGCACCCTGCGCGCAACAATTCCGTCCAATGTTGGAGCTTAGTCAGCCTCAAGCGTACCTTGCTGTTGCATAGACGACTGCACGGCAGCATTGGTTTACTGGGCACCAGATCAGTCATGGCTGTCATGTAAATCATCAGACTGACTAGCAGACCCGCCGTCAGTGCTGCGTCTTGCAAAAGTAGTGTCAATATCCACACGGGATTGCCAGCCGTCTTGAAAGACAGTCCCTAGTCGAAGGCCAATAAGATGTGAAGAGTCGGTGACAGCCACGCTATAAGTCTGGTCAGGATTCTTAAGGATGTCGATCTTGATCTCGCTGGTTTAAGAGTAAGTAAGTACGGCGAAGGTGCAAGAAGAAGCACTTGCGGATCGAGTGCGGGGTCATCATCAAGCGGAAATTCTATCAGAACTCCATCTTTGAGCGCGCAACGGCCCTAGGTATTGGGATTAGCGCTTGCGTTGTCCAATTGATCCGACTAACGCCATAGTCAACGCGAAGCGTCACGGATTTTGATCTTGTCGGTGGGGGCGGAACCGCATCATCCCATCGAAAGTAGATGAACTCGCAGTTGTTGCTGTATTCGGGCGGTGGATTGGGAAGCGCGTCGCCTGTCCTCCACTGAGCGACAAAACGTACGACAGGCATTCTTACGATCGCAACCGGAGTCAGCAGACTCAGGAGAGTAACAGTTGATATATGCCACTGTACGATCAGCAAAGAAGCGTTCTGAAAGTGGTGTCAGCAGGGGCACTCGAACCACCCGGGAGTGTACCATAGCTGAGCAGTATGTCTGTGTGAGATTCTACGTAGATCTTGCAGCAAGACGCCAGACGCTCGTCGGCAGGAGCGAGCTTGATTGAAGTAAGCGCCTGAACCAGCCATCCATCCCTTTTCTGTGGCTCGCCCAGCCAAAACCGCTCGATGCCTCGGTGTTCGCCCTGAAGAACGCTGTATTGCCTGATACGTTGGCCGGTCGCATCTTCGCTGCGGGTCAACCACGATCTTGCAACGACGACAACTTCACTGTCATTCTGCTCAGCTTGTGAGCCTGCTGAGGCCGATAACGTACGCTTGTCCTGTCGCCTCAAAGTAGACTCGTGTTGGTACATTTGCTGTCGAAGGGTAGCTGCAGTAGCCCTTTTGACACGGCTCATATCAAGGTACGAGCGATGTGTAGATGAAGCGTCGCATACAGAAAACCAGGCTTGTTTCACGTATGTGCGTTGGGAAACCTCACGGTCGGTCGGGTCACAGCGCACTGTCGACAGTTTTAGGAGAAGAATGAGACATAGCTGCACGAGAATGATCATGACTCGGCTTGTTGACTCGCTATGCCAATGATTGGTTAATGTCGTGGAGGTGGAAGAGGGTCACTTGGATATGAAGGTCAAATCTGAGGAGACAAGCGCGAAAGGGGCGATTTACTAGACCCTCATCTACGCCGAGGCAATACTTGCAGCACAAAAGTGCAAACCATAGTACAACAGCCTTTCTGCCGGTCGTGACTGGCTCAGGCAGCTGCCATGACAGCATCGCCATTCACCGCCGTCTCTGCAGCGAGCGCTTTGGCGCCCCATCCTCCGTCGTCGCCGACATATAGGTTTTCGTATTCTTGGAGATACTGGACAGAGCGTCGCTCATCGATAAAGAGACTGTACACTCGTCTCACATCGACAATGTCGACTTCTTTGACTTTTCTCCTTCGTGCGACGAGATGGGCGGCGGTGATGAGCTGGATGGCGTATCTCAGCGAAGTCTCTGCGCCGATCTTGGTGAGGATGTCGAGTGCAGCCGCGGACAGAGCAACATCTTCTTCGTCTGCTCGGATGCGCAAGATGGACTTGATTTCGTCTTGTGAGTACTTTTCGGTCGAGATGATGAGCGCACGATCCAGCAGATCTATTGGAATACCGTGAGGTGACTTGTATCTCGTTCCTCTGATCCGGGTGATACCTCTGTTGGACGCCATGATGACGATAGGCGACAGATCAGTCTCCATAGCTCTGTTGAGGAAACTGAAGCATTCGATATCGAGCATGTGGACTTCATCAATAAAGATGACGCCGGGGACGATCTCCGCCTTGCCTTCCTCTCGCCAGTCTGCTACTTTGGCATTGATCGACTCGCGCAGTTCCGACTTGATCTCGCCTGTGTCTCCAGCAAAGAGCGCGAGGAAGCCTTGCGTGCGAGAATTGATGACATCGATCTCGTGCAGCGAGACTGTATGAACTACCTCTTTCCTCACTTGCAGCTCGCCCTCGGGACATTGCACGAAGCGTGTCTACGATCTGCATGAGTAAAGATATAGCTGATTGAAAGCGTGCGACGTACATCTGCGCCCATGGCATCGTAGTCGCGCGCACGAGTGAAGCTTCGACCGAGCTTGGAGACTTTGCCCGTCGATTTGTCAACGTGAATGACATCGCCCGCGATGACTTTCTCCCTTGTCAAACCGTCGATCATCTTATTCCCTAGATCGTATACGGTCTCCATGTCGGTCGTCTTGATGGTCAATTTGCCCGTCTTTGTCGCCTGCTGCATGCATTAGTCGCGTCGCGATGCAAGAGTGCGCAGACGTACACCAGTGAGAGAGCGATCGATCTGTATCTCGACCACTTCGCCTTCTATGATCTCAGACTCTTCCTTGATACGCACACCGATAGACCGTCGGAACGCTTGGGTCAGCGCTTCCGTTTTCGACATCTCGAGCGAAAAGACTTCAGAGGCGCTGATGGACGTAAACGGCACGTCAGGACCAAGCGATTGCGCCATGCCTGTGAACGATCGACGTCATTCATCAAGCAGTAGTGCTGGATCACGCTTGCACTGACCCATCGCAATTGCCGTCTTGCCCGTCGAAGGAGGCCCAGCCATGAGGACCGCTCGACCTGCTATCCTGCCCTCTTTGACCATGCGCAAGATGACTCCAGCAGCTTTCCTTGCTTTTGCTTGGCCGACCATGCCTTGTGAGGCAGCAGGGCGAGGCTCGAGGTGCTCATTGAGTCCCAACCCTCGAATGTGTGAGTGTGCGCCAATGCGCTCAATCTTGGTCACATCTCTCGTCTCTGCAGCAGGCGCTGTCGTGATCTGGGCCTGCCAGAGCACCTCAGTCAGTCTAGTGGAGCTGCAAGGCGATGCACTGACCATGACTGATGCTATAGCCACTAGGTACCTGTTTGCGGCCGCGAGCGTCGACAAGTAGGCACAGTCACTTGAAATACATCTGACGCGTCAAAAGTGTGCTCCTGATCCTCTGCTCGACCGTCGACGTGTCATTCTCAAGGGCTCTTGCCGGCTCATCATACAAGGCATTGTACGCTATGGAACGGGAGCCAGAAAGGGCCGGAGTCAGTGATGCTGCCCATACGTCAGCGTGCGCGTCTTCTAAATCATGCGACAGCGCAATGTCACGCTCTTTCTTGTCGATTGCTCTTCAAGCATGGCCAACAAGCACGACTTCCCTGAAGGCCGCATATCCTCTCGCGACTACGCCATACGCTTTTTAGCAGCTCGCTTCACTTCCAAGGTCGGCCAATGTCTCGCTCTTGCAGCTCATGTATTCACCGCATGACTTGAGCGCGACAGATTCTCAAAGGCCTCAAGACGGAGCATCTAGGCGTCACCCTTTTCGGCTCAGATAGTGCGCCTGATCGTCGTGCACGTGTCTTGAACCTGACTCGCGAGCAGAGACGAGCAATGTGCTGGCCGATGAGAACGTCGAAGGCTACGAGAACATCAGAACAAACTTTATACCCATTTCGCAGCCTACACTCGAGTCCTCGGAGAGACTGCAACGCATCAGAACTTCGGACATGTGCGGAGACAGTGCGTACTAAATTGTGCACATGGCCTATCGCGCTGATCGTGGCGTCAGTCTTGTCTGCACTCGCGTGCGCACTTTATCAGCTGCAATCAGAGCTTGGCAAGTCGAGAGTCGCGTATCGCAAGACCCTCGTACTCGTTACAGATGCAGAATCGAAGACCATGTGGGACCCTGAGGACGTCGAGAAGCTACTTGTCGAGCTCGGTACGGCAGAAGTTGAGCTCTCTATCGTCATCGTTGGATACGACCCACAGCAAGCGCGCAGAGAGCACGTGAGCTCTGACAAGGCAGGTCTTCTCGTCCATGATGTGTGGGAAGTGAACCCATACGCGGACAGGCTACGAATGAGAGAGAGTTGCGCAAGATGGTCAGCAAACTGCGCAAAGCCGGCCAGCCAGCAGTCATAACATCTGCAAGTGCCGCGCTCAGTACCGCTGAAGCTCCGCAGCTTAAGCTGCCCAACTCTGCTCCGATGTATACTACAATCACTCTTGGTCATGCCGAGCTCTTCCCGGATTCGACAATCACCATCAAAGCTGTATTCAAGAAGGCTGTTACAAAGGCCAATCCAATGACAAAGAAGAAGATGTCCAAGATTGTACCCTCTGGTCCTTCTCAGCAACCCAAGACATCTCCACGAGCCAGTGGGAGCCACGCAAAGCGGGATGCTGACGGCATGCTGCTCGACGAAGAAGAACCGAGACCGTCACGCTCGCAGTACATTGCGAATCGCACCTACGAAGTTCAGCCAGAGCGAATCTACTACCGAGTAGCCGACACCAAGGAATTTGTTCCACTGCCAGAGCTTCTCAATCGTGATTTGCAAGACGAAAGATCGACGAAGCGGAAATTTGACGAAGGTGCAGACTCTGCAGACGAGGATGAGATGGACAGATCTCGCGCAATGGACGCAGATGAGTACTACGGCGGCAACGGAGCAGATAGGGCCTCTAGGTTCAATGCCGAGCGAGAAGTGCGACCCGAGGACCTCGTCAAAGCTTACAAATATGGCGCAACGCTCGTACCGCTGGCCGACTTTGACGAGATCAAGACGGACTTGAATTTCCAGCCAGGCCTGCAAGTCATCAGCTTTACAAAAGCGTCGATAGCATTAGAGACGCTACTTGGCGACGTGTATTATGTTCATGCGCATCAGGACTCTCCTCCTTCGCAAGTCATGTTCTCTGCCTTCATACACGCAATGCATGAGCGACAAGCCGTTGCTCTGACGCGATATGTCGGCAAAAGGGGAGCTGCGGGCAAAGCGCCAGATGCAAAGCTGGGTTATCTCATCCCGCGAATCGGCAAGCATTGGAATGAAGACTATCAGTACTGCATCTGGGTCCAGGTGCGTCCTCGCGCTCTGTGCAATACGCCAGCTGATCTGCATGCTTCCTCAACAGCTGCCGTTCTCAGAGGACATTCGGATGTACGAGATGGACTCGATCGAATATTACCACAAGAAGGACGGATCGATTAATCACGAGCATCGCAATTTACCCGGCAAAGAGCTTATGGAGAACATGGATGCTTGGGTTGACGCGATGGACATGAGTACTGCTACTGTCGATGCAGACGGGTAGGATGTCTTCTGCAACTTTGACAATGTGCTGATAAGCTCTTGCAGGAATTATGCACCGTGGTTTGATGTGCACGACAGCTACAACCCAGCTATACATCATCTCAAAAACAGTATCGTCTATCGCGCAAACAATCCAGAGGACACTTCCTTGCCAGAGATACATCCGGAGATCAGCAAGTATCTCCAGCCCACCCAATTCCTGCAGGACCGCGCAAAGCCGAGTGCAGAAGCTGTCAAAGCGACTGCGGGTGTCAAGCGCTTGCCGCCGAAAGCCCAAAAAGGCAGCAAAGCGGCGCGAGCCAAGAAGCAGCTCGCTCCACAGCAGGAAGAACTACAATTCGATAAGATCCTCGGCAAAGCTCAATCTCAAAGCGAGACCCCTGCCAATAGACCGTCTGTCTCGAGTCTGCTGAATGATACGAGCAACGGGCGCAAGTATGACTCCGACGTGTTGACAACGCCCTCGACGTATCGGCCCGCCGAAGCGAAAGCTCCCAATGCAGATCTAGACGGGGACACAGAGGACGAAGACGAGCCTGCTGGTTCGCACCAAGGCACACCCGCGCTTCGTCCAGCAACAGCGATTGACGACTTTAACAGCCTTGTCAAGACCAACGACGTGAAAGAGGCTATCGAAGGTATGTTTGCGCTCGTGCACACTATTGTCAAGGCTTCTTTCGGTGGCAATCGCTACGAACAAGCTCGAAAGTACATCACTTTGGCTCGTGTGACGGCGTCAGAGGTATGTTGCGATACTATTCATTGCTCTTCAGATACCGATGCCTGGATTGGCTCTCAGGAGGATGAAGTATCGACCTATAACGATTCGATCCGTGATCTCAAGACGCGCATCTTGACGCAAGGCTTTGGCAACCAGGATTTCTGGCAGCAGATCCGTAGCCACAAGCTTGGTCTTATCACTATTGAAGAAGACAAGAATTTGCTTGGTGGACAACCGAGCGATGGCGTGTCAGACTCGGAAGCGGCAGAGTTCCTCTCCTGACAGGAACGATGTTGTATAACAACAGGGCTCAGCTTGAGCTTTTTGCAATGTATTCTGTATGTCTTGCTATTAGTTTGTCCACAATATCTTCCTCTATCTCGCGTTCGCCCGCTTCCGTTTGCTGTTGAGAGATCCTGAGCCAGTCCTCGTCTTGTTGGTCGACAAAGACGACTTCAAACTTGCGTCTGTTGAGATCGTTGCCAATGACGAGTTGGTGACCATATCGCTGTAGTGCCGCTCTCGCCTTCGGTATGAGCAGTTGCGGATCTGTCTCAAGCTGCAAGATCACTGATGAGCACTGACAACTGCCTACTTGCGCGAGTTGGTCACCTTGAAAGAGACTGTGAAGCCTTCGTTGCTCCATTGCTCGACGAGCGGCTTGAGGACTTTGGGCACAGGACGCATCTCAATCACCAGCGAACCCTCGCGCGATTGTATCTTGTGCTCCGACTGAAGGCTGGTCTCAGTTTAAGCAGAAATACGAATCTCGAAAGTCGCACCATCTCTGTCGCAGGGAGGAAGAAGTCGCTGACGGCTGCTGCGAGATAATACATCCCTTGTCTACCCAGCGGCCGGTTGTTCTCGTCCTCGGACGACCCCATCAATCGACTCACCCCTCGTAGTAAGAAGAGGTAGTCGTGTACGGTCGTAAAGCTTATGTTGTGTAGTAATCCGAGCGACTGAATGAGCTTGTAGGATCGCAAGATAGTGATCAGACACGCTCTGTCTGCCGTTTTGATGCGTATTTGAGGCCCCTGCGTGCTGTCTCTCCGCTCAACTTGTGGCGAAACATGTTGAGTCTCTTGCGTGGGCCTCATGGCTGCCAAAGAAGGGAAAAGCTCCGTCCGACCTTTGGCAGTGGCGACATCGTCATTTTGTAGCTCAAGGAGGGAGAGAAACGGGTTGACGGAGTGACTGTAGTGTCTGCTGAAGGGCTGAAGAGAATGCTGTCGGTGCATGAAGATGACGGCATAGTGGCCCGAGCGGAGGAAATACTCTGCCGACGCTGCGCCTCGTGTGCCTGCCGAGAAATTGTCGAGAAATCTGACGCTGTTGTGCTTGTTAAGCCGAGTCAGGGTCACAGAGAGAAGACTGACGTGTTCTTCTCGAGGGGCACAGTCGTACCGCCACTCTGTGCACACGGAATGGTCTTCAGCACGGCTTGACCACGCTCAGAGAGCTGAACAGACGGTGATGAGGACTATTCGTCGTCCCTCTCTGGCATGTCGAGCGATGAAGGACTGAGCCGCCCGGAGCTCTTCGTCTAGCTTTGGCGGCGGATCCGAGTCTGCGAAGAAGGCCTCTGCGTCGTAGTCTGTGCTGGCCATGTCGGCCACAAACGCTGCTGGAGAGCCGAGTCGACCGTCGCGAACGACGTCACTCTCCTTGCCAGCTGACCGACCATGCTGAGCGATCTGGACTACCTGAACGATACCCTGGTCCCGAGGACGAGCGCCCAGACCCAGCCAGCGAGAGAGACTCGAGGAAGTGGCCCGGTGAGCGCACAGGACGCAGTACAGAGCGTGAATGGAGATGCGATGGCAGCCACCGACAACCTCAGTAGCATGCTCGACCAGAGCAATCTGAGCTCATCAGACAGAGCACTGCTAGCTCCTCTCCTGGCGGACCTGCAGAGCTCGAATGCAGAGATAGAGACGCTCAACGAGGGCGATCTCGACCTTACCGCTGCAGAACTGAATGCAAGGCTGGACAAGCTCAATGACGTCGTCGATCAGCTCGATGGCAAGCTGGACAGTCTGCTTGCATCGCTAGACGGTATGGGCGATGAACTAGCCCAATCGCTACAGCGGAATCAAGAAAACGCTTGATGGCACGCGCGAGGCCGAGATCATGTCCGTCTGAAGTGGCCTGATGTTCTCGCACGCGCCGCTTCGGCTTCCATCTCGTCCATGACGTTGCGGAGACTGGCGAGGCATAGCTGCATCATCAGCGCCACGCACTTGTGGGGGAGAGCAAAGACTTGCCTGCCCATTTCCCATCTGGCGCCTACAAAACCGACATACAGCATCGTTGTGCCCATGAAGCCAGTCGCCACACCTAGCAGGGTGAATATCCAGTTGAGATACTTGAGCGGTTGGAAACTCGCTGCGATTGCCAAGACAGGCACAAACACGATCGAAGCTGCAAAGAGGCGGAGATGAAATTGGGCTGTCACGCTCGCATGTCGCATGTGCTGTTGTAACGCTCCCAAGCCGGTATTGAGACTCTCGCTTGACAGTCTGCCTGTAGTGATGCGAGGCTGTTCCTGATGTTCTAGCTGTGTTGGGCCACCTGAGGTAGAAGCTTGATCGCTTGGCGCGCCGAGCGATAACACAGCTTCGACCCCAAAGTGATCGGAAAGCGAGAACGAATAGCCGGGCGTGAGTTCAGTACAGACGACCTTGCAAGACCTCGCTTCTAATCTGCGTGTAGCGCTGGGATGCGAGCTGAATAGAACATAGTCTAGTCTCTTGCCGCCTGACTGTCGGGCGTCATCGCTGATATGTTTACCGACAGTGTAGGAGCAGATCGGCGAGTCGCACGTCACGCCGTCGTATTGTAGCGCACTTTGAGGTGTCATCTGTCTAGGCGCACTGCTCGCATGGCTTGAGGGACGAGATTGCGCCCATGCATCTTGTAGATTGCCTCGCTCTTGTAACATGCGAATGACCAGAGATTCTGGCCGAGAGTTGAGGTCACCACACTGTTCACTGCCATCAGTCGAACTCCCGCACGCAGATCACTCGGACTTGCAACAACGGCATGTCGGCCTTTCAATGAAGCTGCGTCGGCCAGCTTGCCGAGCTCGTATGCCTGTGACAGCCTATGCGCACGACGCCATTCGTCGGGCCCTTCGCCACCGGGTGCATGTAGCTGCCTCTACCTATCAGCAGTCGTTTTGCGCATCTCGGTTCGACCGACATGTGTATTGAAGACCTCAACGAGTCCCACGCCTGGAACATCGACCACGATGGAACCAGCTGCCTTTCCGACGAACCAGTCGCCCTGGATGACATGCAGAGGCTGCCCGTTCAGTCTGTACGGATTGATATTTGACTCGACGATAGGATGCCGCGATAGCATGAGTAAACCAGATCCCAATGCTCCCCTGTAACTCTCTTCGTGAGCGCTGTCGAGCGCACGATAGATCCGCGAACGAGTAGAAGAAGCGAGAGTAGATGAGCCCGCTCTCTCTTGCTCTCAGCTTGAGATGCTCTCCGTCCGCTCGCACCCAAACTTCTTGCAGACAGACCAGATCATATCCGCTCGAACGTGCTGATACGGATTGCAGGGCGTCTGTCGATTTCGCTGAACCGGTGGACGAGCGGCTGTCGTTACTTCCGGAAGTAGACGGACCGCTGGCAGCGAGGATATCGCCTATTGCACGCACTCGTGCCTGTCGGTCTTTGGATACGAACTTGAGTCCCCTTTGATGCGCGTGAGCCCTTTGTTCGGAAATCTGTAGTGCGAGCTACCATATATTGAGCGTGAGTATCCGCAAAGAAGCGTCCATGTCGTCTGCAGACTTAGGCAAGCAAGCCCAAGTCAAAAGCTAAACCGAGCTCGACGACATGCGCGACATGTGACGACAACACGTCAATCGTTTCTCGATGTCAACTTCGGCCATTGCCCGCTCGCCTCTCGTCGTCATCATCTGTCGAGCAGATCACCCGCTAAGAGCAAACGTCGAAATGGCAAAGTATGAGCGGACGAGTGTCCAGTATCTATCTGCCGACGGCGTGAACAAGATCCATGCGTGGGTCTATACGCCCACTGCGACGAACAGCCGAGTACCGGCAATCATCTTGTCCGCACCCTGCTCGTCATCTTTGAATTCTGCTGAAGTCCACGCTGCAGAGCGCACGGCTTCGGTGGCTCGAAAGTACATGGCCTCCAACCGTTTGCAGAAGCATTCGCGAGCATGGGCGTTCTGGCCATCGTGTTCGACTATCGCTCGTTCGGTCTCTCGGATGGCATGCCGCGTAATACCATCAGGGTATCAGCGCAGCAAGCCGATTATGTGACCACGCTCGATTATGCAAAGAAACTGCCCAATGTCGATCCCACCAAGCTCATCATCTGGGGAACCAGCTTTGCGGGGGGTCATGCACTCTCGGTCGCGAGCACATACCCCGGATTAGCCGGATGCATTTCCCAAGTGCCCATCATCAAGGGACGTAGCTCGGTCTTCAAGACCTCCAAGCGATCTGCGATCATGTTGACGCCTATCCTCGTGTATGATGCGCTGTCCCGCATGCTACCTTTCCTACCGCCAGCGTATGTCCCTACAGTCGCAGATCGAGGCAGCTGGGGTCTCCTTACGACAAACGACGCTGTCGAAGGCTACTCGCGCTTCGAGCCGTTCGTGGACGCTGAACCGGCTTACGTGCAAGCTGCTGAAGCCAAGGGCAAGTCGACCAAGGAGCTTGTCTTGCGCCCGAGCAATGCGCTCGATACATTCTTCTATAATTCGGTCGCAAAGAGTGCCAAGACGATCAAGTGTCCTGTGTTATGCTTGATCGCACACGAAGATACAATGTGTCCACCTCATCTGGCAGTCGACGCCGCGAAGCAGATCAGGGATGTCGAAATCGTTCGCATTGACGGTGGTCATTTTGGACGTCAGTGCCTCAGCCATCGGTCGCCTGCCGTCATCAGCGCTGACATACTTGACAGCATACTCTGGACAGCCAGGCTGGGAAAGAACGATCGACGCAGAGAAGCAATTTGTCAAGCGCGTCGTCGCTCACTCCTCAAAAATCTAATCACTGTCGCATTGCAACGCTTCTCATCTCCTGTGCACAGCAGATGCATCTGACCATCTGGCTTGGGCTTGTACTTCCCTTCTTACGAACACTCACTGTACATGCTCCAGCGCCATTACCGGAGCATTACTGCTTCATCTTTTGCAGATGTCAAGCGATCTGCAGCTCACTTGACGCAGACGGCGAAGCCTCTTCGATCGTGATGATCGACCAGCCGCAAATGAGCTTGTTTGCTTGTCTTGTAGCCGGAGCGCTCGGATGACCAGATCCAATGGTTTCATCTGCCTGTGAGCTTTATCGAACGCAAACAATCCTCGGTCACTCGACCAAATAGAGGAATAGCAATGCCTGGGAGCGCGTGTTCAGCCTCTCACAGCGTACCCCAAATCCCTCCCGTATGAACGTTGATACCCAAGTCTTCATACGGATGATCATGCGGGCGATCGAGGGCGGATTCGAGTTGTTCATCAGGCTTTGCTGTCACGTGGATGTCCAACCACGCTTCGCACTCGGCATGACACTCTGTATGCTCGATTGACCGTAGTCCCCAAAGCAGCTCATCACGGCTGCCGCAGCGTGGTGCAGTATCCAGTTCGGGAAAAAGATGCTCTTGAGCTGTACTGGGCCTCACGAAACACGCGCGAGCAAGCTTCTATCCTATGCGAGATCGAGGCGGGCACTTACTTGCCTATGCGAGGCGTCAAAAGTGATGCCGAGCAATGTCGTCGCGCACCCGATCTAACTCCAGCTCAGACGTAGTTAGACTGTGTGACTTGATCGAAAGCCTGAGCAGAAACCCAAGCCAAGGCTTGACGGGTCTCCGAATGCATTATAGCCATAGCCGCGCGAGGCTACAGCGTTGCCGACCATAGATTGACCGTGCTCAGTTGACCACGTAGCTCAGAGCAGCCGTACTCGGCTTGCAGTCGCCCTCTGCTCTGACGTCCGTCCAGCAGAATTCTGGTGCCAAAGGTTGGCACGCGCCTGCGTCATCGTCATCCTTAGCAAGAATCGAAGGGCTTGAAGATGAGCATACCTGTGGCCGAGCGAGCATCTCTATGCTCGATCATGTGAGGATATCTGGGGTTGAGCGTGAATACGAAGCTGAGCAAGCCGTCACAGCAGTTGTTCCAGCCACGCGTGCCACCGTGCTCGCTTCTGAAGTGGTTTGAAGGGACCGTCATGCGATACGTCTCATGACCCAGACCATCCGAGCTGATCGTTTCGAGTGTGATTAACTTTGAGTCGTAGTTCGTCTCCCAGCCCCCTCTACTGTTCTGAGTGAAAGCGACGGAGAGGTCTCGATGACAAACAACTTAAGCTCAGCGAACGGCATGACGAGCAGACACACCGGATGTACTGCTTATGCCGTGCACGAGACCGTTGTAGAAAGCGCAGACAGCCTCACCATTCGCTGCGACAAATCAGCTGAGCCGGAAAATTTCGTCGAGTCACACCGACCGGTAACAGTGACGGTGACAGCCTGGATGGCGCTGAAGAGGCAAGCGGAGATGATAAGCGAGAAGAGCAGCATCGTACGTGCTTTTGGTCAACAGCTTGTCGTCGCAGAAGGCAAGCAGGATCAGAGAATCTCATTGCAAGGGGTTGCCGAGCCTGAAACCGATGGCCACAAAGCTCCAAATAGGGCGCGTGACTGAGGATTTGCCACCTCGACAGCTCCCTCTTCCTCCCGAGACCTCAAAGAAACATGCTTGCACTAGTCTTCTCCGTCACGAGCTTCCTCACGGCTACCCTCTTGAGCGCTCAGACACCGGCCCAACGAGTGCTCCTGCTCGCCCCGAATTTCTCAGGTTTCTGTTTATATACCAACGATGCTGGCCAGCGAGGCAGGGCATACTTCCAATCGTACGGCCAATCACAGGCAAAGCTTGTCATAGATCGCGAGGAGTCGAATTGGCCTAACCCGGATGGCTCACCTGGCCTGAGCTACGAAATTTTCAGCAAATGCGGCGGAAGTATCACTGCTTGTCCGGCAACCAACCCCGTCGAGAAACCCGAATGGCACGCGAACTTGATCACTTCGATAACTGCTCGACCGTTAGACTTGGAGCTATCGCGCTGCTGTCGCATCATGGTCACCTCGGAAACCAATATATGGCTCGAGAGAGGAACTTGGCAAACCTCGGGAACGGCTGCCAAGATGGTGTGTTACGACGGAAGACCAGCATTTGACGAATGCGATCGTTCGTGGACACTGAATCCGAGTCTGCCATACCTTAAACACTGGGCGTAACGCAGGCACGGCCATTGCGATAGCGCCACCGGCGAATGCCAACTGTCTACTGAGTGATTTTCATTGGGTACCTACACCTGACAACGCGCCACGGCTGGAAGGTACTGTCCGCCTGGTGCCAGAAATCAGGGTGCGGGCCGCTAGTACTGAGACAGCGCGAGGAATTTCAAAGTTGCCTACAGGTCTACTGCATACTGCCTCGCAATCACCCCATTCGTATTGATCTTGACCCAGATCCCCTACTCAGGCCGTCAGTCGCATGCTTGGAAAACAAGTTATACTGAAAGTGGGAGCTCAGGTACATCGAGCTTCAAGTCTGGCGCATATCCAACAACGAATTCAAAATTACCTTGGTCAGCTCTCGAGACTCATTCAGCTGTCCAGTCAGTCACGCATACGTACAGTGGCATAGCGAAGGCATGCTCGAAGTACACGCTATCGGAGCTACCACCCTCGGTGGGGCTGGTCAGGATTCGCGCGGCGAAGCCGCGTTTTCTCTTGCAATGCGTTTGACCGGCCAAAATTCACCACGTATGTCGTCAACGATGTCGTCGGATGCAGTAGAGTGATCAGATAGACAGTCTACGCGTGCTGTCGTGTGATAGTCTCTGGCGTCGTTCAATTTCCGCTATTCCAGGGCGAGACGCGCTATCTTCCAGACCCGGAACAGGAATTAGGCCTGCGTTGCTTCGGCGAACATGCACTCGGCACTTGCAATGGTGAGCATGATCCGTCACATGGAGAGCGACTGACACGTGGCAACAGAGGCGAAGGCGCGCAAGATACTCGATGGAAGGGACACGGCGAACAATTGCTCTGATTTTGTCTCTTGGGACAGTCACAGCGAAGGGCAAGGCGTGCAATAGTCTGTCAGCTGCCCAAATCTCCATATCGCTACCGATGGTGTCGTGACAGGCGATGTTCGGAAGGAGGCGGGCGAGCAATGCGGTGAAGCGATGCTCATGAGATAGCAACAGGCGTCTTATGGGCATGCATACCTCGCTGCAACCACAAACAGATAGTGACGTGCTTCGATGACTTGAGGAGACAATAACACTCTTTGAGCTTTGGGTCGCTGCCCCAGCGGTGGCAGCGCTGTAGCCTTTGTGGACTTGCCGTGATCGATGTTGTCACGCGCCTCATACGTACACTGTACAAGACGATGGTCCCCCGCGGAATGACCAACATGCCGCTGTTGCTCTTGTTCTTCTCAGCCATCTGCCTCTTCACAGCTCCTTGTCTAAGCGCTCAAACCTCGGCACAGCGGGTCCTCTTCATCGTGCCAAACTTTTGGGGCTTTTGTCAATACTTTGACGGACAAGGCCAGCAAGGCAGAGCATACTTTCAATCATATGGTCAATCTCAGATAAAGCTCGTCATCGACCGCTTCGAGGATGCAGAGCCTGAACCAGATGGCTCGCCCGCCTTCGACTATGAACTATACGGCAAAGGTGGCGGGAGTATCACAGCCTACTCGGTCACCGAACCCGATCCGACCCCCATGTGGCACTCTTCTCTGCTCACAACGATAAAAGCTCGACCGACTGATCCTGCGCTGTCACGCTGCTGTCGCATCATCATTGATGCCAAGACAAAGATGTGGCTTGAGAGCGGCACATGGCAGTACGAATCCAAGACTGCCCGCATGACTTGTTTCGACGGTAGTCTGGCTTTGGCATCATGCGATCGTCTGTTAACGCCGCATCAATGCTCAGCATAACGCTCATGTCTTTGACCGACACAGGAGCTGCTATAGCGATCCAGCCGCCAGCACAAAGCAACTGCGATCTGAGCGACTTTCGCTGGGTCCCTGTCCCTGATGAACCGCCTTCATTGGTATATACAGCTCGCTTGATGCCGGAAAGACTTGCTGTACGGGCTTTGATTGAGGGCAACGCAACAGAAGCGCTCAAACGGCCAGCAGGCTTTCTGTGCGCTGCGAAGCGGCCGGCATGTTCCATTCGGCCTTGACAGAAATCCGGATCTCAGACCGTACGTCGCAAAATTATGCAAGTCTCAAGCTAAAGCTGTCTTTGCAGAACCATCGAGCTTCAGATCTGGCGCGCAGCGAACGCCGAATATCACGTCACATTGGTGAGATCGGCTCACAAGGCAGGCTCTTGTATGACATGCGCGCATGCGCACAGTGGCACAGCGAGCGCGTACTCAGAGTTCAGGTGGATCCTGTCATCACGCTCGGTGAAAATTCGCGCGTTGGCGTCAGAGTTTCCTTCGCAGTCCGCCCGCTTCAGCTGCAATCATCACGTATGTCCTTACGAATCTATTGCTTGACATGACCCGACGCAGAAATAAGTCTACGCATGCTGTCGTCTGGTAGTATACGGCCTCGTCAACTTACGCATCTTCAAGGGCTGGTCGACCCTCCATGAACTGACTTCGAGTATGCGCTGCTTCGGCGAGCATGCACTCCCCATGTGCAATGGTAAGCGTGGATACTTCAACGGCAGAGACTGACGCGCGCGGACAGAGCCCAAGGCTCGCAAACTTCTCGACGGTAGAGATACGGTAACCGAATGCGAAGAGGAAGTCTCGTGGTACGATGCCAATCGAGACCACGACGAACAATAAGCTGGCAAATGCATTCCTGGTGTACTGCAACATGCTAATCTCCAAGAGTCTTTGTCACCAACGGCGTCGTCATGGGCGATGTACGGAGGAGCCAACGCGTAACGCTCCTCGCAAATTTGCTCGTGCGCCATACATTCCTGTCCGGATTGTCAGCATGCGTCCCTTTCCAGGTGTGACAATTCTGCTATTTCTATGTCTGTCTCCAAGCGGCGAAGCAGCGTCAGAAGGCACTGAGGCCCGGCTCTCTTCTCTGGAAGTATGGTCCCCGATGGTCGTGCAAGTCAAGCATTCGCGGTTTCCAACCGTCTACAACTTGCTCGTATCTCTACGCTCGCCATTCTTATCGATGGGAGCACAGACACATAAGCGTCTCGAGACCAGCGATACGATGGTCCCTGTCCGTCATTCTGTCTCAATCGATCTGCAAGGCGGCGACATCATTTCGGGCGACCTCATCATCGATTCAAGCTCTTCTAGCAATGCGCACGATGTCAAGTCACTCATGCTCAGTATCTCAAGTCAGGGCGATGGTCTCTTCTACAAGAGGTGACTTTGACCCCTTTGGCGTCATTTTGGCTGAATATTTTATATCAGCGGATTGGATGGTATCTTTGGACTGGCTACCCAGGACAAGCTCGAAGAGACCCTCTTGAGCATGGACATCCGTACCCCTACCCCTAACTGGATCAATCAGGCCGTCAAATGGCGCCGCATCTCACGCGCAACAGCTGTGCTTGACGTGGCAAGGAATTCTATTACGTTTGGCCAGCTACCGAGTGGCTCAGTCGACTGGCTAGAGAGGCAGAGGATGCCGGGTAGAGCATCAGAATGGGCGGTCAAGTGGACTCTTATCAGCATGCAACTGTTCGGCATAAGTGCGCGTATCGAGCCTGGCGCGACTCATCTCCAGGTACCGTGGCAAGCCATGCGGCTCTACTGCTTACGCAATCCTGGCGCATTCTACGATAACGAGATGCAGATGGTTGCCATTCGGGGCGGAGAACTGCCTTCGCCTATGACTTTTGAGATCGCGATGCGTCAGATTACCCTCTCTGGCGAACAACAACTGATGCCGCATCTCGCTGGCGATCCTGACGACTTGCGTTACACAATCATCGGGTTGGCCGCCGATGGGATCGTGCAAGTCGGCAAGGCGATTTTGAAGCACTTCGACAGCGTTACGCTGGATTTTGATAACAACAGAGTAGGTTTCGCAGCATTGCGCGCCGATCAGTAGCCACAAGATTGCATTGCATCAGAGCTCAGCGCGAGCGACCGGGAGCGCAAAGCCTATAGCATCACGTTCGTGGTCCAAGACGACGATAAACTTGCGCAAGATTGAATTGCCCACAACGAGTTCGCCCGTCGGAGAACTGTCCGTCAATCAGCTGCTGCGCCAGATAAACGTATACAAACTTGCTGTCTGATATAGGTATGCCTGCCCCCATGTTCGAGCTGCTCGCCAGATGACCATACATACAGATGGTTTGCGAATCCGAAGACGATAGGAGGCGGATTGAGCTCAGCCGGCATACACGCTAGCTCGGCACCCTCTGGCGTGATGAATGAAAACGCGCCCGGCACACTGGCGATGTATCTGCGGAATTCGGTGGTAGGCAACCAAAGATAAGCAGTGCTCGTCTCGAGCATGGCTATGCGGTCAAAGACCCCAAGACTTTGGATTGTGAACTCAATGCCCCAGGTCGGCAGGTCGTTTGAGCTTCTGCGACTGATCCAGACAGGTTCAGAGGCCATAAGGGACCTTGCTACGACGCCGGGATAGATCTGATTGCCAGCGACGTCTAGTGTGATTCGGGGCCCGTTTATTCGATGGCGATGTACCGCTTCGAGGAGCCAGATCGGCGTAGAAGGTATCTCGCTCCCGCTTAAGTAGAAATCAAACATTCCTTGCTTGCCAAGCCCGAGCATGCCGTCGGCCGGGCTATCATAACACTCACTGAGGTGTCCCGGACGAATGAAGATGGACGTACGTATGCCAGGAAGGCCCATCAGATGTATCTTTGACACTGAGCAGAAACGTATACATGTAGAGCGGATGACCGGCGCTGGTCGAGACGCAGATCCAATCGCGAAGATAATGGCCATAGAATTTTGAGCCAGTCACATCTTGCTCGACGCCCGCCTTGGCTGTGATGACCTCGGCGCTCTCATCTGGATCGAAACGGCGTGTGGCTTGCGCGCCGATAGTGATGAATGCAGAGCGAAGGGAGACAATCAAGTGGTACTCAAGAGGAAAGCTGGCATGCGTCACGGTAACGTACATGGCATCCGTGTTTGGCGGCGCTCGCTTGTGTAAAGCAGTCGCATTGGCATGGAACGGCTTTGCAGCGATTGCGACTGCACTGGTTGTTGAGACAAGCAGAAGATATGCGAAGCACGCAAGGAGTAGGAAGCGCATGGCTCGCCGTGGGTCACGCACAGAAGCAGACACGCAAGAAACGCCACTGCCGGCATTTATTGCTGACACGTGTCGGTTGCCATATAGACTGACACGTCATCGTTGTCAGGTAAGGGCCCGTACGATTTCGAATGGTAAATTTTTGTGGCATAGTAAAGTAAATTCTTGCTCACAGGCTACCTGAGAGCAAATTTGCCTCGAGAATTTACTTTACTATACTATNTTTTGAAATCGTACGCACGAGCAAAGTAAAAAGCAGAAGTATAGTAAATTGGGGCGGAGATGGCGCGGAGACGCACCGCACACCAGTCGCCTCCTCCACG